AGTGGGATCTGAGCATCAGAGGTCCAGGCCGGGTAAGGCTCCCGAGAACGCTGGCCAGCTGGCAAGGCGTTGTTGTAGTCCATCCCATAGATGGGAGTCGAGGCACCGGATGATCTGTTACCGCCGTAGGATATTTGAGAAGACGGTGGTCGGTATCCGCGTCCACCCTGACCGTCATAGCCGCTGTTATAGCGCTCGTCTCCTCGGCCGTAGTAGTCCATTTCAGCTGCACGAGCCATATCTGATCTCATAGTGAAGTCACTGAATGTTTCCGAGTCCTCTTCGGAATCATGGCCGCGGCGCCTCGGGCGTTGACCCTGGTTGTATTGCTGTCCAGCAGCTCCCTGGTCGTAGTATTGGCCGTCATAGTAGTCGTCTTGATACCCCTGATGACCTTCGTAGTAGCCACCGTCGTTGTGGTAGGGGTTTGATGCATCGGCGTTGTAGTAGCCCCTAATTGAGTCAGTCGCCCAGCAGAAGCATCCGAGAGGCATATTCCTTACGATTCATCATAATAGCCTTCACCTCCGTGTTGTTGGTGACCATAGTCATACTGGTCATGGTAACCGTGTTGGTCCTCCTGGTAATAGCCGTCGTTTGGATGATGCTGGCCGTAGCCATCATCGTAGTCGCCCTGTTGAGGGTGGCCTGACATTTTGGGTACAATTCCTAGAGCACGTCAGAGGTCAACAAGTGGCCAGCCGAATGAAGCAATTGTCATGTTTGCACGAGAGAAAACCGCACGATCGAACTTTGATCCACTCACTTCAATGTAGTCCCATGAAAAATGTTCCCGGGTTTAGAGATGCGTCACACGCAAAAAGGGTGATTCCGTGCACTTGCAGTATGGTAATATTAGGCGTGATCCCGGTATAAGCAGCGAATGTCGGATAGGAGGTAGGCGGCGCAGCGAAATGATGGAAACCACTCTGCGGGCTGGCTCTCTCTGTTTCTTGAGGAATTCCAAAGTGACAGTCCTTCGAGGGCAAGCTGGTTCAAGGCGTGGAGAGCGCAGTCAAAAGATGGATGGAGGGAATGGCGGTAGCTGAACTGAGTGAAGGTGGTTGCTGTGAAACGAACGAAGGGGGGAGGTGCGTTGGTTGCTCAGCCAATGTGCAGCTGCAGAGGGCGCGTTTTGGGCGGACAGGCGTCGCCCTTATTTTACGGATTCCGAGCTGACAATTGCTCTTTCCTAAGGCTGGGGTAACCCGTCCTCGTCGTTCCTGCCTTCTTTCTCGCAGCGACTGAAGCGAGTGAAGGAGGATCACGAGGAGGAAAAACGACAGTAAGAAGGATGTAGAATCCTGACGGGGGAACCAAGGTGCGAGGCTGGTGAGTTGAATAATGGAACGACAAAGGGAGCTGGAGCTGGGCACACTTGCAGGACCAGGGATGGAGCAGGATTGGAGGGGAGGTGGCCAGACTGGAGTCGCTCAGGTCGTGCTTGTTTCGGGATTAGGATTAGGGGGCACCGGCTGCTGGTGGCATGGGCGTGCACAGGCTAGTGGGTTAGAGATTCAGGCGGCCTTTGGGATTTGTCGGGTGAATGGTGCGGTGGGTGTTGCCTCGAGGTTGTGATTTCGGGCCGGCAGGGGATGGCCAACAGCTGCAAACAGGTGATGGCAATTGAGGCTTAACTGTCACCCACACACCCCGGTCGCCGACAAGGGGGCAGGGATCAACAAAACAAGGAACAAGGGGGGGGCTGGTGGGCTGGGCACTGGGCAAATCTGAACCAAGGGCCATGAACAGCCAACAAACGCCACACTCTCATTTGATTCTTTGTCTGTCGCCATTCCGGGCTTTTTGCACATCCACTGTTGTTGCTGGCTACTCTGATCATCGCAGTTGCCAGTCAGAGACTATGTAACTCTTGGTAACGGATTTTGCGAGTTTTGCGGTTCCCTGCAGTTCACTCCTCTCTCCTTGATTGCGACACATCAAGAGCGTCATCTACGTCTCCACTTGACCTACATCGCTTATTGCGCTACGGACGCGCTTCCCGCCTTGCTGCAGCTCGATTGCTATCTCTGGCACAACCGTCAAGCTAACCCGTGGCTGGGATTGTGGCTATGCATAAGAGTGCAGCAAGATCGAGCCTCACGTTAGATGCCTTAATTGCCTTGATGTACCGAACACGGGGGTACAGTATGCCCTCATCCTCAATAACCTGCCACCAGATTCATCGCGCACGGGACGGTTTGTTATCATGTACCAGTACTGCACAGGCATGAGGGATGAAGCTCTCTCTGTCTCGTTGGCGGAGACACTGCCCGGCTCGCAGGTCACACAACCCTTGTTTCATATCATGGAGGTTTTTTTACGTTGCAGATCTCAGCTGCGTCTCGGACAATTTTGTTGGCAGAACATCTGCATGTATGTGTGGGCCTGCTGGCAGTGGAAGCACTGGACGGACTGTGGTGCCGGAATCCTCCTCCACGTTATTATTCGGATGCACGACAAGGTCCTAGGTACATATCTGCCTCCCGTGCTTCTGAAGGACAGAACGATGAGCTGCGTGGGTGACGAGCACAAATCATGCAGCTGACAAAAGACATCCGAAGGACGGTCCACGCACTTCTTCAGGCGCAGATATCCTCCGCGTAAAACGGCCTCGCTGACTCCGGGCGCCGGTGACCGACTCGTGGATAATACTTGTATGTACTCGGGTATGTACTTGGTACAGTACCTACAGTAGGTACCGAGTATGGAGGTACAACCATCTACTTCCACCATACCTAAGTAGTAGGTAGGCCTCGACTGGTGGGCTGTGTAGCGCTCCGTGGCCTGTTTGCTCGAACATGTGGATGAGCAGGAGCATCTACCCTGGTGGGTTTTTCTGGTGAGGTCTTTTACAACCCTGGCAGAAGGCCTGCAGAGTCTGCACAATGCGATTGTGAAGTGACCCGTGTTTACATCCATGTTGTGTCCAGACATCCAGCGACTAATGAGCAGCATTCGAAAATTTATTCTTCTTCTTCCATGATCCCACTGTGGCTCCTGTGGCTTGACGCCAACAAAGCCAAGGTGATTGTTTTTTTGTGGATCTATTTGATATCGGATCGGCCGCCATTGACGCCGGTGGATTGCTGGCATGTCCCGATGAAGAATGCTCTAAGTCCAACCTTGACAATCCAGCTCCAGCATGTCTTATCATGGCTTCTTTCGCCAATTTCGTGCGGGTGCATCCTCTGTTCCCATGATCCTTTGGAAATTGTCCAGATTCAGCGCGCTCTACATACCCAAGCACTGTACTGGGTACAAGCACTCTCGACCCTGTTCTTATGCCAAACCTGATTTTGCCCACCTCAAACACGGCATTTGGTGTCCAATCTTTGGAGTATCAGGGGAAATAAGCTTTGCTAGGAACAATACTTACTGTAGATGCGGGAACCGCTTAGAGTGGCGAATTGCTATTTCCGGTGGACCAGCCTGTCCTGGCCTCATGAAATCCCAGAAGTCGTCATATCCCAGGGGCTAGATAGCGCGATGGAGAAGGATCGTGTCGGGCGTGCACCACCCCTGGACCACTGGATACGACGGGGTGGAAAAAGGGGCCGTCCTCCAATCGACTTTCTCACCGTGCCAGTAACCCAGACGAATCCAATTTCGCCCTGGACAAATGGGAGCCACTTTGCGGAGAGCTGAGTGGGCATGCCAGGGTCATCATTATCTCAAAACTGGTCCAAGGCCGAGACACAGCTGTGCTTGTTGGAGCTTCAGAAGGATGCCCAGGATGATCAAGCCGTGAGACATGCAGTGACTTTCCTCCACACTCTCGACCACCATTTGTTACAAATATCTGTGGCAAATCATCGATTTTCTTGCAGGGGGCTGGACCGGAAATACACGATGGAGGATAGCCATACCTTGAGAAACATATCGACAATAGGACAATGGTCAAGGGAAGGATGTCTCTAGTCAGCAGTCCCCCAAGTGGGAGATGGCAAGGGCTCACTCAGGATAATTCTTTTTTAAACTCGGAGTCCCTCGTACTTGATTCTCTTCTCTCCCTCCTACGCACCTGAGAATATCGAGTAGTCTGCGGCTTGTTCCTCGACCGCGTCGATGATCATGAGCTGCTTAGCATCACCTAGGATGCGATGGACTACGGGTAGCTATGTACATACATGTGTACTCCGTCCATAGCTGGTGTAGCCACAGTCCACAACCTCGACGAATCAATACCTACCATCATAGCTCGATGGAGAAGGGACGCGTGTCGACTGCGTTGATGTTGCGCCGGCAATGGCGGCAAAAGCAGCATCGAAACCCGATCTGCTACAAGTCCGAGGACCAATTGACGACAGACGAGCCCGGGGTGCCTCGACGGGGTGCTGTTGGTCTGCCCCCCGAATAGATGCTGATGTGCCAACGGGAATGCGCACGAGTCGTCCGGAAGTGCCCCCGGAAAGAAGCGTGGGCGGTGCCTGTGAGAACTGAATCTGGGACTTCCGTTCAGTGGCTCAGTGGCCCGAGGCGCCTGAAGAAGGGGGCGACGGGGGGGGGGAAATGGTGAACCCCGGGGCAGTTCGGCTGTGTCCACTCTCAAAGCACACCAAAAGACACCAAACCCCATGCATGCATTGAGCGGAGGGGGACGCCAGGACACCTACTCTCATCCCTTGAAATCGCTTCCCCCTTTGATCTGAACTCGCCGTCGTCGTCAGTTCCTCCTGTACCTCATAGTCTACCACTTTGCTTGCACACAGTTCTTTCTTACCCTTTCGCACCCTTTTTCTCACCTTCGTTACTCTTCGCCGTTCTCTTCCCCTTCGTGACATTCTTTTCCATATCTCTAACATTGCCGTCCTTCGTTCCTGCCTGCTTGTTGGGCAGTGACAGCTCGTTACTGTATCAATCACCCTCCTCTCCCGGGGAAACAACATTCTTGCCGTCAGGTATCTTCAGACCGTCTTCACACCTCTTAAGCGCACGCGCTCGCTCGTGAAAGACTACATTCCTCTGTTCACCTACATTTCTCGCACATTCGCATCGCCATGAAAGGCTTCTCTGCCGTTGCGACTGCTGTTGCCGGCGCTACTCTTTTTCTCAAAGCCGCATATGCAAATGTGGACCCTATTGTCATTAAAGTACGATGCCACCCGACCCCATTCTCCTGCGGTGAAGGGATGAACAGCACTGATTTTTTCTTTGTTTCCAGGGCTCCAAGTTCTTCTATCAAACCAACGGGACGCAATTGTGAGCACACACGCGACTGTCGCTCCATTAATCGTTGGCTAATGTGGTAAACAGCTATATCAAAGGCGTTGCCTACCAACGTGCGTCCCCCTCTCCGGCTCCTCGGTGAATATTATAATTGACAAGTGGAAAAGAGGATTATCTAGGGAACGGCACAACCTCGAGCGGCAATAACAACTATGTCGACCCTCTGGCTGACGCATCGACATGCCAGCGAGACATCCCCTACTTGATCCAACTGGGCACCAACACCATCCGAGTGTACGCAGTTGACCCCACTCAAAACCACGATGAATGCATGAGTATGCTTGCGAACGCCGGCATCTACGTCATTTCGGACCTGTCATCCCCTAGCACCTCGATCAACCGTGATTCTCCCACATGGAACGATGATCTGTACGCTCGCTATACCGCCGTCATTGACAACATGGCAAAATACACAAATACCCTGGGTTTCTTCGCAGGAAACGAGGTGTCAAACAACAACACCAACACCGATGCCAGCGCCTTCGTCAAGGCTGCTGTCCGCGACATGAAGGCCTACATCAAGCAACAAAACTACCGGTCCATAGGGGTGGGCTATGCTACCAACGATGATGCCGACATTCGTGTCAATCTCGCCAACTACTTCGACTGCGGAAATCCAACTGATGCCATTGATTTCTGGGGCTACAACATTTACTCGTGGTGCGGAGACTCCAGCTACACCCTGTCTGGCTACGATCAGCGCACCAAAGAGTTCTCGACCTACAACGTCCCCGTCTTCTTTGCCGAGTATGGCTGCAACGTTGTTCAACCCCGTACATTCACCGAAGTTCAAGCGTTGTATGGCCCTCAAATGAGCCCTGTCTGGTCGGGCGGCATTGTCTACATGTATTTCCAAGAGGCGAATGACTATGGTGAGGGCGGACTATTTTCCAATTCGTTCCACTCGTACTGACAGATAGTTAGGTCTGGTCACTGTCTCTGGCGGTTCGGTGAGCACTCTGGCCGATTTCAATGCCTTATCCACCCAGATTGCGAAAATTGACCCCACCGGTGTCAACGCAAAAGACTACACCCCCACCAATACTGCTCCTGCCGCCTGCCCGACTGTTGGCGCCGATTGGCAAGCATCGTCCAGCCTGCCTCCCACGCCGAACCAACAACTCTGCCAATGCATGTTTGATGCTTTGACCTGCCGACCAAACAACGTGGCCGAGGCCGAGATTGGTAACTTATTTGGCATTGTTTGCGGCCTTGCCCAGGGTGTCTGCAACGGTATTGCCGCCAACGCCACCACGGGCGACTATGGTGCCTATGGCATGTGCAACCCTGAGCAACAGCTTGGTTGGGCACTCAACACCTACTACGAACAACAAGCTGCCCAAGGAAACGGTGCCTCGGCCTGCGACTTTAGTGGATCGGCCTCGACAGCATCCCCAACAAGCCCGACTGGAAGCTGCGCAACATTGATCAACCAGGCCGGTAGTGGAGGTACTGGTACGGTCACCTCGGCACCCAGCGGCACGGGTGGGTCAGGATCGAGCTCCGGCTCCAGTTCTGGCTCCAGCTCTGGCTCTGGTGGCAGCGGCAGCACCTCCAATGCTGGTATGCCTGGAGTCTCCACTCCCGGCCATATGGGCGTTCTGCAACTTGTGGTTTATCTCACGATTGCATTCGTGTCGGGAGCCGGTATGATTTTGTTGTAGAGACAGGGAAGCGGGGGTGAAATCTGCGTGGGTGCATTGGTTAACAGCGCGCTTTGTTCATATTGGTTTGTAGGGTCCCTCATAGTCACAGCTCGTCAACTACTTGAGTCGATAGGAGATGTAATTGACTGCATCGCCGGGGTTCGGTGAGCACCAAAATCAGTTGGTCTAGAGAGTATCCCAAGCAGAAAACGAAAAACAATTCAAACGTATTCACAGGTCCTATTATTCACCTGGCAGTGTACTTCAATCCTTTGTTCGGTTAGCGCCATCCCCCTTTCTTGGTCGACAGCCTTGCGTGGATGGATGGAGCCGGATGATTGTCGGCTCCACGAAGTCAGACCACTGAAAATGTCCAAGCCGACTCTTATGCTAGTAGATGATCGAATATTCTGAGTATCCGTTGGAGTTTGTTTAAGAACCTTGTCATCGCCGTGATTTCCGGAACAGTGGACTGTACAGGAGAAATGAATGCCTGAGGCGAACTCATAGGACAATCCAAGCTGCCACAGGTCACTCTGCTGCCTGTTGGCGAAGAATCCAATCCAGAGATCCCAAACCTCAGTAGGGACACAGTCTTACCATTTGATCCGCTTACACAGCCTTGATCCGTCAACATCAACCCCTCCGTTGCCACCAACACTGACAGAACTTTTCTCTCCTCTCGCCAGCCTCAGATTAAGTTCAGATTTCGCCTGCTGCAACAAATTCCATCATTCTTCGACGCGACCAAAGCTAACTATGGCTGCTGCCATGTACGGCGTCCGTGAACTTTACGGAGGGGCTCTAACCGTGGAGTTGCCCGTGGAACTTATTGATTCAAGGTGAGTGGAGCATTCATACGGCGTTTTGGTGCCGTCTCGAACGCCCTGGCGGGTTGGGAAGAGGCGAGCGAGGGAGAGAGCTGGGCACGCAATTCTGCCCAGCCTCGTCATATTAGAATGAGCTGATGGTCTCTGCTCCTCTCCGTCAGCAGGTGCATCTTTGACGTTTCTTTGCAGCGAGTCTCGGCTAACGGGTGACTGACTTTCAACGTCAACAGCGACATCCGCCAAATCCCAGACCATCAAGAAGTCTTCCTCTCGCCGACGACGCTCACATCCATCATCTTCGAGATCAATAACTACGTCGGACCCAGCGTTACAGACCCCAGGGCCTCCCCCGGGCCCACAACGACTACCTCGACCGCAACCCTACCAGATGGAACGATCACGACCACGACCACAACAGCCGTCAGCCAAACAAGCAACGGTACCGTACAGCGGCCAAAGGCGGAGTTGGATGCCGAAGCCGCGAAATACCACTTCACCGACGTGATTTCGCCGCTAGACACGTTGGCTTCCCCTCTGCCGAACCCACAGCCCGTGAAAATGGTCGATGCGAGCCTGGCAAGCTATCCCGCGTACATGCTGGCGGGGAACATCAACAGCTTCGAGACATCGCGTCCGGCCCAGCGAAGCCCACATGGAGGCCAACAGATCGCCCCGTCGGCCTTCGCCCCTCAGCAGCAGCCGCAGCTGCGTTCGCTGGTGCACCAGCTCGCCCTCCTGATCCGTCTTCAACCTTACGGCACCGACCTGTGCGTCCGCATCAACGTCCCGGTCAAGGAGTTCATCGAGGCCGGCCAACGCACGGGGTCAACCGACCGCGGCGCCACGGAAGCCATGATTGCGCAGGAGGTCGGGTATGCGCGGGACATACTCACCAGAGTCGTGGCGACCTTGGCGGTCCGGGATTGGCGGCTCTTCGATGCATGAGCAGCACAACACCGCTTGGGAGTTGTCGAGGGCGATAGAACCTTCGCGCGTGCGAGAGAGCGGGGAGGGGCAGAGCCGAGAGTAGCCCTCTCTCTGAGCAAACGAGCAGCACAGGTGCGTTTGACAAAAGCTAAGCGTGCTTTGTTTGGAGATTCGAGATCTGTATTTTGGTTTTCTCTTTCTACGACCCTAAATTTTGAAAGGGAAGATTGTTAGGGCGCGATGACTCTATGGACGACCTATCTTGTCATGCGGTACCACGGACCGAGAAAAAGGGTGAGGGTTCGCCAAGGGGACCAGGGGCATAAAGGCAACGTTCCTGACTCGGATTTCAGACAGAGTCAATGGTAATACTGCTCGTCAAGCATCAGCGTAGCCCGCGTCAAGTTCTTCTAGGGTAATGTTCACATCCAAACCATCAGCAAGGCACTGCTCCTCTGCCCTTTGCGTCGTCCTGGGAAGGTGAGCCCAGATAGATAGGTATAGATGACAGGCGCTGAACGGTGCTTGCCTGGAAGATGGCGACGGACCGAAGCATCATGAATGTAATATTCACGCATACACACGGCTTCAACACTTTGCCGGGTGGTAAAAAGGAACAGTGTGGCTGTATCAGAATTCGAAACTCACAATCGTTTTTTTCATAGTTGTCTTTGCAACGCTCTTATAGATACGCCAGACACCCGCAAATCTGCCGGAAAATGCACATGTTCAACCTTGCAAGGCCATGGTCCAATCTCCTCTCCCTCCCAAAAAATGTCGCCTTCCCGAGTGTGGACGTCGCGGCACATCTCTCAACTCTCATTCCTACAATAACCACCAAGCAATCAATCGCTCAGCTCAATCGTCTCGATCATCCTGCCTAATACACTGCCGCCAGTGCTCGAGCTTGTGCTCCCTGCACTTTCTTCCCTCTTCAAACGCAATCCATGACTTCCCCTTGTTTCTCTCTTGACCGGACTTGCCCTTGGCTTCGGCCTCACTTGTACCAATCTCCCTTTACACTTCCCACATCGATGTTTTTCGACATCAACACTCTTACTGTGCCGTCCGTATTCTGCCCCACATCCTTCTCCCTCATCCCACTTGAGGACGTCCGCCGCCGCCGCCGAGGTCTCCTTGCGGCCAACGCAAACCCAGAGGTATTTGTGATTGATCGCATAGCTATGTTTAGTTGTGACGTGCACCTTTCTCCAAGATTCAACATCGGTCGATCGCAAATGCGAAGTGACTTTTGCGGCCCAGTTCTTGAAACTTGCACCATGAGGTTGGTCGCGCACGTTACTGATCATGAAGTTCGTCAGATGACAGAATTCATGCGCGAGGGTGTTAACCAGACGATCTTCACAGTCTATGATTTTCTCAGCCAGTTCAATCGACGCGAAGTGTTGCACTTTCATTCCCAGGCCGCTAGCCTCATTCATATTGTTGCTTTTGACGGGTGAGCCAGATGGCTTGGTAACAGTTCTCTTCCAATTTGCTCGGCCAGCTGTTGAACGGAGGGTTTTTGACCAGATGATCCGGATACCGCCTGTGCTGGATGATAGCCGGTTGAGTTGGGAGTTGGCGACTTTTTCGTCGAGCTCATACAGCAAGTCTCGCGCAAGTTGTTCTTTTTGGGAGTCAAACACCTTCTTCCGAGCTGCTGCTGCGCGTTTCTCTTCTGCTAAACGTTTCTTCTCTTCCTTCTCTGGACTTTTGGTCGGGGATTTTGACTTGCGTGGCGACCAGCAAGGACTAGGAAGTGAATCAGAATTGCTAAAAGAGTTGTCTTTCTCCTCGTCCTCCGAGTCCGACCACACTTGAAACCGATCAAAGAGACGTTTCCTCGGAGATGTTGCTGGCACTTTCTTCGGAGAGTATTTGTCATTCCAGTCGTTGACCACATTATGATCCCAGAACGCGTCCATGCTCTGACGATGCGGCGACTGTGGGATAGCCTGTCGCTTGGAAGGGGACAGTAACTTTGAGGGTGACTTGGGTTTCGAAGGTGATCGGGGTGGCGTGGCTGGCGGTGTCTTGAAGCGATCGCGTGCCTCGTCGGCGGCGGGCTTCTTCCACACATCTCCTGAGCCCTCGTCAAAATAGCTGTCGACGGGCTGGTCCTTGGAGGGCTTCATTAGTACAGGCTTAGAGGCAGGCGGAGGGAGTTGAATGTGGGCATCGAAGTTCTTGAAAGGATTCGAGTCTCGGGAAGATTGCTTCCATGGCAAGACAGGAGGAATTTGAGGTGAGCGTAAACTGGGTCCGTCATTAAATTTGGTCTCGGGAGAGACGGTTGGGGACGAGGTTAGATCGATCACTTCAATTTCTCCTCGCATCGCCCTGGAGTTCTGGTCCTCTAGGGAAATGTCTCGCAGTGCATTCGATAGTGTCTCTGCCGGAGGGTTCTCCTTGTCCGATTCGCCGTCATCACCAAAGCTGAGGCGCCGCCGAGTTGGCGACCCCCGGCGCAGTCTTCTTCGCGGGCGCACTTGGGGGACATTCATCGTCGGTCTGCTATAATCATCTTCGTCCGAGTTCGACGCCGAAGAATCATAGTAGCTCAGCTCGGCGTCATCATCGACAATAAAGCCGCTCAGATCTGTGTCTACGTCGTCCTCTTCGTCCTCCCTACCCGAATCCTCGGTGTCATCGTTGCATCGAGCCTCTTTCAGGACGAATCTGCTCGCATGGCTTGGCTTCTGCTTGTTTCCGCGGTTGCTTTTCTTCCCCTTTGAATGTGTTGCACCCTCTATCATTCGAGAATTGGCCGGCTTCTCGACCTGGTCAAACGCCTGGGGTCCCCAGACACTCGTCGTCGAATCTGCTATTGCAGCTGACGCCTCTCCATCTTCCATGACCAAGGCCTTCAGCGGATTCAGTAGGGGGTCTACACGGGCTAATCTGAGGTTCCTTTGGGGACTTGCGGGAGAGCGGCGGTTGTTGGAGGTGACATGGGTCTCGGCGACAGTGAGATCTCGAGGGAGAGGCGGGATGTCCTGGAGGAGGGACGGGTTTGTTCTGCCAGGCTTCGTAGCTTCTTTGCGGCTGCGCCCCTTCACTGAGACCCCGGGGTTACTGAGTTCAATTCTCTTTCTTGAGCTCGGCACATCTCGCTGTTTCTTCTGAGGCGATGAAGACTCCTCGACTGAGGTCTTCTTGCGCGGGGATCTTCGCAGGACGGTACTTGTGCCGGTGGCCATTAATGGCTTGGGAGCGAAGATGGCTCTGAGATCCCGAAAATCGCCTAATTCGAACGGGTATGCGGACATGATGGTCGCCTTGCTGTAGTCGGTGAAAGGATGTCGCCGTCATTGAACGAGAAGCAGGTCGTGGTGTTTACGGTTGTGTGCATCGAATGCGCTGCCACGGCAACGGATCAAAGCTCATGCCGCTTTAATGTGGCAGTATCGAAATCTACCCCCCTTTGCCCCCTTCAGATTTATCTCCCTGACTTGATCATTATCCATCACTCGGTCAATGATACCTGTCTCGGATGTTCTATCTTTATCAAGCTGCAGCCTTCTCTACGTCCTCTTTCTCCCGTCTTACAAAATCTAATCTTGTGTTGTAGCATGGTCGTATGGGTCCGTGCACGATTGGTTGGAGGTTGTCGCTGGGATCGGTGGGAGCAATCTTCCGTCTTGTTCAGCACGCAGTCCACGCATCCAGGCGCTCTGCTCTCAAAAAGGGCAGACTTACCTTGAAGGTCTTGATGAGCCGCGCCAGAGCCTTCTTCATTTCGATCATTGCCAAAATGCGCCCGATGCAGATCCGCCGTCCGGTACTGAAACCGAGCTCAGCGTGGTCCATCTGCCTGAACTGCTCTTCACTGAGCCCGATCCATCGTTCTGGTATGAACTTCTCGGCAACGGGACCAAAAACATCGGCGTCTCTATTCAACACTGCCGTGCTGACCGAGACATTCGTGCCACCGGGCACCCAGACGCCGTCGATCGTTGCCCCCAGGCTCTGGGACCGTCCTTTCCAGGATGGTCGTGCCAGCTCTGTTCAACCTAAGAGACTCACGAATGACACTGTCTAGGTAGGGAAGGCTGTTCACCTCGGAAAACTGCGGCATGTCGCTCAGTGACGCCGACAGGATTTCCTTCTCGAGCTTCGCCATTTTCTCCGAATGCTGCAACAGAGTTACGAGGATGCCTGCGGTGACCTGCCCGATAGTCTCGCTTCCAGCATGCATGGTCGACACCAGGAATCCTCCTACGTCAGTTGTGTTGATCAACTCGGGTGCCCTTCGACTGGCTGCTAGGTATTTTCCCAAGAGGTCGAGCTGGCTTTCCAAATCCTTTTCTCCCCGCAGTCTCTTCTGCAGCCTTTGCGCCGCAAGCGCGCCCAGCATCGAAGAATTTCCCGTTCTTTGCATGATCGGGTTTTTGAAGAGCAACCATTCCAATGTCGGTATGGCTCCCCAGTAATGCCAGTGCGTGATGCGCTCGGACGCGCCTCCGATTGTGTTCCCAAAGTCCTGCTGTTGGCTCAAAAAAGCTTGGTCTTCTGTGAACGCAATGCGGGAAATGCTGTCAAAAGCCCAGTACCCCAGGGTGGTTCCTATTGCGATGTCGGTTTTGGTGTCCTCCAGGTATCTTACGAGTGAGGAGATTGTGTGATCGAGCTCTGACTCTTGTCGGAGAAAGGAATTCATGGTGAAGGTGCCAAGCAGAAGGCGCTTGACAGCACTCATTCGCTTTTCGTCGAGGATGCTAACAAAAGACGTGACCTCGCGGCCCCGGATCATGACTCGAATCGGAAGATAGAATGAAGACTAGTTAAGTCTAGCGAGCGGGTCCGGAACCGCCAGTGGATGATTCTTGGACTCGATGAGACTTACCTTTGGCATCACATCAGTCGTCCTGTATATCACAGGAATGGCAGACGCCTTGCTGAAGATCAACCGATTTGGTCCCAGCCTGACCACTGGCCCATACTTGTGGTGAAGATCTGTGGTGAGTCGAGCAAAGGTCGTGCCTGTCCAGAATTTATAGGCGAACCAGAAGTCTGTGAATGCTGCGAAGAAGGGACCTGGAGGGTGGCGCAGGCGAACATAGCGCTTGAGGAAGAACGTGACAGTCAACAACGACAGGGCAGAGGCTGTGAACGCCAAAGAATGGCTCCAGATGAGGTCTCCAATCTGCATCATGTCGACGAGTGTTGTGTCATCAAAGATGGGTTCGTCTTTGAGCAGAGTCTCTGTAGGGCCTGGCACGCATTGATGATTAGTTATATATCCAAAGACACATCTATCGCCCCACATGTCGCTGGCAACCCAAAGACTCAGGGGGCCCAATTGCACCCTAGCCTCACTTTACGGTTACCGCATTTGACAACCCATAAGCATGACAACCGGGTCAGCGAACACCAGAATGAGCGGCCGCGTTGCCCCATGTATACACGAGAATCAGAGGCCCGTTCTCCACAAGGTACGCTCGAGGTTGATGACCTCTTTGGTTCGGTGAGGTCCCGTGAATGGAAGACTTGCTCTCTCTCCCCACATCTGACACCGTCATCGTGATCGGTGGGAAGGGTGTTGAAACATCCACGTCGATCGGTTAGAGACTTGATTCGGCCGTAATGGTTGTTCGGATGAGTGCAACAGCGAAGCTCCCCAACAAGGCTTTACCTGCTCTATACCAGAACATGGTGAGAAGAGAGGAAGGGGCCGTGTTAGCTCGGTTCCCATGAGGCTGGATGGGAACTGGCAACCCTGCCGGCGCAAACAACCACATCTATCATGCAAACAAGCATATTTAAATCAATACAACTGAAAAGCCCACAGACCAGCATGGGTTTCTGCAGGCGGGAACCCACCGACTAGATACCAGTGGCGTCCGTTCGCTAGGACACGATTATTTGGAACGGATCTCCCCGGATCTCGAAGAAAAAGGCGGCATGATCTCTCAGCTCCGTCGATAGATAAAGGTGCACAGAATCAATGCAAAGTCTCCAAGCCAATGGGCGAGTGGTGTGAGGCACACCAAGAAATCAAACCCCAATTATGAAAGTTCACGCCAGAGACGTCGGGTCTAGAATGCAGGTCACGCCACGTCTGCTTCCGGCCTCGTACAGATATGGACGTGATGATATCAAGCAGCTGTGTTCTCGCCTCAGTCCGGCTTGAAAACAGTTATACAGCCTTCCTTCCCCCTTCGTCTACTTCGTTGCTGTCCACCCAAAACTCGCTTTGTAAAGGTTTCCCTTGTTCATCACCTCATGTCTACCATGAAGCCGTCCATCGGCCAGATCGCAAAGCCACGGCTCGTGTCCCTTGGTGGGATCAGATGTCATACCTCCAGCAGGATATCGTTAGCACCGACAGCTCTCCATCGAGCAGAAAAGGCATCCGATCTCAAGGCCCACCCGGAGAGCGCCTTCACCCAGGAAAAGTTGCCGGACAAGGCCGGCAACCGGCATTGGACTGAGGAGAATGCCACCCCGAGCGAAGCCGATGTAAGTCGAGGGACACACATTTGCATTGCGACAACAGCAAGTTGCTCGGCTCTCGATTGCTGACAGCGACTGTTCCAGATCAAAGCTGACCGCGAAGCGAGGGTGGAGGAATCATCGGCAAAGGGCCAAGACAAGAAAGTCCAAAGCAGCGACGCATCGATGTCATGGCACGACCTGTTGATAAAATCGAAACTCGGCGTCAACCTGCAGCTCTAAGAGGTCGCCACAAGGGTTCTCTACGACCATGGATGGTTAAGGCGCGCAACGGGGATCAACAGCAGTGCTATTGGTTTCGCTCAAAGCCAAAAAAAAAAATTTTCCCAGGGCCTTGTTGGCAACTACTGGAATGTCAAGTCGGGGTTTTCGGTGTGATGTACTCCTCTCATCAATGCGCCCACCTACGGCCGCAAAACTTCTTGTCGTCCAGTTTTTGTGGATCTTGCGAGTTCTTCAAACCCTCTCTCCTCCAAGACCGTGAATGGATCTCGACGTTGACTGTCCCTTGAGTAGTACTGTACCGCCGTTTTCTCGAGGGAAATTCCCATGGTTCGGTCGTCAAAGTCGGTCTTGAACCTCCGCAGTCTGAGCTTGCTCGATTTCGCTCTCTTGCTTAATCTTTGCCATTGCTGAACAATGCCTTGGCTGGCATTCTAAGGGACTGATCTAGCTCTCTATATGAAAGGACTGACTATGACGGATCAACTTCTACCGTCCCCAAGATCCACATCAACGCCTCCAAACAGACTGAATGCTATACAAACCAGTAAACCTCCCCCAGCACAATGGCACTGGACACTACAATCTGCATCAGAAGCGGCAACAGGTTCACTCTGGCGAACTTCCATTGACTAACACGCACGCCCTTGTCCGCGAGTAAACCCCTCCAGAGCAGCCCCGCCAGAGACCCGGCGAACGTGTAGCTGAATGCCCCGATGTTACTACCCATTGCCACAGTATATATTGCACTAGGCAATACCCTCGGATCACGTTGCACATGGTCGGAGAGCATGAACTGAGGATCTCGGATAATCTCCACGAGGATGATTGTCGCACCGATATTCGTCCCGGCCAACGGGCACAGGAACGCAGCGCTAACGAAGCCGAAGAAAAAGACTGTTGCGGGGGGGGATGTGCATGCACGGGCAAACCCAGTTGCGAAGACCCGGATCCATCCGCGCTGAGCGAGGCCGCGGACAAGGATGAATTCGGCCATTGCGAAAGGGAGAAGTGGGATGGGGAGGAGGGAGACGGTATGCGCTGTGGAGGGGAATCGTGATAAAAACGCGCGGAGGAGAGAGGTCAGTGATTTGTGCCCGGCTTGCGTGCTGGGCAGGGATTCCTTGTTGACTTGATCCCTTGCAGCAAAGTGGAGAGAAAGAGGCCGAGATTTGGATCCGGTAGGTTGGGTGTCGCCCGTGGCTGTTATATTTTCCTCGTCTTTTGCTTGAACTGGCGGTGATGGTGATGGGGACTCGGAGGATTCGGATAACGGGAGCCCTCCTTCTCGATCTGAAGGGTCATGCAATTGGTCGCCCTGTGGGAGAAGGACCTGGATTGGTCTCGACCGCCGCTGGTCCATCTCCGACATCTCTGCGGCAGAATCCCGTGACTGCTGCCGAACAATTTCTCGACCAACCTCCGGATGAAACCAGTCGTTTATAATATTGAACAACAACGCCGATACTCCAGCTGGCGCGGTGACCATCCAGACCTCGACCGCCTGACCCGGCACGAAGCTCGTACCGACAAGCACAGACACCGTAACCAGCATCAAAGCACTAAGGAAGAACGCACCTGTGCGGTCACGGAGTTTGCTCCACGGGTCGTCCGTCAATGGAGTCAGCGTCTTGGGGATCTTCCTCCAGAACATGCCTAGAAGAATCGGATAGTTCAAAGCCGCTGGGATCAGAGAGGGAAGAACTGTCCACTTAGTGAAGTCGGCCAAGTAGTTGAGCCCAAAACTCCCCGCGATGAGAATGTTGGTCGGATTACTGCTCACCAGGACGGCAGAGGCAGTGTTCGCTGCCATGAACTCTGCAAACACCCAGGCCGTAGGATCAAGCCCCGTATGCTGGCTCAGGTATGCTAGAAAAGGCGTGCCAGAGAGGATGAGCGGGTCGTTGCCCACGATACACGCCGTGAGCAGAAAGAAGGCGTAGAGATAAGTGAAGAGCAGGCGGCCGGAGCTGCCGCCACGTTTGGAGATGTAGAATGCGGTAGCCTCGAGAGCGCCGGTGCCGTCAAGGGCAATCGAGATGTAGGCGAGCGAGATAAAAAGAACAAGGACGTCGTAGGGTTTGACAGTTTCATCTCCGACAATACCAAGGCGAATGGTAGAGCCATGTATAGTCGTTGTCGCGAGGAGCAGAATGACGGCGATGACCGGGGCGGTGGTGAGCGACAAGTGGACGTGGAGCCGACGGTTGGATAGGGCTTTGAAGTCATTGAACCCGATGACTCTGGTGTTCAGCAGCATTGAGAGTAGAAGCCGTTGGAGAACCGCCGGCAGCGGAATCTTGACGGGCCAGATAACCAACAGGGAGACAACGCAGAAGACGGCGAGGATAAAGCCGGAGTGGCCATTGAGATAATCCTGTTGGCCATTTGTGCTGGACATGCCCCTTTCAGGATGGCGAAGGAAGATGTTACGACGACGCAGGTCACATCCATAACGACAATGTACAGTTCAGAACAGTGCGACGAAGAGGAGGAAGGCAAAGGACGGGCGGGTGGAATCCCGGGCGGGCGCCGAGGATGACGTCGATGGCCGCAGAGCTTGGCATCTTGGCATCATCCGCCATCAAACATCGGTCCCTCGGATTGTTCTTCCTCTCCTCTTCGCCAGACCGATCCTTCAGCATAAAAGTACAAATCTCCGTGGAATGACTCGCCTCCGACTGCTCCAGACCCGCCGTTCCAGCCACCATGGGAGTAGCCTTCCGCACCCTCCATGCTCCAGTCCTCCTTGTCGCTACCTGTCTCACCTTCGGCGGCATGATACCCTTTTGGAATCCCCATGGCGCCATTCTTGAATTCGGGCTTCCTGAGCGCATTGCCATCTCAGAGCCTGCTCACACCAGCTTCATAATCAGCGGGGCTCGAGTTTCGGCCCTTGGAATGGCAATCTGGGTCTTTTATCTTCAAGGCAAGCTGGCGGCGGTGGACACGATCCTGGCGCTGCTCCTCTATGTCGGCGGCGCTGATGCCTACGTTTGCTGGCAAGAAGGTGTGCCTATGAGCGCAATCTTCAGAGCGGTTTCGGGCATTGTTATTGGAGGCTGGGGAATGCTGGGCTTGACTGCACGACAGACTTGATACTGTTAAAAGGCCCATGTGAAGGGCAAATCGCCACAGGAGGACTATTCTCCTCGGTGAATAAATTCATTGCTGCTGCGTTTCCAGCCTTCCTGGCACTTCAACCCAACGTGCGTCATCATAATCTGCAGAACCACTGGACATTCTTCAAAAGCAACTTGCCGTCGATGAGAGACCTTGTCCGCCTGACGTCCCACCCAATACACTCGCCTATTGATCGCCTGGTCCTCCCCATCACTGATGAGGAGAAACTTGACTCGCAAACGCCAATTGTTAGCACGAATGATTCCGCCGAGCCTTGGAATTCAAGCCTTACTTGCACATAAAGAGGCTTGTGTTCGTCGGATAACCATTGAAGAGTCGTCGTCAAGTACACCTTGCATTTCTGGGATTCCCTGTCCAGAAGCGATAACAGTTGCCACATTTTGAGCCGGTCTGCCGGCCGCACGTACTTCGCGTCATCAACGCCACTTAGGAATGCACGGGATGGCTCCTAGTTTCCAGAGGTCTATCCACTCCTGGCTGCAGAGATCCTCGCGATACTTGTGCAGTCTTCTGGCCCGCTCTACGTGAATCTCTTTCACATTCGGAAACTACACGGGAAGGCCATCCTATTTCGCAAACCCAAACGAGGCGAAGTGCGTGCTGGCGCTGGTGAAGCCGAAGAAGGTGATCTTTGTGACCTTGTTTGATAGCTCAGCAAATTCGGTGTCTTGGTCAATTGTCGGATCGGACACCTAAGAAGCAGCAAAGGTGGCCACTGAACGAATTCTCCTCTCGCCCCCCCCCGATCAACGTCGACGACCCAGAGAAGGAAGCTCAGGACTGATGATCCAGCACTAGTCCGTAGTCTGGCCGTCTTTTTGACAATTGGGGTGTTCAGATCCTGGACGCGATCGCCGTACCCGTCGAATTGCAGTGGTGAGGTTGGCAGAGAAATTTCTGTTGGATATGATGGATATACGAATATGGAGTTTCAGGAGCTTGCAGCTATGGCTTTTGGCACTTGTCTGTCCGACCGAGAAGCTTCTCAAGCTGTAAGCAGTCTGACAAGATTAAAGTCTGAAGGCTTTGGAAAGACTGTCAATGACATAGTTGGCATATTGACGCTCACAATTCCAGACCCGAGCACCCGCCCATCTACCCTGAAGCCCAACACAGAAATTCTGAGCCGCAGCTGTGCGTCCTGAGGTCGACTGGGAGAAAGTCTGGAGGGACCCCAAAACTTGGCCACCCCTGGTTCCCAGTTTCCGGCGTCCCGACTCCCAAAGTCTCGAATCTTTGGAAGGACCTACCGAGCCTCAGTAGGTAGGTGTTCGTAGCTCGCTGGTACCTCAAATGACCAAATTCCAAGAGTCATTCAAGACAAAAGTACCGAGTACGAGGGGAAATTGATACACAGAGGTTGTCGCAGTCCTCAGACCCGATATCGGGGTCGCGCCCGGATTGGTTAGGCGGCGAGCTAAAACGTCGACCAATCGCAAAATTCAAAGAATGTTGCAATAACCCTTCTCGCGAAGGCGTTTTGCTCCGCAAAACAGTGGCCCCTGCCCCAAGCCGATGGGTCTGAGAACTGAGACAACAGAAAGGCCGTCGCTTGCATGATCGGATAACCTTCCCTCCAGAACCAGGGGCTAACGTACTCGGTAACACGTATCGAGGTAATATCGAGGCCCGCGAGGGATCGAGGGATCGAGGGACCAAGGTATCTCCGAACAATGAGCATATAGACAGTCAGCCTTCTCCGATCCAGTTCGACCAGTGACATCGGCAAGGAAGTCCCCAAGACCGCGATACTCAATAAGGCACATCCCAGTCATCATTTGCGTGCATATCGCGCTCCTCTTGCTCTTCCTCCCATCGACACCGCGCGTCCTGACATTCTCCACATGTTTCCCATCGGATACGTCCGTGCAGGTCGCCGTTTGTAATGTTTCCCCAAGATTCGGGCACAAACAGCTCTAGTGGCTGGTCGCGCTGTGGATGGGGCTCTCGAAGACCGTTCCCGACGGCGGGATGCAGTGCAGACATCTGGGGCAACCCTTCTGGCCAGGTGAGTTCCCAGCCATCCTGCGGACCGCCAGGGCCGCGCAGATAGATGTGTCCGTTCACTTGGTTCATGTGATTGATTGTGGATGCCTCCCGATCGAAATGCTCTCCTGAGGGCTCCGAGTTCCGAGGCATTTCCAGGTTGCCAGTTTCCATCCACCCTGCCCAGAACCGGTCACGGAAAGCCCTCCCGATCATTTCGATCAGATGGTTGGGGACGAGACCTAGCGGCGATCCAACCACATCCTTCTCAGGATACCACTGGCTCAGTCTCTTGGGTTGATAGAACCCATTTATTCGACGACCGACGAGATATTCATATTCGTCACACCAATTCTGGTACCGTTGCCGTCTCAAAAATGGGGCCGTAGGTCCTCCAAGATCGTCCAGCAGGTAGTCCAACCACAGATGCATGCTGTCCTCGTTACTCAGGATATAGTCATCGTCGTCGAGACAGCCCGTGCCCCGTGGATCACAGCCAAAAGGCATATTATGCTTAGTGAACAGGTCGAGCCTCCGGAGCGCTTCGTCGACAGTCCAGGGTTGATCGTCGAGTGTGGATGGCGATGGCGGGAGCTGCACATCCACCGAATCAGCGTCTCTGATGCGCCAGAAAGCCGCTAGAATAATGTCAAGGTCGCAATGGTGGAAACCGGATCTCAAATTGGTGGGGAAGGTCGTCTTTCTCTCAGCATTCCAGGATCGATAACTAGGAACACTGCGATTCCAGAGTCTTTCTCCATCAGCATAAGGAGATTCTGAAGTCCAACTTCCAGTGCCGGCGCTATTCGTATCCGCATCTCGGAATTGGATAAGTATTGGCGGTAATCGGTTGCTTCTCCTCACTGGCGGAAGATGGTAATCCTGTGGAGACTCCGGGAGTCTGTTGCGACCCCTCCACTGCGGTAGCAGCGCCGTCATCAACGATGTGCACTGCTTCCACGCCCTCAACAACTGACCTGGGTCCTGGGGATCTGGCGCATCCACCAAAATACGAATCGACTTGAACCGGTCGATGGGCATCTTGTCCAGCACAGTGTCTCGATGGTACGGCAAACACTCCACTACCCGGCCGTTCTGGTTGAGGATCCTCACTCTTGACAGTGGATCGGTTGGGTCTACGTGGAACACCAACTTGAATTCCTCGTATAGCAGCGGGATGAATTCCCCACATAACTGCTTGCTTGCGCGAAGGATGCCGACCGAGCGGTTGCCGATGCAGTGCAGGAATACTTGGTTGCGCAGTTCCGATGGCAGTGTCGACAAGGTCCCCAAATGTAACGTCTTGGGTGGTTGGGCTGTTGGTGTGGGAGGTCTCTGCAAAGTTGACGGATCCATCGCGCCTTCAAGGGGCCGTCTTTTGTAAGTGTTGGGGACGAGGTGGATGTCTCCTGCGCACGGCATCACGACTGATTGCTGGAGGGTATCGAGGATATGGATATCAAGATTTGTTGTAGAAGGTTTTGTCGAAGGCGACCTGCGAGACCGAGATTCAAGTAGGAAGAGGATTTGAGGATGGAAGTGTAGTGCTGTTGACTTGGATGGCAAGAATGTCTTCTTTGACTGCAGGTGCGCTCGATAAAATATGTGTTTGAGGAAGAGGTGTTCAGTTTGATACGATGCAGCAAATAGCAGATGTCGCCTTGATATATAAAGGTTCGCTTGTTATGATTCTCACACCAAGGACTTTCTGGTTCGGTGACCTTCCGTGGTACCGGCTCGAGCCATATCCATCGTCTGGGTCTGAGAGTCTGCTACCAAAGTTTGAATGCTGAGTTCCAGAGGGTCCGTGAGAAAATTACAAAAGGGGCAGTGCTGGGCCCACCATCAAAGAACATGTCTTTGAGTTTCAATGTCTTCGCGCGCCACCGTCTCCGCCAGCGATTCGCCTGTCTTAGCAACCATGGCAATCCATATAGAGCAGAGTTTGTCCGATGTTGAGCCTCATGGCCCCTTCATGATCCCAGCCTTGGCTTGGCAATCCACCTGAGTCAACATGCACCTAACGCCCCCGTCTAGCACGGCCGACCAGACCCGAACGGATGAAAAGAAATCCAAGAAAAGGGGGAAAATACAATGAGAGGAGAAGATTTCGTGGAATTACGTTCAGCTCGTTTTCACCCCCCGTCATTATCTCCCGAGGAGTTTTGTCACTGCTTCTGCTTTGACGGGTCCACTTTTGTTACAGATTGGAGCAGCCCCACCACGTGTCTGTATACCGACTGCTGTATTATGATGCCTGGTCATTGTACCAGTCAATCCTTTGACTCTCTCTCCACGTTTGAAACATGTTCAACCTCCTAGCTCTGTTACTCCAAGGGCCTTTTCGTATTCCGAATATTCACAAGGTAACGTGGCTGACTTTCCCCGTCCCTACCTTGTGTCATTGTGTGCCTGTCCTATCAAGTCCGCTTCATACCTCCCCCTGTTAGATTTTCCTCGACTGTATCCTAGCCAGACCTGCTGCACAAGTGTTGTTGTACCAATTCATGTCGATACTGTCAATCCAGAACTGACTGACCTGGCCTTGAACATTGGCGTAGAAGCTCAGGGTGGACATCTTGTAGAAGAGATAGTTGAAATCGATCTGGGTGAGCTGGCACTTGTTGAAGTCCGGACATGGAGGAATACGGAAATGCTGAGTGGCTACTACCACCTCCATCTCTGTAACGTTGTCCCACTGATAAGCTGTGGCAACAAAGTCGCATATCTTGCTCAGATTTCTGGACCCGTTATCGCATCCAACGTAGGCGGAACTGGCGCTGAACCAATAGTTGTTGTCATAATTGCGAGGTCCGGCTCCGAATGAACTGGGTGGGATGGCACCCGCACTCGGAGAACCGCTCACAGCGTTGTTGAGTGACGGGACAAACTGAGCGAGTCGGCCACCTGACTGTGGAGGGAAAGGCTCGGTCGGCGGAGGTACGTAGGCCCATCCATCGCCCCAGAAGAAGTGGTCGTATGGATTGAAAATAGGTGGGAAGTCCGCGGTGTCATTGTCGGTGGTAGAGAAAACGGGTAGGTCATCGAACTACCCTGGTCAGCAAGCACTCAATCTCAGAAGCCTCAAGGATACCTACTCCAATTCGGAAAGGACCAGTTTCGCCACAAGCAGTTGGCGTTGCGGCCGGCGATGAGGAGCTGGACCAGTCGGTAGATGTCTGAATCGTGACAGACCCTCCGGACGTGGTAATGGGGCCAATACCGGGGACGTAAGTAGGAGTCGCTGGGGTTTAGTCAGCAAGTTGTTTTGAGAGCGAGCATGGCCGGGTGGACTCACTGGTCGTTTCCCACGAGGTGAAAGTCAGTGTTGACCCTCCGGCCCAATTGTTGCACCATCCAACCTCTTGCCCTCCAATTGTTGCAGAAATCCATACGCAGGTCTGTCTCTTCTCCAGATCGTCTCCGGCGACTGACATTGGATCATAGCCATATGCGGAGGTGTCGTAACCATAGGCTGGTGTTCCATATCCGTTCGTAGGGGCAAAGCTCGTTGCGTAGACCGTGGAAATCTCCGTGACCGTGGACGTGTACAAGGACTGAGTTGGCTGGACTTCTGTTGACGAGGCGAGAGGCGCAGGCGGTCCGTAAGAAGTGCCAGTGCCAGCTGCAGACGCGCCACCGATAGGAGAGCCGGTCAAAGTGTCATTCCAGCCAGCAAATGGACTCGAGAAGGGCGTGTGGAAAGCGCTGTGTGCAGTATTGTTCTGGGCTTCCTGTCGGGCAGAGGTGATGGCCGGGACAGGTAAAACAGTGACCGTAGTGACTTCGGCAACGATAAACGCTGACGGCTGGAAGGTCCAATCGGTGCTGGAAGGACCCTTGGACATGTAGAAAACGGATGGGCCGGTGTTGGGGATTTCAGTGGCTTCGTAGCCAGAGACTTGGACAGAATGAGTGAAGGTTTGAGTGGCAGGGATTGGTCTAGCAGAAACAGGATTCTCGATGCTCAGGATGCTGACTTGGGCCGTGTCCAACACAGCCATGGAACTCGCAACTGCATTTGGGTCTTGTTGAAGGATAGTGACGGTTGCAGGGGCTTGAATGATGGTTTGAGTGACTGTGGCGTAGTTCCAAAGGGTCGCAGGAGAGCATGGTGGATTTGGCCTGCCGGACGCCAGTCAGTGTGGGAGTCAGATGAGTGAGAGGATGTCGAGGGTTGCTTACGCTTGTCTGATGGGCAAGACACCGGCTTCACAGAGTCCAGAGACTGCACCCAGAAGGAGGGCGGGGACTGCGAGTCTCATGGTGACAGCGCTGTCGATGTTGTTGTCGTCCGTCGCTGGCACTCAATGGGTGATTTCGGTCAGTTGCTGAGGAGTTGGGAGCCTCTTGGCTTTGAAGAAAAGAAGGAGTGATCAGATGATGATGATGAGAGAGGGAGGGAGGGAGAAGGTGGATGAGGACAGGCCGACGGAGACGAACGAGTGAAGTGACAGGCTGGCAGGCAGAGGAAAGAGAGAAGACGAGAGGGTCAGAGGGGATTTAAAAGGAGGGTCGACAGGATGGGATCAGAGAGGGTTGGGAAGTTGGGAAGCTGAGAGTGCTGAGGACTCAAAAGAAGGGCGAGTGAGCCGCTGGTGAAAGAAAGACCGAATTGGTGATGGAGCGCAGTTGACCACTTTCCCACTCTACGTCTCACTCCCCTGCTCTCACCTCGACCTCAGTCACCAGCGAGCCCGACAGCAAAACTCACCCTCAAAGCCTCCTTCTCCCGCAATCCTCGTCGTCGGTTCTCGGCCAGACCCTTACACAGCCAGTCCCTTTCGCCTTTTCGGGAAACTTGTCACTCGTTGTACCATGATACCATGCTGTGTGCGCAATCTGCGCTCGCCCCCGATCCAGCCCGTCAGCCAGCCAGCCAACCAACCAACCAAGCTTGTTCCGGTGACATTTTCCCATATTTCCCTTCGCTCGTCCTCAATCCCCTTCGGTAAGATCACGACGGAGCAGACGAGTACACGTGGCAGTAGCATGGCGGAAGGCCAAAGAACCATGCACCATCTGCACCATCTCGTACACCGGCATGCTTATCTAAGTTCTTTATCGCCCCCTCCCCTGGCCGGAAACAGCTCTCATCCGATCGTCATTTCAATGGGCATCTCGATTGGGACCGGGCGATTTGTCCGTCAAGAGTCAAGACGAGGCAGAACTGTACATTGCACTAACGCACCAGCATCGAAATGTTTGCTATCGGGTGGGTTTCTGTCAGTTTCATTTCCACAGTGTCAATCCCTTCGCCCCGACGCAGTAGCCTTGACGTTGGCATAGAATTTCCCTTCCAAATCCACCCGGGTACCTACAGCGGTCGACCTCCGTGCCGGAAATTTCGTGACACAGCTCAATTTGATGATGCTCCGAACCAGAGCTTTTGCCTTGAACAGCCTGAGGGGATCACCAACGCGCCCAGATGCCACGCGACGAGGCATCCCGCTGAAGCTGACGCGTTAGAACTGGAGTCTGCTTGCTTCACAGAGATACGCATCGCGAGACTGCAGCCGGCCCCACTCCATAGGCCTTCACACAGGTCTGCTCTCCGATTCCTTCACTTGAGATGCTTCCGAGACTTGTTCTGCGCCAGACAGAGTGCATTGCCCTCCACAGTCGCATGCGCAGTTGACGAAAGGCTTCGTTATCGCTTCAGACGGTCAAGATTGTCTTCTAGTCCAAACCCAACTAGGCTAGCGTCTTGGCGTCATGGGTGCCGATGCTAGCCGTCGAGCCATGCTTGGCGTGCAAGACGTTTGGACGTCCCAATATGGAGAACTTGATGGGCGGACTTGATACAGTGGGGTGCAAAAAGTTTGAATACACCTGGTATGGAGTTTTGTTAGCTAGGTGTATTCAAACTTTTTTGCACTCCACTGTAATACCGAGGTGCTAGGACATTACCAAATCAGGAAAGGAAAGGAGCTGAAGAAAGCACATGCTTCAAGTCCGCCTCAGAGTCCACCGTTCAGCAATCTGCAACAAGACAATTCCATTCCATTAGTCACCTGCCAGCGTCCCTAACATACAAGTTCGTCAAAGCGTGAGGGCGGAGAAGTGATGTTTTGAGGGAGTTGAACTGTTGAGGTGTGAATGATCCAGCTTGACTGCAATGATCCATGCATCTCCGACGAATCAAGATCCAATCGTGAGAGCTCTTCATATACCAAAACAAAACCACATGAATCGTGAATAAGTCGTGGGTATTTCGTAATGCGCGCCCAAGGTACCACCGCTAAACGCTCGCATGCACCAAAAAGCATTACCCCGGTCCCTAAAATGCAGGCATCAAACCAGCCAAGAGCCATGAACACAGGAGCAGAATACATGTTTCAGAAGAAGAAAGAGTCGTCATGGGTATCTCTCAATGCAGGCCGTTAAGACTTAATGGTCAGAAGAGTAGCGTCTCGCAAGTATGCCTCCGCTTCGCTGATCGTGCTGAACTCGAAGGCCGCATCGTCTGAGGAATAGTTCTCCCCATCCCAGTCAAGGAATCGTCGTTATCTTAAATCGGGATCGATCCGCTCTATTCATCGGGCAGCATTATCCTCACTTGTCGCCACAGCTACCAAAGCTTCCAGTCGATTCATTCCTCCACCTCCCCCGTTACGATTACCAAAAGAAGCGGAATTTCGGTGACGGCCCTGTTCGAGATATGGAGCTGGGGCGAGGCAAACCTAGACTGGGATCAGTCGCTGTGCTTTGGCGACAAAATCAACTTCGCAAGGAGCAACTTACATTCTGATGTGTATCCGGAGGCAATGGCCCGTGCTGTGGTTCTATATATCCACTACTAGGCATGATCATTGGGTGCACTTCTACTGCCGTCATCCCTGGGGTAGGAACACCGTCGCTGCTGCTGGAATCTTCGGGCGAAGTTCTCGTCGGCGCACCGTACCACGCTTGTCGTTTCGTTCCTTTTGCCGAAGATTGTCCCTCCAAGGCTTCGCGCGTCATTTGCTGGTGCTGTTGAACAGTCATGATGGACGGGGGTGGAGGTCCCATGTCGACGTGCCTGGGGGGCTCATTGAATCGCATGCCCACATTCTGGATTTCATTGATTGTCTGCTGACCCCATGATCCGGCACCTTGGCCTCGGTCTGCATGCTCGTCAAGCTCTGGGTACTGGCTGAGACGATGACCTTCCCACGAAACATGACCTCGACGTATACGAGGATCCGAGCCCGCAGCTGATGAGGACATGTTAGCATCAATCTGCATAGGACTCGGTTGGCGACGTGGAGGGGTGTACGAGCGGTGCTGGACGTGATCAAAGCTCTCAATCCCTGGCAGTCGAGGAGCATGACCCGCTGCCGCTGTGGCATGTTGAGCATGTGCAGGTTGAGGGGCATCCGGAGTCTGCGAGTACGTTAGTCCGCTCGTAGCAGGACGCCCATAGTTGTAATTGCCGGCCGGATAAGTGGATGCATGCCACGTTCGCCTGCGCCAATCCTCCCCAGGTGGAACATGTTGGCTAGGAGCGATAGAAAACGTTGCAGAAGTAGGACTAGCAAACACACTTGAACTTGAAGATGCGTGGGAACCGGGCGGGCCCATCTGGTTCATATAGCCAACAGGGTAGCCGGGAGGGTATTGGCTCTGGTACGGATTAGGACCTGACGGTACGGACAAGCGACGGGATTGTGGCCTTGAGCCGAAAAAGCCGCCCAAGCGGGCATTGCTTGATACTGGCGAAGCCATCGTGGACAAAAAGCCCGGACTTCCAGGGGTCGCAGAGAAATTGGCAGAGGTGGGCGTGCTCAGACCACCAGGAGAATTTGGGTTATATCCACGATACTGAGCAGGCGGTGTGTGCGGTGGCTCGATTCCCAGGTTTGGTCTGCTCGCATTATCACTGGCCATGAGAAGAGGCGGCGGTCGACGTTTTCCATCGGTGACGATACTGTAGTTCGAGGATGTCGAGCCAACACTTGAAGCAGAGAGATTTCGGCTGTGGCCTCGACTGTGACTTCCAGTGCTGCCAGCGGTGCCTGTTCGCGGACGGCCAGTTGGTCTAACACGGTCGGTACGAATCTGCCGCTGGAACCGAGTCCCGGTAGCAGCAAGCGAGTCGGTGGGAATTTCCTCATTGACATGCACAGTCTGAGCGTGTTGGCGCAAGTTGTCCAGCCGGGAGAATCGGCGATTGCAGTGGCACTGGAACGGACGTTCGCCCGTGTGTTTTCTGATATGGCGAGCCAAGTGCTCGCTTCGAGTAAAACTGAGATTACAGGGCGGGTAACCCGTGCAGAAAAACCTCTGGCCCTTCTTCTTCCTAGAGGCAGAGTCTGCCTCACCTGGGTCGGCCTCGTTGTCCGAACCAGGTTGGCCGGTGTCATCGTCGTCCATGTCCATGGCGCCTGACATTGTCTCGCCGCCATCTCTTCTCATTGAGGACTTGTCTCGATCAGGGTCTGACCGATCAATCTGCGTGCCTTGACTCGATGGCTGGGAGGTCGTTTGGGGGCTTGACCGGGACTGAAAGGCATGGTCTATGACCGCGACTTGGGACTCGTCCATCACTGTTGATGCATAGCGACCCGGCCGCGGGGTTGTCGGTGATTCCGGATCCTCTATCCTGTCCTTGGACGGCAGATTGTCGCTTAGGACGAGACTGGAGATGGCTGCCATGGTGGTGGGGTTTGAGATGAGGCAATGCCAGTGCAACGGTCAGGCACTTGAGAGGTTGCGGCTTTACGCCACACAATGATTGCACATCCGGAGCGGCCTTGTTCGACGATGAGGCTGCGAGGTGGTGTAGCGGGAACCGAGTTTTACGATGATGAGAACTGGGTGTTGGGCTGAAGGATTCGATAGACAATGGCGCAGTGGGAGGTGGCGACGTAACGGACACTCTCGGAGGGGCTGGAAGACGGTGATAAGGCCAGGGCGGTCCGGGCGCAGAAGGGTTCAGCGAGGATGCGGCTGTGGAAGCGAACAATCCATACGATCGACTCGTGGCCGGGGGAGCAGGCGAGGGGGGACGAGGGGAGAATGAGAGGAGGGAGAGCGATGAAGCAGCTAGCGAGGGATCTGAGAGTGTGAGGAGAGTTCGACAACTGGGCGAACGAAGAAGGACAAGGTCTTGATGTGGTTGATCGCAGACGCAGATGCAGGACTCGGGAGGTGATGAAGTGGGAGAAGACACCAGGGGGTTATTGTTGGCGGCGAGGCATGCCCCTGGTGTGGATGGTGGAGTCGGTGCTAAGTAAAGTTGAGTAAAGCAGGGCTCCAGGCGGGTGGCAGATGACGAGCCTTAAGGGCACCATGGGGTGGATCCGAGCGGGTTGCGAGGCGTCAGAAAGGGCCGCCCAGTTGCGAGCGTTGCTGGAACATTTGATATATACTGCTGCGTTTTAGTCAGCAAGGGTTTGGAACGGTGGCCGTTCGCTGGATACGATGACGGGTCCGATGGGGGGGGAGAAGATGGTGACGACGATGATGTTGGATGATGATCCGATGGATGATGGATGATGGGCGATGGACGATGGACAATGGGATGGATGTGGTGGCGGATGAATCAGGCAGAGCGGGCAGAAGAATGGAAGAGAAGGAAAATGAGATGCATGTGCAGCAAGTGTACGAGGTAGTTAGTGTAGTGCCATGCCGTGCAGCGCAGCGCAGTGCATTGACCCCCGAGTGTGATGTGCGAAGGGCAGAGCGTGAACGAACATGAAGGGGCCCGGGATGCAAAGTTGCGCAGGGCCATCCCAAGGCCGACAGTGCCGTCATCAACCATCCCTCCATCCATCTCATCCATCATCCAACACAGACTGGCACTCGGAGCGTTCCTGTCTGTGTGCCTGTCTAGGTAGCCTCTCTAGGTGGGCTAGTCGCTGGGGCAATTGCTTGGGGCGCCTGGAGCGAGTACCAATGGGCTGTTGCATGTTGCAAATGGAGGGGCAGGACTGATTGGCGGGGCAAGGCTGATGGTTAACTACCTCATTTACTGGGTACATCTAGGTGCCTCGGTGCCTCTAGGCGGTTAGTTGCTCGTAAATGCTCGACGCTTGGGAGATACTGGGCGCCACTAGGTAGTTATGTATTTGGTACCTCGTAGCCAGAGGATATTTCAGGGCACAGCCTACCAGGCTCTCGCCCTCTCCCCTCCCCTGCTCTCACTCTCAGCGCCAACCGCAACCCACACGCCCGTTGATGTGCATGACTAGTTCGGCGTCAACCAGCGTCGATGCCCCTCGCAGGACTCTAGCCATCCCTGCGAGATCACCATCGTGGCCACTGAGCTTCGCCAACCAAATCTTAAAAGGCCTCTGGCCCTCCACAGCTGTCGACAACTCTCCCCTCTCTAGCAGTCCTCCTTGCCTCCTTCAAGGGCCACACCTTACCCTACATGGCGAACCATCCATTCTTGTCCTTTGCCCGCTCGTGAAAATGGCCAACTGCCTCTCTCCTGCCTTTTTATGCGTCTCTTTCGACCCTCAATGAACCCGTGGGACGGCCGTCAATCTCTCCTGCACACCGCGCTCGAGACTGGTTTGTTCCTGATGTACAGTTTCTCACCACCGTCGCTGCGATTCTCCTGTAATCCCACTTGCTCAGCCCTTCTCTGATCGAATCACCTTTTCGCCATGCAGGCTAAGAGCGAAGCCGAGCCTGTCATCCCGGTCTTATTCTTCGTGTATCCCCCTCGCCTGACTCACCTCTTGTTGCGCGTACAAGACCCCTCTGCATGCGGAATACCCCGCCAATCCGTGTCCGCCCTCTCTTTGACACCCGAGATTGTACTCGTGCTGGAGACTGCTTCTGACAGCTTTCCTCCCTTCGCTGACCGCATATCTGCCGCAGGATGCCCCGGGTGTCTCGGCTTGGATGATCCAATAGACTTATTGTCGCGGGCCTCAGGCTTTGTCAGGTATTCCATCTGTCAGGTACCTGATACGTGGAACGTGGGTCACCGTTGCTCGCCGAGAATAACTGACCCTGGAAGGCAATTACTCGACTTGCAGCAAGCCCCCTTCACTCGGTCCAGGAACAGGGACCGGCGTCAGGTACACCGAGTCCGACAGCCGTGTCCCAGTCCTTTACGCTTTGCACCGGATCCCCTGTAACGGATGATCAGATGATCCTTCTCAGCTTTCCTGGTAGATGGGATCAGCCATCTATTGCCATGGTTACTGAACCTGCCCAAAAATATTGCCCCCAGCAGCAGGACGCAAATGAGCTAAGCCGGGCAAGATAGAAAACATGCTTTGGATATGGAGACTCTATATTCCCAACACCACACGACTTGAGGGCGGCCCCGTGCTTCCCCGCGTACCGTAATCTGCACCGGTTCCGCCTCATGTGAGTTTTTGTACAGATCGATTCGGATAAAGGAAAAAAAGGATGGCAATCGTACTTTTGGCCAAAGTGACAAAAGTGTAATATTGTTACTTGGAAACGATAAGAAGCCGGGCCAGTACCAATATGGTTAGCTTCAGCCTTGCCCGAGCCTTTGAGCCGATCTTCAAGTTAGTCATCTCGCTAAACATCGCCATTCCATCCTTACACTACATATTCGGATATGGAGAACGGCCGGATTCACTGTTCATAATTTTAGTTTTCAGATCCGTGAATGGATCCAGTCAGCTCCGGTCCATATTTCTAGCCCAAAAGTCAGGGCAAAGAAGATTTCCATCCTGAAAAGCGAAACCTGTCAACTTTGACACATTGATGACAGCGAGACTTTCTCTGGCACAGAGATTCTTCTCCACAAGGACAAGTTCTATATGGTGCGCGGCGGCTAAGGACCAAAAATATTTCCTCGCCCTCGAAATCGTACGAGAGAGATTGACCGGGGGATGGCATGAATATGGCCACAACGACCACCCGGGCGGATCCAAGCAACGCCACGTCGACTTACATCAACATTGACTCTCTCACCTCCGACGACTTCTCGCCTTACACGCATGCCAACAACCTCGTTCTCGCTGCGAACAACCCGTCCGACCCGACCATTGATCTCACTACACCTTTATCTCGTGTTCTTTTCGACCTTCAAGAGATCGATTCGCACATTCATACTCTTACCTCCCGCTCGGCGCTCGACATCCTAACATACACTGCTACTCAAAATTCCGCTGCTCAAAGGATACTCAACAGGATAGAAGAGGAACGAGCGCGCCTACTTGCTAGCTACGAACGGCTAGAAAAAGAAGTCCTGGTGCGGCATCGGAACGCAGTGATTGCGAAGATCACCGCGCAACGGAGCTGGGAGGTTCTACGATTAGGGAGGGGTGTACAAAGAATCGTCAACCTTGCAAGACAGTTTGAAACCATCCTTGCGGAGGCGGGACTCGGGGGAGGCACGAGAGTCGGCAGGGAAGATCACGGCGCGCTCGTGCGCGCAACTCGTTCGGTCCTTGGGTTTCGCGATGTCATCACTGGAAAAGATGGCGGTGAGTTGGCGCGCATCAACCTTGTGAAAACATTGCGGGGAAGGGTCTTCGAAGATGGCGAGGCTCGGATCCTCGACTTCGCCAGACGCATTGTCAGGGAGTTCTCAATGAGTACGCTGTCCTCGGGCCCTGGCGGTGGAGTTTCAACAACCTCGGGACCCACGTATCGAGAAGTGGAGGACAGCCGTGCCCGGTTTACGAGCGCAGTCCACATTCTCTATCTCCTGTCCCCAGCACCAAGGATAGATGGAGAGAAGATGACAAAGAAGGACTTTGAACCCGAATATCTACTCCGTGCATTGCAGGGGTATCTGCAGACGGCTATCACGTCGAGTTCTGCATCGATTGGGAGGGCTTTGGGGCAGCTACCGACACTAGACCGGGTTTTGCTGGAGACGAGCGCACGGTGTCAAAGCATTGTGGCTCTCGAAGTCTTGCTGCGTGGCATATCTCCCCCCGACCATCCTTCACTGCAGCTTGAAGCTCCAGACGACAAGAGGACCATCAATGACGGCGGCGAAGAGGGCTTGGATGAAGACAGAGATGAGATTACAGTGCCCTCTACACACGTCCCTCCGGACAACTTCCTCTCCTTGCTCCTCGGTGCCCTCGACACAGCCTCTCTACCCTCATACTTCTGGCGCTCACTGGCGTCCTCGCTCTCCCTTCGCGTTCAGGAGATTCTGACGAGAGGAGGCGTTTCCGCACGCACGTTGCGAAGTCAGCGCGACACTGTCCGGCAGGAGGTCCGCGAGTGTGTGCTTCGAGGCTCAAAGTTGCCGAAGGTTGTTTTGGTGGGTGATCCGAAAGCAACTTCGACTACGAGGGATGAGCAACAAGTAGACAACTGGGACCGAGAGGCGGCGGTGATGGTTGGGAGTGTTGTCAGTTTACTGGGGCGGTAGAAGACCGAACCCTCTACACAATGCATGGTTTCGGTGCTCCTGAAGAGGAGTGAAGATGTAAATTCAGAAAGCCCTACCCACTGTCGAACCGAGCCGTAGCTGATTCCCTGAATCCACGCTATGCAATTCTTTCGTCTTGTTGTACATTTGTAGCCTGCCTGTACATTTCTCTTCATCGTCATACGAGGCTGAAAGGACGGCCTGTCTTCTCTCGAGATCAACACGCTCATTCTCTCGAGCCATCGCCGTCCCGTCTAGGATGTGTGAAACCCTAGACATCCACCTGTTCGCTCACCCGAACCATGGCTTGCCTTTCCTCTCCGATTTTGCCTTTGCAGCCGCCTCGGCATCTTCTTTTGCCATTTTTTCTAACGTACGATCTCGTTTGTAGTCCACAACTCTCTTCTCTTTGAAGTATTTGATCTGGAGTCGCAAAGGATAGGCACTGTTAGTCTTCATGTGCTTGCTTTGATGCAGCGTTGCAGGCTTGGAATTGGAGGAGATATCGATCCAATTGCACTCACCCAACTTCTTGCACAATCCTTCTCGTAAGCAGCTACCTCTGCCGGACACACCTTCCTTGCCTTCTCATCTTCCTTGATTGCGTCCAATATATCGTGCCGATCCAGACACTGAAAGAAAATATCGCGGGACTCGTAGCATTGTTCGCGAGACGTGCGGTCTGGAGCCACGTAGCCACCGTCTTTGGATCGTGGGGGTAGGTTCGATGATTGTGGTGACGAAGGATTAGAGGCAGAGCCCCCGAGCCAGGTTGGAAGACCCCAGGCCATGGCTTGCGGAGATCGAAACGAGCTGGGGAACGGAGAGGCGACAGTGAGGATCTAGTGGTGGAGGTTGAGAGACGTGGGATGGCTGCTTATATGCGCTTTGTAGAATCGGCGTCCTTGCTGGTCGTGCGTAAAGGCTACTCAAGAGATCTCACTGGTGTGGACAGTTTATTCTTCAATAGCATTTTGGAGACGGCAGACCCCCGAGATCCTGGCGAGGCTGGCGACCGCAGCCCTTCACGTGATACGGCTCGGAGTTTGATCGTCATCTGTTGGGTCGTCTCTCGACTCCATTTCAACACCTTTCACCTATCGATAGCCGCCATGTTTATATATTGCACGCAGCACTCAGCCTCATGGCGATGCTAACATCAGCGTTCGCAACCCAAACCCCCAAACCCCTCTACTCATAAAACAGCGAGGACAGAGTGCTCATGCCGCCTCGACGGCGCAAACCTCCCCGCGCAGGAGCCCTCACCGAACTTCCGCCTCTGAAGATCATCCGCTCCATCCTCCTCCTACAGCTCTCCTACTACGCGACGGCCCTCGTGCTGATATTGTTCACAACCTTGGTTCTGGGCCAGAGATTCTCTTTCAATTTGATATTTGATTGGAATAGCGTGCGCGGGGATACGACTGTCGGCTGGACTGTCGGCTTCTTATGGGTTGTTGACGGGTTTATAACGTGTGTCCCCTCCCCTCCATACGACAAACACAAGACGGTACTCTGATCTGACACTCTTTCCACAGAGTAATACCAATCCTTCTTCTAATCTCTCGCTCGAAACTCGTCCCCGACTTTGCCTTGACGATTCACTTCATTCACCTCCTCATAACCTCTTTCTACACGGGCGGCATTCCGACGAACTTATTATGGTGGGGACTAGAAGCTGGCAGCGCGGCGTTGATGATTACGTTAGGTGTTTGGGCCTGCCGGTATCGTGAAATGCAACCTATCTCTTTCGGGACTCCGGCGCACAAGAAAGCAACTGGTCAAAATGCAGCCAACGGATCGGCACAGGTAGCCGTTATCGACGATCATATACGAGGCAGTCCGGGAAGGGGCATAAGGAACGATGCAGGTCCAAGCTATGAGATGGTCAATGTGAGAGGAGACCAAAATGTATAATTGAATTGGAAGACATGAACGAAGTTCTTTGGATTGAGTGGTGATGCACCGTAAAGACCTCCTCATGCCTGCGCAAGACAGCAATCTGTGTCGTGAAGGCAAGATCTTCTGGCTTGCTTTACCGTCGACGAGGGAAGTGATAAGCTCACGTTCTTTGAAGAATTCGGATCAGGAAATCCCATTTCGCGTGGGGATCGCGTTGCTTGGATGTCAGGCCCATCCACTTTGTCACCCGACAGGCCTTGGATCGAGTCGGGGACAAAGTCCAGACCCTGGCCTCGTGGCGTTGAGGCCAAACTGGAGAGTCGGAATATTGTCGACATCCCATCAGGATCCCGAAGGACCTTACAAAGCGAGCTGCGGGGTTGAAAGAATGGAATATCGCCCGTTGAAACCCCAGCCGCTGGATCGGAGTTGGGTTGAACAGCTCGTTGGACATGGCAAGATCGAAATACGACCTTGCTGACATGATTAGGGACGTGACCCTTGACATCTTTTCGGATCTATTCCTTCTGACATTGGTGTCACCTGCCCACATGGAGCCGAGTACCTCGCGTTGAAAGCCTCCCGGATATATCTTTCCTGCCTTCTCACCTGCCTCACGACGCGGCCGTTCCAGCATGTCCATGCCCCTTCCTCCCTCAACACCTCTGGTAACTCGAACATCTGGAAGCTATCCTCCATCCTCCTCTGCCCGGCTTCCTGTCGGAGCTCCCTCAATCTGATGGCCCTCCTACGACTGTTCAAGCCTACAACCGCGGCGGTGTACTCCCCAGAGAGATGGTCTTTGGCGTGGGATCTTTGATTCTCCCGGCCTTGTGGAGGGCCTCGCCGATCATAGTTGCGACCTCGCGCCAGGAAGATTCATGTCCATTTTCGCAGAAAAAAATAGAGATTGTCAATAAACTCCTGCAGCAGCGCATCTTCCATCTGATGCAGCAAGGTCACAAACACCTGCGCAAGGTCAAGCACGTGGATCCGTGATTCCACCGATAATCCCTTGCCTACGTGTCCCGCGAAACCGTGCTTCATTGCAAAGCGGGTGAGCGTCGGGATTTGGATCGTCAGTCGTCTGCGTCGCGGATTGTACCCGTAAGGCAAGGGCGGGATCATGACGGCGATCTTGGCCTTGTCGCCAATCTCTTTCTGATATTTCAGAATAGTCAGGTCGATTTGTCGATGCGGCGCGTCGTCAGGCACAGAGTCTATTTCGGGAGCGATCGTTGTCGTGGTAGGTCTTGTCGCCCTTGAACTCGCCGCGCGCATTGTCGTCCAAAACACCGGGGCCGAACGTATGGATGTATACGGTCGATTTACCCCGCCGGGCTCGATCCGCTGCACCCTGGCAGACGGCTTCAGCGCTGGGCTTATGGTCCGCAGCTGCTGTATGGAAGATAGCATCGTTCTCGAGTGCTCGAGTCTTGATGAAGGTGGCGTCATCCAGGTCTCCTACTACGGCTTTGGCTCCTGAGGATTGGACTTGTTGCCCATGCGACACGCGCCGGACGAGACCAGTCAGCCTTCCCACAGCCTTCTCCCACGCGCCTCGAGGCCCTCCAATGGATCGACCTTTTCTCCAGCCATTTGCCCCGGCGACGATCATCTGAAGTCATTTCCCCTGTATTGACGTCATGGGAATGAAGGTGTTGCCAGTGTCGCAAAATCACAGCAATGCGGTGGGATGAATGGATGTTATCGATCTTGGTAATTGACTTTTCTCATCTGGCTGCCAGTTGCCCGGTTTCCTTTCCGAGATCAAAGACCCACGATGTCGCCGGGCAAGAATGTCCTCGTAATTGGCCCAGGCTTCATAGGCTTGAATGCCCTCGACTACCTGGTCCGAGAATGTCGGCGAGTCGGTAAGGGGGACGGGGTGCGGCTGGCCTTGTCGTGCTTTATTGTTTTGCAACACAACGCAAACTTCAGCGCCAGTCTGAGAATCTCAGGTGAAGGTTTGAACCCCATCGAGTCGCCGCCCCCCAGAGCCATCAGAGAGCTCAGCAGGGTGACACAGGTTGTGTGAACTATGGTCTTCATTCTTCCTAAATGACAGATATGGGACCTACACCAACGGCGATGAGACCGTGATTTGTGCTGTGTGTGGTATCCGATATGGTTTTTTTGGAACCAAGATGCAGAGGTGATACATCTATGTAGCCGCAAAGAGCACCATGAGATCATGCTATTTGACAATGTCAGACTTAAAAATGCCCGTCTAATCTGTCCCTTAGCGTCAACAAGCCAGACCAGCTGATCAGAGTGTATCATATTGCACGACAAAATAGGTGCTGCTAAAAAAGGCCAACAAGGAATCGACCTATGGACTCCATGGACCTGCCCCAGCGGCCAAATACTTCGGTTTCGCCGGAAGGAATCTCTAAGCTCGACATCCTGTGGCTGCACCTCGTAGTCGGCGCCCTTTTTGTGTGTCTCACTCTCGCAGTCAAGCTGGCACCGTAAGCTTCCATGTTCTCGTTCAGTTTCTTGTACCAGGTTCAGCAAAGGACATGTGCTCGGTACGAAGTAGAGTCTGGCGCGACTGGTGGCAGTGGCCCTCAACAGCCGATGTCGCAGCAGAGCAGAATGCATGCCTGCGTGGGACAAAAAAAAGCAAATCTCGTCTACTGAATCATTGTTGTGACGGAGGAGCCGTAGCTGCGACGTTCAAGAGTCAATGTCGAGCGCCAAAGTTCCAGCGACTTGATTAGCCTGCGGGCACAAACGAAGTCGTCGCCAGGTAGGCGTGAGCTCCCAGGTCTTGCTTTCCTCCGGACTGGGCTGGGCCTTACGGAGAATTTCCGGAGACAGTGAGTCTCCTCTGGAGTAGCAGCCACCAATTCCCCGGCGTCCAGTAGGCCGTATCCTAAACTGTCCTCGTCGTCGATCACGGATAATACTTATGCAGAGCTTCTGTTGAAAGTTACGCCAGGCACAACGGACGTGATGACGACCTCGAAGCCAAGGTCAGAGCCAGAGTGTTTGTGGTCTAAGGTTCCTTCGCAACATATGAACTAAGTACTTAGCGATGTGACGAGTTCGGGGGCCGTGCTCCTCCGGATGCCCATACCAGATTGCAACGGCCGTTGTGCGTTGCACGTGAAAATTGTTGCGGAGTTGCTCAATTTGACAAGGCGTTCAGCTGTTTCACGGCCGCCGGTCTGCGCCAGCCGTCGAATGTACGAGTTCGTACTCGGTACGTATGTTGCTTGGAAACAGCTGCCTGTATTCCGCATGTACTCGGCACACAGGGTCTCAAGTGTTTCACCACGCTTCGCAGTCTCAGGCCATATGCGGCTCGAAGTAATTGGCGGGCGAGGCGAGGCGGGATCGGAAGGGAGAGGCTTGGGGGGCGCGACCAGGGTATACATACCACTAGTCGGAAGTAGTCAAATGCGGAGTACGACGGCACTGCGCTCGAGCTGCTCTAGGCGCAAATCCAACCCCGGCTGATAGACAATTCAGGCGTAAGACATTGGAGTAGCTTGATTGCTTCTGCAGGTAGAGTGTTTCCCGCTGCTGTTTCAGAGAGGGTCGTCAAGCTCGGGTAGCGATAGTCAGTGCAGGAATGCGAGACTGCAATTCTGCCCTGGCAACAAGTACAAACCAGGGTGTTTTTCGAGGATTGGACAAGCTAATGTCCAGCTGCCCGTTCAGAAATCGCCAGCGCCGACGGAATCGTAGACTCATTGACATGGAAGTGAGAGACCGCTGTGTTTCGAACATCAATGGTCGGTCCGAAAAGAGGTTTGACTGGTGTGATAGCGACGTAGCCGGTTTGGTAAAGGACTAGGCGAACTTGACTTGCTCTCGAAAGGAAAGGTGACTTGGACTTTTGTCTTTTTTTGCAAATCCTGCCACACTAACGGTGGCGTCAAGTCAAAGCTGAAAGAGCAGACAAGGGACCTTGTGAAGTTGAAAGAACATGGGGGTATCAATTCGTGAAACGATAAGGAACATAATATGCAAGGCCAGGAAACCGGACCAGATAGCTCCCGCCCTATCCGAAACCTGGGAATCCTGCAAAGGGATTCCCTCCAGCGAAACCTCCGCCACCGGTTGAGAACTTGAACTGCCTCTGTCCACCACCGCCGGGGAACCCCTGTTGGAAGAAAAACTGCTGGCCTCCTGCGCCAAACGGGCTACCCTGGAAGGGGTGGCCACCCTGGTTGGCCATAGGGTCATTGGGGTCCTCTCCATTGTCGAATTTGGCCTTCAGTTCGGGGTCACTGAGGACTTCATAGGCTTCATTGATCGATGTCATCTTCTTCTCCGCTTCCTCTTTGGATATCCCTCTCGCCGCCGCCTTATCCGGGTGGTAGGTCTTGGTCGCTGTACGATAAGCCTTCTTGATTGTCGCTTCGTCAGCATCACGAGAGACACCTAGGACCTTGTAATAGTCCTTGCTTTTACTCCGCTTCAACGCGACCTGCGCCTCGTGCAATTTGGAATTGATAGTGCCCTGAGCGTCCGGGTGATTGTCCCGAGCGGTGTTGAGCGTCGAGATTGCAGCGTCGAAATTTTCGGCGTCGATTTGTTTCTGGGCTTGGTATAGGAGCGCGTGAAGCGAGTTGGGACTCAAGGTGAGCAGTTCGGAACAGAACTTGCCGGCCTTGTTCGGGTTATTCATCGACATGAACGTTTCACAGGTCTTCTCCAACATCTTCGTGTAGAGATTCGAAGGTGCTTTGGGGTGGATAATTCCCTTTGCACGATGAGCCTCGATGTGGGACTTGAGTTGCGAGAGAAGCCCTGGGTCGTCGTCGGTGCCCTTGCCAACCAGCAGCTTGCTCCCGGAGTTGAATTGTCTTTTGTCGAAGAGAGTCTGAACCTGGTCGACTTGCTTGAAAATATTCTTCTCCTCCCTGAAAAGTGACTTGCAGGGCTTCGAGTCCGGATCAGAATGTAAGCACTTTTTGATCTGGTCCATGCCTAGTTTTGTATCCCCCAAACTGTAGAATAACATGGCCGAAATTTGTAGGTGTGGTTCCACTAAGCCCGGATGGATCTGGAGGACATGTTGGAGATCGCTAATGCCCTCTTGCACCTCACCACGCTCAAATCGACATCTCGCACGTAGTTGTCGCAGTGACAGAGCCGTACCTGCTGTCATGATGGCAATACCTGCTTGATTGATGCATGCATCCCAATCTTGCTTCTTCTCAGCTTCGACTGCAAAATAGGCCGCGCCCTCTGCCTCTTCAAGCTGGGCCAAATCCGCCACTGCTCGATCCCCCAAGGCGATATAATCTTCCCGGGCAGCAGCCCAGTCTGCATTCTTCGTCCTGATCTTCGCTCTCTGCAACAACGCCCCTTCAAACCGAGGCTTTATCTTTAACACTTTGTCGAAATCTGCGCAGGCCTGTGCATTCCTCCCCAGAGACAAATAGGTGATTCCTCGCTGGAAGAATGTGAGGTAATTGGAGGGGTCTTTGGAGGCGGCCGCATCGAAATATGCGAGAGCCTCAATGTTGGCTCCTCGAGCACGTGCAGCCTTCCCAGACGCAATCAAGGAAGGAAGAGAAGCGTCAGAGGGTATTTCGACGGCATCGACGGCGCCCAGGGAAGCGAGATAGAGCCCCAACAGGGCAGCGAGCAGGCCGAGTCGCTTGATTGGGAGAATCATTATGGCATAATGTGTGGGCGCAGGTGTTGTGCACGGAGAAAGGGCAAGAGAAACAAGTCTATGGAAAAGAGCAAAGAGAAAGGCGCAAAGGGACAAAGAGATGAGAATGAGTGAATGAGTCGATGTCGACGTCGATGTCGTCGCGGATTACCATCAATCTGTCCTTTTGATCCATTTGATTCTCGAAGAATGTGCAGCCGCCGCAGCCACATTGCACCAGCCACAATCGCATGCCGCTTTAAACCCGCTTGGCACACGGGGTACTATTTGTAGGCTGTTGGCTGCACCATGATCTTGACGACCCATGGATCCCAGACGCACTCAACCCATGGACAGACAACAATTTCCTTGCTCAGCAGATCATTCGAGTATAGTATGGGCAACTTTTCCGACTCCCGCGATGGCCTTCCCGCAACCATGAGCTTTGCGCACCCAGAGATGAGGAGCTGATGCAATCATTATGCCCTCCGCAATAGACAAAACAACCGGCACATCAACCTCAGTCCTCCAAGAAGGCTCCCCTCACCGCTCCCGTCGTGCCTCATTGAAGGTCCTGAACCGGAACATTCATCAAGTTGTCCTGGGGGACCAGCTGTTCGACGCGTGGTACTATTCGCCCTATCCCGACAGTATCATCCTTCCACAACCAGGAGATGGCTCGACTGCCGCGGATGCGAGAAACGGCCCCTCTCATGGCCATCTTAGCGGGTACCACAGTTCGATAAGGGGGCAAGAGCCAATTTGCCCCTTTCTCTATGTTTGCCCGTGCTGTTTTCGCTACACATCCCTCAAACAACAATTCATACAACACGTTGCTCGCCACCGCCATCTTCGCAGTCAAAACCTTGAACCAGACCAACCCGTGCCGCAATCCGCATTCAAAGTCTATGAGTGGGAAGGGCACGCGGTCTGGGAAATCGACGGCGAGAGGGAGAAACTCTATTGTCAGAATTTGAGTTTGTTCGGCAAGTTGTTCTTGGAACAGAAAAGTGTCTTCTTTGACACTGGAGGATTCAAGTACTATGTCTTGACGTACACGAAACCCGACATTTCCACGTCGCCAGCATCTGCTACGGCCAAGACCCGAGCACAGAAGCAACGGAGTACATCGGCGAATACGGGAGAGGAAGATGATTCTCTCTACCGTACCCGCGTGCTGGGCTTCTTCTCCAAGGAAAATCTCTCCTGGGACTCAAATAACCTCGCATGCATATTGATCTTCCCTCCATTTCAACATCGGCAACTAGGCCAACTATTGATGGCGGTCTCATATAAGCTTAGCGGGTGGGAATGGGAAGGCGGGGTGATTGGCGGACCTGAGAAGCCTTTGAGTGCAATGGGCCGAAGGTCATACCTGAGATTCTGGTCTGAACGAATTGCACGGTTTTTGATGGGTCAGACCGCGGATGCAGATGCAAAGAGAGTCTTCGACAACGCCAACGCCGACGGGAATGGTAGGAATAGAAAGACCGTCCTTCTGAGAAAAGAGGAGATGACGGTCAAGGAAATTGGCGACAGGACGGGGATGCTGGCAGAGGATGTAGTCGCTGCCCTGACGGAGATGGGCATGTGCAACGTCATGGCACCCAAAAGAAAGAAGGCGAAGTCTTCTACACCTGAAGTGAACGGGACGGCATCCGCGAGTCTCGCTCATGCTGCGGAAATTGACCCAGAAGAATTGGCAACGGTTGTCATCCATCGGTCTAAAATTGTGGAGTGGGCGGAGAAGAACGGCGTCGATTTGAGAAGTCCCGTCAAAGAAGAAGGATTCCTGGGCGAGTGGGCACTGAGCGATCTTGCTGAATCCGACAATGGCAGTCAAAATGCGTCTGGCGAGGAAGGCAGCGATGCCTGATGCACGTCCGTGCCCAAGCAGGCCGAGTATCCTCAGGAAAGCAGACTCCTATGGTCCGGACGTACCGGCTTGATTAAGTGTCTAATAGCGGGTTTCAAAGCACAGTAGTGATCTTTGATGGTCAACATCATCGAGAGTGGCCAGTACTACCTGCCTATACGTAGTAGTATGGTATTGAGTATCTCGTACGAGGTACTCCGTACAAGTAGTGTGGAATATGGATATTACTGCGAACGGGTTCTCGCACCCCGTTCGCACCAGCTCGACAAAACTGGCGGATTCCTGTTCCCAAACGCATCGTCGATCCAAGTAGAGTGCTTTTGGGGGATCGGTCGGGTAAGTACCCAGTAAGCCGGGGACAGGGGCCCTTGGGTCTTGAGTGAGGAGGAGGAGGAGGAGGAGGAGGAGGAGGAGGAGGACGATGGGCCATAAGCCATGGTGCAGCTGTGTTCCATTCTTCACCTCTGCTGTGATCTGCAATGGTTGTTTTCTTGTTCAGTAATTGATCAACATTTTGGTACCTGTTCACAGACTAGTGTGACGAGGTTGGTACGGATCCGGGCCGGTTCAATGTATCCTGCGAACCCTGCCAGGGTTTGGGTAGTCAGCCGTGCCTTTGGAACATACCCAGTACTAGCACATACCCTGAATGTGGATTGATCGCCAGCAAGGATTCGGACAACCTTGCAGAGGCTCTTTTCCAACGTCGGGCTTCCTAGACGAGGTAGAATACCCATTTACAGTCACTACGAGAGTGTGCATGATCCCCGAGGATTGGAGCGGTAAAGCGATGCGACCAAAGCGAGCAAACCGCTTTTCGTGCCGTTCACTGGGTGGTTACATCACAGTGTGTATCACTGCCAGCGCAGGCAAAAGTCAAGCGGCTCGGAATCTCGCCTTTCCTTCACTTTTGGGCCCCCTCGTCTCTGGCAAGTTGTGCTTGGGCAGGTTCCTCGCCCATATCACCCGAGCATTCAACGCCTTCCGTGGGGTGGACTCATATGATTCCCACAGCCTCAACGGCTCCAAGTACTCCGTATGATGGATCCCCTTGAAAATTTCGACAAAGGGATACTCCGCACGGCTTCTGAAGACGTCACGGAATCTGACACACTCTCGAAACAGCAGAAACCCCAGGTCACATGTCTTTTGCGCGGATGGCAGGATACCGAGGGCGACATTGTGTCGAGTGTTGATTAGCCCCAGCCGGTGACCTCTAGAGGGGCTCGCCTCGAGAGTCGAGATACAGTACTTAGTAGCCTGGAGTTTGTCACGTCTCGAGCAGTGCCCAGAGTCGAGCCTCCAGACTCCCAAAAGAGCCAAAGATGCCCAAGCGCAAGTCTGCATCCCGCGGAAGTCGGGCTAGCGGCCAAATTGTTACGCGCAAAGGTGCGATTTGTCCGGTCCCCTGCATATTCCTCGTGCTCTTCCGAATGCAGTTTTCAGGCACCCGGGACCAGGGTAATTTGCAGATGCGCGAAACCATGTTTGGTATCGTGCATTCGAGTTTGGCGCAGAAAACCCTCGCATATCCCTGCAAGCGTCTACAGTAGTTACTTACAAGGAGATAATTTTCCCTGGCGATATTGGGTCCTAGCACCTTGGCGTGACGACGGCTGCACTGACCTACAGTACCCAGTACCTGGGGAGGGAGGTGGCCGTCGTAAGAACCCTGTACTGCTCTCGCGACGCGGGCAATTAAGTAGTGCGATTTCAAGCCTGATGCCCCTCAGCAAGTTTGTTTGAGTATTGTGTAATCGGCCCAGGGTTTTGACAAGAAGTCAAATGTAAATCAGGGGACTGAGAGTCCATCCCTCAGCTCTTATCGACGCGTCTGGCAGAGTTTTTATGATCCCGGTCGTGTCTTGAAGTAGTGGCCTACCTATGTATAATCATCCATCCTTGAGCACTTTGCCAGGGGGCAAGGCCTCATAGCCACGAGGGGCGAAAATCATGTTCGAATGAGTGATTGCCAAAAGGTCACTGCACAAGCCTCGAAATGTCCTTTGAGATGAGCATCATCGCTTTACACACACATCCACCCACACACCCGCCAGAGGCTGTGCTCGGTAAGCCGGTGGAGGGCGCTTCTGGCATAGCTAGGTAGCATTGGGCTTGGAACATGTACCTACCGTATGTAAGAAAACGATGATTGTGGTGAGGGCTTGGTTCTGACGGTTTTCACATGCGCGTTCAGGAGGAGGGGGAGGACTCGAGGGTCGTGATGGGCTTTACCTGGCCGCCCTATGGTTGCGAGCCGAGCCAGTACTTAAGTGAAGCTAATATCGAAAATTCTGCTTGAGAGCCGACTGGATGGGCAGGGAAGGAAGGGGGGCTTTAGGGCTTGTACAGTAGCTCCTTGTTAGCGAGGAAATACCGCGAGATGTTTGGTGGGTCCTGAGCAATCGGCAATGCCTGGTTCAAGTCTGTTGATTCTAAAGCTGGCCTGTAGGTAATTTAGGACTGACGCCAGACTGATCCTAAGTAGAGCTGGTAGTCTGCTGCAGGCATCCGGTCGACTTGGAGACACTATCACAGAGGTACCGAGTAGAGAACGAGCCAAAGCGAGGTGTATCAGAGTAGAACCCATATAAGACTTTACCAGGGTGACTAGCCACACACCAAAATAACGTAGAACGGAAATTTGTGTACAAGCAATGGAAGTTTGAGAGTGACAGACACTTCGAGAGCAGTGACACCTCGAGACCGGCCGCATCCTTTGACTGTGCATTGAGGACTCCTGGAGGTGGAGGAGGACGGCAGAAGGTGCGAGACCCAGAAGGAAGGGAAGGGAAGGGAAGGGAAGGGAAGGGAAGGGAAGGGAGAAAAGGGGAGCTACCGCTGTTACTGCAGCTACCAACAGAGTACTCGGTAGTCGCAGGGACTCAGGACGGGCGTTCTCTGCTCTGCCGATAGTCCTCCGCAGGTATGTACTTGGAACATACCTACCGGAAGGACCAAGACAGAGAGAATACTCCTAGGTAGGCGTGCCTACCTACCAAACACCTCAACAGAAAGTCCCAGAGAAGCAGAGGCAGAGGGTTCAGGGTCTCTGAAATGTGTGGTTACGCATTACGGCATAGTGAGCGATAGTTAACCACAAGCTTGCCACAGCTATATCCATACCTAGAAGCTATGCCAAGAGCATCATAGCGCCGCACCCAACAAGCCAGAACTCACCAGGAACTCACCCCCCTGGCCCCCGAAAATCGAATCCGACCCCCCTGTCGACTCACCCATCCGCAACCCGGCCACCATCGTCAACTAACTCCACCTCGCAAAGACTCCACTAAAATCTTGTATTTTCAACTGTTCCCGTTCCCGAATCCCTAGTGTCTGTCGCTCTCCTCGTGCCCAAGTCCTACAACGTCTCTGAATGTCCCTTCTCTAGACTCAAGAACTCGAGACTCTGGACTCACTCTTCTGCAAACTCTCAACCTCAATTCTCGAGACATCTACATCAACGCCACAACGGCTGCGGTTGACTGCTGTCACGCTGCATCATACATTCACTCCTTCAAACTTGCTTCTACCTACGACCAGTGTACAGCCCACACGACTCCCCCAGACATCTTCTCCCTCATCGACCTATTCTCGGACTGTTCCTCTCGTTCACCCTTGACGGAAAATTCGGTAAAGTCAACTCTGCTTTGGCTTTCTACTATCCTTCACTTACACCTTCCTTCGATTCAACCAAGCCCATCCCACAACTCGGTGCCAGACGTCCGCGGTAGTGCTACCTCCCACTTGCAGGCGGGTCTTTGTTGACCGCACGGTTCACACCTTTACGGTCATCTCGCGGCATTGACCTCCGATCCTTGGAGGTTTCACAATCTCGCTCTCGTTGACAAATTCCCAATGCCGTAAACAGCGGACCGACGATCAGGTACTACAAGCACAGGACGTTCGACCACAAGAGTAAGACCTCAAGGAACCTGCAAAGTTCGCCCTTTTCCCCCTCCGACTCTCTACCACGGCCGGTCTGCATCTGCAAGAACACGGGAACGCGTTCTGCTATACATTTTGGTCACAAGGGTCAAGCTCCGAAGCTCAAACCCATATCTGGGAGTCGATTCATTTGTCCATCTTACACCCTCCACTGTGACTCTGCTGAAAAACTGAGGGTCTGCGGAGTGGCAGCGGCAATGTCTTCTCCTGAAGGAGATGACAACTCGCAGGGTGCAGCGTATCCATGGGTTTTAGAGCACTTGTTGACCTATCCTGGCACCTACGAGATCCCCCTGCGAACCATGTACACCCTCAACGCTACCACTCAACATCAACAGCAATGTCCGCCAATACCGTCGCCTAATACTGTCCCTGGCAATGCTTTTCCTCGGAAGTCTCCCGCATCCGTTGAGGAGCAGCAAAACATGACAACAATGACTGCTGCTGCTCAATTACGCGCCAACCTCATACAACATATATCGCAATTGCCATCTCAGCCAACGTCCTTGCCTCCTAGCTTCATCACAAGCTTTGTCCGAAGGTGTTTTCCGCGCGAACTAGATCAGGTGGACTTTCCTCAAGCATTGACTGCCATGGATTATCTGAAGGATCTGGAGGTCAGACGTCGGCGAGAGGTGGTTGCAGCCTTGGACAAACTGGGAATCGACCAAGAGGACCTCAGTCACCGAGATAAACTGGCACAGAAATATCCCGGCGTTCTGCGTTGGGTCTCCGATATCGAAGAGAGGGAACGCAAGGTTGAAGCACTCTATACTCAAGTTTACATTGGCCTGAGACGATGGACCTTGATCAACGAGCTCTCTTTGACCCCATTCGACAAGGGAAATTGTCTGGCCATGCTTAACACCCTTTACCCCCCCATCAACATGAATGCCGGCCATTTTGTGCAGCCCACAGCACAACTGACGCCACAAATTCTCACCCAGCAACGCACTGGATTCTTCAAGTACATTACTGCCGTGGAAAAGAACGGGCCTGCAGTTTTGTCCAACCTGATGAACCAGGCCAAGAAGGCCGAAGATCCCAACGGCTGGGTCAGTCTCCGAGATACTCTCGACAAGTATGTTCGCATGGCAAACAGTATCATTGAAGAATGCTACGGCATCACTGGTCACAGTCAATCTCCGACTACCGCGACGTTCAGGTCTTTTGAGCATGAAGAAGAGGGCCGCCGCAAGGTCGACTCTGCCATTTCCTTCGGCTCAGGCAGCTCATCGAATCGCAACTCTGCCCAAAGCAACAAGTCTGTTCATAGCCAAAAGAGCCACACAACGAGGCCTAGCACCAGCAGCAGTTTCAGCAGCAGCAGTCGTAGCCATAGTCGTCAAGTCTCCCAGGACAAACAACTTGTTGAAAAGCCACTCCCGCCACTGAAGGATGACGAAATTACTGTGATACAGAAGTCTTCTGGGTCAACATTAGAGCGAATCGCTCGTGAACTCCGGAAAATGAAGAGTCGCAGCAACGTGAAAGATGAATTACGTCCACGCACGCCGTCACATCCTCCGGATATGATGGTTACTGATAACTACGATCGACCACCAACAACACCTGCGAAAGACCGCAGCTTGAAGAGCAAACTTAGCATACGGAGAATGCGATCCAACACTGCTCTCTCTGACATGACTGGTATGCGATCTCCCAGTCGCCATGGAGAACAAACTGCCCAGGAGATGCCAGTGTTTAACGCAGACGAGATGAACAAAAGCCGACAAAGATGGGAGACTCAGCAAAAGCTGAAAGAGAGAAGTGCCGATGATGGATTGAGCGCGTAATGTACAACATTGTACCAGACAATGTTTTTCTTTCCCACGACACGGTTTTGGAATTCGAGGGGCATAACAGAGTGCGGCTACTGCTACCGCTCCGAGGCAAATCAAGAGAAGTCTCGGCAAATGTGTAACGATACACCATGAAGAATTATGAGAGAACACAAGTAAACTATTGGCTTGAAGATTTGGAGCCTTGTGAAGACTAACTGGAACCAGAGACATGAAGCTCTCGCGAGCAAAATGGATGATTTTCGGAAAAGGGGGCATTGTGGACAAAAAGTATGGTCCTCGTAAAGTCGAAACCCATAGCTTCCGTTTGACTATTGAAACCAATTGATGAGATACAATTTGTTCACCGGTCTTTGAGCCGACTGGCTTAACTGACGCACAACACGCGAAGTTGTACTTCGCGGGCAGGAGATCGTAAATAATCCACTCCAAGTCAGTATGTACTGTCGACCTGGTCAAGGTACCCAAGTCCAAGCCAAGACATACCTCTGCCTTGGCACGGAAAATTAGAAATTCCGTCAGATATTTCCCCCGCACTGCCATTGGCTTCAACCCAGTCTCCTTCACGAGCCAGCCGGCATTGGGATGATCCTTTGACCCATCCCAATCACTACTTCCCAAGTTGTTACCGAATTACGTTAACAATCTCAATACCGAGTACTATAACTTCACTCTTCCCGGCCCCTTTTCACCCAACTTGAGCCAAACTGACGCAACAATGGACGCCGAAACCAACCCTCGAGGCATCCCTACTTTCCCTTTCATGTCCAACGTGACAGACTATGTCAAATCCGTCGACGAAGTGGAACCCACGCTGCAGAGATTCCAAGAAATGGTTTCAAAGTATACCTTCATGCAGCAGAACGTGGAGCGTCGGGCGATTGGTTTGAAGGAGAAATTGCCGGAGATGAAGAGGACGCTTGAGGTGGTCAAGTTTTTGAAAACGAAGAGACGAGATATCGCGGAGACGGAGGGAAAGGGCGAAGATAAAGGGGAAGAGGAGGAGTTGGGAGGCGACGATCTACTGGGAGAAAGACAAACAACGAGAGACGAGATTGAAACCACTTTCAGCCTCCAAGACACTCTCTACGCCAAAGCCATTATCAAGCCCGCTGAGATCAACGATGTCTACCTTTGGCTCGGTGCCAATGTCATGGTAGCTTACCCGCTGGACGAAGCTGAAGAGCTCCTGCAAGGAAAACTGGATAAAGCAAAAGAAAGCCTCACTGCTTGCGACGAAGATCTTGAGTTTCTGAGGGTGCAGATTACGACCCTCGAGGTCGCAATTGCAAGAGTGCACAATTGGGATGTGGGGGAAAAGAGGAAGTTGAGGGCTGAAGGGAAAATAGCCGCGGGCGAGGGTGGGAAGGACAAGGATTGAGACGATGGTACAAGTTGGTCTCCTGCCGACGTCGCCTGCATCTCTTACACCCCACCGCCAAACCAAGTCGAGCGCCGCTGCTTGTCGGGAACGGCCGTTTACATGGTACAACTACTAAACCCAGCGTCAGGTAACCTGCTGCATACTTTCCAGGAGCAGTCAACATGCGCTGCTGCTTGAACCGGGGGGCCTACAAGGTCCCGACGACCTGAAACCTCACCTGGCATGGTAACAGTCAACGCCCGACCCAGCGCCTCGTCACAATCCTGGGTGACGAGCAGGTCACCCCGCCGCGCTGGGAATCTCATCCCCCGATGGACGGCTCACTTCTTGCCGTGTACCTCATTTTTACCTTTCAGAGAGGTGACGGCATTTTAACGCCAAAGTAAGCGGTTCTCGATTGTCACAAGCATGTCTGGCCATTAACATGTGAACATTTTCCCGTCGATTTTTTCTTTTTCTTTGTCGCACCCGAGACATTACGACCAACCAACAGGTATATCCCGTTCCTTTCCGTTTATGCCTCTGACCAGCCTTCTTCGAGTTGTCGTCGGCCTTCTCAAAGCAGCTTCTCCTTCGACATGCCCTTGAAGTGCACCGCACTCTACGAAAGAATCTTAGACATGGAAGGTGAGCATGGAGGATCGCTACGGCTGGTCTATCTATCTCTCAGCACTGGGCTGGTCGGCAGGCGGGCGGGCACACAGACACACATGCAGACCAGAAAGTGACAATAACTATCAAACTTTCCATCCTTGGCCACATTGGAAGCTGTTAGAGCCCTCTCAAACCTCTGAATCTGAGCTGCGTAAAAGCACCCTCTCCTGGACACAAAGGCCGAGGGAGTGAAGCGTATGGCATATATGCCGATCGACTTGGGCGCGCAGGGTGGATGGCCTAAGCGCCCTTACCCCCCCGGTGGATCTATCTACGTCCATTGGAGCGCTTCAGACCGCGAGTAAGTGCGGAGGGGAGAGATCGATTGATTACCGCGACAATATTACTGCCCGGGAAAAAGACAAAAAGTGAAGAGTGAAGAGTCGGTCTTGTGAACATCACTGAAATGACGTCGGCATTTTCAGGACGAGGCTGAGAACCCCCTGAGTGAGGATGACAGCCGCTATAAAGGACTTCCACGTTCTACACCACCTCATTGATCTGAGAGGATAAAATGTGAGAGAAGAAAGCGCGAGAAAGCGAACACATTGGGGTACCCTCGGTGGCCTGTGCACATCAGTACAGACCTGTCCGTCAATCCGATTCTCGTCTTCGTCTACAAGCGTGTCCGGTCCGTTTGCGATACATCTGAAATTCCCATCCATCCCCCGCACCATTAGGCTTATTCGTCTCAGTCTGCTCATTCCGCATTCCAAATTTCTCTGCATGCATGTTATATTTGGCAGCGAATGATACCATGTCCGCGGGTCCGAAATCGATGCAAAGCGGTGAAGCGAGTTCCCCATGCAATGGTGCAATTCATACAGGTCATTAATCATACACAAGAAGCAGGTGCTCCTTTCTCCTTACAATCCCTCCGTCAAGCGTCGTCAGCTAATGGAAGGCAAAAAGCTTTGGTACGCATAATGTCCTTCGTTCTCGGAGCCTGCACATCACAGACGCTGCTCTGAAGTATAATCCGCATCCTGCTCCTGGTTCATGCTAGCCCCGCCAGGGGACATGATCGTTGCACCGATGGATTGGGCAGGTGCAGACTTGACATCGTCTGGTGTTTGAAAGACCGAGTCTAGTCCTTTGCGATTGCTTCGAGCGGGTTTCAGAGTGTCTTCGGTCCAACAGGCCAAGTGTTCCCCAGAGGTCCGTTCACGAGATGAGTGTGATATGCCTTGCGTCAATCGGTCTTGGTGCGGTGTATGCTCACTCGCACCACGAGTTGTGCGCGGATGAATTGGTGAAGAAGTTGGCGGAGAGCTGAAACTTCGAGCTTTGCGAGCAACATCTGGAGTGTCGTTTACTCTCGGCGGACCGCCGCGATGCCCATCCCAGATTTGGTTGAGATCTCCAGTGACTTGATATGCATGGTCGGCTTCGCCGCGCTGAGTAACGCAACGTGCTGCCGCGTCCTCGGCAAGGCTGTTTCTCCGAGACTTTCTACGATCGTCAGCGTCGCGCAACATCTCAGCCGGTCCTTTGACAATGGCGCCTCCCACAGCGAGCATGATCGCCACACTAAATTTGCCCCAGAGGTACAGTGACCGGCCCCAACCAGATTTCGGCTCGCTCGATACAGCGGCAGGTGGTGTAGACGGTGTCCGTGCTGTGTATTCTTGCTGCTCGATCTTGCCACCAGCAAAGGGCGGATCAATTTCGGCTGTCGGCAGGGGTGGATCTTTGGTGGGCCGCTCATCGACGGCCAGAAGACAACACCTGTTAGCAATACTTTCACCATCGTACTTCGCCCAGTCCCAGTCTTGCTGATCAGTCTGCGGTCGCCGATAGCCAACGAACAATCCAAGGACCCACCAACTCAATTTTCCAAACATTGCCCAGTTTGACCGCCAGGCATTCGCTAAAACACGTCGTGCCAAAAACAATGGATCTCGTTTGAAGCCTTGAATATATGTAGTGTATCTCGACAAGGTCGCATAAACCGCCTGGATCGTCAAAGTTGCTAGAGGCCTCGAACCTATGCTGCGATGCTGGATGATCTCAAGAGGAGTGCGTGTTGGGATGGTCCCTTGTTTCTTGGAAAAGGCGGAGTAATCGTCCATAGACCTCTTGATTTTCTGGTCGACGACGGAGCCAGGGGTGACGTCTTCACGGCCACTATATGGACAGGCTTCGACATTGCGAGACCCATGGTTGATGATATCAACTTTTGGACACCGGGATTCGCATATCGAGCTTGTTTTCCTCCGCTTTCGAGGATTAAGGGAAGACTCAGGGTATCCAATGTGGGAACTTGAGTGACCACCACCGCGAGTTCGATGTTTAGAGAACAACGGTCGCGGAATTTCGACACTGTCTCGAAACTGAAACACATCCACAGTGTCGATGTCAGAGGCAATATCCCGCTGGTCAAATATCTTGCCAGTTTCGGATAAGCGACGGCTCTCTTCACATATTACTCCGGCCATAGGAACGGCGGCGTGACGAGAGTTGTATCCTACGTCCTCGGGCAGTGACGTGATTGTCTTTGAAACCCAGGAGCTGATCCGGGGACTGGAGCAAGATTCCATCGCCGGCACAATGTTACCGTTCTGGACTGGAGTTCGATACTGGGTCACGGGACTTGAAAATGAAAGCTCATCGAGAGGCTCACCAAGTGCATCTGGCTGGAAACATTGCTCATCGCTGGCAAACACCTCGTCCAGGCTCTGGAAAGCCGGTCCCGGTCGGCCGCTCACACTTTCCGGGCTTGGAAAAGGAGTCTCTAAACCGCGTCCGACAAGTGCGTGCGGAAGGGAAGGCGGTTCGCATCTGGCTATCTGGGAGCTAACTTGGATGGGGAGTGGCCGAGTTGGCGACGCGATTGGTGAGGTTGAAGGAAGATTACCATTTTCGGCCGTAAATGTAGGCAAGAGAAGGGGTTTCAGCTGTGTAGATCCAGGCATGAATTTTCGAGGTCTCCTTTTCGAAGGGTGTCGCATGACTGTTTGCGATCGACTCTCCCCTCGAACATGACCTCCACCAGGCGTATCAGGACTGTCTGAAGGACTAGAGACAAGCGTGGACCGTCTCGATTCAATCTCGTTCCCGACTTGTACATCAGATTCTCCGAGTACGGAGTCGATCGAATGCCTGTCGTCAACAGCTTCTGGGGAACGGGCAGCGCTGTCGAATGGGTATGACGACAAGGGCGACGACGGGAGATGTACTGGGAAGTAGTCCGAGGCCGCAAGTGCTGGGGACGCAATGACCGACTGAGGTCTGCTCTGAAATGTCTGAAACCCCGGCGATGTCGGTAATCTGGGGATGATCAGGGACATAGGACGGCCGGTTTTCCGCCTAGGCGTAGGAATGCCGATGGTCGGTTGCGCTTTTGTCGGTGATAAGGCCAGGAGTTGGGTCAACACCTCATTACGTTTCGTCATATCGCGATTCGTGGTCTCCAAGCTAAGCCTTTCCTCTTCCAGCTTCTCGATTCTTGCTTTGAGGACTTCTAAGGCATTCTGGTCCGATCTCTTTTCTTCGCGATCACATTTTAGATCGTGAATGACTGACTTCTTAAGCTCAACCTCATCTTCCAGATCCTTAATCCTGCGCTTCAGCTTTAGCTCCGTCTCGGCAGACCGTTCGACTGTCTCATGTAGTTCGAATTCGAATGATGCCCTTATGGCATCCATCTCCTTCTTCAAACGATCATTCTCTTCTTTTGCTTTTCGGAGCTTTTCTTTCCACGGCATATGAGTGGTCGGCGAATACATGGCGTCTTTGACCATCTGTAACTCATTTTCAATATGTTCTATGTACTCGTCCGAATTGAAGCGGGGGTTTCCTTGAGATGCTTTACGATTTGGCCCAAGCCGCACTGAGCGACGATATGGCGAATCCTTGTGAGGCGACAGCCTCTGGAGGTTGACCGAGACTTCTCTAAGACCCATGTTGGTCGGGCTATCTTGCGCAGAATTGGGAATTGAAGGTGCGTGTATATCGCTGGATGCGTCGTGGTAGACCGAGGGTGTATTGGCTCCTGTGCCGCGGACTGTGGGCTTATCCGGTGAATCCTGAAAGATCGGTATAGCGGCTCGCTTCTTCAATCCTCGTATGCGGCAAGCATTGGCATTTGAGATCTCGGTCAAAATAGCAGACTCTGTGGACGCATTGCTCAGTTTATCCCCCTTGTTCGAATCGTTGCCATTCTCTTCCCATCTGTTAAATCGTGGGGAAGAGAAGTAAGGAGAGTCGTTTTCGGCGGAGCGAGTCAGCGGAGGAAAGGGGGCGTTGATGCCATTGACCGAAAGTCTCTGAGCCGAGAACTTCGCATGGCGAGTCTGGAGGAGTCTCTGCTGTCGGGTGTGAGGGGCAGACTTCGGCGTCGCATGACCTGTAGGATACTCGCGCAAAGAGGAGGGGATTGATCGTGAGCGGACGTGAAGGGTGGGCGCCGGTGACTGGGGGTGGGCATGACCGTCGTCCATAGTCTGCGAGGTCAAGAATTATGTTGTCATGGAGCTCTGACGCCAACAGGACGGTTCGACAGCCCAACAACGCTCACCATTGGCGATGGAAGCGGCTCGACAGGTTGACAGACTGGGATCTGCCAGTGGAGGGGCTAATGATTCGACAGAATTGAAATTAACCAACATTCCTGGCCTCGCACCGCGAGGCGTCGAGCGTGATGCAATACGGTGCTCCGAGAGCAAAGGAATGCGAGAAGTGAAAAATCTGCTTGGACAAAGGAGCGGCTGCTCAAGGCGCTCGAGACGAAAAGAAGGACATTATGAGGTAGAAGGTGAACGAAGGGAGCGTTGAGCGCAGGCACAACTTGAGCAGCCGGGTTGACACGGAGGCAAGAGGAGCGGCCTAGAAATTAATTGCTCTTGCGAAAGTGAGTGTTTACATGGTGGCTCATTTCGGAGGATCGCTGAGCTGAGGGATGGAGCAGTGTCCACTGCCAGTTAATCGTTAATAGGTACAGGTACTTACTTGGTAGGTGTTAACAGGCACTAGCTAGGCAGCTGAAAGGGAGGGATCCCCCGCTGTGCCCGCCAAAGGGCCTTGCTAGCCTGGAAATCTTACCCAGAACGTCCTCGAAGCCCACTAGAACATCACCACTTTAGCGGTAACAGAGCCGAGGCAAACCCCTGGACCCTGGGTGATCGCATCACGCCAGTGACTCGCATGGCTCGCATCGGTCAAGCGGTGAACGCGCCATCACGTGATATGACGCATCTCCACCTAACCCCTCTTGGCATCTCAGTCTCGCGTCCTTGACTACCATCTTGTACCATCCTCTTCCTTCGCTTGCCTTCGTGATATTACAACGACCATGCTCAATCTGTCAAGGTTGGACATTCCTGTGTTTGTGAATAACACACTACTCGACCAAGTCCTATTGACCCCTCTTGACGACCATGGTTTTCATTCACCCAATGCTAATCCATTGTTCATGCTCTGTTTACTCTTTTGTCTTGCACAAACTCTCCCAGCTTGATATGAAAGACTCCATTGACGACATTCGGATTCTGTTCACAATAGACGACAAAGACGCAAATAAAGAGTGGGAGGGTTTAAAAAGCCCTCATCTCAAAGGTAGGCGGGCGTGCTTGTCAAAGTGCCTACTACAGTAATACTGTTCGTATTCCCCTTTCTATTGAACCGTCGTCGCTACTGTTTACTTTCATCTCTCCATGAGCTACATTTCATTGAATATTTCCCACCAAATCTCCCCCATGAGCCCATCTCCTCTTAACCCAAAATGTGCAAGATCATCAAGTATCGCTACACCAAGTGCTGGAGGCCCGCGGATGCGGGCGAGAACTATGACGAGCGTGATCCGAGGAATCTTTGTGATGGCGGCGTTGAACACCTAAAATTACCCTGCGTCATCGAGGTTTGCGACAAGCACGAAGATGGTGTTCCCCGACACGATTTCGGCGCCGAAAACTTCGAAAAGGAAGACCCAAAATGCGAACCTTCAGTGGAGTTCTGTTATCTCCCAACCTACTGCGCCGCTCACCGTGAGAATATGGCCCAGGAGAATCGACCGATTCCAGCCGACGACCCAGGCATCTACTGTGATCCCAAACTGCCACAAGACGACTTTACCTGGCATATCCCCAGGGTGCAGTGGAGGGATCCTGGTTTCCGCATGGTTGACTGGAATCCAGAGCCGAGAAAACTGCCTCTTGACCGGCCCAAATTCAGCCCAAAAACAAGATCTATTTTCGATTCCGAGGACGGTGGAATCATCAATGCCTTTTATGATCCTGAACACTGGACATCTGCCGATGGTCGCCCCGTAGATTTGCTGGCGAATCATTACGACGACCTAGACGTCAACGACAGGCCCGGCTGCCCGAGACTCAAAGGGCCGGCTATGCCGCTGCCTGGTTCACAGCCTCCTCAAGATGCCCAGACTCCAGGTCGCCAAACAAGCCAACCCGAGTTTCAGCCCACTAACCTTCAAGTGCGATTGCAGTCCAAGGGCTCCCCAGGACAACCACGTCAGAATAGCCCTCAGGGAGCGCCGCAGGCCTCTGGCTCAACCATGGGAGGTGCAGAACTGGCAGCCTTAGCGGCACTTGACCCATTCGGGACTTGGCGAGAGCAATCGCAATCCAGGTTAGCATCCGCCAGTTCGTCGTCGTCAAGCGGCTCTTCTCCATCATTAACGTCCTTCAGTCGACCAAGCCCAGCAGTCTTATACTTGGACAATTTTGAAAGGCGCAAAAGAGCTGACCAGCCGGGATCTCCATCGCCAATTGAACCCTCTCCATATTCCACGACCACCGCCCACTTCGGGACGGAGTCACCGGTGCCGAGCCTGTTTTCAATAGACGGAGAAGATGTCCCATCGTCTGAAATACTGTCCGGGACTCCGGTACCCTCAAAACAGTCCTTTTCAGAAGCGGCATCTACATCACCAGTCTGGCCAGCCTTCCCGACAAGAACACAAACACCAGTGCAACCAGGAGGCTCATGGAGCCCATGGCTGGAGAACTCAGTCCCGTCCGAAGGTCCTCCATCTTTTGCAAGATGTAGTCAGCTGCGGATGCTGATACTTGAATGGATGCCTCGCCTCGACATGGAGATCCCAGAGCGGCGTTTCTGCCATTTTGGTGATCGCCAGCAAGGAGTGCCTGAGCGGGTGACTTTCGGTATTTCGCCAGAGGAGAGGGAAATAGAATGGGATACACTGATCAATGCGTACCGGAATGGCGAGCGCGGTTTCAGCAGATTCAACTACCCTCACCGGGTGCCAGATGTACCGTCGTCGCCAATCCCAACTTTGGCGTGGAACTTGCCCAGTCCACAACCCTCGACTTCGCTTAATTCAGGTCCAGCTAGAGGGTTTCCCGGCCGGCAATCCGAATCACTGACATTTATCCAAATCCCACCCGGAGGAGACAAGAACGAATCAGGACCGGCAGGATCACAGTCAAGGTCACTCGTCCAAGATGCAAGGCCGCAAAAGCGAGAAAGTCCCAATGACGAAGACGAAGAAGAACAAAGCCCTGCCAAAAGACGCAAGCTCAATACAGGAGGAGCGACCACGCGCGTTGGAAGCACACATCATATGAAACTGAGAAGCAGAGGCGCTGGCCCTGCGAGGGTCGGCCACGCTATGAACCTCGGGTCCCCGGCGCCCAAGACTGCTCCTGCTCCTGCTCCTACTCAGCCAGTCCAACGGAGAGCCAACACCGCCACCAGAGCCATGACTCGAGGCAAAGGCGCTCCCAAGACTAAAGGCAAAGCTAAGTCTCCTGCAAAAGTCAAGTCTCGGAGCGGAAACAGCGCCCAGAAGAAGACGCAAAGCCGAGGACGTGCAGCTCCGCCACAAACTCAAAGACAAGTGGCAACAAGACAAGCAGGGAGATCCAGGCAGTCTGCAAACTCTTCAACATCAAGACGCGGACCCATGACCCGGTCACGGCGAGCAGCAACAGGCGCACAGCTCAATAAAGAGTTGGATTAAGCGGATGTCTACCACAGTGTGAGAGCTGTTTTGTGGAGAGGCGTGATAAAGATGAGGAGGTAAGGACTCTCACTGTTGGCTCAACTGCCGCAACTCGATGCACCAATGTACATCAAATGCTCCATGAAAATCGCGCTGACGAGGATACCGCTAAGAATTCTTCGAGGCGTCAGACCCGCTCCAAGAATTCAGGTAAACTTTAAAGCAACCCCCCTCCCCCCTCCAGAGCTGGGCAATAACCGACTTCTTACTCATGCTGTTGCGGCATCCCTTATAAATTCTCCCGATCTTTAGGATACAGTGGAGAGGAGAAGCAGAGGCCAGCGCGCAGGCGCACATGGAGAAGAGGTGGAACAGGAGGAAAACGCGCGGAGGGAGTCGGAAAGCGGATAAGAAATTAGTAGTTCGTTCTGCAGGGCGGAGTAAAAATTGGACAAAGATCTCGATTCCCAAGTTGAGAAGGACCATGTGCAGAGAACATGGTGTTCCGTAACCCCCTTGTCATGACTTGAACGTTAATTGCTACTCAACACGAGTCTGTTCTTCCTGCTTGTATTGCCGAGCTCAAGGGCATTGAAAGATTCACCATTTCTGCCTCGCGCCTCGTGCTTAGGTCTGCTTCACTCTGGCAACATGAACATGGCGTGGTTGTACGGTCGCATCTTCAGGTGCTGGAATCTCCATCTCGACGACCTTCAACTCTTGACCGAAGAAACTGTGCCCGCCCCATCTGCACATTGCTGTGCCCACATTTAACAACCCGTACCCGCCATGATTCGAGCCTCCGAACTCCATGCCCCATTCCCAGATCTAGGCTCCATCTCAGGTGTTCATGCCGATGATTTTGGTGTTTTGTCCCGGCCTCCCTTTTCCTGCGCCATAAGAAGATCCAGCATAGAATCAGGTGTATGCACAGAAAACAACAAAAGGCTGCAACGGAATGGGAACCAGGACGCAGCAAAACTCCACTCCAAAAAGCGCCACCCACCCGTATGCTACATCATTCGTCAGTGTTCACCCCATTTGGCATACCCAATATAATACGCTCATGTCATAAGTCGTGATCTCACAATAGACAGCGACGAGGATTATTGGTACGATTTTGTGCCCAGCAGAAGAAAGAGAGTAGTTACGGAGAGGTTTTGAGCAACAAGCAATGCGTAGGCTGACTTATTGAACAGCTGATCACAAGTCTTGCAAGACCGAGGCACCGAGGTGAAGCGGATATTGTCTTGGTTGTGCATGCATCGGACATGTCGTCAATCGTCACCAAAGACGATCATGGACCTTGAATCTGTTCCAATTGCTCGAGATGCCGCTGGTGCCTGTGTAACCGCTCGGAGAGCTGGTTGCAACAAACGTATCGGCCTTTCTGCATCTGACATATCTCGGGGCTGATGTCTGGGGTTCGGAGGCGGGAATTTGGGTTCCCAAGTGCCATCCTCTTTGACATCAATTGCCTGTGCTTGCCATTGATGATCTTTTTCGAGAGTCTTGCGTACTTCTAACAAAAACTCGTCGATAACCAGCATGTTGGGGGGCGCATACCCTTCACATATAGGGCACTTCCATCGGTCAGGACTCGCCAGGCTTCCTTTGTTGACGCAATCTGCGCGCCTGAACAGAAATGCCTCGAGATCGAAACATTCCTGGTGTCGACAATCCCTCCCCCTCACAGGTGTCCTCCAGATCACAGACGTCAACGGATCCATTAGATCGATGTTGATGGCTGATTGAGAGATAGTCAAATCAACGACCTCAGTCCTGTCCCTTTTGCTCTTCAGAGACTCCGCGATCGCGCCGATAACATCTGCCTTAGGAATTCGAGTCGGCATTGATTTGATCTTGTCGTAATTTGCGATCTTGTCATAGTTTGCGACGCAGATGACCTCGACAGCCATGAGATAGACGCAACGGGAACGTTCTTCTTGCGGTGTAAAATAAGCGCCAACTACGACCTCGTTATCGCCCTCTTTCAGGAGATCGGTCACATCTGTGGCCAGGTGTGCACCATTAGGCGCCTTTGATCGTCTAAATTCGACTCCGTAGTCTCCGTTGATCGACACGGCCAGACCTATCGGCCATTTTGTAGGTTGAACATGAAAATCTGACGGAGTCGCCGTAATCTTTCCTCCCCCATCTGCTTGGGCAGCGATTGACCTTAACCGGAACTGCACGTTGTCATTTGATACGTCGCGTTCTCTAGGACCAAACTGCCCGGCTGCGGGCAGAGTAGCCGCCCTCCGTGCCCAATGGTCTTGTGAAATGTGCACATTCCAGTACAACAGCGCGGAATCTGCGTGAATGCACTCCTGGGCCACTATGAGAGCTTCAACAAATTCATAACAGGGAGTGTTAGACGCGTTGCCATGAGATTCATCCATCCTTCGATATTCCGGACTGTGGATATGTGCTGCAGATGGTGGGTTGGATGGAGTCGAATGTTGGGATGGGGCCGCGGCTGACGCTATTTGGACGGGTGCACATTGTGAAGCGGTCGTGTGCGGTGCGAATTGGACAGGTTTTGCCGCGGAATCCGGTTGTGGTACATCTGCTGACATGGAATTTGTGCTTGGATTCAAACCACTACATTGCGGCGCCTGTTGGCTTGCACTTTGAAATTGGCTTCGAGGTTGCGGCAGTTGTGCTGATGCAAGAGGCAGTTGAGATGGGACTGCCTGGCGTGCCTGCTGAGCGGAGGCGATTTCTTGAGTTCCAAGAGCAGTGACTGGTTGGACCATGCCACGGTGGAGAAGCATGGGAGAGCGGGCAGGCTGGGATGGCGCAGAATCCGTATGATGAATCGATGGTCTGTAAGTCTGGTTTGGCATATGAGGAGATGCAGCTTGTGGAGTAGGCCTGCAACCGCCATATTCACCACCCGCCGGCATCTGCAATGCTGCGAAATTCGCCTCGCAAACTTGTGAATACTTGCTGCCCCATCGGCGTGCCACCTCGGGGATATTGGAGGTGGACGACGAGTCCAAATCTTCTATTTCTTGCTCAAAGAAGCGCAAAGCCTGATTAAACTTTCCCGGGTTGTCAGCTCGTTTGCTGTGGAGGTGGTAAAAGAGGGCCTTCTGCATGACGGGAGAATGCAGCTTGAGTTGAACCTTCAACTCCGCCGGAGCTGGCGGAAATCCTCTTCGAGATGTCATTTCCTTCCATGCGCTGATCAGAGCTGGTATATTGTCGAGGAAGGAGCAGACGTCCTTGAGCAAAGCTCGAGACTCATCAGTTGCGTTAAGCATCATTGCTGCTGGGCGACGAGGAAAATTCATGAACAGCCTGTCCAATTCCGTGGGCACACGACTGTCGCTACGCAGGACTTCGAATAGAACATTAAGGCCTTGAAGCTGATTTTTCGTCAACGAGAGTGGCTTAAGCGCGTCGCGCCTTGAGCACAACCAATTACTAAAAATATGATGTGTGAGAAGGAAAAACTGGTCGTCCTGTCGACAGGCATCGCGCAACATGTCAATTCCCGTATAATCAAGGCCTTGTGCCTGACTGTTCACAGGAGAAGGAATGCTGATGGCAGTCAGTTCCGCCTCTAGCTGTTCGCTAAGAGAGAGCCCATCGAGTGACAGGGTTGGCGACTCGTGCGGCGTCAGCAGCGGTCCCGCAGGCCCTGGGATGTCGGAATCAGTCCTCGGGCGGAAGCTCCGCTCAGGGCCGTAGTTGCCGTCATGAGGGCGCTTTGTCCCACGGTGCACATGCGGAGGCTGTGCTCGAGGGGCGGCGTCGGGTGAAGGGACGCACAGAGCAGTGGTGAACAGAGGATTGTCTCCCTTCCGCTGCCCATTTTGAACTGGAGCACTCAAAGGACCTGTCTCTTGCGGTCGATTCGTCGCATTTTGGACGGTTGGATCGCCCGAGAGGCCAGGAGCGCTCCACGTCCGGCCCAACTCTGCCTGCGGAACACTGCGTGGTGGCGTTTCTGGCTTTGAATTCACGGCAGCTATGATGTCTGAAGGCTGCTCTGGGGCCAGCGCTGCCTCTTCCTGTCGACCATTATCCGCGAGGTTCCCTACGAATTCCCTTCGCGACTTTTTGTGTGTGGCGGTCAAGCTGGAGCTGGGAGGGATGCGTGTCGGCCTCGATTCGGTCATCGCACTTGGGGCGGATGACTGGGCGGGTAACGTCGAAGTATTCTGGTGTCGTCGGGGTGTAACTTGGACAGTTGAATCCCCTTCGAATGGCTGCGAATGCACGTTAATGAATGATCTCACCTGCTTCCGTCTTCTGGACCTGGCGGCTCGTTTGCGCTGTTGACGGGTTGACTCCGAGTGAGCGGAGCCATTGTTGACTTGAGACGCACCGTCGGCCATCCTCGGGTCTGGTGCAAAGTTCAAGAGAGAGATTTCTCGTAGTAACAGAGAGTCGGAGAGCATTCGGATTCGTACGATTAAGAGCACACCTGAAAATGGCGCCGGAAATGGCATCGAGGTCTAACTGGATGGACTTCAACTGCGTCAAAGCAAACTGCCGCCAGACGCAGCATTGGATGGGGGTTTAGATGAAAGCAATAAATGTGGCTGAGCAGCTCGCGTAGTGCAGCCTTATCTTGATGGAAGTGAAGGCGCGGAACGAGGCTGCAACGACCCCAACGCGCAGGCTTGGAGGAGACAAGTCTGCGATGCTGTTCTTGTATGTACAGAGAGGACACGGCGATGGTAGAAGTCTGGCCAGTCAGTTGAGGAGGGGGCGCTTCTGGTTGTGGTGCAAGAGGAGAAACAATGATCAAGGATACGATGGGAGGGCGGCTGCGTTGAAATGGCCAGTGTCAACGTTGCAGTGGTGATCGAGGCTCTCGTATCTACTCGGAGGTGGGCTAGTGGGGCTAGTTGACCGCGAGCAACGGAGCCTACTTAAGTGGTGTTTGACCAGACTTGACCAGACCAGCAAAACGGAGGGTGGCTAGGCCTCACTGGCGCCGAGCTGGCAAATCATGGGCAGCCCTAGGGCTGTTGGGGCGTCTTGGGGCGTCCCTGGGGAGAGTCCCTTGCAGTTCCCATCTCGCTCTCACTTTGGCCTCATTTGGGCCATGCCAGTGTGAGAGGAAGAGAGGTTTCGGTCAACGCACAATTCCATTGCCCTGGCTTCTGCATCCTGCCGGAGGGCACGAAAGACAAAGGGATTCATCCACCCATCACTCGATCAATCAATGCCAGCGTGGCCGATGAGGTACTGGGTACCTGTCACAAGTGGCCAAACAATCCTGTTGTGACGACTCCTCGTCGGACAGTAGCATCACCATCAGATCAGCCTGCGCAACATCAATTCCTGTTGCTTCTCTGTTCCACCAACCCCGTGTGACGTCCTGACCGATCTCCTCTTCACATTTCAACCTTGCTCGCGCCCTTCACCCTGTCAGGGCGGCTGGAAGAGCCATTTCTATCATGCAGGCACTTGTCACTGCGCGTCCGGTCGATCTTCCGACACTTGAATTGCGACCTCTCCTCCACTACCACCACTACCTGCTTGGCTAGCTAGGTCCCTACTGCGCTCGAATGCCTGCTGGTTTACGCTTGATCAACATATCATGTCCGCCCCTCTCCAACAGCGCCCCAGGGCGGCTCTGCAGCCCAGTGATGTTCTCGTGGCCATCCGTGCGTTCACCCGTTGCGTCACAGCTTGTATGAGAATGTTTCGCTGACAGTCTCTATCTAGATGACTTCGATGCAAGAAGCGCCGATGAGTTGACCCTCCGGAAAACCGACCAAATCGAGTTGGTCGAGTTGGATGATGGCTTCGGTGATGGTTGGTATCTTGGGACACATCTTGGTACAGGAACGACGGGACTGTTTCCTGGAGGTAATTCGTTTCACCACCAACCGCTTCCTTCATTCACAATGGTTGACATGTGGCCAGTGTATACCGCCAAGCTTCCTCCAAACTTCGCGCCTGTGGGCGCTCCAGCCGTTAGAAGCCCTCAATTGCTTGCGAGGCCACTCACTGAGCCAAAGAGCGAGCCACTCAAACAAGCCAGTCCGACCACTGACATCGCTGCCTACCGAACACTTTCCTCGTCCCCACCGCCACAGTCTACTCTGCCTCTGCGAAACTCTGTGCCGTCTTCTCCCACCTCATATATTCATCGAAGCATCAGTCAGGCTCTATCAAGTCGGGGAAGTGGGGAGGAAAGTCCAGTTATGAACGAGACATTAAGCGTTATAAATGAACACATTACGGACCTGAGCACGCCACGGCAGAGTCTAGCCCCGCCACAGCCTCTGACTGAGGATTCTGAGAGTGAGTATAGCAGCAGCCATGTCGACCGAGGCTCTTATGTCGCCGGCCCAGAAACCGATAGCGAGGATATCCCGCGCCCAACGGAAGCTGACGTCAAGCAGTGGGATGCCAAAGAGACGGCCGATTACCTGAGAGGCCTAGGTGTCGACTCAAAACATTGTGACATATTTGAGGAACAGGAAATCACTGGCGACGTCTTGTTAGAAATGGACCAGTCCTTCATTCACATGAAGGAATTCGATTTTGGTCTGATGGGCCGCCGTCTGAAGACCTGGCACAAGGTTCGAGACTTTCAGAATCAGATCCGAAATGGCACAGCGTCGCGCAAGAGCAGCCTCAGGCCAAACGGCCCAAACGAAGATGTCGCCCGAGTCCAAGTACGAGGGACCACGATATTGCCACGGATCCCTAGTCTGATGGAAGAACCGAGACTCTCTATCCGCCAGACGCAGCACGCTTACCCATATGTCCATTTATCTACCTCACCGCCACCTTCCGAACAGCTCATGTCGCCATCCTCGTTTACCCGGCCCCAGCTCGGACGAAGCACCCCCCCCTCGCCGTGGAGGGCTTCGATGGCTACTGAATCGCCTACACGACGGTCGGCCTCTTCAATACGAGAATCGACCCACTCTCGCCGTCATTCCTCGATCGATTTCGCAAAGCCGGGGCTTCAAGAGCCCTCTGCGCCTGTCGGGGCCACCAGTCTCTCTCCCCCACATAAGAAAAATGCATCGTTCGATAGAGACTGGTCAATGAGCAACGCAACCACGGCAAACACTAGCGGAAGCTCCCCATCGCTCAGACTACACATCAGCAATCAGACAGCAAGCGTTGATCTGGCTGCAGACCCCGGTTTCAACAGCGAGCTTTCGACTTTCGATCTGGACCGGGGCTATTTTAGCGGAAATGAGGTCGACAATAGAAGGGCGAGGAATTTGCTAAAGAAGCGAGGAGGCGTGGAAAGTGTAAGCCATTCCCGCCAATCAAGCGTGCTCGATGACTCGTCTAAGGATGGCCTCGGCATGAAACGACACTCGCGACTCAGCAGTGTTGATTCCATCAGGGGTGCCGCTTCTATCTCTTCAGCCGCAAAGGCATATCACAGTAGATCATATAAAGGACGGTTTCGTTCTGCGAGTGCGAGGAATCTGACGGTGCAACGCTCGCCAATTGCGCAGTCTCCCACGGTGACGAATCTGGAGGATGACAGTCTATCAGCTCTATCCTCACCAAAGGCTGTTAGCGGTTCGGCGTCCCCCGCCGCCAGGGGCCCAGTCCCCTGGACATCATCCACAAAGGCGCGGAAGCTGTTGGGTATGCGAGCGGCATCTGAGGCTGTTACCGGAACTGAAAAAGAAACTGCCAGTTCGTCAAACATTACATCCGACCCAGTAAGGGAGAGCCCTACGGCATCACCTTCTGGGTCACAAACTCCTTCTGCGACGTCGCGCAGCTTCGAAATGGACAATACGGACACGTCTTCGAAAGGTACAACGGAACAGCTGGGCCCGTTATTGCATACGAAAACGCCCGTGCGTACTAATCCCAAGACCAAGCGACAAACGAGCGCCTACACAAGAGGCTTGCTACAAATATCGCCTGCGGAAGCACGGAAGCACTGTGACCATTATGGTTGGATGAAGAAAAGATCTAGCGGCATTGTGGCACAGTGGAAACCCAGGCTGTTCATCCTCAGAGGCCGTCGGTTGTCATACTATTATTCAGAGAACGACACTGAGGAAAAAGGCATTATCGATATATCAGGGCATAAGGTTCTTGTCACTAACGCCGACCCCATCACGTCATTTCAAGTCTCCATAACTGGAACAAAATCTACCCCTTCCATCGGTGCTACCGGATCGTCCACCGAGACTTCTCCGAGTGTCACGCGAAACACGAGTGGAGGGTCACCCTTCTATTTCAAGCTCGTACCTCCCAAAGCAGGCTCTTCGAGAGCGGTGCAGTTCACCAAACCTACGATTCACGTTTTCCAGGTTGAGAACATCACCGCTGGAAGGAAATGGATGGCCGAGATTTTGAAAGCCACCATCGAACATGACCTAGCAAACTTCGAGACGACAAACCGGCAGAAGACTATCAGCTTGGCTAAAGCCCGAGCAAGAAAAGAACGCCCCCCGGCCCTGAAAGGCACAGAAGATATAGCCGAATTGGCTGAAAAGCCAACGCCCCAGGAAGAGAAGGGTGAGCAAGACAGTGGTTTGAATATAAAAGGGCTGGAATTCAACGAGTTGGACATGAATCTTGAAATTAGCACAGGCCTGACAAGCGGGACAACAGCACGTCCCGAGGACGACGCGGAACGGAAAATACAGACATGATGATACAGGGGGAGAAGAATTACTTATCTTATCCTACATATAATACATTTTCGGGAATACATAATACTTCTCACTTGCTTTTGCTCCTCTCTACTCCGCCCTCGTACAGGGTACATACATTGTGACTGAATCAATCAGCCCCAATGGGGCCAAGGCTCCGCTCAGCCTGATATTCGCAAGGCTGGCCAATCATTTGTTGTATGGTTTGGGAGAAATGGATTGCCCTACTTGTTACAACCGCGTTGCCTCCCCGAAGTCGCGCCTCTTGTCCCTCGACAATGCAATGAGCTCACGCTTTTTGATATCCCACAGACCCTGGTTGTTCTTCTTGTTGTGCTTCTCTCGTCGTTGTTTTTTTTCTTCCATTTTGGTTCGATGTATAAGTATGGGCTTGCAGACAAGCTGCTGCGCCTTCTCTCCCTAATCGCCTTTTGCTCAACCACCTATCTCTACCTCTATCCAGTCTTTCACGGATGCGTCTTCTCATGGAGAAAGATATCGACTGCGACCGCCTTCAGCGAGACTTTCCACCAACATTGGACACTTTTACGCGACTCGGACGCCCATCCAGACCCTTCGCGTGCCCCTTTTCGATTGCTAGCCCTGGCCGATCCTCAGCTTGAGGGTGACAGCTCCCTTCCTAAATCCGAAGAGAGCTTTATACCTAGGCTAAGGCAGCATTGGGCGAAGCTGTGCACAGAAGAATCACAACATTGGTTGTCTTCCGCGCTTGATGCCGTGCAAGAAGTAGTTCTTCAAGACCTCCCTGAGGCACTGAAGGCCCTTCGAAAACGACTTGATCTATTCGGCAACGACTACTATCTGGGTCACATATACAGAACACTTCACTGGTGGACGAAGCCTACCCACGTAGCTGTGCTTGGAGATCTCATCGGCAGCCAATGGGTCACCGACGAAGAGTTTGGATGGAGAGGGTGGAGGTTTTGGAATAGAGTCTTTGCGGGCGGTCGCAGGGTGGAAGACGACATCACGACTCCGAACAATAAAAGCCAACAAAACCTTTTTGAAATGCATGATACCAATTGGGAGCGCCGACTGATCAATATTGTCGGTAATCACGACATTGGCTATGCTGGGGATATTTCTCGAGGGAGGATGGACCGCTTTGAAAAGGTCTTTGGGAAGGCAAACTGGGATGTCAGATTCCAGTATCCCGGGTTCAATAGTACCGAGACTGCGACAGAGCTCGACCTCCAACCAACGTTGCATCTGATTGTCCTGAACAGTCTGGTTCTAGACAGCCCTGCCCTATCCGAGGATGTTCAGGTCGAAACGTTCGATTATTTGAATGACCTGATCTCTCACCGTTTGCGACCTGTGGAAGACCGTTCATCTTTTACCCTCCTGCTTACACACCTTCCACTCCACAAGAAAGAAGGGACTTGCGTTGATGCCCCCTTTTTCGATTATTGGGGCAATGACAATGGTGGTGGCGTTTACAAACCCCACGGAGTGAAAGAACAAAATCACCTGAGCGAGCAAACAAGTCAGAAAGGTACTTTGCAGACATTATTTGGCATGAGCGGAGATCTCGGTGCTCCAGCTCAAGGCAAAGGCAGAAGTGGCCTCATTCTGACGGGTCATGACCACGAGGGCTGTGATGTCTGGCACTTTATCCCTTCCGAATCTGTCTGGTCAACACCAGAGGATAACGGCGAGGAAAAGAGGCAGACCTCGTGGGATCACTGCAAATGGCAGCACGCAAATCTAAGCAACGCACACACCGGAGTTAGAGAGATCACGCTCCGAAGCATGATGGGGGACTACGGAGGCAATGCTGGGCTCCTCAGCGCATGGTTTGACTATGAAACGAGCGAGTGGATGTACCACATTCAGATGTGCGGTCTGAACATCAAGCTCTGGTGGGCTATCCACCTTGTCGATGTGGTCGTTGCGGGTATTTATGGGATCGGTCTTCGCCATCGACTCCTTCGCCCTGCCATGGAACCTTCAACAGACAAACCGGATGCTTCGCAGTCGAAGTCCGAGGGAACATGTAAGTGAACGGTATCACTTTGCTGGGTATTCGGTGGTCTGCTCGTCTCCGAGTATACAACAGTCACGTGATCTCATTGGCAAAGTTGGGCGCTGCTTTAGATCGATCTCTATGCCGGTCTCCTTGCTGCCTAAGCAACCGGACAAGCCCCGAACACAGGGAAGGAGGCCTTTATCTCTTGGAGAAATCGGTGAAAGCATGAATTCTTCAACGGAATCAGCATTAGAGTCTCTCAATACCTTTCACTAGAGACATCAGTGAAGATCGCTACTTCTATGCTCCTAGGGGCCACGGCCTAGAGAGGAATCTAACGGCTAAAATGACTTGCGGAAGGTGCATTGAGCACGATTCACCTCAGTTCCACTCTACGCGCGTCTGCCGTGGACGATGACAAAGTGGCGAGACGTATTACAATGGGAAAGTGAATATCATGTATGAAACCTGTGGTTACGATGGTTGTGCGATTGCCTCCTTGCTGCTGTCTACTTCAGCTTTTTGCAGAGGCTGACCTCTCGAGACAGACACGGGGGTCCCTTGCCTCCTCAATTCCTAGAGGCGTGTGTATTTATCACGTTGGATCCTATATCATGCCAGCAGAACCAATTATTCAGGTCTAAAGCACGCTGCTACATCGATCTGCCTCAAATGCTATCGAACAGGCAACCACTGTCGCCAGACCGATCAAACGCCCTCAAATCGGCCGGATGGAACTTGTCAGGACTGTTCGTGGTTCTGTTCTTCTAGCAGTATGGAAAAACAGCAAGGAAGGAGTTGTTTGAGCTGGAAATGCCATAGCAGTAGGAGCTGCATATGGTTAAGACGATGCGAAAACTGAGGCTGAATTCATGCGGCACATCCTGCGATTTCAGGATTCAAGAGATTCACTGAGACGACAAGAGCATTTGTTTTCGAACCCCCCTTTTTGAGCCCCAAGGGCCGCCATACAACTCAGAGCTATTGTCTCCATTGAGCTAGAGGACGACGACAGCACCAACAAACGGGTATCATGGCGAAGCCCTGTTAGAACAGTGTCCACGATCTGTTTGTGGACCACTTCGATCCCGCTCTCCTACAAATACCCTAGAAACACCTCATTTACCTCCTCCCTGTTCGTTTCCTTCTCTATCTCCCACCGAAGCCAGCAAGATGGTGTTCCTCATTGTCTTCAAAACTTCCCTTCCCTGCCCGCTGTCCTACCACTGGGATCAAAATATCTATGAGGCATGTCCGGGCTGTGTTCATGCTCACGAGCTCAGGACTTGCGATGGTGAGACGAGAATCACTTTCGAGATGTGCCGGAGGCATAGTGACAAGTAGGTTCACAGTGTCTCCTGATTACATGATGATTTGTTTTGATTCCAGCCCTCCTCCTTCTGTGCCCTTCGTCGATATTCAAGTTTTTTTTTTTTTTTTTCCAGATTTCTCTCATCCGGCGACCTGTGGCCTTGAGATTCGTCCCGATGAGTCTTGTTTATCTCTGTGAGACTCTCAGGTCCACCTCGCATGCTGCCTTGTTTCGTGGACCCTGGAGCCATGCATTCAGCCTCTATCTGAAGACAAATGAATCAAATCCAAAACTCTTCATCTCACATGTTATTACCACCATCCCTATTCCTTCAAGTGTATTCGAGAGTCGAAGAAAAAGAGGGAGAACTAATCTTGTCGCGACCCTAGGGCTCAATCCACGGCACTAGATGAGGCCGTGCTCAACGAGATCCGCACACTCATCCATCCGTTTTACTCACCCCTGCCAACATTCCCGATCGTCACGGGCACAATCACAGTGAAATCAAGAGAAGACCTTTGCAAGAAGGTGAAAATAACCACGGCAGCATCAGGCAGGCGTACTTCTGGCAAGCGGAGCGAGTTGAATCTCCCGCGCCCCGAAATCACGTACGCACATGGAAACGGCTGTATCTACTCGCAGAAGCCTGACGTGGTGCTTAAGCCGAGGGCAGCGGTGGCCGTGATGGATCAGTACGCGAAAGAGAGGCTGAGGAAGATCATTGCGTTGCTGGAAAGCGGTATTGATAGCAACTTAGGCCCGCAGCTCGATACCATCCTCAGCAAGGACGATCAGGTTGGTGAGGGTAAAGATAGCTCCCACTCCGCCTGCATCGAGGAGACGGCCCCAAATTCGGCATTAGACACTTGCTCAGCCACCTTGCTCAGCGAGGTCGCCGCCGACGAGTCTCCTCTAGCGGCTCTTGGGCGACATGCGTTCCGCGCCGCCGAAAACGAAGCTCAAGCCCTCCTTCGAGCCGAGAAGAAGCGGTTGGAAGAACGTCTTGCCACCAGCCCCCTGGCGAAGGGGATATACTGGAAGCGGTGTAATGGACAGTGGGTTAATGGACTGGGTGACGTGCTTGTGGACAGTGGTCGTGGCGGAAACGAGGGAACCATGGTTGCTGGAACAGAAGCCCGAGGTGTCATGATGGATCAGGAAGGGGTGGATGAGCGTGGAAGCATGGGTGCTGCTTCTACTCTTGCTCAAGATCACGTCGACGAAGGAGTCGCTGACTTGTCGACGCTGACCTGGACCTCTACACCCAATTTAGCGATGAGCACTACCGCGGCCACAAGCATTTCCTCCCTCTCCCTCGGAAGCCCGAACTTATCCGACACTACACCGTTGAAACCTACGGTCTGCACCGGTAGCCTCGCCGTCCCAAACAGTGCCGACTCCAAGGCTGGGCACTACGGCTACGCCCTGCTCTGTCACGATGATGTGAGTCCTGGCCAAGGTGCACTACCCTCGAGCTCCCTACTTGCCAGCCAGGCTTGTCTAGCCAATTTCTCATCGTTTGAATATCTCATGCTCCAAAATCGAGAACAACTAGTCCGTTCCGGACAGTGTAGGGAAGAGGATCTCTGCATCACTTGCTGGGCATACAACCGCGCCGCCGTCAGGGCACAGGTCAAGAAGGACGTACTGGTAGAGCAGGCTTGTAACGGGGATAAGCATGATGAGTGAGTGGGAAAACCGAATGGGAAAAGAATGAATGGGCGAAGCTCAGAGGTCGGGACATAGGGAGACATGAATGATCAGAGGAAGGGCGATGCATGCCGCATTTGGGGTTTGAGATTGCAGAATTTTGGTCTGGAAGAACTTCAGCTTTGACGTATCGCCCAATATCAATGTCAGCCATCAGAAAACTACCCACCACACGAGTCAAATTCAGCCGAGTCGCGGATGTAGGCGAGCTGCGTGACGCACGAAGGTGACGGTGACACTCTGGTCTAAACGTTACGCCTCATGCGAAGATGAGTCGGGTAAACGAAATGGCCAAGTACTGGTGATAAAATGAGCGGGCAAGTATTAACTTCGACGGCAATGCCGCGCAGATGGAGAAACGATGATCAGATCACGTATTGCTATTTCTTCTCCTGTCTTTGGGTCTAAAGAAGTACCTAAAGCAGCTACTCTTCCATCAGGGGATTGTTGGTCGTCGCACCGCCACCGCAGATTATCTTGTCTGCTGGAATCCATCTGCGGAAGGGCTGTCGGTGGTAACAGGGGATGGGAATATCAGTTGGAGGATGACAAGTGGGAAAGATTGTTGCAAGTAATGCTGCCGCCCAGCCCGTCCTCCTCGTTTGCACGCCGAGACAGCGGGGAAATATCTTTGCCAACGGACACCGAGGCGAGTCAGGACACGTCCTCTTACTCGGCCTTCTCTGTGCTAGCCTCTGGTGCAGGGGCCGCCTCAGACTCCTTCGGAGCTTCGCTTGACTGAGCAGCTGGTGCCTCTTGGGGCTCGGCCTCGGAAGAGGTCCAGAGAGTCTATAGGGCTGTTAGAGGGAGAAATGCAAGGTTTAGGGGCTGTTTCCATAACTCACCAAGTTGTCTCTCAACAGTTGCATGATCAACGTGGAATCCTTGTAGCTTTCTTCGCTCAGGGTGTCGAGTTCGGCAATGGCATCATCGAATGCTTGTTTGGCCAGGTGGCAGGCTTGGTCGGGAGAGTTCAAGATCTCGTAGTAAAAGACAGAGAAGTTCAGGGCAAGACCAAGTCGGATGGGGTGGGTGGGCGCGAGGTCGGTTTGAGCGACCTCGGTGGCAGCCTTGTAGGCCTCGAGAGACTTGTCCGCAGATTCCTTTCGCTTTTCGGCAGTAGCAAATTCAGCAAGGTAACGGTGGTAGTCGCCCTTCCTATGAAGAAGTCAGAATTGTGTGACCCATTGGGAAGCTCAGCTTACATCTTGTGGTAGAAGACCTTGGATTCGCCGGTTTGAGCAGATGGGATCAGATGCTTGTCGAGAACCTCGAGAATGTCTTCGCAGATCTTGGAGAGCTCTTTCTCGATGTTTTGACGGTACTCCTTGATCAGCTTGACTTGGGCCTCATTGCCTTTCGACTCCTCCTTTTGTTCAATGGAGGTGACAATTCTCCATGAAGCACGCCGGGCGCCAATGACGTTCTTGTAGGCAACGGACAGGAGGTTTCGCTCCTCGACAGAGAGTTCTTGGTCTGCAGAGGCGACGACCTTCATGTTCTCGACCATCTCTGTACCAAGGATTAGCTGAGAACACGCTAGGTTGAGGATAAGTGGACATTACCCTCGTATCGCTCCGCTTGCTCAGCAAGCTTTGCTAAGTAGACTGACTCCTCTACACCCATTTTTGATGTTGGATGCCGCGAGGTGATTCAAAAGGAAAAAGGAGACCTGCAGGAGGTGCCCGATTAGCCCAGTCATCCAACACAAACAAACGGCAAAAGCGTCAACAAACAGCCCGGACAGCGACAAGGTCGAGAACAAAGGGCCATATTTGGTGTTGCGATTACAGCGAATGCACAGAAAACAATTTCCTTCCCGTTCCGCCGCGATTTTAGCCATACGGAACTGAGATGGAGAGCGAATGGTCGAGATGCGGGAATTGACGTCAATGACGGAGCCTGCACAGGGATCGCAAGCGGACTGGCGGTGGAAGGGTGAAGGACATGTATCAAGAGACTCGCGCGAACCCAAGGTTGGTTCCTACATCCGACTGAAGCTCAAGTGACTGAGGGCGCAGTCGAGGGTTGTCCCGTGCAAGTGCTGGTAGACGTGGGGTACATGCAGACCGCTGGAGAAGGAGGTGACGACGCTTGGGGGGGGTGTAGCTTACCGTTGGAAGAAGATAGGGAGGTCAATGGGACTCGCAACAGGTGAGGACTCGAGAGATCGAGCAGGATTGCAAGTGATCTGAGAGGATGAAGGAGGGTGTTGGGGTGGGTGATTTGCAGACACGTTGTTGGTATGGAAGAAAAGAAAGACGGAAGGACGAGAGTTGGTTGTGTAATGTGCGGCAAGCCTGCAGGCGTCGCCTACAGTAGTTTGAAAAAGGTAGCCGCAGGGGGGGGGGGTGGGAGTGGGAATGGAAGTGGGAGGGAACAGAGTGGGAGGCTCCCTTCCCCCTTCGCTCCTGTCGCCCTGTTTGCTGTTTGCTGTTTGCAGTTTGCAGTTTGCAGTTTTGGCTGTTTGGGGCCTTCCACCAGCCAGAGGCTTGGCCCCGATTAAGGTGCAGGGGGGGCCACCAGCCGCCACCAGCCGCCACCAGACGCCCCTACCAAGCCCGCCAAAGGCCACTGACATAACCTACCGCCGCTTGGTTTGTCCGCATTCAAATTTCCTTCCCAGCCTCACTTGTTTCATCACCACTCATCCACGGATCTCATCGAGATTGGATTGCCTGGCAGCTCTCTGCAACTTCGGGCCTGGAGACCCCGTTCCCAGCATTGAACAATATCCTGCCCTTTAGTATGCTTCTTGATGCCGAGGAGGCCTCTTTGCCGCTTTCAAGGGGCGACTGGCACCGACGAGAATACATCACGTGCTCAAATAAACAATCAGCGGGTCCTTTCGCTCCACCGTAGCAGTTGCCTGCCGAACTGCCTATTAATACGGCGAGACAGTGCGTGCGCATTTCCGTACTCGACATTTGCTCCACTGGTAATACATAGCTGCCATTCACAAGGCGACAGGGGCGAGCTCAGTCAATCAATCCCGCACCCAGACTTCAAACTACTCCTGCATTGTACTCGGTACCAACCCATCCTTCCTTGATCACAATCCAACTCTCATCCCACCCCTCGCCATCCGACAAAATGTTACGAACCCAAGTCGTAAAGCTCGCCAGGGCTTCTGCGGCTTCCTCGATCCGTCGATCCTTTTCCATCACCGCCATACGAGCTTCTGAGGGAGATACTGGGGCACCCAGATATGGTGGATCCGCTGCCGGGTAAGTATTCTTTCAACTGACATCAGACTCTTCCCTCAAAGGCCCTGCCAGGGCAAACCTGCAGGACGATGTCATTAGCGCTGCTGCTGACACTTGGTTTGATGGAAAACAGTGATGCCTTTACCAGACGCGAGCAAGCCAGCGAAACAAAGTTCATCAGAGAGAAAGAAATGGAGAGGTGCGTTCCAGTATTCATCGTCGAGAAGGAGCGATTTGATCCACTGAGGCTAATCTATGAGGACTATTTACACAACAGCTTGAGAAAATTGAAGGAGAAGCTCGCCCAACAACGGAAACACCTTGATGAACTGGATGCGCACATCCAGGAGCTGGAGAAGGATGCTGGTGGCGAAGATCCTCAATACACCAAGGACAAATAAATGGGATCGACATTGGAGGGTCGGGCCCGGGTGGTGGAGAGGAGAGCCGTGATGCTGGGAACCAGTCTCTCGAGGATGAATGCCCCAAAAGCAAAGCAATAAAGCACCAGGCTCACTGGACAAGCACGCTTCTTCGGCTGTACAGTAGTTGGACTGCCTGGCCCGGCAATGTCATGTCTTCACTCCCATGTTGACCGAGAGCTCATTCCCATGTTCGGGCTCTTCGAGATCTGATATGTCTAGTCTTACAACACTTGCAGTTTTAGCTAAGGTGTTCACCACCCCCGTTCCCATTACTTCCCAAAGTGTCCAAAGCACCATTCATTGGAGAAACCCAAGTTGCTTCGCTCACTGATACACTGATAAAGCCCTTTGCCACGTCATGATCGCCTTCCCATGTAACTCCGATAGAAATCCTGGACTGCTGCACCGGTGTCGCTCCCATCGTTCGTTGAAGATGACCTATAGCCGGCTAAATACCCCAATTGACTCGCCACTTTTTGCGCCGCAGCAACTTTTTCCTGTAAAGCCTGTGTGCCTTGATCGATAGCCTGCAGTTGGATCAAGTGCGAATTGAGGATCTTGACGATTTGTGTGATCTATATCGTCCTCATTAGCTCTTGCTTCGAAAGAAAATATAAGGAGGCAGATCAGATTGGCTTACCGGTTCATCTCCCTTTCCACTCCTACTCAGGCTCGCATTTGCGGCATTAACTTCGTCGACCATGCTTCCCAGATCTCTCTCCATCTCCTCCAGTCTCTCCCCCAATTTCTCCGCGAGTTTGTACGTCCTCTCCCTCTCTTGATCGGGTCCACCCAGTTCGCTAGGCGTCACCGAATCTTTGACCAACATCTCATCCACGTCGTTTTCGTATTTACTTAACCAAGATTCCAGTTCCGCTTGCGAGTTTTCAACCGCGGTGAGTTGCATGTCCACACTCACAGTTTGTCGCTCACATGTCCGGGCGCGGACGTACAGCTTGTCGATTTTAGAGGAGTTATCTACAATCAATTGGTCCCACCGGGCGATAGTCTCTGCGTGGTCTTTGAACTCTTTCGAGTAGCGTGACATGTCGGTCGCCCAGCGGGTGAGAATCTCATCCATGGTTTTATTGCGAAGGCGGGATTGAGCTGGCGGGGTTGGTCCAGTTGTTGAAGTCTGGACACCTATGGTACCTGGAACTGAGGGCGCAGCAGGGATTACAGTGGCAGCAGGTTGCGAGGTAGCTAGGGCTGCCGGTTTGCCAAACGAAAACGGGCTGGAAGTAGGAGCTGAGGTAGTGGCAGGTTGCGTTGTTGTAGGTGCGGGCTTACCGAAAAGCGGGCTTGCCGCAGGGACTGAAGTACGGGAAGGCTGAGAAGCTGCCGGGGCGCTGGCAGCTGGGGGACCGAAGGAGAACGGGCTCGCAGTAGGTGCAGTCGCGGTAGCCGCAGCGGTTGTCGATGCTGAGCTCTGAGCACCACCAAGGTTGAACCCTGAGAAAAGAGGTGCTGGGGCAGGAGGAGAAGTCGCGGGTGTCGCTGCTGCTGAAGCCTGCGTTGCGGATTGCTGTCCGAATGAAAAGGTCGGCTGAGCGGCTGACCCTGGAGCTTCTATCGTGGCTGGCTTCGCAAAGAGATTTTGTGCTGCTGGTGGTTTCGGCGCTTCGCCAAATAAGGGAGTATCAGCTGACTGTGAAGTCGCTGGTGCTGAAGTGGGCTGGCCAAACGAAAAAGACTTCTGTTCAGGGGCGGAAGCAGCAGTCATCGACGGTGTGGTTATCGATGTAGATTCTGCTGGCTTTCCGAAACTGAAGGCGCCGGATGAACCACCAAAGAGGTTTCCGGAAGGTGCTGCGCCTGCCGCAGCTGGTTTACCCCAGGAAAATGTTGACTTGGACGCATCTTCGCCTGGTTTCGCACCAAAAAGGCCAACGCCGGCACCGCCTGTACTTGCGGCCAAGGTTGAGCTGGCTGGAGGAGGTCCGGCTGGAGTGGTTGAAGTCGTACCAAAACCGAACGGCTTGCTGGTAGCAGGAGTTGTAGAACCAAACAACGACGGAGCAGATGTTGTAGGGTTCGACGATTTGTCTGGTGTACCGAACCCTCCAAAATTTGGCTTTGCAGACTCGCCGCTCTGCGGCTTGGGCGCGAATAAATTCTGGGGTGCAGAGTTTCCAGAGGTGCCACCCTGCTGTCCAAGGATACCGGGAGACGCGGACTTGTTGTCTTTTGCGCCACCAGTATTAAAGAAATTTGGCGGTTGAGTCGAGGTAGTTGCTGGAGGCTTGATCCCGCCAAAATTGAAACCAGAATTTGTTCCTGATGGAATTCCTCCTGACGATGCAGGGGTATTGGATGTTCCAAATAGCGACTGTGAACTCCCTCCACTTGTAGAAGGCTGTCCGAAATTGAAGGTCATCTTCGCGATTTCCAGCAGGTGAGGCGTTAGGAATCTAGGGAGATGGCATCGCAGGAGGTCGAGGAAGACAAGGTGCAGGGGACGAGCGGATCAGTGTTTGCCGTCCGTTTGAGCAAAAAGGATGGTGTTGGTAAGGGGTGTAAGGCGGTGGCACCGTGGTGGTCGTGACGATGTTGATCAGGACGCGCTCAGGCTCAGGCAGGGAGCAAATAAGTTGATGCAGATGGTGCGGATGGTGCAAATGCAGATGTGCCGATGCAGTGGTTGCGGAGTTGGTGCCCAAAAAGGAAACAGACGCCAATGCTGGCCTGGGCTGCGCCTTGAACCAACTGCATACCACTTCCTTTCTACCTTCACCGTCACGCCCTCTCTGTCTCCTCACCCAGTCTTCTCTTCTGTCGATTCTTCTGTTGTATTGGCAGACAGGGAGATATCCATTCAGCAGTAAAGATGACGAGACCATCTTCATCGAGAGACAGCCTGCATCTTGAACCGCCCAGGAAAAGCGTCGAACTGGAGGATCCCGGTGCTCATGAATGTAAGACTACCTTGAGATCCGATCAAAGCCATTGGGGGAACTAATGGCTGCCATAGTATCATCCGAAGGCGAAGATGAACACTTCTCAGATGCCTCAGAGGGTCAGAAAAGACCCTCCAGACCAGTCACTCCCGCTTCTCCCATTCCCAAGACACGCATCGAAAAGGTCGATGATGAGCCACGATATGGCGAGGTGCCCGGCACGCCTGCCTACGAAAAACGAATGTTGGATGCCGTGCCTGACGAGGTCGAGATTGTCCCAGAAGGCCGCCTCAGTAAACGCTCCTCTCAGCTTCTCGAACCACCCACGACCCCGGGAGGCACTCTTATACCACGTACTGTGGTCGAGAAGCTCGACCCCGAATCCCCGAGCTATGGTGAAATCCCGAAGACTTCGGCCTATCTACAGAGGCAAATGGATGCTGTTCCCGATGTCATTCTGAGGACCCCCGAGCCTGGAAGGAGGCACTACACTGATGATGGGGCGGGAGATGGACAAAGATCTTCTTCTTCTTCTTCCTCGGATATCCAAGTGCCAGAAACCGTCATTACTCGGGTCGACAGTATCCCCGCCCATGGCGAGATCCCAGGCACGGAGGCCCGTAAGAAGCGAACTCTCGATGCTGCACCGGATATCATCGAGAAGCAGGGCAGCGGAGCAGGTAAATCCAGCGTACAAACCAACTTTCAGGAGGACCATTGACCTGATTCAGGGTCACCCATTCTCGACAGATCTATGAATTCTACAAGACGGAGATCCGCTCTAAATAACAATGATGATGGCAACGACCGTAATGATAACGACTTCGGAGATGAGTTCGATGAATTTGAAGAAGGCGCACAAGCTGGGGCTGATGATGACTTCGGGGACTTTGACGATGGCTTTGAAGAACCTGAGGCTGTCGAGTCACCACCTCCTGTATCTACTTCTCAATCAAGTTCTGTACCAGCCGACGCATTCGTGAGTTTCCCATCTTCGTTGACGCCCTATAGTGTGTTGATCTAACTATCCAACCGCAGCCCCTAATCGATTTCGGTGCCCTTTCATCAGCACCAGATTTCCTTGCTACCGCACAGATGCACCTAGACGCCATGTTCCCGGCTTCCGCAGCCGACTACTCCTCTCGATTTCCACCACAAGAAACGATATCAGATTCCTCACCCATCTTCCCCTCGGACCGCTCACGCTCCCTCTGGAAGCAACTCATCACACCACCTCCGCTCCAACCGCCGAATTGGACACAATCGCGAATCCGGCGGTTATTCCTGGTCAGCCTTGGTGTACCGGTCGACCTGGACGAAATTCTACCGCCAAGTAAGCAGAAGAAACTTGTTCTGCCGGACATCAATCTAGAACCTTCAGCACGCAAATCGGAAGCCGATAAGACGTTAGGTTCTCTTGCACGCCTCAAGGCACAAAGCGGTGCAAACGACTCATCTGCCTCGATCGACAGCACACAATCAGGCGGCGTCAAAGAAGGCCAAAGAGTACCCCGCTCAAGGAAACCGAAAGGACCGCCTCCGCCACCAGAGTTAGACCTAGCAGCTGTGAAACGACTCTGCGCTACAACCGAGGAAAAGCTCGAAGGATTGACCGACGAAGAATTGCAGAGCCATGTGAAGGAATTAAATGAATTGACAGCAAGGACAAGTGAAGTTCTGGAGTACTGGCTGAAAAGAAGGGATGGATTGGTTAAGGAAAAGGAAGCGTTTGAGGGGGTCATTGAGAATTTGGTCAGGCATGCTAGGAGGGTGAGGAAATAGACCTCCATCCAAGCTGTCACAAAAACATACAACATTTCTAACGCAGGCAAATTCTTCTAAAGTGGAGAGCTGTCGCCGAGCAGAAAGCCAGTTTTGCAGCAAGTCTTCGCCCTGGCTGCTTAATGCATCCTCACATTCTTGAATCGAGGTCGGAAAAGAGGCTATCCCAGCCTGGCATCCCCATCTTCGGCCCTAACTCGACATAGTCCTTCCATATCTCGTCAAACTCTGACAGATAGTGCTGACCGTCTTCTTGGGGAGTCCAGTTGTTATCACAAGGCCGCGGTGCTTGTTGTCCCCCAGGGTCTAGAGGTATTTGAGGCTGAAGAGACTGCGGAGGTTGCTGCTCTGTCGCATCCCCAGCTAAAGGACCGCTAATTCCATGCAGGCGAACCTTGTGCTTTCTGAGCACATCCATGAGAGACTCAAGAAACTCACGCGCCATCCGTGACTGCGACTTCGCGTCTTCCAGCGTCTTGCAAGCTTCCGCGACCTCCGCTTTCCGCGCTGCGTCGTCTTCCCCTGCGGCAGCCTCGTTGAAACACAGATCCATCACCAGCACAATGGTCGCCATGAAGATGTGATAGATTACACCGGTATGCCTTGCGATAACTGCCATAAAATTGCCTGGCTCATCTAGCTGAAGAAGTCCCTTCATCCGGATGACTGATCGAGCCGACTTCAGCGATATCTTGCGGGAGTAGTCATAATGGCGTTCCACAGAGCGGCGGATGAGAAAGGGCTGGTGGAGTTTACAGCGTCTCGTGTGTCCAATCATTCCCAATGCATAACGCTGGACTTGCATCTGGGGATAACGACGCATGACCGGTTCGCTTTCGCGCAGATGGTATTCGTCGACTTTGAAGAACGAAGGCAGCTCTTGGAAGAAGGCTTCGAATTTCCTGTCAAGTGTAACCACATCTTGGTAGTTGACGGTCCCCAGCTCCAGGCTCGACAGCGGCATCACGTCGACGACACTGCGGCAGATGTCGGCGAGCTTAATTCTCTGGATGTAGTATGACATGCTGGTGGGTTCGGATAGGGGTTTGTCAATAGGAGGGGTGTCCTGACAAAGGTCATCGTCGTCAACATTGCGTGGCCTATTCACATGCATATGTCGTGGTTGGACAAAATAAGTTCCTTCCTGTGGACCTCCACTGAGACTTAACAACCTGCAGGCCGGTGAGTAGCTGTGGGCCCTTGTTCTGAAAGCAAGGACATACCAATCAGTTGCCACGACATGCCACCAAACCCTGCGCTTTATCTCAGTCTCCAAGCCAGTCTGTTGGTTAGCAACATTGCCTAGTGTGTCGATCTTGTGCAGCGAAAGATCACGCGCCATTGCCACCGTACTGGCGAACAAACAACGGGCTCTGGTCGAGAATCCCTCACTGTGAAACAGAAGAAACCCCAGGATGACGGCGGCCTGGACATCCTCCAACTGTCTGGCAATCGTGCGGCGAGAGGATTCTATTACTTCCAGCGCAGCATTTGTCCAGAACGAGGACGCTTGGGCAGCTTCAGACGTCGAGAACGATGGTCGGCTGTCTCCCAAAAAATAAACGCAAAGGGCTGAAGCACTTGCGAGGATGCTGAGCAAGAGCGCCACTTCGGAAGGGATGACGAGGAGGCCTTGCTCTAGGCTAGAATACAGATTCTGCATCGTCATCCGGACAGTGGGAACGTGAACGACATGTTGGAGGTCGTCAATGTGTTTGAAATAGTGGTCGAGTAACAGTGACGCTTCCTCCTTTGGTGGAAGACACAGGCCCTTCGAGGCCGGCCGGAAAGGAAAAGTCTTACCAGAATCGAGGGAGATCTGGCGCATGGACATTATGCGGATGTCACAGCCTCGTGGAAATACCAATGGTGCTTCGTGGGTGCCAGTCTCCTCGAGGCTGTGAACGGCCTGCTCGTATTCCGATGCCGGTGACAGACAGGCAAGGCACAGAGAGGAGATAGCCTTGGGCTGAGGTAGAGGTGGAGATGTTCCTGAGCCAGTTATTGTCGTATCTGGGGCTAACGGCCTCCCAATGACGATGTCTTCAAGTCGTTTCAATCGCGCAAGAACAGATTGGTCGCTCGAATCTTCGACAAACGCAGATGGACGCCGACCAGAGGGCATGAATTTACCATCGCAGGCCAGGCCTCTTGACGTACAATTCGAACATGGCTGCTGTCTGTTACACTTCAGTTTCTTCGACCGGCAGAATTGACAAGATACAGGATCCTGGCGGGGCCTCTTCATGGGATTTGGAGGCGCATCTGCTCGATCCATGCCGGAAGACATCATTCTTAGGCCTGACCGTCTTCGAGACCCAGGAGGTCGACACCACAAAGACAAAAAACTACCCTTTATGCCGCGGAGAGTCCAGGAGCCTTGAACGAATACTTTACGTTGGCAAAGTTCAGCCGCAGTCCAGGAGGAATCCCCATATTAGTTAGTATCGGGGTAATTAGCTAGCCTTGCTGAAAATAGGACGCCTTAAGCTGTCGTTGCGCCGTCGCTCCCTATTATACTATTCGTCAGACGGCTCTATTGGGACCCGCACCGGCTAAATGGGCCAATCGGCTGTGAAGAGAGTACGGAGCCTTGGAAACTAGGAAGTTCCATGGAAGCTCCGAGCTCTCTACCGAGTACTTGTATATCAGTTCTTTTGTCACGGCCGTGTCCATCCAACTTCAACCATAGGCTGCGGCGAACTAACTCATGCCTGACAATTTAGCACAATCCCACGTCCCCATTTTTTAGCCGGTTGTCAACATGCATTGGCCACTCGAGCCCATGGTCTCTCCGTTTCGTTCAAGCTTCGGGACGTTGATAAAAGGTCCTGCTCTCGTTTCCTGCGCCGACACGGATCCTCTAACAGCAATTCGTCCTCCTGACTTTTCAAAATGGGGGAAGACACAAAACCCGCGTTGAGCTCAGATTCAGACAAGGCAGTAGTGGCAGGGGATAGTCTGAGCCGAAATGCCATTGGTGAATTCAAGTCAGTACTCTTCCATGGTCTTCTGGCGGGGGTTGACACCACTCCCACAGCACAAGATCGATTCTCACCCTCGTCGGCTCCGCCTTGTCAACCTTCTGCACAGTTGGCTTCCTCAATGTGTTTGGCGTCTTCATCGACTACTACCGGAGACATGAATTGGCCCACAAGTCCGAATTTGACATTTCCTGGATTGGCTCTTTCTCCACGTTTATTTTCTTCCTCACCGCAGCGCCGGCAGGCCTTTTTGTTGATCGTATGGGCCCTACAGTAAGCACGGGCCATATACCCATGCACGATACCAGTCAGTCCAGTTAACCTACTGTCTAGATTCTCCTCATAACAGGAGGCACGATAACTGTCTTTTCCATGTTCATGATCTCTCTATGCCATGAATATTATCAGTTTTTCCTGACACAAGGGCTTCTTCTAGGTATAGGGCAAGCATTTCTCGCCTGCCCTGTTCTTGCCATGGTTAGCCGTCACTTTCACAAGAATCGTGGTTTGGCGACCGGCGTTACGATCGCAGGTTCCTCTCTGGGTGGCGTCATATGGCCTATAATGGTGGATCAACTTCTCAACAAAGACGACATCAGTTTCGGCTGGACAATCCGTATTGTTGCCTTTACAATGCTTCCGCTTGTGGTCATAACTTGTGTCACTGTCCTTCCCCCAGCGACACAGAAGCCCAGTGGTGGGGCAACTCTCCCATCAGCCCGGAAAGACAACGCGAAGAAGACAGACCTGTCAATCCTCAAGAACCGGGTTTTCCTTACCTTTTGCGGGGGAATAGGGCTCTATTACCTGGGAATGTTCTCCCCTTTCTTCTTTGTAACCTCATACGCCGTCAGCATTGGTCTCTCCACTAGCTTCGCATTCTATCTCGTCTCCATTCTCAACGCTGCCTCCCTTTTTGGGAGAATTGGCGCTGGCTGGGCTGCTGATAAATACGGTCTTTTCAATATGTGCTCACTAGCCGCGATGGCCTCTGCGGCGGTTGCATATTGTTGGACGGCCGCCCAAACATCAGCGGGTCTGGTGGTCTGGAGCTTGGCTTATGGGTTTTGCTCGGGTGTGAGTTGTCCCCTTGTCGTTAAGCCACGAATTGCGACTGAAAACTCCGCTCTTCCAGTCAATCTTGAGTCTCCAGGTGGCTTGCGGCACGAGGCTGGCAACACCAGAATCATACGGTACTGCAGTCGGCATGATAATGGGAATAGTCTCGTTGACGTGAGTTGGGATTCTTTCTACCTCTCTCCAGGACTTTCAATTACTGACATCTTTCGTCATGAGCGGCCTCTTCGGTTCTCCTATCAGTGGCGAGCTAATCAAGTACAGCTACCTTGCTCTTTCCATGTATGCAGGAACAGCATTAGTTGCTGGTGGGCTGTTCATTTGTTTGGCACGACTTCAACTGTCTCAGCAGCTATTGGCTATTGTCTGAATGCTCTGGGCAGTATTGGGATAGATCGAGTATTCGGAAGGTATCCAGTGCCGGAAGAGAGGTACAGTGGAGTGTAGGGATTTATTATGTGCATAGCATAGACTTGTGAGGCGAATCTCACCTCAATGTACGGAGAAATACGTACACTGCTCAGAACACCACAGAAGGCTGTTTCTTACCTAATATGGTTAGTCTGATTTGGAACTAAAATCAGCGGGATCTGGACAACAGGCTGGACTTCGATTCGCAAGCCCTCGCTGTCTTGTATCAATTTCACTGTGCATTAGACATTCAGAGGAGAAGAATCGACTGCGCAGCCTTCTTTACATAACCATCCCCTTGCCCAAATCTATCCAGCTTTCGCACTCAAATTTCCTCAGACAACAGCTCGCCACTGCACTCTTCCGGTATTCACAGAAGGCCATCCGCGCCTCTGAAAGCAGAGCAAGGATGCCTGCAGCCATGTCCTCCCAATTACCCTCCCTCGACTCGATCCTGCATACCCTCCGACAGTCTCTAAGCACTCACGACCCGTCTCAAGCGCAGTCACAGTTACAAAAGGCGAAGCTCGCCCTCCTACAACAAAATGCCTTAATACCCTCTCCCGAAACTCCCGTGCAGACACTAGCAACCGCTCGTTCAATATTGGAAGCTGGCGCTCTTCTCTCCATCCGATCAAGAGAACCAGAATCCTTCGTGAGATATTACTCTCAGCTACAACCCTTCTATGATTTTCCCGGCCTACAACAGACACCTTCGAGAGAACGCTCAAAACTCACGGGACTGTATTTGCTTCTATTACTCAGCCAGGGCGATTATGCTGGTTTTCACACCCTCTTGGAGTCTCTGATTGCGGCGGAGGGGGCGAATGGGTCCCCGAGCGTAGAAGCCGATCCGTATATCAAATACCCCATGGAGTTGGAGAGAAGTCTCATGGAAGGCAGCTACGACCAGGTCTGGCGGAAGACAAATGGGCGAGACGTCCCAGGTGAAGAATTTGGGTTGTTCTCCGATGTATGTCGTTGTGCATTTTCTGCACCCCTCGCATGAGTACTGACGTTGATACTAGATCCTAATCAACACCATCCGTATCGAAATCGCCTCCTGCGCCGCCCGCTCCTACCCCTCTCTTCCTATCGCCTCGGCCAAGAATCTTCTCTTCCTAGACTCTGAAGGCGCAGTAATGGAATTTGCACGCGAGCAAGGGTGGAGTTTGGAAGAAGGGAGGATATATTTCCCCGGATTGGAGGCGTCCAAGAAGACAGAGGAAGGGGACGAGAAGGAGGTGATTAGTCACATGGTGGAGTTTGCGAGAGAACTGGAGAGCATCGTTTGAATTCTGCCTGCGAGCGTGAGGAGCAGATCGAGCGAGATGGATGTTGTACTCGTACTCAAGGGCATAGCCTTGCATAGGACGGTGGCACAAGTGAAACGATCTTGCGGACAAAAGCACATGGTCACTAAGGTTGGAGAATCATGTCTCTAGTGTATGGGCTCCTAACCTTGCTTTGTGCAGCTTGACCTCGTACGCCCGTACTTTCATTTTCCCCGCCATCCCTCCGGCAGCGCGTGCTCTGTCCTGGTTGAAAATTCAATCTGGAGGCATCAAAATGGTTAGGATCAATTTTGGCTGTTCTCGACAACTTTGGCTCACTCATCACTGACTCTGCGCTTTCAGATGATCTACAAACCTCCACGTGCATATCTTCATATCATAAAAGCTGCTGCTGACAATCGTGTAAGCTGGCGCTGCCCCTGCCGGGCTGCCTTCTCCCGCTTGTTCCCTACCCTTCTGCGGCTGATCTTGGCTGCTGCCATTGGCGTTGCCGTCTTCAAGTCGAGCGTCGCAGCAGTACACCATACTCTCATGGCCCGCACGGAAGATCGTAACGGGCGCGATTGTCCATGTGTCTCCTTGGGAGGAGCTGGACGTGACAGTGGTTCGTGTGATGCGAATAATTGCGGCGCCGGCATGCATCAGTGATGCGAGGACGAGGGTGTGATGCTGGAGCTGAGCCTGGCCCTCCTTCCTGGTCGAGTACTGATCCAAAACCTTCAGCCGCCACACTCCACCATCAACCCTCAGTTCCGTCTTGAAGCTTGCACGATATGTCTGGGTGTCAATCTCGAACAAGCGTATGTACTCGTCGTAGCTTCCTGTGGCTAGTGGAATGACATCTCTTCTGTTATCACCCCCATTGCCACTTCGAACGGTGATGGGGGGGAGAGGGAGAATCGATACTACTCCGGCGGTATGGCTGCGGCGGTCTCTCCATAGGGGCATGGTGTTGAGAGATAGTGTGTTGCAGGGGGATAGTGATGTTGAATTCGGCGCCGACGGGTGGTTGGGAATGGTGGATGGGGAAACCGAGGAGGCAACCAGGGCACTGTCATCGCCGCCACTGAGAATCACTCGGGATGTACTCCGGTTTCCATCCCACGATGACGAGCCAAGATCGAGAACTGCAACGGTCCAAGCCTCCAATTCATGGCTGTGGACAATATCGTTCGAGATGGGCACCAGCGCCTGAGGAGGTTGATCCGCCCTCTCGTCAAAGAGGTCCTTGACTGCTGGCACCGAAATTCTTACCACCCTCGCATCCCCGAAACTCGTGGTCGCCGCGAAACCCACATCAACTACATCGCTTATCCCAACCACCCCGTGCGTACGCGTTTCAGGAAACCAAGTGAATTGTGTGAGCAATGGTACAAGACCATGTTCGTCATTGTTGGCCACCCTGACAGTTCCCAAGGGGAGGAGTTTCGTAATCACCCGCCGACCGAGCACGTCGCCGTGTATAGTGAACCGGAAGAGATGCACTGTGGCATTGCTGGTCGCGACGCCTAGAAGCGTGCTGTCGGAGGGGTGGAAATGGGTATCCAACACAGCGCAAGGGAAATCCACTCTGTCCAATGACGGAGGCAGCATGCCAACATATCTCGGCTTGAATGTCGACATGACAGTCGCTACTTGGAGAGAGCCGCGGCGTTTCTGCCCGTTGTAGTCGCATGGTTCGTCTTTCTTTAGGAGTGAATATGTACCGATGATCATATAGTCCGGGTGGAGCGGACAGATGGCGACTGTGTCGACTTCCTGGTCGACCGTGCGGGAGCTGTACTCGATCTCTTCTGATATGTTGGCCATTGTGACGAGTGGCGATGGCGATATTCTAGGAGGAATGACGCTGGTGGCGATCTGTGCAGCTTGGTCGGCGCGGTACTGTTTGATGCTTGCTTTTACCATTTGCATGAGTTCGGTGATGGAGGGTTTAGACAGAGCCATTGCGAACAGATGGAGATTATTTTCAAAACCAACCTTGGAACAGAGCACTTGAATGGACTTACTGTTTGATGTCGAGGGCTTCACGGATGGCCTCGGCGACAAATAGAGGTAATCTAGGATATCTAGGTGGTGAAGGTTGAATGTCTAGCAATGGTGCGGCAGAAAGGGAGTCCATAGCTCGCTTACTCGGAGATGACGAGCAAGCCTTGTTGAATTGCTTCTGATGGTCTTCCAAGGCTTAGTATTATATGCCTAGACAAGTGGAATAGACATAGGGCGAGGTGAGGAACAATTACTCCTCCTCCATCGCGGTGTCAGGATGTTCTCGGTGCAAAATTGAAGCGGGCGATTTTTCGTCTGACAAAATATCCCGCCTCCTCACGTGGCAGTTGTCAGCAGTGGTTCGTTGCCCTCGGATTGGTGAGGTTTGCAGTACACAGCATTGCGCAAGAATGGGCAAAGATTTCAGGATTACGCCTAACATATTGCCGACAGAGAGGAAGATAGAATTTCTCGATGGTTCTGAGGCTGCTGCTCACTACGACGTATAATCGGATACATATGGCCGAAGGGTGCGGCAAGCGAGATTGTTAGGGCATATGGAGGTCTACCAGACAGAACAGAACTCGAGTCAATATCATATTGTCGAATGCAGCTCAATCACGCAACGATTGCGCAGCTCGTTGAGAGAGATGATCCTAACGCTGCGAGAGAGCGACCACCTAGCGGCGCGGAAATATTGAATACACATACGAGCGAAAGATATTGCGTTCCATGCCTGAAACGCCCTTCACATCCAAGCTTCTGTCGGGAGACGGTAGCTAAGGCCTGGTGGCAGAGGACAATCATGCCAATCATTGCCAAGAATCGTTTGCACTTAGTTGAGGCAACACGAATCCAGATTGCGGTGGCGCTTTTTTCCTCCTTTAGAGGCCTGCAAAGGCGATCACCTCGGTTCTAACCAGTCATTCTGATCAAGTGTTTTGGAAAGGACGTGGTGCAGCCGGCAAAATCCCTGTCCTGGCTGAGTGTCTTTGAAGATAGGCCGATTGTGAAGATCCCTGGCTAATGCTGTGTTCCAATCCTAGCTCGTCGAAGGCAGCCTGGTGAGGCCACCGCCTCGGCTTCGACAGGAGCATTTCCAACAGCTCAAGACTTGGTGATTGACAAGTGGCTGCCTTGGTAGCAGATCACTTTGAGAAGCAAAAAGGCGTCACTCGTTGGCATGGAGTCGGCTGATGAAGGCTCTTGCAAATCCCATTCGTCATAGATCATACACTCCATCATTGTGGGGTATCATATCGAAAGAGGAAACGTAGTTCGACTCACTTCCGTGCTTGTTCTCTTTCTACCTCATACATGAAATCGAAATAAGGCTTGTCGAAAGCATGCATTCTGACGTAACCATCCTCACCGCCACTAGCGTACGCAATGCCTTGTGGGTGGACGGCGATGGTGTTTAGGGGGCCGAAGTGACCTCTAACGCGACCAATTTCATCCTCGAAGATCTTGTGGTAGAAGCGAGCTTCAAATTTGCCTTGGCGAGCAGATGTTGTGGTGACTTCCATAGCCGCTTGGCCGCCTCCAAGGATGACAAAGTCTTTCTTTGGGGTAATAGCAGCGGTGTTTAACGGCGTGTCAGCAGGATATGATTTGAGAACGCTCAAGTCTCGTGAAGATAAAATCTTAGCTGTCTTGTCTTTTCCAGCTGTGATGAAGTAGGTCCGGTCGGGAGAGAATTGCAGATCGTTGATTGTGGTGTCATACTCATGGGCCTCTTGGGTCAACAAGAGTTCCCCAGTCTTTGCATCCCACTGACTGACAGACCCGTCTTCATGGCCGGAGATGATGTACTTGTCCAGGTAACTCCATCCCGCGACTGTGGCCTTGCTTTCCTCACACGTAATCCTCAAGCTGTATTCGTCGGTCTGGTCTGTAAGGTCATCACCGTATCGGATGTCGTAGACCACAATAGTCCCCAAGTATCCCATTCGTTTTTCCGTGACTGCGAGCAGTTGCTTTCCATCCTCACTGAACGCGACCCGTTTGACGGCGGTCGGAAATTCCCATGTCTTCACATTCTCCCCTGTTCGAGTATTCCACAACTTGATCGTGTTGTCTGCCGCCCCAGAGGCGAGGAGCTCGGTGTTCGGTGACACATCGACAGTCCAGATCGCACCCTGGTGGCCATTGTAAGTTCCTACTCTTTCTCCGTTGCTGGTGTACCACGCGCAGATGACTTTGTCTTTCGCTACCGAGAAAAGGAGATCGCCATCTCTGTTGTATTTGATTTGGCTGAGCGATCGCTCCTAGCACATGCGTCAGTTTTGGTCTGAGGTAAATTTTCCCCCTGGACTACTCACATGGCCCTGCAGAAGTATCGGCCTCATCTTGTGATGCAAGATCTATCTAAGAGATTACTCGAGCGTAGCAGGCGTCGGCAAACCTAAAAATATCAAAGAATGAAGACAGACTGAGCGTGAAATCGGGGCGTTGGAAGTGGAAGGGTCATGAACGGGCGACAGGTGGCTGTGTGAGAAATCGATGCCAAGCTCGAGATTTTCCCGAGTCATGTCGTCCGCTGCCTGCGAGTCATGACTATCCAAAAATTCCACGTACGGGGCTGTTCGAAAACATCGTCTCAACCTTTAACCGGCTCTCTCAATGATGAAAATACTCGAAGACCAGGGACAGCTGCTTCCTTGGTCACATGAGACGAGTTTTCTACGGAGCTTTGGGCTCTGACATGGCCAGCAGATTATCTAGTGCGACGCGTCCAGATCATATATTTGCAGCTCGCACCACTCTCCGTATCTCAATTTTCTCCAATAGTCGTCTCCGCCCTCCGACTTTACCCTCTCAACTTTCGTCTCCCATAAGCCTGACTGCAATTAGGGCTGCCTCTGAAGCCAGCTTGATCTGCAGAGGGGACCGGCCCTCCGGATTACCAGCTGCCCGCCCCAGAATAGTCTCTGCAACAGTTGGACCCCGGCTGCCCATCTCGTCCACCAGCCAAGTCGCACGAGCCGAACTTTTCCAGCCCTCACCGTCGCTCCACTTCCGAGCTTTCTCAAGCATAGCGTCAAAAATGGGAGCTACAAAGATCGATGGGAAGGCAATTGCCCAGAAGATAAGAGAACGGCTGGCGGCAGAGATCCGAGAGAGACAAAGGGTCAACCCACGATATATGCCGTGCTTGAAAATCATCCAAGTCGGTGATCGACCAGATTCGACCACTTACGTGCGAATGAAGCTGAAGGCAGCTGAAGAAGCGGGCATTGACTGTGCTCTGATCCATCTCCCTGACACAATTTCAGAGCCTGAACTAGTACAGCAGATCATTGGCTTCAACAATGATCCTTCTGTACATGGCATTCTCGTCCAACTACCTCTCCCCAAACACCTTTCCGAGCATACGATCACTTCCTCTGTTGTGGATGAGAAGGATGTAGACGGGTTTGGGGCTAGAAATATTGGAGAGCTCGCAAAGAGAGGCGGCAAACCTTTCTTCGTCCCCTGCACCCCGAAGGGAGTCATGGTGTTGTTGCAAGAGAGTGGCGTTGAGCCCAGGGGCAAGACTGCTGTTGTCCTCGGTCGTAGCGACATCGTGGGCAGTCCGGTCAGTTATCTCTTGAAGAATGCCGACGCCACGGTGACTGTCTGCCATTCCAAAACCCAACACATCGAAGATGTTGTCAAACAAGCCGATATTTTGGTTGCCGCTATCGGCCAGCCAGGCTTTGTTAAGGGCGATTGGTTGAAGCCAGGAGCTGTGGTCATTGACGTCGGCACAAATTACATTTCTGATGCCTCAAAGACCTCGGGACATCGGCTCGTTGGCGATGTTGAATTCGAGACAGCTGTTCAGGTTGCCTCTCAAATCACGCCAGTCCCCGGTGGTGTTGGCCCTATGACAGTTGCGATGCTCATGCAAAATGTCGTCGATTCCGCCTCAGCTTACTTTGAGAGACTCAAAGCGAGGCACGTCACTCCGATGCCAATTAAGCTTCAAAAGCCGGTACCGTCTGATATTGAAATTTCCAGATCGCAGCATCCAAGGCATATCACACAAATTGCTGCCGATATTGGCATTGCACCTCATGAGTTGGAACCCTACGGTGCTCACAAAGCCAAAGTTGACCTGTCGATTCTCTCAAGGCTGGCGCATCGTCGTGACGGAAAATATGTCATGATCAGTGGTATCACTCCAACTCCACTTGGAGAAGGGAAATCTACCACAACAATGGGCCTTACACAGGCTTTGGGAGGTCACTTAGGAAAAGTGGTATTTGCTAATGTTCGACAACCAAGTATGGGGCCGACCTTTGGCATCAAAGGTGGTGCAGCAGGCGGTGGCTACAGTCAAGTTATTCCCATGGATGAGTTCAACCTTCATCTAACGGGTGACATCCACGCAATTTCAGCTGCGAACAACCTTCTAGCTGCTGCTATTGATACACGCATGTTTCACGAAGCTACGCAAAAAGATCGCGCGTTGTACAAAAGATTGGTACCCAGTAAGAATGGGAAGCGCGAGTTTGCTCCGGTCATGCTCCGAAGACTCAAGAAGCTGGGAATCGACAAAATGAACCCTGATGACCTGACTGACGAGGAGATTCGCCGGTTTGCACGGCTAGACATCGATCCAGAAACAATTACCTGGAGGAGGGTCGTTGATGTCAACGACAGGCTCCTGAGAGGCGTCACGATCGGCCAAGGTCCCCTTGAGAAAGGCCTTACCAGACGGACAGCATTCGATATTTCTGTTGCAAGCGAGTGCATGGCCATTCTTGCACTGAGCAACGACCTGAGAGACATGCGGGAGCGGCTTGGTCGAATAGTAATCGGCTTTTCAAAAGCTGGAGACCCTATTACTTGCGACGATATTGGCGCCGGCGGTGCCATGACTGCTCTCATGAGGGATGCTATCAAGCCCAACCTAATGCAGAGTTTGGAGGGAACCCCCGTCTTCGTCCATGCTGGGCCATTTGCAAACATCAGCGTTGGCAACAGCTCCATTCTAGCTGACAGGCTGGCTCTGAAGCTTGCAGGGACCGAACCTGACGAAGATCACGAAGCCAAGGCTGGCTTTGTCGTCACTGAAGCTGGTTTTGATTTCACCATGGGCGGTGAAAGATTCTTCAACATCAAGTGTCGAAATTCGAGTCTTGTCCCCGATGTCGTTGTCGTTGTTGCCACAATTCGGGCGCTGAAAGTCCACGGTGGTGGTCCAGATATCTCACCAGGATCTCCGCTTCCGGAAGCATACCGCACAGAAAACACTGAAATGTTACGCGCTGGCTGTGTCAACCTCAGAAAACACATTGCGAATGCAAGATCCTACGGCATCCCAATCGTTGTGGCGATCAACAAGTTCGACACTGATACCGAGGCTGAGTTCAAAGTCATTGAAGAGGAAGCACTCGCTGCCGGTGCGGAGGCAGCCGTACCCGCGACCCATTGGGCTGAAGGGGGTGCGGGTGCGGTTGACTTGGCCAAGGCAGTAATTGAGGCTTCTTCAAAGCCAAAAGATTTCAGGTTCCTGTATGGTCTTGAAGGGACTGTTCAAGAACGCGTTGAGAAGATTGGGAAAGAGATGTACGGGGCAGGAGCGGTCGAGTTTAGCGAGTTGGCACAGAAAAAGGTCGACATGTACACTAAAAACGGCTTTGGGAATCTACCCATATGCATTGCAAAGACTCAATACTCACTGAGTCACGACCCGGCATTGAAGGGGGCGCCAACTGGGTTCACGGTCCCGATAAGCGACGTGAGGTTGGCCGTCGGCGCAGGCTACCTATATGCATTGGCTGCGGATATTCAGACTATCCCTGGTCTTCCAACAGCGCCAGGATATCTGAATGTCGACGTGGACCCTGAAACTGGTGAGATAGATGGGCTGTTCTGAATGGCCGACGTTGCAACGGTATTTACAGTACGCATGATGCACTTTTGACGACTTTCAACAACTCTTGAGATACCCATTTCAACAATAATTCTATAGGTGGTAGGTTTAAAAACAAAATTCAATGGGGTTCAAAATAGGATCTCGATTCCCTTGCGCTGGGCGAAAGCTGCCCATCACATCGGCAAGCCGGTCCCTCCGTTCAACACAGACGGTTCCGTGAAGTCGGAGTGTCTGTAAGCATGTTTTCTTGACCCGATTTCACGAGGTCACCGTCTCATTGTTTATCCTCGTCACACTCCTTTCCACCAAAGTCCCTAACCACCGCGGCGAGCTCAGCGAGAGCATCGAGAGGGCCTAAAAGTATACCCGACTCCGTTCGGGGTACAGGAAAAGGTCGGGGTGCAGAAGCCTAGCTCGATTCCTCCCGGGTTGGGGGGTTCTTTCGCTTCCTTTTGACGGGGCTTCAGTCATTGAAGTTCTGGAGACGACCAAGTTATCTAGGTTCTCTTGTATCAGCCCACGGTAATCCTTCGGGTGATATCGCTGCAGGCCGTTCAGACGTCCGCCTCCCTTTCGGCGGTAGTCCAGCATCCCCTCGGGCGTCGAGGGGCTAGGCGTTGTGGCACGCCTGACGGCCGGGTTCTCATGCTTGAGGCAGTTTGTGTAGGTTGCTTAGAGGAATTCAAGCACAAATGATGACACAGGAATTGATAATTCCGATCTTTGATATGTTTGGCATGCTGTCATGGTGGGCCCTCGGGCAAGGCTGGAAGATCTTTCGATGACTGTCATATCAGACCTCATGGAAGTCTTCCTCTCGCATCAACACGTCTGCCGCATGCCAATCTTGGAAGTGACACTGTTTCACTTCCGAAATTCGTCAGATGGGCAGCGTGCGAATACATCGGAGCTCAGCTCGGCCATATTGGTGGTTCGCCGATCCTTCCAGCGTGTCGACTCAATTACTGTAAGTGGCCACGTGAGCACCACGGGGTTGAACCTGGGATCATTGGAAGGCGAGTGCGGTCTCCATACGAGTATCCGCCTTCTTGTTGTCAAGTGTTTTGAAACCCGGTCCAGGCGCGAGGAAGCCCCCAACACAAGCAAGTGGGTTTTAAGGTTGGAAACAAGCCAGTTTCTGGTTGCCAAGGCTGCCCCCCCCTCTTTTCAGTCACGTCGTTGAGGCTAGGAGATGGGACAACGTTTCTTCCTCTGGCGGGAGGAAAGAGTCCACCATCTACATTTCCTCGCGTAGGCCGATGATATTAGTAGAATCAGTTTCAAATCCATTCTGGTCCTATTTCCTGAATCTTGGCCTCCAAAGCATTGGTCGTCTTGTGTCGAACGTCGCAAGCTTTGCCAGGTAGAAAAGTGGGAAGGCTATTCCGGCGTTGAAAGTGTTGTACACACACATGAGCCCAAAATTTCTCCAGCGATCCCCGTAGTCCATGTTGCGGGTGACGAGATATTGATCGCCAGTTGAATACCGACAATATTGGCAGTTCGAAATGGCGTCCGGATTCAAGAGGTAGCCAAACTGTTGCTGGACGAATGCGCCGGCGTATTCCATGCATGTCTGTCCTAGCGGCGGTTGGAAGACATTGATCTCCTGGGAAGCGCAGATGATGCGGGTACCGTGGATAACGTTAGAGATATACCCGCTCATCAGGTACGTGTATGGTGAAGCGTGGTACATGAAGTGCCAGAATTGGGGAAGCTGGCTAAGCGGTTGCAGCACGCCATTGAAGGCGACCACAAAAGACGCAAAGACCGTGGTCAAAACGGCTGCCGTCTGAGAGTTGGGCGCAAGAGAGGCAATGGCGACACCAAAGGTGGAAATCCACATTTCGTAGGTCATGAGGAGGAGCCACATGTAAAACCCTCTTCCCCCTTTTCCTGCGGTGCCACCCACCCAGTCTTTCGAGAAGTCGATCGCGAAGTACCATGGGAAGAAGAACAGGGTGCCCGCCAATATGTTAAAGGTTATCTCCGTGAGAAGATTCGAGAGGACAAATACGCTCCAGTGGTACATGCCGGAAGGATTTTCTCGCTCCGTGAACAGTTTCGCCAAACTCGAAAATTGTGGTTGGAATTGGTTCATGATTGGCATGCCTAGAATGGCTGATGTGAAAGATGCGAATAACTGTAGAGTTGTCAGCTCTTGAATGGTTCAATGCGCCTGGATGGAGGGCGTCAAGTGGAACTCACCTTGTTCTGTAGACCCTGTGGTGAGTTACCTTCTTTGTAAAACGTGAATCCCAGAAACAGACCGGCGACTACGTTCAACATGATCTTGCCCATGATATATTGTGGAATTCTCCAATAATGCACGAAGAGTCTTAACTGAACTGCGAGGTACTGAGTTGTCCAAGGCTCGGCGAAAGCAGTGCCAGAGCTGCCAGCCTTGTGGTTTGAGTGCTCATGCTTGTTCATTTGTTGGCCGTGGCCGTCGACATATTGGTCATGTAGGCCATGCATCGCTTCGGACAGGTCCCGGTACTCTTCAGAGCTCATCCATGTCTCGTTCCAGTCCTGACCGGATTTTGGGCTCGAAGCTGCCCCAATGACATCGAGCATGAATTCTGCAGGATTGCCGCCTAGAGGACAGCATTGACCACTCTTCTCCTCGAAATATCGGAGGACGGTTTTGGAGTGCTGACCAATCTCGCCAAAGTACACAGGCTTCCCACCCTTGGCAAGCAAGAGCAGACGGTCGAAATGCTCAAATATCATTGATGAGGGCTGGTGGATCGTGCATAGGATGGCTTGTCCAGAGTCAGCAAGCTTCCTCAGCAATCGTACAATAGACCATGCTGCCAAGGAGTCAAGACCGCTTGTGGGCTCGTCCAAGAACAGTAATATCTCCGGTTTTGCAACTAGCTCGACGGCGATAGTGGCTCGCTTTCTCTGTTCGATGTTGAGGCCTCCACTACCGGGAACGCCTATAACGGCTTCTGCAAAATCCTCCATCTCCATCATCTCAATGACCTTCTCTACGTACTCGAGCTTCTCATAGAGAGTTATTTCCTTGGGTTGGCGCAGTTTGGCCGAAAACTGGAGAGCTTCTCGTACTGTGGATGAGGAGAGATGTACGTCTTGCTGCTGTACATAGCCAGTCGTCCGGTGAAACGATCGGTCGGGCAGCTCGCCGCTAACGAGGAACTCTCCGCCGAGGATGCCACCGCGAAGCCGTGCAGCGAGAGCCTTGAGCAGCGTCGTCTTGCCTGCACCGGATTCTCCCATCAAAGCCGTGAGGGTACCCGGTTTCACATAGCCTGTGATGTTATCAAGCAATCTCCGGTGGGAGCCGTCTTGGAGTATGATGTCGTAAGTCACCTTCTTCCACGTCAGAACCTTCTCGCAGGTAACAAGTTCTGTTGTTGCGGGTACGTGTGATACGATCTCTGTCATGACTTCCTCGGAGACTTGTGCCCCGTCTTCGTCTTCGTTGTGCCTTGCCCTTTTCCTAGAAAGTCTACTCACTTGTTCTGGCTCATGTCCCTTTCTGTAGTATAGGCGTTCTCGAACACGTCGTGAAGAGGCAGTTCTGAATTCCGTCGCCACGGTCAGTGCAACAACAAAACTGCATAAGAATGCACACAGAATGCCCACATTTCTCCACACATGGGAATAGTGATAGTCGAATGAGATTTCAATGTAGTCATCGCCATTGACAAACCGCTGCCCTGGTTTTGACCCTGTCACGGCGCAGACTTGGTTAGTGGCGGATGCATTGCTGTACCCCGGGCCGGAGGGAACTAGGGTGTCGCACGGTGCTGTCGTGTCATGAAACTCGTTGGCAACCAGAGTTTCGAAAGCAAAAGAAAGTGGGTTAACGTAAATGATCCACTTGAACCAAGGGTGCATGCTTGGTTTTGGGATTGTGTATCCGGTGTAAATGGCGTATGCCAGTACCAAAAAGCCTGCAGCACCGATCGCTGCTTCGGGACTGTTGGTGAGGGCAGCTATTGTTCGAAACCAGGCACTCATGACCAGAGTAGACAAGTATGTAGTCAGCCATAAGATGAAGAAGGCACTTGCTTCCTGCTTCAATCCCACCAAGAAGTAAAGGATAATGTCGAATATGGTCACGTTGACAATCTTGTAAGGATATTCAACCACCAAACTCGCCAGAGAGTCCAGAAATGGGTGGTACATGGCGTATGTATTTTGGCGTTGGATGATGGGTCTCTGAGAATATAAAGTGCCAATCTCGGCAATGGTTTGGAGAGAATTGAAGAGGATTGCGAAGAACAAAGCACCTCCCTTGGAGAAGTATCCCGAGGTTGAGTCCGTTACATTGTAAAAGAGACTTCCCATAATTAGGGACATGAAGACAGAGCTAAAAGCCGTTGCTCCCAGGAATGCCTTGTCGCCGACGAATCGGTAAAAGCTACGTCTGAGATTTGCGGCGAACTGAGTCATAATGTCGACGGTGTAAATGCTGTGTTGTCGCTGATGCTTTGACTTGTTCGCTGAACGATAGGTTTCATACTTTGCAAGTTCTAGATTGCACTGGCGGAATTCCTTCATGTATTCCTGTATTTCTCTTTGGAGCTGGGAGTACTGATGGCTGAGTTTCCAAAGCTTGACAAAGTCTTCTGGAGACCTCGGCACCTTCGCCTCCCAGCCAGCTCTGGGCTTCCGGGCAGTTGGGTCGCTGATGGCGGTGAGGAAGTCTGCTGTTGTCTGGTGCGGAAAGCATTCGAATCCCATATTTTCAAAATGGTGTTTCGCGTCCGGCACCGTCCCAAAGAAGATTTGGCGGCCTTGATACAGCACGGTTACTTTGTCAAACTCCTTTGTCAGAGTCTCGCCGCCTTGATACAGCGCGACAACGGCGGTTTGTCGGAAAGCTTTGGTCATCGCTCGAATTGTGTTGATGAATTCTTGCGACGTTGAGGAGTCGAGCCCGTGAGTGGGATTGTCCCACATTGTGACCGATGATCGCATTGCGAACTGAACATATCAGAAACTTGTGTCTTCCAAAAGAGGGCTGGGGTCAACAACAGCTTCAGCCAACGATACCCGCTTGCGTTCACCACCACTGATACCCTGAACGTACTCATTGCCAACTCTCGTCTGGAAGGTGTGCTGCACCCCCAGCAGACCACCATAGACGTCTGTCATGGACCTGATCAATTTTGCCCGTGACTGAGCAGCAACTTTGGCCTTCGGCGTTTTGGTTTCACAGGCAAAGTCCAAAGTATTGCCAACAAGAAGATAGGGAAAGTGAAAATCGACTGTTCCACTTGTTAGCAGAGTCGACCAAGCTCGAAGTCGTCAACGCACCATCAGGAACATAAATTGCATCTCCTTTGAAACGACTCTTGAATTTCTCGATGTCGACTCCGTTGTATTTGATTTCTCCTCCCACGATCAACTCACCCTGTTTCTGTCCACTCAGGGCCTTGAGGAGGGCGCTGGAGACACTGCCCGGCCGACCTAACACCAGCAGCATTTCGCCCTCCCTGACAACTCCGTCAATTCCATGCAGCAATAGGCTCTCGGGGTGGGGCCTTCGCATTAACAAATCTCGTGCAGCCTTGATCGGCTTTTGAACAACAGCTGCAAGGGTTGGCTGGGTTCCGATGTTTAATTCTGGCTGACGGACGGAGAGGTTTGCAAAGGCAATCGAGGTACAAGACGCTTTCTGGGGAAGATTCTGCTTGTGCAATAATGACACCAAGGCCCGGAGTTCATCATTTAGAGACACGGTGCTATATGTTTCTTGGGGAGTTGATGTCGTTGTCATCCCGTCTCCTAAAGGAATTTGCGTCTCCTTCTCATGGCTGGACCGATCATCGCAAAGCCCAGTGACAAATCCTTTGCTCGGTGGCAAGGACCGTGCCGGCCGTGGTTGATGTAAACCATCTTCTTTATCTCCATTTCCATTCTCGTGGCTAGCGGGTTTCATTCTCTGCGTGAGATATTCCGTGGATCAGGAAAACATCGTACGGCTATGGACAATCAAACGAGGCCAAAAGGCCATATCCTACTTCAGACGCATTTGCTTATAATAGGATGCGAGGACTCGTTCAAATAGAAACGACTGGCAAAGCCCCGTGGCAAGATGGAGATATCTTTCCCTCAAGTAATCAGTGCTTGAACAGGCATTTCGGAGACACGGGTCCGTTGCGACCTTCGCAAGGGCTTTCGAAAACCCTTCGAATCGGAGACGGCGCCCATGGCTGGGCCAGGGTATTCAGCAAGCAGCTTGTTTGTCGCATGAAGTGAAAAGCAACACGAGAGCTGAAGGTTTGAGGGAGGGGAGGAGGAAGGGACATGCGTGGTTTGCGATCAGCTGCCAGCGTAACGCTGTAACGCTGTTGTTTCGATCCGGTATCCGGCGCATGGGTCCTTGGTGTTGGCTCTGGTGGCGAAGCGGCACAATTGCGGTGTAACTTAATGTACGAATACGAGAGTCTCTACTCGGTATTGATTGACCCAATGATCGACGGTTGAGATTTCACGTCGACGTCTCGTGCCTGCGTCTTGGCCCGGAAACCACTAACCACGTGAGCGAGACTCTTTACTGGGTAGTTTCTCTCCAGGCTTCTTTTCTCACCATTGCACCAGCCACATCAGCAACGTCCTCCGTTCCTTATCCCCTGTCACACCACTGTCTGTTTGAATTATGAATCCATAAACCTGCCGTATCGTGCCCGTTCCCGGACATTGCTTCAAACTGGCGACCCGCCGCGGCTCCACCCAGCGCGAAAGATTCCCGCAAACCATCGACAAGGCAGCGCATCTGTGCTAACAAAATACTTGTTACAGTAACAAGTAGATCATGTCGCCCAACAGTACCGAGGCTAGGCCAAGGCGAGGCGCCCGCGTCTCGTGTGACTCGTGCCGACGCATGAAGGTACGTCCCTTGAAGCCTTGTTAGGAGACATGTCGGTGTGATTGGGCCATTCAGCACTCCGTCCATCGGCTCATGTTCTTGTCTAGATAAGATGTGATAGACAGGGGGGGAGCCACTGCTCCAACTGTCGGGCGCGAGGCATGTCGTGCATCCTCACCCCAGTGGAAAGGCAAAGCATCAAGGTGAAAAGGTAATGAGGAGGATGTCTCACCATTGGCCCGGTTCGATTGACGGCTGAAATATTTCCTCGCCCTGCAGAGCAGAGTTCCTTCATTCAATAGAGTCTCGGATTGAGCGCATGGAAGCACTCCTGTCCGGTTTCGGTGATAGACAGCCTGCTGTCGAAGAGCCCAGAGCACCGGAACCCACAGATACCCCACACGGCCTGGAGAAAGAGCTTGCCAACTTAATCATATCAGAGTCGGGCGAGCAGAAATACGTCGGTGGGTCTGAATTGCTCTTCTAGGAGCCTCGCAAGAATGCCACCTGCTGACCATGATAGGTCCCTCGGAATTTTCTCTCTTCTCCCCTCGAGGCTTGGCCTGGATTCGGCGCAAGACTGGATCAACCCGGGTAGCCACCATCTTAGAGAAAATGCGGCGAATCGGCCCCATATGGCCCTCATACAGGATCGGCCATCAGTGGGATGGAGGTCATACTGCTGGATGCCGCCTCCCAATCAAGGAGGCAGCCGTACAGCTTGCCAACAGTAAGCCCAAACGTCTGCTTGTGGTACCAGGCCAACTGATGAGACGAACAGATTACTTTACGACTTTCAACTCCCCTTTTCCTTTATTCGATCAGAAATCCTTCTGGACCATTTTTCATCAACAGTATTCTACCAACCCTCCCACAAAGCGATCATGGTTTGGTGCTCTGAATGTTGTTCTGTCAATCGGCTGTATCACTGCTACAGACTCCGTCTGGAGCAGTGTTCGTGACTCCGACCCGGATTATTTCTCAAATGCGTCCGACATATCATGGAAACTTTTTCAAAATGCCTCGTCCGTACTGTTGGACATCCTCTTTTTGAACAACGACCTTGTGGGCGTGCAGACAGTAATTGGAATGGTATTAGTTGGTGCCCACAGATCTGGTCTTGTTGATTACTGATTCTTGTCTAGGCATTCATCATGCAAGCCACCATGAATCCCGAGGCAGCTTTTTCACTTCTCGGAATCGCCGCTCGGCTGGGGAATGCTCTTGGTTTGCATCGATGGCTTGAAGGTTTCGGCCTGTCTCGGGCGGAACTGGAGCAGCGACAGAAGGTCTTTTGGATATTGTACATCCTGGAGAAGGACATGTCTAGCCGGGTTGGCAGGCCCTCTGCTATTGATGACGACGACATCGGCTTCGGTTTCCCAGCAGAACATTCCCATGGAAACGGTGGCATCAGCATATCAAGTGCTTCCCACGGCGATACAAAGTTTTACCCTTTTCATTACATGTGTACCCTTGCGCGCATTGAGAGTAAGGTGTACAAAGAGCTTTACGCCTATGCTGCTCGGCTGAAAACATCCAGCGAGAGGCTCGAATCTATCAGCAGATTAGATGCAGAGCTTCAGGAATGGAAGGAGAGCTTCCCGGTAGAGATCAGGCCGGAGCATCCCATTCAATGCGACTCGGAGAGCCGGTTTCCGATTGTCATACTTCATTTCGGATACTATCATTGCCTGACAGCTGTCCATCGGGTCAATGCACAGTGAGTTCCCCTTGGCGTTCGATCGAGGTTATCTTCGCAATGCTCCGTCATCATTGGCATATGCTAAAAGATATTTATAGCCATGAATTATGGTCTTCGGAGAACGACGGATCTGAAAACCCTATTTCCTATCCTGCTTCTTCTGCCTCAAACGGCCCAGGACCTGATGGAGTATTGAACGCTCGCCTCCATGCGTCCTATGCGCTGTGTCTGGCGGCAGCGAGATCGATTCTTCATCTCTCGGTGACGTATTTCCAGAATTTGAGTGATCCCAGGAATACCCTGATCTGGATAAGCCCATACTTCCCATTCTCTGCATTCTTGACATTATTCTCGTTTATGTTACATTCCCCTCTTGATCCGAAAGTTGATGCAGATCAAGCTCTTATGGAGGGAACAAAAAGTTGCATCAATGGAATGCTGCATACGCTGGATAGGACGACCATGGTGTTTATGGCAGACATTGTCAGCGAGCTTCTCACAATTGCCAAACAGCATGTCGAGAATGTCCGCGCTCACATCGGCCAAGGGAAGGAGAAGGGCTCGACGGTACAGGAGACTCCTGATGAACGAGGTTTCGCGGACATCACGCACATTGGCCCTGATACTTACATCGATCTGAATGCGTGCAGTATCATACAACCGTCATTGCCGGCAAGTTCTCAGCCTCAACAGGATTTCATGGCGAGGCTAGATCCAACTACCGTTGAGGTGCAGACTGGATTCAACTTTCCTGGCGGTCAGTCTGCTACGGATTCGGCTAATGCACTAAATGTTGGATTTGACCCAAATCTAATGTGCGACGTGGGCCAATTCTCGATGCCGCAATCCTTGATGGACGACCCGTTCTTCTTTGTCGAGGACGCTGGTTGGGACTGGAGCTATTGATCTTGATCCGACTAACAAGTACACCGCCCACCCACCGGCTCCACCTCAGCTATAACATGTGAGAGGCTGGTCTGCGCAATGACTCGCTGGCAGAGAACAGCTTATGGTTGACCAATAAATCTATCGCACTGGCCGATGAGCACTTGCTGCCATCAATAGTGCCGGTATCTTCTTGTTATTCATGAACCCGCTTACGAGCCACTCCGAAGATCCTTGCCAGCATGACCGGGTTCGGCCCGGTCGCCTGACGGCACCCCCGCAAATTGTCCCCGCAATTCAACTTGAGACATTTCAATACTGAATATTAACTTGGGAAGTTTATCAAAGGAGCACGCGTCCGGCAGCTCCAGGATACCTGACAGCTATCACCTCATCAGTCGAACCACCGCTGGTTATCAACAGTCGTAACTCTCCAAGTAGCACTCGCGATGGGAATATTGCCCTTCAGGATCGACATATCGAAAGGAGAAGTCGAACGGCTGAAAAGGAAATTGCAAGATACAAGAGTCCCGATTGCTCCCATTGTTCCTGGAGCGGGTAGCGACTATGGTTAGTATCCTTTCGTTTCCAGGCCAGCTGCATTCAATTCCTGGATCCTGATCTGTCTAGGTCCTCCAATTGAATGGTTTCATCGTCTTTGCAAAAAGTGGCACAACGACTTTGACTGGTTTTCTGTGCAAGAACATTTGAATCGACACGAACACTTTCTCGTTGATATTGATGAGGAGAATTTCCAGTTGAGATTACACTTCACGCATACCAAATCTGCAAGAGCCGATGCCATTCCACTTATCATGGTTCACGGCTGGCCTGGCTCGTTCCACGAATTTGACCGTGTAGTCGACGCCTTCGTCAGCCCCGAGAATCCTTCAGACCCAGCATTCCACGTCGTGGTGCCGAGTTTACCCGGGTTCTGCTGGTCTTCTCCACCACCTCGACGAGGTTGGACCATGCAAGACACAGCCCGAGTCTTCAACAAACTCATGCGTCAGCTTGGGTATGCATATTATGTCGTGCAGGCAGGTGATTGGGGATCATTCGTCGCCCGTGAGATGGGCGCAAAGTTTACAGAGTGTAAAGCAGTGCACCTAAATTTTTGTCCAGGGGATCTGGGTGACGGCATCACAGACCTCACACCCCGCGAAATGAAAATTAAAGAGAGGTACCACGATTGGCTGGATAACCATCTCGGATACGCCGTTTGCATGCGAACCCGCCCGCAATCTATTGGCGTCGCTCTGAACGACAACCCAGTCGGCATACTCGCCTGGGTTGGCGAGAAGTACATTGAAGCCGCAGCACCCGTAAAAGTCGAGACTCCGGATGCGGAATGGGACCAAGCAATCCTCACCACATGTTCCCTGTACTATTTCACAGATTGCATCATGTCTTCGACCCTACCGTATTTCGAAGGAGTCAAGCATGCGGATTTTGGGAACTTCTGCTTGAAGCAGGAAAACTATATCAGGGTGCCCATGGGATACACCAGCTTTCTTTATGATACTAGGCCCGCGACCGAGAGGAGTGTGGGAAAGACAGGGCGACTGGTGTTTTATAATGGTACGCTCCTCCCGTTAACTGTGCATGTAAGAGCTATTTGTGATCTCACAACCCTACAGAGTGTGATGATGGCGGTCATTTTGCTGCGTTGGAACGGCCGGATATCATTCTCGCTGATTGTCGCCGCTTCTTTGGCGAGTGGTTTAAGGGTTGAAACAAAGCGCTCGCATCCAGATGCATTTCTTCTATTTAGGTTGTGATCCAGATGATGGACCAGTTGGACGACAATGACTTTACAGTGCGAAGGTGTGTCCTCGTTGGTTCTATGGTATCTGTGAATTCCTTTTCCAACCTGTTCGTAACATCGCTCTTGTTCTGGTTATCTGGAGATTTCCGGCCATGAAGAGATCGCTTTTCACTAACGAGACCTCTGCGCAAGTATATCGGGAACGAGCATTTATGACCTCACGTCGTGAATTGATGCTCCCTGGATTTGACTAAGTCACCAGGCAGCGTGCAAGTCTTGGTATGATCTTAGCTACAGAGGCGCATTGAGTTTGTTTCTCCTTTCGTTGGTTTGGGGCTTAGTCACGTTGGAGGTATTTGGTCGCTCTACTCAGTACGTAGTTACTTGAATGCATGACGTTACGCTCAGCCTCGTCATCGCAAGGCTGTGCCGGTTGATGATCAACGAGGCTGCACGCGTTTTGATCTGATCGTCTGTCATCCACCATCAGATCGACTATAGTCTGTCCTCCGCACGCTCCAACTTCAGCCTGTTGACGACTCTGCCCGCGGGGAGAGGTAAACAGTGGCAGATCAGAGTTTTCAGTGATGAAACGAATGGACAAATTATGAGAATCTGGACCAAGCTCAGGATCCCGAGCTCGCTCACGCTTCGGCCAGTTGAGCGTTACGGGCTTCGACCTCGCCCAGTTCTGGTCCTGCCAAGCAGATCTCCCCTTTCAACCGGAACCACAGGATTTCAGCATGTGCAAAGATCAGGGCCGCAATACGCTTACGGTGTCTTGCCTCTCTTTGGGAAACGGCCATCATCAACGCAAAGAATCCCCTCCGACACCGAGCTTGTGGACGCCGTACTCGATGCATCGGATTCTAACTTGAACACCAAAAATGGCAGAATCACCTGTGTCTATTTCGACAGGTCTGGCCATTTCAAATCCGAGCACAAACTACTCACAAAGGCCGAGATTGCTGAGCAATTCGACCTCCGCCACCGCGATCTACGGGACATCGATCTCAAGTCTGAGGCCGTCACGCGCATCCTGGTGAGACCAACCACCATCTTGCTGCAATTCTTCCAGTTATGTATGATCATCCAAGCGGATGAAGCACTCCTGATCCACAACCTGCCACAAGCCAGCAGTGACAGCGACGACGACAACGAGTCTCCGAGGAAAGACGAAGGCGAATTCTATCGTGAATTCGAGCGCCGCATGTCGGGTCCCACCATTGAAGCAGCCGACGTGCCCGAACTCCCCTACGAGTTGCGCGCTGTGGAAGCCGCGCTGGTGGCAGTCCTCTCTGGACTTCGCGACGATCTTCTTGACGCACGCCAGAAAGCAGAAGAATCCGCAGCGAGCCTGAGACTCGATTCGGGCCTCGCTGCTGTTGGCTTGAACCTCGTCTTCGACCGCACTCGCCGGCTGACCAAGATCGAGCAGAAAGCTAGGCTCGTGCGGGACACGATCCGCGAGGTGCTCGATACAGATGAAGATTTAGCAGGGATGTATCTCTCTGACCGACTGGCTGGGAAACCGCACGCGATCTCGGACCACCAAGAGGCCGAGTACATGCTTGAAGCGTACCACAAAGCCGCCGATACGCTGGTCGAATCCGCGCAGGCGGCCATCGACATTTTGCGCAAGAAGGAGAATACATTCCGCTCCTCGCTGGCGGTGCAGAGAAACCAAATCATGTTCCTCGAGGCGAGGATTGCCATCCACACTTTGGGACTCGCTGCGGGCACCATGGCCGCAGGATTGTTCGGCATGAATCTGTTGAATTACCTGGAAGAGGCCCCGTATGGGTTCTTCTGGATCACAGGTGCTTGCGTGGTCCTGAGTGCGTTGTTCTCCATGCAGGGCATGAGGAGTTTGAGAAGGATACAGACGCTCAAGGGGTTTGAGGGGTCGAGATTTGGAGGGCGTCGATTTTAGATCGATTCGGTCGAGGATGTTTTTGCGAGGTGTCTTGGTTCGATTTTTTGGGGGGGAGGGGTTTACAAGGTGCTATCATAATAGTACAAGCAGTGCCACCAATGCTGGTGAACCAGGGGTTGTTGCGAACACATTCTTACACCGCCGACAACTTCGGAAGTGATTGGGAAACACTCGCTCCAAGAGATTTGGGCTTGAGGAACGATATGTGAATAATTTGTTCTGACTGCACGCTTCTGGGGCACGCCTTAGAGCATATGGCCTAGGGATATGGGTAGAATCTGACAACGCTTTGGTGCTACACGCTCATCATACCGAACCAGCTGGCGAGTTTCGGGCACTCTACGCAACGGCGCCGATGGTGAAGAGAGACGAAACTTGGATGCACCCAGAATAATCCTGTTGTTCGCTGTATCAGCGCAGTTGGCTCGTCCCTCCGGAATCAGGCCGAGAAGGGGGGGAAGTCGACGGAACTGCTAACAGTCTGCCACTGCAGGGTCGCAAATTCCACTATCAAGGACTAATGAGAATGTAGCATATACTCCGGCAGCAGCATGAAAGAGAGACAGTAACTGGTGTGGACTCCTCGCTGTGTGCTATTCGCAAACCACAAGCCCACGCCATGCCATTGCCATATGCTCAACAGACGCTGGAGGTTTTTGCCACGGAGTCCAGTCCAGCCCATGATCTCCCATAACCACTTCATGTATGTCGTTCGTTCGAGCAGCATCGTACAACAACCCGTTACGGTTTCGGGACATGTAACGTTCTGCTGGTCATGAGCAACCCATTGATGAGAAAGATCACCACAACGGGATGAAACTCGAGCTCGGTTCCACTGAGAACAGTCCCGAGAGGCAGATCCTCATGGATCCAACCAAACCAAGTGCAAGTCATCATCATCGTTAAGCTTATCAAGCAAGCGAGGGGGATGGGAGTGCCTTCAAAGTACTTCGATTTGCCGGACTTGTCCTTGGGCAGCATTGCAACAGTCACATTGAACCTGGCTAGTCTCGTCAATCCACAAAGGACGTAGAATCCCAGGAAGAGCTGGTCGATGGCGGTACGGAATCCCATTGCGAACCCGGCGACGGCGGCAGCGACACCAAATGTGACCTGCAGGCACTCGTTAGAGTCACGCAACCAAACTGATGTGTGGTTTCCGGGCATACCAAATCTGCAAGCGAATCCAACTCTTGGCCCATCAAGGACGACTTCTCCCTCCACCGCGCTACCTTGCCATCTAAAAAGTCGAAGAATAGTCCAAATGGCATTAAAGCAAAGGCGAGCCATAGGTTTGCGAGATCGCTCGGGTCGGCGAGACAATACCGCATTGAGGAGAGAATTGACATGACTGAAGAGGGTCAGCCGCAAGTCGAAAATCCGGTGACACGAGACATACATCCGCAGAATCCTGGGCCAAGCATTAGCAAGCGTATCTTGTATCTCGCCGTGTGAGGGGCTCACCGTTTAGTTCAGTGATCAGATCAGCAAGATGAAGTGCCCTATCCAGCGATCAGTCTCGCGCACAGCCGAAGGTGCCGGCGAGCGCACCTGATCAAACTGAAGTGCCCCGTGTCTTGAGATAACAGCATTGCTTGCTTCGATTGAGCACTGTCCCGCGGTTGCGCAGGAGTGTCTTTTTCGCCGCCATTGGTGGGCCCTGCTCGCCGCGACATGGCTGTGGTGTTTCGACCGAATAAGAGGCAGAAAAGAAAGTCCAGAGATCGGTGGTCTAGAACAGAGTAAGAGAGTGGTAAGGGAATGGGAAGACGACCCGGCGGCAAAGGAACAGGATTTAGTAGTAGAGCACGAGGACGTGGTTGGGATTTTGGACTTTGAGACTTTTGAGAAAGCAAGGCAGCCTCCCCAGTCAAAGCAGTGACGATGACCAGCGTGGCCGCTGTCAGTTCGCTTAGTCTCAGTCAAACTTCAGGCCGTTCGGCTCGTGTCGTCATTCTGCAGCTTCCGAGGCACCGTCACCACCAGCCGAAAGAAAAAAGGACCGTCACGTGCCAGGGACAGAGAAGCCACACTGCAAGATTCGAGGCATTCATCTCGCAGACGAGCATCGCTCCGAGGCCTACCCTTGGGCCTCGCTGGGTCAAACACCAGAGACCAATAGACGCTACCATCTCTATCGGTGCCAGCCGCCAGCCTTCTCCAGTCCCAGATCATTTCTGACCACACTTTTATGACCGCTGTTCTTCCCAACGCCAGTACTATGCTGAAACGGAGGCAGACATTCCCCAGGTCAAACCGTGCTTCACCATCTACCGCGGCCTCTTGAACCAAATCCGCCACTTCGTGGAGCTCCTCGTCCACCTGGAGCTCCTCCACGACCTCCCCCTCTAGGAGCACCTCGACCACCACCGCCGAAAGATCCTCTGCCTCTGGGCCCCCCCCTGCCAGGTGCACCCCGTCCCCTGCCACCTCCTCTTGCTCCTCTCATCCCCCCTTGTGCTCCTGCTGGCTTCCTGACCTTTGCCATACCTGTCACGAGTGTAAGCAACATGTGTGGACGGAAACTCTGCGAGTGACTGACCTGGCGGCGGCTTAGGTTTGGGCAAGAATCTGTCGGTTAGCTCTTAGCACTCTTCCCCTTTCCAAGAGATATATCAAACCTACTTCTCCAAGGGTAGTAGCTTGTCTCCTCCAATGTAGAACTTGTCGCCCTTCTTGAACGACGTAGCCTGAATGCCCTCCTGCGGCTTGATCGTGAAGTAGACTTGGTTGATGGGACCGAGGATCTCGTCCACCTTTCCGATGGTAGTCTGTGCCAGTCAGAAGCGGCACGGACAAGTCGGGGAAGATGTCCGTACCTTGTTCTCGAGGTATATGGGGGCGTTGAAAAAGGGTATCTTTGCGTTGATGGACTCGCAGACCATCTCACCCTCGGTGGCGTGCATGAACGTGCCCATTTCTGCAGCAAATTAGTCTCAACCAAGTCGCATTCAAATGCAGGCCCTTACCAAACACTTGGGCAGGCGGTCCAAAGCTCTGCTGTTGAAAGCCACCTCGCCCTGTTCACCACCGCCCCGTCAGTCCCATTTCGCCGCTACAGGGAAAGTGCGCGCAATTTCGAGGTTCGGGGGGGGGATATAATTTTACCTCCACCTCTTCCACCAAACGATCCTCTTCCTCTATCACCACCTCGGAATCCGCCACGTCCTCGCGCATCACCTCGGAAGGCCATTGTTGTTGTGGACAGAGGGAGTTGTGGCTAGGCGCCGACTTGTCCTTGAATCTTGGGGAAAATAATTTTGCTGCACCTGCATCCGCAGCTGCATCTCCATGTTTAGAGCGCTTGCCGGCAAGCACGTGACTGACACCTCATTTTTACTCACTGCCACCCGTTCGCATACCCACTCTGGCCACTGTGGTGGTATAATATTCAATCTCCATACCTCTCCACTCAGATCTCTTAGCATGAACCACCAGAAGAAAGCCAGCCTCAATCCTCACGATCTCTGGGGGGTTCTGAAAGGCGACAATATGACTCAGAACGGCTCTGCTGGCCCTGACTCATCCGCCCCTGAGACCGCCGCATTAAAGATGCCAGCCAGCCCAACATCCAGCAAGAAAATGCCCGGCAGACCGAAAGAAATGTCTACTCAAGCGGCGGTGCCTGCGGCTCATCAAGCCCCCAAAGCGCTACCGGACTTCATTTTGGAGAGGAATGAACTGTTCGACCAGCTAAAGAAGCAGCGTAACCAAGAACTCGCCAACAGGGATAAGCCTCCAATTGAGATCAAACTCGCTCCCGCACCAGGCCAGGAAACCATTGTCGAAGGCAAGGCCTGGGAGACCACGCCTGGTCACTTATTGAAGAATTTGCCCAAGGAACGAGCCGGCCAGGTGGTGGTGGCTAAAGTTGACGACCAACTCTGGGATCTAGACAGGCCTCTGGAAAAGGACAGCAAAGTCTCGTACCTCACTTTCGACGACCCCGAAGGCCGTGATGTCTTTTGGCACTCTTCAGCACACGTGCTCGGCGAATGTGCCGAGCATGAGTACGGCTGCCGCCTCTCCCACGGCCCTCCCACGCCCATGGGTTTCTTCTACGACATGGCGCTCGAACCAGGCAAAGCCGTTCGTGAGGCCGAGTGGCCGTCGCTGGAGAATCGTGCAAAGAAGTTTGCAAAGGACAAACAAGCCTTTGAACGCCTCGAGGTTTCCAAGGACAATCTACGCAAAATGTTTGGCTACAGCAAATATAAGATGCACTACATTGAGAAGTTTGTGCCCGATGGGGAATCTTCCACTGTATACCGCAATGGGACATTGGTGGACTTATGCCAGGGCCCGCACATCCAGAACACTCGCAAAATCGAGTCCTTCAAGATCATGAAGAACAGCTCCGCATATTTTCTAGGTGACCAGAACAACGACTCCCTTCAGCGCATTCACGGCGTCGCATTTCCCTCGAAACAGCAACTTAAAGACTGGGAGATTTTCCTCGAGGAGGCCAAGAGGCGTGATCATCAGGTCATCGGCCAACAGCAAAAACTCTTCATGTTCAGTAAAGTTTCCCCCGGTTCACCATTCTTACTTCCGCATGGGACGCGCATCTTCAACGCGCTTCAACAAATGCTTCGTGACCAATACTGGGAACGCGGCTATCAGGAAGTCCAGTCTCCCAACATGTACAATGTAGACCTATGGAAAACCTCAGGCCATTGGCAACACTACCAAGACGACATGTTCCGAGTGCAAGTGAAAGATGACTCTACCGACCCCATGCCCTTGAGCGACAAGCAACCAGACGGCAAGACCCCTCTCGCAGAAATCAAGGACAAAGACAAGGGCATCTTCGCCCTGAAACCGATGAATTGTCCAGGCCACTGCGTCATGTTCCGCGATGAAGAGCGCTCCTATCGCGACTTGCCTTGGCGCGTGGCCGACTTCGGCGTGCTTCATCGCAATGAGGCGTCCGGCGCACTCTCTGGGCTCACCCGCGTGCGGAAGTTTCAGCAAGACGATACCCACATCTTCTGCACCAGCGACCAGGTTCAGTCCGAAATCGAGGGCTTGTTTGACTTCATGTCTCACGTTTATGGCCTTTTCGGGTTTCCCTTCAAGTTGAAGTTCTCCACGCGGCCCGAAGGATATATGGGTACATTGGAGGACTGGAACGCCGCTGAAGCTCGCTTGCAGCAAGCGCTCATAAACTTCCGAGGCGACGACTGGGAGATGAACGAGGGGGATGGTGCCTTCTACGGTCCAAAGATTGATGTCACGATTTCTGACGCGTTGAAGAGGGAGTACCAGTGCGCAACTATTCAGTTGGATTTCCAGGGTCCCCAGAATTTCAGACTCGAATATCGAACCAGCGAATCCGGGGAGCTGGTCGCGCAGCAATCCGAGGAACACCGCGAGCGTGATCCAAAGGCACCAGGTCCAGGAATGGCCCGCCCCGTGATGATCCACCGCGCCATCATCGGCTCTTTCGAACGCTTCATCGCCATCCTCTGCGAACATTTTGCAGGGAAATGGCCGTTCTGGATCTCCCCGCGGCAGATTCTGGTGATCCCGGTTATGAAAGCCGCCGAGGATTACGTGCGAGAGATTCAAGCGATATTCCACAAGGCGCGTATGTACGTGGACATCGATGTGAGTGGAAATACGATGCAGAAGAAGATCCGGAACGGGCAGCTGGCGCAGTACAACTTCATCTTTGGTATGTATTTTCTCACCCAGCCTTTGAACGCCTCCTTTTCTCCTTCCCCCTATTTGCCATGTTCGTCGCTAACTCCCATATTTAGTCGTCGGCGCGAAAGAACGGGATACCCGCACCGTGAACATCCGAAACCGAGACGACCCCTCCACACAGAAGATGGGCGAACTGATCCCTCTCGAGAAGGCGCTGGAGAGACTCATCAAGCTGCGGGACTCAAGGAGCCTTGAGAACAAAATTGACATGGGCGAATAGTTCGCTTTCGCCAGGAAGGCGAAGCTGTCAAAACGCAATGCATGACGTTGGAGAAATGTTTCTTTGTGACCCCATTGGCAGGATCTCGTTGTTAGCTTAAAAAAAGGAGCGTGGGTAATTGAAATCAGAAGCGAAAGAGATAGAATATGTCGACAGAGGTAGCAAGCAAGCAGACTGAATTTCAAAGAAAGAAACGGAGAATGCACATCTGGGAAAGAGCCTGTTCCGGAATGAAATAGGATACCCAGAATGTCACGGAGAACGAGGCATGTTCAAGCTGGATTGACTTCCACTTTTCTGTGTGCTGAAAATCCTTCTCCTGTTCGAGGTACTTCCCGAGATGAGTGAAATGAGCTCTCTTGAAACAAGGCCATTCGTGGGGAAGAGAATAACAGTTTTTCAGTTCATTTCGCAAGCATGCATTTTATATTTACAAGACACATCCGGCAGGGGCGCGTTCGTCCAAGGAGAGAAAGCCAGAAACCCTCTCGTAACAAGATGCTTCTAGTACATGCCTCAGGCGGTCTGCTCAGGAGTTTCACCCTCCGCGACGACTGGAACGGGCAATCCTCGACTGGGACTCTGCAAAACGAGGGCTTCGTGCCTTCTTGCCCGCAAAAAGTCTGATACAGCACGGATCAAAATAAACCAACCGATAATCATGAGAATGTAGGAAATCCAATCTGCGCTGGTGAAACCGCCCATCCCACTACTTCCTCCGGATGACTGATCTCCGCCCCCATTCACGGCGTTGGGATCAAAACTGTGACTGTTCGGGTCGGGCGGGCTGGAGTTTGAGAACTGTCCCGGATTCCCAGTGTCAGATGGGCCATCGCTAGAACCGCTCATATAGAAACCGTATTGTACAAGCGTCAGCCCTAGGCCGGCGCGACTCCCGTGTTTGGCGGCATGGGTGGTGTGAAGAAGATATGTGAGCAGGAAGCCGACGAGCTGAAAGGACATAGAGATCATGCCATTCCACACGAATGAGAAAACGGACCCAACGGGCAGACCATCGACATAGACTTCGTCTGAGGACATTCCAGGTGCAAGAATAGTAGTCTCCCAGTAAGGCGGCGTCGCGTCAGCAGCGGCTTGTTCATACGTCTATCAATCGTCAGTGTCGTTATGTGGACAGGGGTTTGCACGCAGATACACACTGGAGGCTTTTCTTCGACCTGGTCACCACGTTCAGGCTTTGCGGATAAATTTGCGAACACGCCATCCGTGGCTCTCATGGACGCGGGCATAGGTCTGAAAACGGGGAGTTCCGTCACTCTTCGTTCAATAGTAGGCGCCGGTCGGGTATCGGGAACTGAGGTTGACGAGGGAGAACCATCTTGTCTCGAGAGCCCAGTGTCGGCTCTCATCAATCGTTGCCTGTCGTCGCCGTCATTCTCAGCATCAGAACCTTCGCCATCGTCAAAAGTGTCTTCCAGATGATCTTGGTCGGCCTGGGTAGATAACGGATCCTGGGCCAATAGGCGCCTGGATGTGGGTGAGGAGGCTCTAGACCTGAATGATGGCGGAGGAGAGGACGGAATGGGTCGAGGAGTATCTGGAGAGACAGGAGAATCGATCTCTTCGTCGTGCGAATTTAGCTGAAGAATGTTAATGATAAGATTGGCCTGCCTGGCTGCGATTGTAGAGAATGACATACTGCTTCGTAGCGTTGAGGGGCCATCTCAGGCCAGGCAATCTCGTAGGTGTGTCCTCAGTGCGCTGGAACAAGAGACTGCAGGGTATTTTGTTGTTCTTCTTTTCTCTGAGGATGAACGAGGGAAGTCGGGTGGCGTGTACGAGGTAAGTGAGGGAAATAGGGAAACAGCGAAGCCGGGGGGTGGTGATGGGCGGGTGAGGGAAAGGAATGGGGTGGAAGTGGAAGGGCAGAGGCCCCAGGGCGGTGCAGGCAGTGTTCACTGTTGGTGTGGTGTCTGAGATGCGCACGGCTCAGACCCCCGGCGCAGGCACTCACCAGGTACCCAGTACTGGCCTTGTAGTTGTTAGTGGCCAGACAGAGGATCGAACAACATGCGCCACCACCATCCCCCTTTCTGGTATGGCCTTTGATTACCTCGTACAGGCTCTTCAAGCTTTAAGAGGCGTCATCGACAGATTGCTGATGAACCTGTCAGGTAACCTAGTAGCTCTGACCACTGCCAATCCGCCCTCCGTATCAAAGCCTCACCATGACAGCTCATCAATCAGTACGTGTTTGCTAGTGGAAGGTTTTCAATCCACCCCCAGCTCACCTCTGTCCAGGTCATTTTCAAGCACTGGGTGCGCATCATCAATCAATGGCCTCTCGACCGCGTCCGCCCGGCCCATGTCCATTTCCAAAAGGTCATGCAATCCCGTCTGCAAAAGCCCCGATCTCCTACGTCTGCTGCCGCCGCAGTGAAGTCCAACAATGCCGTCGCGACACCTGTCGAGCCGTTTAATGAGCAAAGGGAAATGCGACAAGTCAATGCTCTTTACGCGCTGCTTGAAAATCGATTCTCGAACGAATACCCTACACCTCAATTAGTCCGCCATCCTAAGAGCAACACTTCACACTATGATGATTTGGTCAGGGAGCTAGATGATGCGCCGGGAAGATCATGGTTTATATCCGTCTGGAATCGCCTCAAGGGCTCTATTCGATTGAGATGAGAGGGAAGGCGGCAGACGAGTGCCATCAACTTGCGCCCGTCCTCCTTCAACGGACCAAAATGTTTGCCTCCACGAATCCTTCAAGTGAGATGTTATGGTCAGAAATGACATGCTCTTTGGGGGCCAATGTTCGGGTTTCAGATGAGCTACTGAATTTGGCCAGCCCACTGGAGACTTTCAGTCTCGACTCTGGCCTTCGACTGAATCCAGCTGGCCGCGGCGTCGAGGAAGAACCGAGGGCAAGCTGGTCGTTCCCACACCCATTCAACGAGGACGGTTGGGACTCCGGTCCAGAACATGTGACTTCGCTAGAGTCTGGAACGGGGCTTGTGGGAGCTCGATGAATCTGATCCCGCCGATGAGCTCAAGTCAAATGGCAACTGCAACTCTCTTCTGAGCCGGAAGGGGAAAGCTAGCGCAGACTCGGACTTTGACGCCGGGCTCGACGGCGTCCGAGCACCCTAAATTGGCGTTGCCGGAAAACGTTCCTTTCGTCGTCCTCGACAAAACAAACGGGTTTGGTAACGAGATAGTTGCGGGCTAGGTGTTGTATAATTTATCGATCAGTCCCAACGCGTCTCACCAATCCAGGTCGTCTTGGTAAAGAACAGGAAAGCACGCAAGCCAACGAGATACTCGCATGTTGGCGCAGTTATAACTGGATTGATGACAATGTTGATTCTAGAATTATCGGGATTATAGAGACACTTTAACTGGCGTGAGGGCAAGATGACAAGAAATAATCTCATCGAAAGTGGGCAGTTCACATATCAAGTGTCTATTCCAGTCAGCCTTGCTTAGCCTTGCCATGAGCACACTCCAATTACCCCAGCTTCTCGACAAAATGACATTCTACACGTGCAGTCCCCAACAATGAACCCGTTCTATATCATATTTTACTGCCTAGCCTGCCTGCTCCTCCACCACCCATTTCCATTGCGGCTACGCCCTCATCCTCCAGTGTCTCCCTCACAAACCTCACCATGTTCGGCACCATACTACTCGGCACGTCATGTCCTACCCCTTCGAAAACGATGTCTTCTAGCACAAACCCACTGCCCTCGAACCATCCTCCTTTCCCACTGACTGCCTTGAGCCAGTCTATAAACGGCTTCGAATGTGCATATGGCACCAATTTATCCGCGCCGCCAGAGAGGTTTAACAGGCGCTTGTTTCCAAAACACCTCGTCATCACTGGCAGCAAGACCGCCTTCTCTTCATCCGCAAATTGCGTATGTAATCGTTCCTGGTCTTTGCGCCAGTGTAATCCGGGCATTGACCAAATCAAGCCCGCGGGATCAGACTTCTTTACCGCCTCCACTAGACTCGGCGGAAAATCTGCGGACCCAAGGAAATCCCTTCCAGGCGGGGAGGAGGATGTGTATGTCTTGCGCTTTGACAACCGTGCTCGATCCGTCATAAGGCGCGTGTAATCGGGGCAACCTATGGTGACGATGGCGGCAGAAATCCGGGGGTCGTGCATGAGAACATGCCATGCGGCGTGTCCACCTAGACTAATACCCAGAACAAGGTTCTGCACAATCCTTCTTGGGTCGTTTGCCCCAGAGAAGATGTACCCTGGGAGATAGTCCAGCAGGAGCGACGTGTCTCGGGCCGTCCCGGCATAGCAGCTGAACATATCCTGTGCGTGATGTTCGTTTCCGGACCGCCAGGCTTCATTCGCGATCGCAGACACAAGGCGAGAGCCATGATTACGTTGGTCAAATGAGACAGCAATCAATCCCTTCTTTTTGACTGGCGGCGTCCGTGACTTTGCCTGGTGCTTGTTCCACTCAGAGATGAGGTGGGCAGCGAATGGGGCCATACACGCTTGTGTTTGCAGGCGAGGATGCAGCAGCCAGAGAACAGCAATATCGGCGGCGCCTGAGGGGACCTCATCCAGGCCGAAGACTGTCACTAGAATCCCTGCTATATGGTGTGTGCAGGCTGATATGGGTTGTGGGTGAGGAATCGAGTGGGCGGTGGACCCGCCACTCGCGGCGGGAGGGGACCCGTAGGTTGATGCCACAGGGTTGGGGGTTGTCTTGGACATGTTCTAGAGACTGGCTGGGCAGAGAGGGAGGGGGAAAAAAGAATAGAGGAAGAAGTGTAGGAAGAATGTAGGGAGTTTGGAGTAGTAGTTGAGCAAGCGCAGTGGAAACCGGCCGGCAGGTCAACTTGCATGTGCCGCGGTTTCGGCGCATTCTCGATGTGCGGGGAGCAGTTTTCGCACGATGTGCATATATTACTGGGTACCCAGTACTTCAACAAAAGATAGGCGAGGCTGCGAGGCTAACCTGCTCCTTGGGACCGAGTCCCTCTTTATGTATCAACACACTCTCGTAAAATGTCGAAACATGATCTATTTCTGGGAAGTCGATACTTACGTAAAGTTTTCTTTTGGTAATGGCCGGCACGTAGTGACTCTTTCCGCGAACACCTCCGTTGTCCTAGTTCTACAAACCCTCCACCGCACACATCTTGACTTGGCCACCCATAACGTTCCCCCAATCTTCACTTCAACTTTCGAAACGAAGCTCCCCCTCACATCTCAGAGTCTAATATTGCATCAACAACTCGACCATTGGTTCGTCCCAACAAAAGCACTGATTTGTCATCTATTGTACCTCGCTAAGGTCTCCATAATGTTCTGTACATTCTGCTGTGATTGTGGCCCAGCTCCGTAAGCCGGTGTGCCAGGCACATAACCTTGCTGCTGTGGCTGCTGTTGCTGAGGCGGAGGGCCATGTGGCGACGGAAATTGTACTCCTCCGTGGCCATGCTGTTGGCGGGCGACGTTACTCAGAAGACCTGCCAGATCGGGGGTGGGTTTGCCATTTGGCGTAGCGCTGTCTGGCTGCCCATCACCAGGCTGCCGAAGATTTGCCAGTAATTGTTGTAGATTTGGAGCACTCGTGGCCGAAGTGGGACTCAAAGATGTTTGTGCTGGGTTCTGATACTGGGAATTCTGGCTGTACTGGAACTGATTGTGTTGTTGCTGCTGCTGGTGCGGAGGGTAAGGTGCTGGCGCGTATTGTGGTGGCGGCGGACCGTATCCATATTGGGGATAACCTTGTGGCTGATAGGATTGAGGACTTTGCTGTGCGCCTCCTCGCTCCTTTTGTCGCGCATGGAGGACAATATCAGCGGCGACGGGCACATCGAGATCAAGGTATTCGTTGAAGTTGACATTCGACGTGCCCTGACTCCTATCAAAAACCTGCAAGGGTATCTTGCTATTGTACTGATTGGCCTGTGTCAGTTTCACAACAGCTTGCACACCTTCGATAATTTGCCGTTTCACAACAGCGTTGAGGGGTAGCCGAGGGCTGAGCCATATTGTCGAAGCCCGCAATCCTTTGTTACGGAAGCCTTGTTCGATCCAGTTCATGAAGCTTGGAGCCACTGAAGGTTCCAGAATGAGAAGTTGTACGTCCGGCACATCTCGTGGGTCTCTTCGAGGCAAGGGGAGGGCGGCCTCCTCATCGTAACCCGCCGAGGGTGGATTTGAGAAGTTGCTGGTGAAAGGCGAAACTGGTCTCGCACCAGCGCCATAGCGAGGGCTTTGAGTGGGTGGCCGGTAATCGTCTCTGGACCGGTAACCTCGAGGCGAAGGGGTTCGTCGATACTCCTCGCGCCTTCCTCGCTCATCGCGGAAATCACTATAGTTAGGACGGCCAAATCGGTCGGCCTGACGGGCGTGACCGCGGTCTGGGGATCGAGAGCGCCGTCTTTTGCTTCCTTGCTGGCCTTGTTGACTTCTTGTGTTCTTTTGAGGCTTCGATATCTCGAGGTGAATCTTCCTTCCTCTAATCTCAACGCCTTGTTCGGCCTGGAGCGCTGCTTGACATGAAGATGCCTCTAGATACTGGACGAATCCGTACGCCTGCTTGATGGAGATCTGAGCAAGTCTGCCATGTTTGTGGAAAATTTGAAAGATGTCACGCTTAGTGACCTTTTCACTGGGCAAGTTACCAACAAAGAGACGTGATCCCTGGGGAAATTTGTCCCAAATCCCTTCTGTCACATACCTCCGTTCATCTTCAAGAAATGAGTCATAAAGCGCTTGTGTTCTGGGGGTCCACGGACGTTCATTCGGGTCAAATGCCCTTCCTGGTTCGGGGGCCTGGAGAGGCTGGGCAGGAGAGGTATGTTCAGTGCTTGTGGGTGACGCTTGATTGGCAGAATGCGGCCATGTACCTGGCGCCTGCAAAGGAATGGATTGAGGTTGGAATTGCGCGGACGCAAGTGTAGGTTGATCGATGCCATTGACACTGGCGTGGTCTGGACTCACTTGTTGGTATTGCGCCAATTGATCGTTGTTGAGGTTAGGAAGCGTGTGAACAGCGGCAGAATCTGAAGATTGAGCTTGAGTCGGTGGCTTGGGGGGTAAACCTGGGATGGGAAGCAATGATTGGGATCCTTGGTTGGCAAGCGAGGTGGCAGAAGTTGGAGCAGACACAGGGTCTGCAGCAGGAGCAGTAGAAGCAGATTTAGAAATGGTATCCAGAAGCGACTGATAGTCTACTCCGCCTTCATTTGACTGAAAGCTGGGCTTTACGGCAGGTTCTGGCTCAGACGTACTCTCTCCAACGGCTTGTAATGCAGTATTGCCAGTATCAGGATTGGCAGTGGAATCAGTGGCTGGCGAAGTATCATTGCTCGTTTGCGCAGGATCTTGGATCTGGCTGGCAGCACCTGGAGGTGGATTGGCATGGGCTTCAGACGACTGTGGATACGCAGAAGCGTTGGCAAGAGCTGAGTAAAGATTGGATTCCATGTCGGCATCATTCTGGACCATCGGGCCGTTTGTGGAGGGGAGCTGAGCAGGATCATCGAGACGAGTGTTTTCCTCCTCGGCGCCTCTCAGAAAGTTTTGAACAACGTCTTGCTCTTCCGAGTTTGGATCGTTTGTATCATTCTCATTCATAGCGCGAGCAGAGTCCGAGTAAGGAGAGAAAGTTTGATTATGAGGAATATTATAGGTCTCGGTGTCATTGAAGACCGGGTCCATCTGGTTTAGCAGTACCGGGATCGTCGAAGGTTCAGGGATATGGACCGGGCGAGGGGACTCGGGCGTTTGAGATCTACCAAAGCGTTGGGCTTCTGGCGGAGGGTCTGCATCAGTCATCTTGAGGCGGCGAGGGCGGTGCAAGTCATGTTCAGGGCAAGGTGAAGGAGAGTGCTGCTTTATCAGGCTGTTGAGGCGGGGGGAAAAGGCTGAAGAAAAGGTGGACAAGTCAAATGCAGTCTGGCGACATCAGCGCGTCAACAGGAGATAAGGAGAAACAGGAAAGTGAAAAGTGAGGTTGAGGATGATGATGATGATGATGATGGATTCAGCGACCAGAGGTTTGACGGAAGTGATGCGAAGTTGCTCATTACTGCGTTGGAACGACAGCGCGCAGAAACAAGAGTCGCAAGGCGATAATAGTAGACAAGGCGCAGTTGCCCTGCTTGGATTTTCGCTTCGGCAAGTCAACCATTCCACATGTAGTTGGTCCTCCCGGCTAACCTGCCATAGAAGATTATGGAAGGATGAGGCTGGCAATCGCTTCCACAGCCTTAAACAGGCTGTTAGCTATGTAGCTGGCTAGCTGTGTAGAATATGTCTTGATGTGTCCCCCACGGCCAACGAGGACCCTCGGTGACCCATTTTCTCTTTGGAGATTCTACTCCGCAAAGTCTGCGAGCTCGGAACTCGACTTTGCGGCCGCCAGGGAATGGTATAGGAGTCTCAACACACAACAGCCTCTACGGCATGTTGGAGAGGTGACTTACGCCCGGTCCAGCGGTCCTGGCGGCCAGAATGTCAATAAGTACGATCATCTTTGGTATCTGGTCGACGAGTGACTCTGACTTGGGTACGACAGAGTTAATTCGAAGGCTCAGCTTCGCGTCCCCGTTGATCGTCTCTTCCCCGTAATCCCTGTCGTTCTACATCGAGGCATCTTGTCCTCTCGATATTACGCGGAGAAGTCATCGAGTTTGGTCATTCAAGCAGATGAAAGTCGAAAGGCCCAAGCCAACAAGGACACCTGCTTCAGAAGGCTCAACGAACTCATAGTGGACGTGTACAAGAACACCGTCCCTGGGGAGACGACAAATGAACAGAAGGAAAGGGTCAAAATCCTTCAGAAGACAGAAAACGAGGCCAGATTGAAAAGGAAGAAATTCCAGTCAAGCAAAAAGCAGTTAAGATCAAAGGGAGATATGGATTGACTAAGTCGACTCAGAGACGACCAAGGATTTCACAACCGAGTCTGCCACTGTCCTGATTGCTGGGTCCAGATCGGAAGTCTGAACGAGCTCTTCAAGCAATCCTTTAACCCAGCCGATCAACTCAAGGCTGTTGGTCTTCTTGCGAGCACCCTTCAGTCGTTCCAGCATATCTCTGAAAGCGGGTGGGAAGATGGGAGAAGAGTGAGGTACCGAGACAAGTGGTAGCTGTATGTGGCAGGCCTGGCTGCACCAACTCTGTGGATATTCCCTCATCAAGAGTACCGCCACATGATCCGCAACTTTGCGACAGGTTGGAATGTCATCGTAGTCCAGAATCATCTTGAAAAAGTCCAAGCCAAACTTTGGGTCGAGGAACTGGGCCATACCAGCGTCGAATATTGCAACGGGAATGGCACCACTCGTCGCGGGTGTCGATTCCAGATTCTGTAGCGCAGATGTATCGGCCTCGTCTTCAGCGTTCGGGCCGACGTCCAGAGCCGTTAGTCTCGGCAACCGCAGAAGATCCTCATCGTCATCTCTTCCGTTTGCGTGTTGTGGTTGATCGGATTTGCGGATGGGGATTCCAAGGATTTCTCGACGGAGGTGAATCTTTGCGATGTAAGACATTTCTAGTCTCGCATATTCCAACCACATGGCTCTTGACCCTTTACAAAATCGAAGACCACGTTGCATGTAACTTCTTGCTTCAGTAATGTCACCATTCTCTTCCAACGCATTTCGGGCGGCATGGATCCATAAATCGGGCTTTGTAGGATGCAATCGGAGCACTTGTGTCAACATATCCTGCAGCTTCTTGTGTGCCTTTTGCTTCCTCGCGAAATCTATTGCCTCCGTCCATAGACCGACATCGCCCGGATGCTTGCGAGTACCGCGGTCAAAGACGAAGAAGATGCGGCGCTTGCCATTGTGTGCTGTGGACTTGATTCCCAATCTCTTGACTCTCTTGCGCCTCAAGGCATCCACGTTTATCTCGAACTCGGCGTACCGAGCGAAGTCCGCGGGCGTGGATCCCCGGGCGTTGATCTTGTGCTCAAAGTCGGATCGTTTGCGGGCGATGCGGGTAATCTCATCGGCGCTGAAGATACATTTGCGTTCGTATTCCTTCAGTTCAGGTACCGATTGTTCCAGGAAAAAGCGAGCCTTGTCGCTCGCGGCAGCCATAATTTACCCTGCTGGTAACTAAGCCTGCTGGGATTCTCTGAATAGTGGAAAGAAGAGAACGGATTTTGGGGAGCATTTTTCTGGTGCGGAAGAAATTGACCCGCAGTTTTCCCACTTGGTTGCTTCGACTGCGGATCATCAGGGGTTCGTGTGTACCCGAGTCCTGACCTTTCATCTGTCCTCATGCGCAGCTTGCACCTTTCAACCTTCTAGCCGTTTCTTACACCGTCTTGTCACTCTTTCACTCTCTTCTTCTTGTTCTCTAGATGCTGCTAGCCGTCTTGTAATCGTCACTGATATACCAAATGGCGCCCAGGAAGGATGGTGATGTGGTGTTCTCTGTAAGCACCCAAACCCGCTTCTCCTCTTGTTGAGGTAAACTGACGGTTGGCAGTTCAATGGAAAATGGGTGTCTTGGGCTCATACCGTCGTCGCATATGCGGCCTTCATTGGAGCATTGATTGTGGGTGTTTCTCTCCACTATCACAAAATTGTGCAGAACGAGCACTATGGATACCCGGATGAATGGTTTCCTTCCGTTTCGGCCACCATTGGCGATCGATACCCTGAGCGCTCGGTATTTATGGTCTTCATTGCTATCACCTCCGGACCCCGATTTGCCCTCGTCACTCTCTGGTACTTCCTCACCAGAAGACCAAACTCGAATCTGCCGGCGATCATCGCAACCACAGGCTTGTTAAGAACACTGACATGTGGAGGGTGGACATACGTGACATCTACGGACGACCATGATTGGCATGATATTTTCATGATTTCCTACCTGATATTCACCCTGCCTTGGACGTTGGGATGTCTAGCTCTGAGTCCGCCCAACGCGAAAGCCATCAAATATCGAAAAATCTTGGCTAGCTTGTTCTTCGGTACTCTTGTACCCTTGATCTATTTCTTCATCCAGCATAAAATCCACAAGGTTGCAGGCGGTGAGTCTTTCGGCTACAATCCGGACCTTTGGGCTGATTTCTCAAGCGTACACCATCTACGCCTTTTTTGAATGGTCTCTGATCTTGTTCGATGTGGCCTTTGATTCGGTCACTGCGCTTGACTATGAAACATTTGAAATCGTGGTCAAAGATGTCAAGGGCTCTAGCAGAGGGTATGTACAGCTGCTCCCAAAATACGCAAATGTACGAACAAGTCGAAGTTTTGGCTTGGGGACCTACTAACCCTTTTGCAGTGACGCGAAACTACTGAAGGATTCTGTGAAAGAGAAACAGTAAGTTGAGAGTGATTACTCTATTGACTCTGCTGATGGATCCCAGACACGAGAGTCCTCTGATCGAGACCTCTACCTTTGATGGTCTGTACTATTGGCCCGCGATGCTGGACGCAACTGCGGACATTCTCCATGGATTTTTCTTCTGGTCTATCCTCACTTCTCTCGGTGTCCTCATTTGGTATTTCCCGCTCTGGCACATGGGGATCTCGGGCTACGAGGTCATGGTCATGTCTCCTGCTTCACCTTTGATACTTGCCATCCCTTCCGTTCGATCTTTTACAATCAAGAACTTTCGCTGGGTTCACATGGCTTCTCTGGTGGGCCTTGTGGCTTGGTTAGTAAAGGACCCCGCATACCGTTTGTTCACTGTCGGGTTTGCCGTCATGTTGGGTTGTATAGCCTGGTCAGCAGAGTGGTATGCTGAACGAAGAAACTCGACGCGGCTTCAAAGAAGAATCTTGGCATGGAGTACTGGTTTCGTGCTGTCGAGCATTGCCAAGTTTGCGAATCACACCAACAATCCTGTCTGGCCCATTTTACATTCCGGGATCGGTGGCTGGAACAAGACCGCTTTGGTGATCGCCCTGGTTGCTGTATGGCGGTCCACCCGACCAGAAGCCTTCAGTGGTGGAGACTACGTCCCCCCAAATGCGAAGAAAGGCTCAAGCCTTTTGGCTGGTCTCGGCCTGGGAGGGCTCTTCTTTTCCATGCACTCTTTGCTCTCAGACTCCAGCACCATGATATTGTGGGTCTGGGAGGGTTATCCTGTACGAGGGCCGCTGGCAGTACCCCATGGTGCCGTGACGATAGTTGTGATGAGCCTCGGATTGTTTCTAGGATTTGCCCTCCCTGGCTTTTTTGGGACATGGACAGCCTATGGATTGGGAGCTATCGGTGCAGCCTTACTCACCAGCTACAGCAACTGGACCGGCTACTATGGTGGTCTGATTCTTGCCTTCTACACTATGGGAGTTGCGCCAGTGCTTATCTCTTCCGCCGCCCAACACAGTCCGGCTTCTACCTTTGGCTTCGGCTATTTCATGTACAACATCATGGTCCTCTTCCATGTCTGGGTTGTGGCATATGCGTTCGTCCCTGGAGGACCCCTCGTTCGAGAGCACACCGATTGGGTGATGATCACAATGATGCTTCTGATCGGTGCTGGCGTCTTTTCAGCCTTGGCCACTAACTCGGCCTATCAACCGAAGAGCAAGTCGAGCCCTCGTGGACGGAAGCAGTCCAGCTACTACCTTCATATCCTACTCGTCCTGCAGCTGTTGACGGCCTTCATTGCGTATATACGCTTTCCAACCTATGATTATGTACCATACCATCCAGAGGAGAAGCTGATAACCGCTGGAATCTGGACCATCCACTTTTCGCTGGACAATGACGACTGGTCGTCTGAGCGAAGGATGCGAGACGCGATCAAGGAATTGGAGCTGGACGTGGTGGGATTGCTGGAGTCTGATCTGCAACGAATCATTATGGGCAACCGCGACACCACGCAGTATCTTGCTGAGGATTTGGGCATGTACGTGGACTTCGGTCCTGGGCCGAATAAACACACGTGGGGATCAGCACTGCTATCCAAGTTCCCCATTCTCAACTCGACTCATCACTTGCTCCCTTCGCCGGTCGGCGAACTTGCGCCTGCAATTGAAGCCACGCTGGATGTATACGGAACCCAGGTCGATGTATTTGTTTTCCACTCGGGACAAGAGGAAGATCCCGAGGACCGACGCCTTCAGACGGAGTATTTGTCCAAGCGGATGGGGGCGACAACTCGACCGGCAATCTTGCTGAGTTACCTCGTGGTCAAACCGGGAGAAGGAAACTACAACACGTACGTGAGTGAACTAAGTGGAATGCACGACATTGACTCTCGTGATTGGGACCGATGGTGCGAGTACATCCTGTACAAGGATATCAAGCGCGTGGGATACGCCCGGGTCAGCAGGGGTACCATTACCGACACTGAGATCCAGGTAAGCAGAAGCACCCATTGGATATTGGTTTACTGAACATCACTAACGCGAGGCAGGTGGGCAAATTTGTGGTTGGAGAGCCGGTTTCGTACACGGACGAGAGGATTCCTGAAGAGCAGGTACCGCCTGGACGCAGATTCCCAGCGCTATTCCGTGGGGAGGGTGTGCGTGGACACAGATACCACGTCTTTGACGAGCCATGGTATTATGCGTAGGGAGGGCAAGTCACCTGTTGGGATATCTACTCAGAACGAGGTACATACGAGGTATTGTGATAATCTGCGCTGTAGCACGATGGGCCCGGAGCCTAATATGAAGCAGCCAAAGAAGCGCCTTGCTGAACCTGTGCAGCCAATCCAAGGCTCGCCTGCTGTGGCAAACGTGCACATCAAGCACGTCTTATCGTTATCGCGAAAATCATGCGGGGTTGTTCAAGCGGGCAGAACTGACTCGGGTGGTGGCGGCGGTGACGGCAGTGACTCAACCTGCCAACGTGACCACGATTGTGGGCTTGTGGGCTTGACCAGTGAATCATGCGCATCTCGATTAACCAACCTTATTACTGCCTGCCTATCGCCTCACAAGCACAGGTCCCTCTGCTGTCTCCCAAACCCTCCTTAAGTAGCAACTCAAATCTGTTTGCCTTTCTTCCACCACCACGTTACTTGCTGCTCTTCCTTCTTCGATCCCCCAGGGCATCACGCTCATGTGCACTACTTACAGGTAATCACCCCAGGCTGTGGACTTTCCTTTGCTGTTATTGGAGCTTGGTGAAAGGCGTTTTCTACATACCTATAATCAGTCCACTTCACTTCCCTTCGCTAGGGCTAGTGGTTGTCTCTACAATGCCTGATTCCTCTCCTTCTCCCGCTCCCGGCCCCCGGGCCATCAAGATCCCTTTGCACACGGGGAACAATGCAGACTACTCTCCGCCGAACCGACGTCGACGAAGTGAACGCTACCCTCACCACGCCGAAAGTGCCGAAGCTTCTGATGCTGGCCCGTCATCGCTAGGCTCAGGCTCAGGCTCCGATCAAGACTCGCACTGGTCCTACAGCCCTATTCCCACTCGGCCCCAGCCCCAGCATCTCCTGCGCAACAATGTCCCTTCAGCGGGTGTGGTGGTCCGACTCCCTGCCTCGTTACACTCCGACAACGAGCCCAGCCCATCACAACGGAAAGACAAGCACAAGGCTGGCCTCCCGCCGCCTAGCAGCATGCCCATGCTCTTCAACGCTTCCTCCTCTTTACTTGGGCCTTCGATGCTCTCCTCCAGCTCTTACAAATCCATCAATTTGAATGCTCATCACGACGATCCGGACGAGCCCCCTCGACTGATCACATACACAAAATATAGCCAGGGGTTTACATGGAATGACGAGCTGTTCTTGCCAAGCTATATGCTGGGACGATATGGGGAGAGGGGCCGAAAGAAGCTATACGACGGAGACTTTGGGGACGAGGATCACTGCCCTGTGGCTGAGATCTTCGTCACGGACGAAGAGGCCGAGGCCATGATGCCATGATGCCATGAGCAACGTCGGAAATGATCACTCGAAGCCACGAGGTCTGGATTAAGGCATGATACACACGGCAGCAATGTCAGTCAGGGCGGCGTCCTCAAGCACGGAACATCGACGGAGAAGTCAATGTCGAAAGTTACTCAGCTCTAGATTGGTCGGTCGGCTGGTAAGGACAAGGTACATTCGGTTGGCTTTTGGCAAGGCGACGTCAGAGACACCCGGACTTGCAGGATTTGGATAGGGCTTCCGAAACACGACAGGAGGCACTCTTTCACAGGTTACAGGCACTAAGGATTATCTCGACTCACGACAGGCAGCGTACCCGTAACTACATGGCACCAATGGTACGTTGGAAATGGGAGACGTTGGAGGTCGATCCAAGGGCGTTGCGGTTATTTATCTCTTGGGCCACCGCTCTCTAGCCCCAGTTCGTCTTGTTTGGAACTAGTTATTCACACAGCAACAAACATATATTGTGTTGTTATTATGTAGCACGTCACCCCCCCACCGGGTTTCCCTTCCTAATTAATTCATCTCAATCCAGCACGTACGTACCAGGTATTGCACATGCAAACCCTCCCAGTTGTTGGCAGATGCCTTAGTCCCGCGGCTGCATTGGCCCTCTGCAGACACCTAAACCCCGCCCACTTTAGTAGCCGACTCTGATGGACCCCATTTGATCCCATCTCTAGCGAAACAATGCCAACGGCCAACTCAGCAGTGGGCAGCGTCTCATGCGTCAAAATCCACGATTCAGCCCGTGTAACTCGTCTCGCTCGGCGATGCGCTGGCAACGTTCTCTCGACTTGCATGAAACAGTTTGTGGAAAGGTACAGGCTCCGACTGCAGCTCCCCGCCGGCAAATGACTTGTCTATCAACAACCATGCCAGTCCAACGGAGGTATTTGATGATCCCAAAGGCCACTTTATGCTTTGTGATCGAAAGGTCAGCTTCTGCCATCCCCGAATAACTTCCTGTAGCTAGATTTTTCCCCTGGTTGATGCGCTACACATCGAATCACCGACACAACCCTTGACGAAGACCAGATCACAAATCTATCTATTTAGTCAAATTGTCTGGACGACAGAACCCACCGAGAATGTCCGAAAATTTGCTGTCACTTGTCAACGAGCTCTCGCAACTCGCCAGCAGCTACGTGCCTTCCACAGGCCATGATGCAGCGTCTCTCGCACCCAAAGCAGCTCTCGTCAACCTCTCTAAGAAAATTATGTATTCCCTGATGGATCCAGGCATGATGGTTCAGGCCCACTCACTACAAATGGCCGAACTGGTCTCTGTCCGTACACTGTTGGACTTCAAGGTATTTGAGAAAATGCCAGCTGAAGAGGGAAAGACCATCAGCGCAAAAGAGTTGAGTGAAGTGTCTGGCGTCCAGGATGTCTTGCTTGGTATGGCTCCTGTTCCACTTGATTCACTGCTGGTGATGGGGTCCCGGTGGTCCCGCTTGACCCGAGAAGGCCAATGGAAAAGTGGTGATGCTGACACAAAGGTCATCAGAAAGACTGTTGCGCCCTCTGGTCGCGTCGGGATTCATAACTCAGTCCCCTGAAGATGGCTCCTATGGCTGCACCAAGTTTTCACAGGCCTACACTTCCTTTCCTGGAATGTTCTTTACATTAATGTTCGACCACTTCCTTCAGCCCATGACGGATCTCCCGAAATACCTTGCCAAACATGGGGCTGTAGAGCCAACATCTTTCTACGTCAATCCATACTCGGACTACCACAACGCAAGCGACTCCGGGTTGACGACGTGGGAAATCATGTCCAAAGACCCAGAGAAACTGAAGACATTCCAGCTTGGGCTGAAAATGGGTGACAACCTGGTTCCTGTCATAGGCTATTATGATTTCAATCAACTTGCATTAACTGAAGAGGAGTTGCAGACGAACCCTGATCGAGCAGCTCTGGTGGATATTGGTGGCGGAGTAGGGAACACCGTAAAGAAAGTCTTGGATGAGTACAAGGAGTTGACCCCCAAAAACGTGGTCTTGCAAGATCAAAAGGAGATTATAGCAATGGCCGAGAAAGAGAAGATTGCCCCTGAAGGGATCAAGCTGATGGAGCACGATTTCTGGACCGAACAGCCTGTTAAAGGTGAGTCACTCCAGCCAAAAAAAAAAAAGGGGCAACAGGCTTGAGTCTTGCTGTTCGAATTTGTTTTCCGATAAAGGCGTGTATGCTGTCATTCTGACTTTCTGCGCAGGCGCCAAAGCGTACTACTTCCGGCGAGTCTTCCACGACTACAGCGACGAACTCTGCGCCAAAGCGCTGAATCAGATCATCCCCGCAATGGTGCAGGACTCCCGCATCCTGATTGCTGACATGCTGATTCCAGAAATCATGACGGACAAGGAGGCACATACCGCAGCTTTGGATGTTGCGTGTATGGTCATGGGTGGGAAGGAGAGGACAGAAGCAGATTTCCGGAAACTGTTCGACAGCGTGGGGCTTGAGGTGGTCAAGATCCATCGCGCACCAGAGGTCGCGGCAGGCGTAGTAGAAGGAAAGCTGAAGCCTGTTAACGAGGCGAATGGGACGAATGGGACGAATGGGCCGTGATGTAGAAGCGATAGAGGTAGGCTGGAGCACGGTGTTCTGCCGGCACCCAGCCCGAGCCGAGAGCACTTCGTACATTCATATGGATCCTGACCATATACGGTGATTGCCAACGGCGGTGGACATCCCTTGCATGCTGCCCATCTATCGAACATGTACGAGTTGTAGGGGTTACACAAACTCAAAGTAGAAAAAGGGGATGTTCAGCCTTCTCGCACACGTGATCTGACATCTTCACCTGCAAGTAATGCTTGCCCGCCTCCTTCGCCATGGAGCTCCTAAGTACCAACGATTTCAGTGGCGGGAGAAAGCAGGAAAACTGGGCATCTCTTCCTCCCATCGCTGAGGAATTCCCGCGAATATGAGATGCGCAGACATGATGGGACGCTCTTCGAATCACATCTGAGGCCGATTCCGGGCTTTGGGCTAATATGAGCTACTCCAAACGAGAAGGTCTCTGAAGGGGAGAGGGAGCCTCGTTGATGGGGGGAGATGCGCGCAGTTTCAGCGCCAATATACCTCCTCCGTATATGCATAATATATTGATTAGCATAACAGCCATACAGTTTGCGCCAGAGAGGTATGAATGGAATACCAAGACTATGTATTTACCCCCATAAGGAAAACGGGTCATGAAATTCATAGATTGCGGTAGATATAACAGTATTTCCGCATTTATCCTGAAAACAAATCGCCATCTTTCTTCACCATAAGATCCCATTCATTGCTCTGTCCACCCCGGACTCGACACAACTTGCCACCCCGACCGCCTCGGACGCATCACTGCCCACACAAGCCAGGACATAAAACACTCAATACGGATCGTATATCCTCTTGATTGCCCACAGCCTCTCTTAATGTTTTCTCCCGTTAAAATCCGCCTTCCAGTCTGGGTCAAATCTGTCCGCTTCATCCATGTAAAGGCTGGGTTTGGCGCCAGTCTCTTCATGGCTGGCACCTTGACGTACATGATGTCGTGCTGCTTTTCGTCCGGCACTGCCTGTGGAGTGTCAAAAGAAGACACTCGGGCGACGACGCTGTTGAAGTAAGAGATCCGCCATGCCGGGGTGACGCCCGAGTACGGTTCGGATGCGTCCCTAAACACCTGGCCACCACCGACGAGCTCGAGGTTGTTGGTTGTGAACTGGTCGAGCGTCCCGTCGATGGTTCCAATCATGGTTCGCAGAGCGCTAAAGTTCTGCGTCACCGAGGCGCGGTCGACCAGCCGGTTTCCAGCACCGTATGTCCCGCCGCCGCCACCGCGAAGGGCGAAGAAAAGGTCGCTGTGCAGGCAAGCATTGGCCGTCACAAGTGAGCCGTCGGCAAGGACAACCGCGAGTTCCAGCGCCTGGTCTGCTCCCAGGCCAAAGTCTCGCGATGCAGAGCCGTGGCCACCGCCCTTCATCTAGCCTCCAAGAGCCCCAAGAGAGGGAGTACCACCAGTGACAATAACGGCGTTGTGCTTCTGAGCCTCTGCCGCCACATCGCCCCACGAGTACCCGCCTGCGACCTTGAACGCGCTTCCAGTCCAATTGTTCGCGGTACATCCGGTGGAGGACTCAAAAATGTTTTGAAAAGTGATGCCCTTCCGAAGATGCCGGAATTCGAACTTCCAGACCATTGGATCCCTCAGAGCGTCCGAGCTGGTCATGGCCCGTGCTCTTAACCACCAGCCGGATGTTAAAGAGCTTGGAAAAGACGATCGTCAAGGCAACCTGTCGAGGGTCTGTGCAGTTGACTGCATAGCTCGAACTCACTACTAGTGTGTAGGACCTCTGAGCAGTCTCCCTTGCCGTAGCATTGACGGGAGGGCAGGCGATATTGGTTGGGTATGAGAGCTCAACGACATGTCAGCTTGGAACGTGGCATTGTCCCAGTTCGCATCGGCATAAGTCACATTGAGCTGGATTGGAAGCAGGACCAGGATAGCAAGAGAGGGCGACAGGTTGTGTTCGAATCGAGTTTCCACTAACCTTGAGGTTGAAGAAATCTTAGAGAATATTGGAAGGCCAGCATCGGTCGCCAGAAATTTATCCATCTGGTCAGATATTCCGCATTGGACGACCTAACTTGTTGGAAACATACGCATTTGCACGAACTACTGGGAGCAGCGTTGGCCGCTGAAGCAACTGCGGCAGACATGATTGCCAGAAGCATCAAGGGAAGCCGACCGGACGAGAACAGCACACCCGTGATCTCTCTTGTCTCGTTGTCGTAAGGGCGATGGACTGTGGATCGAGGGGATGAGCAAGTCGTCCTGACAGATGTAGCAGCATGAGCATCGCTGGCATTTCATGTACGCTTGTTGTGAAATTCCTCCATCATCCGGGCGGCTACAATGGCATGCTGGATGGCAAGATGGGTGCCGCTTCCTGCCTGCTGTGAAGAAGTCGACTGAGAATCAGCTACAGTCGAAGTAAGGTGAAGAGCAAGTGCGAGGCCCAGACCTTGAGGCTTGAGCAGTTACTCCCAAATGGTGCCATCAGCCACCAGTTCCGGCCATTGAGAGAGACGAGACCGTCGAGGCTGAAAATAGCACCCATTCACAGATGGACAGGGTCAATAGGGCACCAGGCCGAGTACGATGTAACGAGATGAGATAGCTGGGCCGAAATTGGGCCAAATTGACGAGGGTAGCATCAGATCTCTCGAGGCCAACATATCTGCTCATTCCGTATCTAGCTCGTCCTTGAGCATCATGTCGGTACTAATACATCGTTTCCTCCCTGGGGCCCATACTTTGTCCCAGTACAAGGTATTTGCCGGGATGCTGTAGATTCGCATCCAATGTGTGCGGCCAGTATTCGAATGCTCGGTCGTCCCAATTCCCAAATATTCTATCTTCGCATGGGCCTGCCCATCGCCGCCGCCTCATGCATGTTCTGGAAAATGAGCTTGAAGCCGTTGCACAGATCTCTCATGGTGGGATATGGTTGCTTCATCAATTCGAACCCTTGTGGAATTACCCTCACGCTCCAGTCCATCAGCTTCGCGTTTTGGCCCGCCTTGAAGACGAGGTGGAACTGCCCTGGTCGCTCACGGTTGAGGCAGAATTGGTACATGGAGCGTTTGGGGTTAGCATTGGTATAGGTCGTCAGCCACTCTTCTGTTCCCAGCGTCAGTCATATCTGATGTCAGGTTCGCAAAGAATAACAAACTCACCTAATGCAGCCTTGGACTTGTTCTGGAATTTCTCGTTATTGCACATCTCGTCCACTTTTCGAGCCATGGCCTTGACATGCAGCACGATCAGTTCGTCCAAGTCGGAGTAGTTGTACCGTCCACCTATCCTCAGTGTCCTTCCCAAGGAGAACTCGTTCTCTTTGTCCAGTTCAAGGACATCAATATGTTGGAATATACCGTCAGCAACTTTCCATGTTACGGCAAGATGATCGTTTCCTTTGGATGACGGGCGAATGACGATATCACCCCGATTCTGGCTGCCCAAATACTCTTCCGCTTGCTTCGCATTGAACGGCCGGAATAGGGGGTGCTTGATCACTCGGGTGACCCGACTGCCCAAATCTGTCTTCTCTTCCAACAACTTCTTGTCCGCAGCCTCCTCGCGATCGTCCCACTCGTCGTAGTTTCGTTCGTTGTGACTATATCTCTTGAATGGTTTTTTCAACTGCTCGTCTCTCAAGCTCACAGTGACTATAAAGTCTTTGCGGTTGATCGAGGTGATGTGGGCTTGAACGGTCTGATGGATGTTGTATAACTGCTTCGGTGACAACGCAGGGTCTGCCCATTGACGATCCTCAACCACAGCATCCAATCCGCATTCGAATCTGCCCTCCATGTGATCGTCGGTGACCTTCTTGAGCGTCATTGGAACATTCATGCCTCTCTGCAGGGATTCTCTGGTCTCCCCTGTGAGCATTGTGAAGATTTCCGACTCTCCTAGATTTACCCGGAATGGGTTTCTCAGTTCTTCGTAAGGATCGTTGAGTTCGGCGGTAATGTTCTCCAGAGTGCTGCGCTTTTTTGAGTTCAGGTTTTGTTCCAACTGCGCGGCATATTCTTCGAGAACCAGGTCATGAACGCGTTCCTGTGCTTCTTCTCGTATTAGGCGGCGAACTATAGCTCCTGATCCTCCTTCTTGTCTCTCGGCCTCAATATCTTCTTCATCAAGTTCAAGCGCATCGGCTGCCATTTTCCGGGCGATGTCGTAGTCTTCAGGGTGTATTCGAGTGTTGTCCAAATACTCCGAGTCTGGGTCCGACATGTCAAAGTCGATGTACAAGAAGGATGCAGCATTGGCCCATACTTTGGGTCCCATCGCTTGGTATTTGTCGTTGAGGCCCAGCAGGTCCTCGCGAGCCCTGACAAACCCATTGTTGAGGTTGATAACTTTCACCAGCTGGGAAGCCTTTCGGGGTCCGAGGCCGGCAACGTAGGGAAGCAGGTTTGCCAGCCCGGGGTCAGTCACGGCCTCATTGATGTTCACGCCGGTCATGGTGACCGTGTCGACAAGAGCAGTTTCCAGTTTCTTCAGTAATTTGTCTTGCGGCACAAGGTTCTGGGCCGGGTGGAAGTTGATGGATACAATGTCCCGACCTAGAGCGGCATACTCTTTCAAGGGAGATTGCATGTACCTCGCTAGACCAACACAGTAGAGGGCCATTTCAGGAACCCCGGGGTTATCGGATTTCATGCGATCGCCTGATTTCGACATCCGAGCAACTTCGTCGTTAACGAGAATGACATCCAACAGATCGCTTCGATCCTGGTCATCATCATCGCTGTATGTCGCACCTCGGAGGTCGTAGTTGTTGACTAAGGCGGTCAGGTTTGCTAGAAGTTTGCGGGTATCAGGACACCATCCCGAGACCGCGATAACTTCAGGCTCTCTCCTCCGAATGACTTCCAATAGCGGGTCCACGTCCTTGCCGTCGGAAATGCCGCGTTCTCGATTGCCAGGGCCGAGGTCCTTATACTTACCATGCTCAAGGACTCTACCCTCGTCACCGACGTAGGCCCAGTAGATGGGGTCACGACCAATTGCCCCGCCGCCGTTCGTCATGGCTAAGACCCGCGGAACGGTACCTTTCGCCAACCCTCTTGGCTTCCAGGGAGCCTGATCGAGCTTCACATAGAACTCATCGCGGCAATCATTCCCGATAGTTGCTTCGCATTGGTCCTTGAGATTTTCTTTCACCGACCGGGCCATGAGCCTCATGATCTTGTCAACGGCACTCGATACGGCTTCACGGCGCTCCTGGTTCCACGCATCAGCCACGGTAGAGTAATTGTCTGTTTCAATCTGCTTGTTGAGTTCTTTCTTGAAAGTGTCCAACTCGGGCAGTCGAACCCGAATCTCGATCAAGCCTTCTTCCTCGGCCTTCAGCATCTTAAGGAACAGGTCAGGTCGTTCGCTGAAATAGATGCATTTCTGGTTCCGAAGATATTTGAATTCATAGTAAGGATGTTGCTCGTCGATCTTGCGAAGACCTTTTTCGGTACGGTGGCAGTCAATCACCCCGTGAGGGAAGATCTTCTCTCTGATGAGACGGCGGAATCGTGGGCTCGCGGCCAGTTGTTCGACGAACATCGCCTTCGCCGCTTTGAGCACTCTGGCGCCAGTAGAGAATTCTTCGTCGATTAGTGTTTCAGCAAGATTCTCTGGGCTGTCAGAGGAATCTTCTGTGTACGTTCGGACGCCTTCTCTGGCGGCGTTTCGTGCGAATGCGTCTGCAGTTATTCCAAAGGCACGAACGAGACCGAATGCTCTTGAGGCACGAATTTCCTCGTAAACACTTCTCGTCGAAGCTTTCTTCTGAGACATATTCACACCATTGGGTTCGCCATTCGAGGTCAGGGCCAAATCTTTAAGCTGTGATGCGTACTCGAAATACAGATAGTCCTGCAAATCCTGAAGATCCTCCATCGTAGCAGCCCGTGGGAGGAGTTGTTCGAAAGTGGCGTCCTCGGACACATTAGTCGACTTCAAATCATCGTATGTCTTCTGAAGCGCTCGTTTCCTTTCGATGAGGGCTCTGTATTTGAGATCGAGCTCCAAGATACGCCACAGATCTTTCTGATTGAGGAGTTTGACGGTGTCATCGACAACTTTTGGAGTCCCGTCTTCCTGCACACCAACCACCTTAGTCTGAGGGAACAGAAGATAATCTTTTCGATGCATGTAAATAAACGGCGGTTCGAAATCCTGCCGAGTCATCAAATCCAGATTGTCTGCGACAGCCCGTCTGAATGGTTCATGGTGAATAGGGTCGTGTCCTTTCGACGGCAGTACGAGGTTGGCTATCCACGCAGCTTCTTCTTTGACCTCATCTTCGGTCAATTCAAGGTCGCGGTATGGTCTCCTAGCTAGCTGATGTCGTTCGGGTATATCAGTAAATCGGATTTCATTGTCCTTGTCGGTCAGAAGCTTCTCGGCCAGCTGAGAAGGTTCAAAGACGTCTTTGAGATGGAGGTTCTTGTCTTTTTCAGCCTCTTCTTCGTCAGCCTCTTCTTCCTTTTCAAGTGCAAAATCGTAATCTGTTCCATCACCGAACGCTGCACGAAAGTCTTCCAGAGCTTGCTCATCGAGACCAGCTGCATCTGCGATGCCTAGCTCTGCGATACCTCGACGATTATGCCTGGCCACTTCCTCGTCTTCGCGTTGCCGTTGTTGTTCTTCATCCGAGAAAATATCCTCTTCGATGAAGTCGTCAAACTCGTCCTGCAGCCCTCTTCGATCTTGACGACTCCGCCGACTATAGTCAGCTGCCTCCTCTTCCTCGTCGGAATGGCCAAAAATATCATTCACCCCAGAATGTTGTTGTGCATCGCGGTCTTCGCGAGGGCCTCGCTTGAGTCTCTTGAACTTTGATTCGGTCGGCTCCTCGGTTGGCTTCATGCCGATCAATTCCAAATCTTCTTCATCGAGGTCTTCGTCTTCACGTTCTTCGCGGCGGCGTTTCTTACGTTCTCGTCTCCGTTCTCGGCGGGTTTCTTCATCATCTTCATCTTCGTCGACAATAAAGTCTTTGGCAATCTGGCATAAACATTAGAATTGGCATCTCCGAAGTCTCTTGGTGGGAGAAGCTTCACCTCCGCCGCAGCCTCCTCGTCCTCTTCCTCTTCTTCTTCTTCTTCTGACGAATCGTCAAAACGGCCGTTTGCGCCACTTGACTTGGTTCTCTCTTCACCAGTCTCTTCGTCGAAGGACTCGTCCTCCTCCTCCTCCTCCTCCTCATCCAGGACTGCGCGATCATCGATGAGATGATCCATGCTGACAGAAGTGCAATGCGCAAATACAAGAGCCAGGGAGTTGAGGTGGTGCGAGGGGTGTTGAATCCGTAGGTAGCAAGTTCGCGATGCAGGGCGCTGGCAATGAATGCTCTACCGTCTTAAATGGAACTGCGAAAGTCCAGAGGCACACTTAGTTAAGTTGATGCTGCGGCTAAATCGCGGGCTCGGTAAAGTTTCTTTCTGGGACCATGATCGCCACGCGCCAAGCTCGATGTGGATAAGTGGGGCGTCGCTTTCGACGATTGGCTAGGCCCTTCTAGCCCTTCTAACTCACATGAATCGAATCAGCCTGCATGCGGTCCTGTGGTTCTTTCCTGAGGATGGGGAACTTCAGACTTGAAGCGTGAGAATAGGCGCTTGCGCTTGACCTCCTGTTGACACCTATTGGCGAACTACTGACCTATGCTATGCACTATTGACTGATATCGCTTCTTCCGTCAACGACCGCGCGTGCCTCTCACAACAGTGCTGAAGCGCTTGAACCCCTATCTTCAGAAGTCATTTCAGTTTCACCACCTGTCAACTGACTATTTCTTCAACTGCACGGCAGGTTCCAACCGTGGCATTTTGACATTTTTGACGGCTTTCCACTGTCCGAGAGTGGCTGATCTATTGAAGGCTCAGCAAAACGCCAGTTATTCATCCTCTAGGCGTCTGATGGCCTCGATTGGCATCGTTCTTGGGGTCTGAAATAGCCGCCCCCGGTTTCGTATTCTGTACATACACACGCTTGCAGTTCCGCCGCAGCCTGCTGTGTGTCATCCTCTTTTCGGTCTCGAACCTTTCCTCGTCGGCTTCATTAGCAGACCGTTACCACCGTCGCTCTAGAGATATCCTCACACCATGTCTGACGCGTTTAAGGCCCGGACGCTGAAAAGGAAGAATGTCAAGGGATTGGCGTTGAATGCTCCGCCTCCCCGAACAGCACCCTCCGATGGCGATGCACAAATACCTGGAGCGCTTGGAAATACAGACAGTGACCGAACAGACACTTTGGAGATTGGCTTGGAATTCAAACTCGACCTCAGAAGTGAAGATCTAATTGTGTTGAAAGAGTTGGGTGCTGGCAATGGCGGTACTGTCAGCAAAGTCATGCATGCTTCGACCAAAGTGATCATGGCAAGAAAGGTATGTGCCAGTGGTTCTAGAGGTGGGTTAGATGCTGAGAGAGAATGCAGGTCATTCGAGTCGATGCAAAAGAGAACGTCCGAAAACAAATTGTCAGAGAATTGCAGGTGGGCGCCGACTGCAGTTCGCCGTACGTCATCACATACTACGGAGCTTTCCAGAATGAAGCTCGTGACATTGTACTCTGTATGGAATATATGGATTGCGGGTGAGCCAGTTATGGTCGAGATCTGGCCCCCTTACTGAGCTGACGGCCTACAGATCCCTGGATCGCATATCAAAAGATTTTGGACCCACACGTGTCGATGTACTTGGGAAAATTACAGAATCTATTCTTGGAGGTCTAGTATACCTTTACGAAGCCCACCGTATCATGCACCGAGATATCAAACCCTCCAATGTCTTGGTCAATTCTAGAGGAATGATCAAGCTATGCGATTTTGGCGTGGCTACCGAGACCGTCAACTCAGTGGCCAACACGTTTGTCGGAACGTCGACGTACATGGCGCCGGAACGAATTCAAGGTGGAGCATACACCATCAAGTCCGACGTCTGGAGCGTGGGTCTGACGGTGATGGAACTTGCCATTGGAAGATTTCCGTTCGATTCAAGCGATTCTGCCGCGGGCGACAGAGCCAGTGCTGGACCAATGGGTATTCTCGACCTTTTGCAAACTATAGTTCACGAGCCTGCGCCCAAACTCCCAAAAAGCGAAGCCTTCCCATCAATCCTAGAGGATTTTGTCGCCAAGTGTCTGCTCAAGAACCCAGATGAGAGACCGACACCCCGAGAGCTCTACGACAGAGACAACTTTCTGCAGGCCGCGAAGAGAACGCCGGTTGATTTACAGGAATGGGCGGTCTCGATGATGGAGCGACACAATCGAAAATCATACTTAGCACCTCCTGCGCCAAAATCCCTGAAGAGCGATGGCACAAGCTCGGATGGCTCTCACACAACCTCTTCGGCGTCAACAGCTTCATTTGCGGGTGATGCCCGTGTCACTCCCGTGACAGCCAAGCAATATGCTAGTCCGACATCTGGCAACATCCCGTTAGCACCGCCTCAGTCCAGTTTTCAAGGAACACCAACCGGCATTGTGGAGAGATCGCCTCCTCCCCCGCTATCCTTACAACATTTGTCATTGGAGACTAGGGACGCGCCGAACGGAATTGGACCACGTGCTAACCGTATGGGTTACAACGACCGTGACAATATTCCTGAGCCTGCTTCGGCCATTGAGCCTTCTCAAAGACCCATGTTCCCGCCGAGGACAAGTAGTAGCGGCAATACGATGAATGGACGAAACCCGTTGATAAGTCCAGCGTTTTCTGTGCGGCAACCTCCACCAACTGGTCCGTTACCTCCTCCCATGAAGGACTTACCTGCACCTCCGACATTAAAGAGTGCAGGAATAGCTAGCCCGCGCCGACCAAGATAACATTGTTGAGAGCACATCATTACCGTTGGCTTGGAAGAGAGCTGCATCAAGCATATCGTGGCAAAAAGGGGACAGGGCCAGGGGCAGGGGCATGGGCTTGGGCTTGGGCGCGAGCTATAGCAGCATTTGATCCCGGCGTTATCACCAAGTGCACTGTGAGCATTTTTGAGCTTGTAGATCTTGAACATGGGAACAATTTATAGGGATATCTGTTTCACCCATTTGACTTTTGTGCATTTAACATGACCTCCGCATCTTCGCAAGACCGACATATCGTTATAGTTTTCGCCCTTGCTTTCTCCCTTCTGCTTTCCTCGCCTCTCTCTGGCACCCCTTCCGCTCTCATCTCCACTCCCTTCGACCTTGGAGTATCATCTACAAAAGCAAGAGATGGAACTCAGAATAGTCCCAAACCAAGACTTCTCCCAGGTCAACAATTCAAAAGCGAACGGGTACAAATCTGTTGGCCTGATGGTAGAGGTAGAATGGCATCACAGTCCCGTTTAACAGTACCAACAAGATCAACAGGGCATCAATGGCAACGTAAAGACAACTGCACCAAGTGATTCCCACCACCATTTCAATTATGTGCCCGGGTCTCAAAGACGGTACATATTCAGCCTTATAGACCTGTACGCAGCCTTGATCTGGCGAACAACGTCTTTGTTAAGCGACAAACGACAAAATTTGCAATATCAGCGCTCTCAGAAAGAGACTGTGCGTCTTTTTGTGATGCGATGTCTCTTGCGCAGACGAAGCAACAAATCAGCTCGTCCTTCGTCGGGCTCGTTGTCACGTTGTCTCTCTTGAATAAGAAAGGAAGTGAGTACAGTTTTCCCACAACCCGCATCGTCCGTCAACTGTAGCACAGCCGGCCTACGCTCGGCACGTCAACCGCGATATACTTTCCTCGAGATCGACTAGAAGTAAGTTCCTTATAAGGGCGCATCGGTAGAACCATTAGGTTCTAGACCGAACGCCGCGAGGTATTTACTTTCTGATTCTGTGAATGCTTGAGCGGAGAACAGTTAATCTCTTCCTCAGCACTGCCTAGACCCGTGACGTACAGCGATGCAAGGAGTCTGGCATCATCTACCCTTCAGCTTAAACTATAGCCTAGGTCAGTGGCTCGTTCCCAGGGTCATTCCTCGACGAGAAGCGACTCATGGCTATGTGATCCGCTTGAATAGATATCTCAACTTTAGCCAGCAGCCGAAGTATAGCGGATTATTTTTGAACCACCTGATGACATTAGCAAGGGATCTAAAGGATTAAGCAGCTTGACGACCTCACCAAGGAAGAAGAACAATGAGACGGTCTTTTGTAGCACGAAATAATGGTTATGGCTTTAGGGCGCCGTTGTTGGCTGATCTCGTCGAGCTTTGACGAATCCCGCGATAACTAGCGGACGAAATTTATCCTCATTGAACCGGCAAAATTGGAGGTGAAGGGAATATTGAACCGAAAATTAGCGATTATTGAGAGGGTCCTAATGTAGCCGTAATCTGACTCCCTCTATATGGCGTACTCATAAAGCAAAGTGGTCAACCTCGTGTGCTATGATTATTACCTAAGATGAGGTTTATTAGCCTTAGATTTAACTAAACTCCGACTAAGAAATGGTACCTATTTCAACATTATTTCTCCAAGACTATAATAAATGAAAAAAAAAAAAATGACTGATTTATCTAGCCACGAAGGATCGGTCAATAAATGGGCTCAATAAGCTTCAGTTGTGACTTTTCACTTAAATACTCAGTAAGAGACTTTAAGCCATAAAGTAGGTCGTTCGCGGCGTCGCTGATCCCTATTACGGCGCGGCTAAACGTGAGTGTAGATTCATGTCCAGAAAATACATCCGTTCGCCAGGCAATTCTTTCGGAAGATGTCATGACTCATTAGAAATCACGTAGCAATACATATAATACGTCAAAATGTAGATCCTCGTCGGCGCTATACGGGGTGTAGTGCCTCCATAGGAGCATAGAAAGGAGAGTACGAAAGTGAGAGGGAAGGTTACTAGTGGTTACCTTGTGAGCTATTGGTACCAACTCGCCGAATATCTATGTAGGGTGAGTCGCACGTGACCTCGGGGCACCCTTTACCCGTCCTGCGCTTTACGAGGGAGCTGCCAAGAAGTTCGTCAAAGGCTGGCTGGCACTTGCTGGCATCAGTTGCCTCTGGGGTGGGGGCTGCGTGGGTTGAATGTGCAGGTGAGAATCCGAGTTCCAAGTTCGGCATATCTGAACAAGAAGACACTCCAGCTGCCTTCAACCACGCTTGTGATCCATCTTGACTGACCTCCAACTCAACGCTAGTCTGGATCATGGAAGCCACCTCGGCGAGGATGGCTTCACGAAATCAGTTTGTCTTCGACGGCTTCGCCCCGCCTCGCTCGACCCTCCAGCGATTCATATACAATGCCTGCGATCCTATCGCCAACCTAGAACCCAATCTCGCCCTGAACCTCGAGATCGTCGATTTGGTAAACTCCAAGAAGGGCAATGCCCCGCGTGAGGCTGCATTTACCATCGTGCAGTTGATCAACCACAGAAACCCAAACGTATCTTTATTGGCCTTGTCCTTACTTGACATCTGCGTCAAAAACTGCGGCTATCCGTTCCACCTCCAAATCAGCACCAAGGAATTTCTTAATGAACTCGTCAGACGGTTTCCTGAACGGCCCCCGATACGGCCCACTCGGGTGCAAAGCAAGATCTTAGAAGCCATTGAAGAATGGCGGTCGACGATATGCCAAACATCGAGGTACAAGGAGGATTTGGGTTTTATCAGGGATATGCACAGGCTTCTGTTGTATAAGGGGTACATGTTCCCGGAAGTGCGGAGAGAGGATGCTGCCGTCTTGAATCCCAGCGATGTATGAGATACCCGAAAGATGCGCTGACCACTGCTAACACGGCCTAGAACCTCCAGTCAGCCGAGGAGATGGAGGAGGAAGACCGAGCGGCACAATCGGCCAAACTCCAAGAACTGATTCGGCGAGGACGACCTCAAGATTTACAAGAGGCCAACAGACTTATGAAGGTCATGGCTGGTTATGACACGAGGCACAAGACCGACTATCGGGCCAAAGCAGCAGAAGAGGTCGCAAAGGTCCAACAAAAAGCCAAAATACTGGAGGAGATGCTCCAAAGCCATCGACCCGGCGATAAATTTGGCGATGGCGATGTTTTCGAGGTATGGCCCGTTTCGCAGCCGTTGGTACATCAAGCTGATGGGGACTAGGAACTGGCTGGTGCGCTTCAGAGCGCTCATCCCAAGATCCAAAAAATGTGTGAGGAAGAGTCAGACGATGCCGAAGCGGTGGCCAAGCTGCTCGAAATCAACGACAGCATACATCGAACGATTGAAAGGTACAAGCTCATGAAAGCTGGGGACGTCGAAGGAGCCAACAGGATCGAAAAGGGAACGTTGGGGACCACGACAGGAGTCGGCAAAAACGCAGCCAATGAATTGTCCTTGATTGATTTCGAGCCAGAACCTCCCGCAGCGCCAACATTACCGACACATGCAAATGGCTCTCTTCTTGACGCCGGTCTTGCCTTATCTCCAACACAGGCAGAACATCGGACGGTGGAAGATGACTTGCTAGGTTTATCGTTGGATGACTCGGGTGCAGGCACACTTGGAGCCATTTCACTAGGCCCAACCACGAATTTTTCGGCGCCTTCAGGGTCGATCTTCTCCAACACCTCGTCCAACGTCGCTCACAGCCAGCCGGCTGTTCTGCAAACTTCGTCTCAAGCGTCACCAAAACCCAATTATGATGCCTTTGCGTCACTCATCAGTGCACTACCTTCTTCGAAACCTGCGACTCCAGTTCCTATGGCGCAGCAGCCGCGATCTTCAGGCCAAGCATTCGCTGACCCATTCGCAGCGCTGGTATCATCCAGCTCGCGGCCTCCGACGCCTTCAAGACAAAGCAATCTATCGCCACCCTTGACGCAGCCCGTCACGGGGATGAACCAAGCCGCCTCTGCACCGGGAGAAGACGAATGGACTTTTGAGTCGTCCTTGCCGGAACCACAGACGGTCACAGTGCTTTCATCGCCTCTCGGGATCGAGTTTGAAGCCCGCCGGTTGCCAGGACAGACGGTGATCCAAATCACGGCGCGTTTCTCCAACACGGCGGCGCAAAGAATTAGCGGATTGCATTTCCAAGTGGCGGTGGAGAAGAGTTACTCATTGCATATGAAGCCACAGAGCGGGCGTGAATTGGCTCCCAATACACGTCACTCTGTGCAGCAAGAGATATTGCTGAATGGAGTGCCGGCGGGGAAAGGCAATCAGGTTAAGATGCGCTTCAAAGTATCTTACGAATTGAATGGACATGCGCAAGAACAGCAAGGCAATGTTCCGCCACTAGGGGTTAGTTGACGGCCGCTGAGGGGTTGAGGGCTTGCTAAAAAAACTAGATATCACGTGCATGATTCACCCTTGAGACAATGGTGTGTGTCATTCCACCCACACTTTGACAAAGGCACACTTTAACCCGTTCGATATCTCGGCGAAGGCCACGCTTGTAGGGAATGCTTTGGCGCTTCCAGGGTTCCGCACATGCTATCTTTGAAATGCGCATCTTCCCCCACAAAACAGGCCCGAAGGGTCGACATTCATTTCCGGCATCTGGGAGAAAGGGAGATCTGGGTGGCAGTGGGCGGCCGGAGGCGATCAAGGATCAAGTCCAGCTGCATAGGAGATCGAGATGCAGACATGCTGGTAGATCAGATCTTGCGGGCACCACAGGCACAAGGAATAAGGGGAGCCCAGTGCCATCAAGCTATGTAGCTGGGGAGCAAGGGATGTAAGCAGTGACCGGCTTGTTGCGTCACGATGAAGCCGGAGTCGCGGGGCGAAGAGCTAAGCGGGCTGTATTAGTACTGCAAATTAGGCGATCAAGGTGATGCAGATCCAGATGGCCGATCTTCAGGCATTCAGCCTTTTACGGCAAAATAAGCACCGTCCCTTTCCTGCAGGTGATGGTATTTGGAATCAGAATCGATGGAGGAGTACCTGCAAGCTCCCAAAATATTTTGGGTGGCAAGTATTTCCCGCCTTACACCACGCTGCTGCTGCTGCTGCTGCGAGATCGATGACACGGAGGCCTATACGGGGACGTTGGCCAGCTCTTGATCACGGTCTATCTCCTTCTCCGCTTTTCTCTTTCCCTTTCCGCGACTTGGGGAAATGTGTGTTCGAGGTACGAGGTACTTGTAGGCCGTTGGAACGGAGGCGATAGCCGACGGCGCTAGGATCTCGCGCTACGACCCGAATGGGACTGTTGTCGGCTCCAGTCAGCATGTGATCTTCCGTCTCCCAGGCAGATCTGTAAACCACGCGTGGGATAGAAGAGAGGTCGACAGTCAGGAGGAGGTTTCTCTGAATATTTGATCGATTGGGAAACGAGTGACTACAGGGAAGAGAGACGGCGAGTTGCAACGAAAGAGCAGCACCAGGCAGCAGCAGATTCTCAGTGAGAGAAGGGTGGATCGGCGGACAACAAGGAGACGAAGAGGTGGTGATGTGATGGGGATACGATGAGATGACGACGCGGGTGGGCGGAATGCCTAGACACCCGCCGGGAACGCGATCGATTGGAGACGCAGGTGGGCGCAGTGGATGCAGCAGTCAACTCTATCGTGCTCCGACCTGCCTCTTTGGTGCTCGTTTCATTCTGCCCTTTCCCGCAGAGTACTAGGTACCTTTCTCACTTTCTACACCTTGGTGTCTCCCTGCTTCTTGGTCCATGCTTTATGGTCCTGGCTCCCTCTAACACCAGCTACCAGCCATGGCAATCCAATGGAACCCCCGGAACCCCCCTGCTAGCCAGCATGCACATGGTTCACGGTTCCGCTACGGTTGATGGCTTTGTCAATTTCCCTCTCGATCGGCCCTTGATCACAATCCATGATGATCGCCTCCACCCTCGACAATCTACATCAACAACTGAGCCCAGAGCCAGAGCCCACCTTGTCAACCGTGGGCGACATTGTGCTGTGGCGCCAGTGGTCTGCTCTGCTTTTCTGGTTGACCTGACATATACGGGCTGCCTCAGCGTGACCTCCCCCCTCCTCTTCCTCTCCATTCCAGATACCGTGATTTCTTGGTGCGGGTACATTAACGGCCTGGTTTGCCACTTGCATCTCCTCCTCTTATGGTCGATCCATTCCACCATCCAGGCACCAGCGCCGTCTGCATACGCTCTTCTACTCATTTTGCTGGAATACCACTCGGTGTCGTTGCTGTTGCTATCGTCTCCGAAGGCCTCACACAATATGCCACCAGTGCGAACCACACCGCCCCAAAAGTCCCTGAAGACTCAACGAACTCAACGATCTCAAGAGGAGAATGTGGAAAGGTGAGCCTCTCTGACGTTGCAGTATGTCTACTTGCGCTGACATCCGTCAAGAGCATATATCGCGGCGTCGAGAAGGAATGATCGAACTCTGGAGGCTCGAGTGGAATCGGCAAGGAGGGCGTCAGAAGTTCACAAACGTAGAACGGGTCGGGCACTCCGTATCACCCCCGAAGATGTCTTGAACGACGAGATGTATGAAGAAGAGGGGGACGACTTGCCAACACAATATCGACGCCTCACCGCCCATCTGCAGACCGGGTCCGCCGATTTCAACCGCCGCTTCGCAGCTTACTTGACACACCAAGTGGCGGTCCGGAGTGCAATAGCCCAAATGGCCCAAGGTCCTCAAGGCCAGTGTCTCAACGGCGGCTACAATATGTTCTCTTCTCCCATGCAGCCTCAGCATGGAATGGCTTTGTCACCGGGAGCGTACCAGCGACTTGCCCCGTACCCTTCGCCTCACCAAGCCAACTTGCCTCAGAACAACGGAAGAGAGACAGACTCTCTCGCATCAGCATTCAAGGATCAAGAGTCAACATCGCCCTCAACACCTTCCCCCCCAGGCTCGATGGAACATGGACAGTTCTCGACTCCGGCCTCAACGCGGCTTACCGACAATGTATCTAGACAGCATGTCAAGATCGAGAAATTGCAAGCAGATCTGGACTCTCTGCCACAGACTCAATGCGCTACAATGCCTCAGAGCATATCAACTCCATTCGCTCCTTTATGGCAGGACATGGGGCCCTTTGCCACATCCCTGCCTCCAAACTCGCAGCAGATGCTTGCGGACGCACCTGGCTTTGATTTCAATGACCCTTTTTATGCCATGCTCATGCATGGTTCGGACCAGCTCCTCAGCAACCCATATTACCCTTGGAGAAACATGCATGCTTCCATCAAAGGCATGTCCGCCTACCCCTCGGCGTACCAGGGAATGTACGAAACGCTGGCGCCTGCTGCACTTGGAAGTCCCGCTGAGGACTTATCGAAGAGCACTGGTGCTAACATCTCCACACTTACTGCGGCACATGAACCTGCTTCTGCAGAACCTGCTGACCCAAAACTTCTCCGAAGCGCAGGTGCAGACTTTATTAAGCAAGAAAGCAGAGAGCCCAGCTTTGTCGCTGCTGGTGAAAGCCTGGATTCTGGTCAGGCTACCCCTGCCAAAGAAGGATTCTGGGATTACTTTGTCAGGGACGGTAGCTGGGAGGGTGGTAATGACGGAGCATACGCCGTTCCCAGCGAAAATAACCCGGATAGTGCCGGTGTAGAGTCGAAGGTCGAGGTCCACGATTGAGACAGAGGAAAACTGGTTACCCTCCTTTATCGCACATGGAATGGGTCATCAGTGGACTCCTCAGTAATCATGTGTGGGTTTCTCACTAATGCCCCTTCAATTGGAAACGAGAAATAGTGGATTGTCCTGCGCACCGGCGTGAGTTAGGATTCCAACTCCAAGAGACACTCTCCTTGTGCTTTTCGCGAAGCCAATTGCTTTCCAAGATCGGTCTCGGTGCTCGGTACGGATGCAATTTTGGGGGGTTTCTGGGAAGACTGTAGGTGGTTTTGCGAATACAAAGGCTTCAAAGGAATCATATATGGCAAAGAGAATATTGCGACCGAGGTGGAGGCATGAGGCATGCTCATATCAGCTATTCACGGGTTTCATGCGAGCCCCATACGAGGGGCGAGGCACGAGGGACTATCTATGCATCAAACTTGAGTACATGGGCCAAAATGCGAGTCCGCGAATGCAACTTATCGTTTCGCTGTGGCAATCTGGGCACCAAGGAGAATCATCCGCGCTTTAGTGGTCCCTCTTTGTCGACATTCATTCGTGCATGGATGGGGTAGTTGGAGGAAGCGTTAAGAAAGAGAAATATATGTAACAGCATCCCGGCCGGGAAAGAATCCCCTCTCAAAAAGACAAAAATCACAAAAAAAACGTGGGTGTCTCTACAGATGCCATGCTGGTCTATGCTTCAAAGTGCTATCGTATGAATTCATGGCAATGGTGGATCTATCCCTTGGATACTCCCCGCCAGGCTCTATCCTGGTGCTATAACCTCAAAATCTATCTCATCTCATGAACTGACCGACACCGTTACGTGTAGCGTGACAGGTTGGGATACAATGCGCCTTGGCGAACAAAGTGATTTCGTCCCCGTTGCAAAAATGATCATCAAACTGGTTCGGTAGGCGTGGAGCCGACCCGGACACAGACAAATAGGTCTTTTTCTCTTCGACCGCGTGCTGCCAGATGTTTTGGTCGTATCCAGAATCCCATTTGCGTCAATTACTCCAAGCCGTCCACGTTGTCAATGTCGTGTCGTCCGGAAGTTACCTCCTGGATTTTGGGGGAGACCCCGAGCCCAGTGTCTTTTTGTGACACTTAATAGAGTCGATCGACCTTTCCCTCGAGATTGAGTTAGGTGGTGGACATTCTCACTTCGTTGTCGAACATTGTCGTTCAACCAGCGTCTTTTCTCCTTGTTCCTCTCTGTCTTTTCAACGTTTCGCCGTACTTCCCTTCCGATTCAGCTCTCCGCTCGGCCGGAGCCCGCTCCCACTATTACCACTACCGATACTTGGTCGTTGCCCCAAATCAAAACTCCTCCTCACACTACTTGAACTACTTCTTCTCCGTCGCATCCTAATCTCGTTTGGATCCGCGACGTCTGTGACGCCGCCCGCGCGGGCAAACAATATCAGAATATCGGTGAGAGACACCACACCAACGAGACGTCCTGAAATCCGCGCCCCTGGAAGTGAAGATGCCGAGATTGAGGGACCTGTAGGCGCGATGAACGGTGCCTTTGGCGAGCTGTCGACGACAGCTCCCGAAGAGGTCGAGAATGGATCTGATGCAGGAGTGGGCAGGGCAGCAGGTGGAACGATATGGTGACTGGCTCCGCTATTTAAGGAGAGGGTCGACGAGTGGCTTGACGTTGGAACCAAGGTTGCACTGTGCAGCAATGGGGTCGGCGGGCCAGAGGAGCTGGGGGAGATGGGCTCGGTGATCCACATCCTGTGTGATCTCGTCGCAACGAGCTTTGCGACAGTGTGCGCAAGCGTTGAGAGCGGAGTGACGTGGAAGACGGGGAAGGAGTCTTTCCCTTCGTACATCCCGCGCGTGGAGAGAATGACTGTGATGAAGTGGATACATGTATTGCGAAGGAGTGGCAAAGAGGTGGACTTGGTTAGGAGTTTGACGTCGACGTTGGAGATGTTTCCAATGACATTGTAGTTGTGGTCGACAACGGCTAAAGACGAAACGCCTTCGTTGAGCAGGAGCGTAAGGGCTTCGAAAAGGGGACGATCGCCACTGAGCAAGAAGATACCGGTCAAACGTGATCATCACCGGAGGGCTTGAACTTACTTGATGGCAACCACATCTTTGGATCCAATTTTCAAATCGCGAAGATTCTGGAGGTATAATTGGTCCAGCACAGGAAAACTCCTCCCATTCTCCCACAGGAATCTGATCAGACGGCTCTGGCTGAGCACACCCGTTGCTTCTTTTGTAGTCTCCTCCGTCACGACCACTCGATGGACTCCTCTTCCAAACGTCTCAATGGCCTTGAGCAGATCGGCATTCTCATCGAGGAAGGTCAAAGGTTCCTTTTTGCTCAAGGCCTGGATTTCGCGTAAGTGTACGCATTTGCCCTCCCTCGCTCTCTGGGCGAGTTCCATAAAGTCTTCGGCATGTTCTTCATCATCGGGATGGGAAAGCCCTACTACTAGCAGCAGGTAGGCATTGAGGTCGCGGTGGTCAAATGTGCCGATGACGGGGGAGCCTGGCTTTTCGCGGACGAGGACTACGGGGGCGCCCGACTCGATGAGGAGCTATGGGATATCCTTGTCAGGTTTAAGGCGACTTGAGGAGGAATCGAACCCACTCACATTTGTAGCCGACTCAACGGGGGTGTCAATGTTCACGAATCTGAGATCATCCGGGTTGACCAACTCTTTGACTTTCACCTCAGTCCAATTCCTCCCCACAAACCTGGGATCTGGGTTCCTCATAGGTGGGTTATCAATTAGATCTTGTACAGCGAGATGTGATACAGAAGGCTGTCTTTGCGATCGCGGAGAAGGGGGATGGCCTCGTAGTTCGTGAAAGCTTTGGCGGTGATGGGCGGCCGCGCTGGGCATAGACGTGATACGGAGGGAAGGTGTTCTGGCACCGGTCGAGGGAGACTGGGAATGCGAGTCTATGCTGGAGCGAGAAGATATAGTCGTTGAAGGGGGGGAGGTGACCGGCGGGTCCCGGTTGGGCGTCGACATATCGGCCAAGGAGCCTCGTTCGTGTCTTCCTGTTGCTGGGATGGGAATTGAAGATGGAAATGCGGTGCAGGTGGGGGCAGTTCGCACCTCAATTGGCGGGGACAAGGATCTGTCACATGCAGACCATTAAGTGGTGTGATGTGCAAAGACGTGTTATCGTGGATGACTGAGGCGACCTTGTATCGGTTGACTGTTCGAGATGCTGGCTGCTGTTGAGGTTTGCTCGCCTTACGAGTAGTTGTCAGTAGCGCAAAGAATGAATCATGTGAGGGAAGTTGGTCACTCGGTTCCCTGCTCTTCCGTTTCGTACCTGCGGTGTTTTTCATGAGGCCACCAAGGCTGTAGCGAAAGGGGCCGGGATTCTCCTCCCACGCTACATTGGTATGTACGTAATTATCAGGGAGTTGATTGGAAACCCTACCTCAACATCTACATAGGTTCTACAAGTAGAAGGCAAACATACTCTTCTTGTTGGCATCATGTCTACGTCTTGAACTCATTCAGCATGTCCGCTAATACATTCTTCCCGTGCGACTTCATCGCAGGTCTTGCTCGCGACCCTCGCTTCGAAGGAGGCGATGCCGCTTCCGGAGCTGCTTGTTCTTGATTTCTCATCCTCTTCGCCGGCTCACGGTCGCCGCCGGTAGAAGGTCCTTCTGTTGCCTTCCAGTTCTGTCTCTTGATGTTCTCCAGGAAAATCGTCCTCGTGGAAGGGAAATCGTCTACAATATGTGACCATTGTCGAGGATTACCGATCCATAATTCCAGTAATGGCCGACTGTCTGCCAGGTTGGGCCGGCGATTGTGCACCAACTGGCTGAACAGCTCCATGCTATCATAGTAACAACCCGATATCGAGCCAAAAGCAAAGTCCTGGTTTCCGATGATCGGTCGTAGGCTTTTTGCACTCTTCTTCGCGTGCATGGCTTCCCAGCCAGCGGCTTGCGAGGTTAGTTCCCACATTGCTCGGTTCTTTTGGTGCATTCTTGGACAATCTGTGATGATAATGTGACATAAAGATGGGAAACAGTCCGTATATTTGAAGATCCAGTCCGATAGATGTTCCTGCCAACCGAACAGTATCACTCGTAGGTGTTGAAAAGCTTCCCTCGATCGTGCCAGTTCTGCCCAGGAGCGTAGAAACCGTTCGTCAAACTTGGAAACCTCGTTGTCAATGGTAACCTGGCCATCCGACAGATCAAGCACAGCCAGGTTGGTTATTGTGTGGATCGACATGAGGCTGCTGGCGGCCATCTCCTTTGGCGAAATTCGGAGGCAACTAAACCACTTTGTTTCTTTGGATGTGATTTCGTTGAAATACGTCGTAATCGGGACTAGCGGTTGCTTAATATCCAAAAGATATCGGTATTCACGCGCTCCAAACTCTTCTGGACCGGGATATGCCGCCGCCAGTGTCCTCCAAGCGTGAAAACTCTCCGCCCGCCTGTCTCTAGATGTCAGCAATCGTCCATATGGGGTTTACCAATGATTACTACATTGACAGCAGTTGATCCCAGACCCTCCGTGCCATTGACCACGGCACAGTTGCAAAGTGCTCCGAAGTAAGATTCCTGAACTGAGTAGCGACTTTGATCCTCGCCATGCCCGCCAAAGAGCGAGCACCATTCTCATTCGGAGGTGGCTTTTGAACCATACCAGGTGTCTTGGGCTCACCAATCCAGTCTGAGTACTTGTGTCGGTTTGGGCGCACTTCTAGTTCAGAATATGTTTGTCCGGATTCCGAGTCGTACTTTTGCAAAATCGCCGGGCCTGGACGCCATGGTGCAGAGTGATATGGGCCGGACAGGAGAGGCCTTCGATTTGATGACTCGGATGTAAATTTCATGTTTGCGGTTCGAGATCTCCTCCGTTTTCTCATCGAGTTATTTGGCGCGGCTGTAGCGAGGGTACGATGGCAGACGAAATAATCAATAAGCTCGCCGTAAACTCAGGTAACCAAGACAGGCCGTAGTAGCTTGGTCATCGCAATAAGAGACTCTTTAGCCATTGTTGTTTTTCGACCCCGCAGATCCAATCGCAAAGACTTGGGATGTACACGTTCCGTGGAAGTGAAACTTGATACAGACCAGCAACGTCGAATTTTATTCCTCGGACGAGATGAACGCCGCGCAGATTCACGTGAGTTCGCGTTGAGGCTGTCAGAATGACGTCATCCAGGTCGCGCCCACACGCGCCCTACCAAGTACCCGGTAGGTATTAATGCTGAGGCTCTATTAAATTACTCCACCCTTCCATTTGTAAATAGCTGCAGTACGCATCCGGCAAACTGCATTGAAACGTAAGTGGCACAGTCTGACGAGAGTAGAGTAATTTGCTGTTAGATCGAAGGTGCCCTTCATTCACATCAAGCGCGTTGGTTATCTTTAGCAATAGTGGCCCCCTGTCATTCATCCTATACATTCGATAATATGACGACCGCTTTGACGTTATTGAGCACTCTTGAGGTCCATATTCCGTAACAGACTGTGCCACTTATTTTTGAATCCGGGTTGCCGGCAATAGCTCCCTGGTTTTGCCCTTGCTCTCCAACTGCCAGATGACGCTACACCGGGCGAAGCTCAGGGATATCATCAACCCTCCTCATACAGTCAAGGTAAAGATCAGAGAAAAGAGCAAAATGGCGGCGGCTACAAGGCTATCTTTCTGAACGCTTATGATGTGTTGTAAGGAAAAGGTATAAAGACGAGTCAACAACACCTGCAACCACCTGGAGGCAGTCTCGGACTCCGTCGGGGTCAGGAGGCGGGCCGAGGAACGCAGTCTCAGACAGCGAGCAGATCACACGACGATTCTATCTTCCGGGTGATCATTACGACGGAAGAACACGAGGAGCCTTCGACCCTCCTGCGCCGTCCACGGGCGATTTGGTTGTCGGTACGGTCTCCGCACTTGGGTTTAGTTTTACCGGGGGATTTGCGAGCCCCATTCCATCACAGGTCAAGCCAATGAGGGCCGAAACCAATCACAGTACAGTGAGTGTCGATGAAAACTCCTGTTCCTGCTCCCAGGCAGTTCTTGAAGCTGGAATGGATTCCCTACCCCGCAAACGGGCTTCATCGGAGAAATACCGACGGACAACCTTACAAGCCGGCTTTGGCGAAAAGATATAGACGTCTTCCCCTTTTGGTTCGTTGGGAACATCGTCCCTGTCCGTCATTGGCTTCCAACTTGACGATGGCTTCAACCCAACTTTGCGACACAGCAAGCGGTGAGCACAACATGTCATATCGTGCGGGGTCGGACAAAATCCCAAAGTCAGACGAGCAACGAGAGAGCTCAAATACCGCTGATGAGGTGCTCAGTCGCCCTGGGACAATTGGCAGAAGCAAGGTAGAAATCATCCGAAATGCTCCTGCAAGTCCTCTTCGGCGGCTTCGCTGCCCTCATCACCTCAACCTCTGCTCAGTCGAATTCCAGTCAGATACTGGTAGTTGATCAGAAGAGCTTCAATGTTCTGAAGCCTGTACCTCCTCCTTCACAATCCAACCTTACGACGGTGAGTGACGGCAGCTTCCTAGAATTACTGTTCCCATCTCTGTCATCCTGCTGATCCTAATCTGCAGATTTTTGTCCCCCCCGGCGTCACGTTGCAACAAGCCCTGGCGAAGCCCTTCCATGTCTATGATGAATCTTTTCTAGAAATTATTGGGCCAAACCCTACCTTGACCCTAATTGCCAGTACTAGCAGTAATCCTCTCTTCCATGAGGCTGTCGTCTGGTAGGTCTCAAATTCTTGACATGACGCCCTTGTTCAACATGTCTGTCTCGGGACTAAATTCGCGTCTCAGGTACCCTCCCACCGATGAGATCTTGTGAGTTCAACCTTCTCCAGGAAACTGCTTCGCTTTTGGCAGCATGATTTCATAAGCCCCGTCATTATCAGTACAGAATGACAGAGATTCCTAGCTTCGTACAAAATGCCGGAGCGACGGCTGCTGGAACCGGTCTGAACAAGTCCAACATCATACAAAAGATCTCCTTGAATCAAGCTGCCTCCGTGTCGTCCCTACGGAATGCGAGCGGGCAGGTGGATGTTGTAACTGTGAATGCTACTCCTCCCGTGATTAACTCCAACGGTTAGTATCAGCGCCAACTGTCTCGTGTTGTCAAACTGATAAATGTCGGTTAGGGGCGACTCAATATCGAGGCCAACTGCTCTTTACTGGTGAAGGGCAGGGTAATGACACGGCCCCCGCGCTATACGTCGTGAACCCACGTCCCCCTTATAACGCTTCTAGTAGGTGCAGGGTTCAAACATTCCCCGGATACTCCTCCCCCACCCACAGGAGTACTGTTTCGATGGCGCTGACGTCTACTACAGTGCTCGTGAACAACTATTTCGGCCGTCAGTGGAATTCGCTCAATGATGTGGCGGTCAATCCTATGAACGGTGATGTGTACTTCACAGACACTCTGTACGGCTATCTGCAAGACTTCCGCCCTTCGCCAGAATTGCCAAATCAAGTCTACCGGTTCACACCTTCCACGGGTGCGGTCTCGGTGGTAGCCGATGGATTTGATTTGCCAAATGGTAGGTTGGAACTGCATTAATCCCTCCTTGCGTACAACACCCAGAAATGTCGACTAACCAGATACAACCAGGCATCACATTCTCCCCCAATGGGTCTTACGCGTACGTGACCGATACAGGTGCTCAGTATTCGTTCTTTGGGTATAATATGACAGCGCCTGCCTCGATGTAAGTTGGCCTCACAGCTCTCGGTTTCTGGGGAGATACTGCAATCGCCCCTGTCCTCATTCTCAAACTTACTGCCGTGCCATCTGACATTTTCAAATAGCTATCAATTTACCGTCCTCTCCGATGGGACCTTCGCAAACCGCAAACTGTTTACTTACTCTAGTGTTGGCATACCAGACGGGATACACTGCGACACCAATGGTAATGTTTATTCGGGCGTTGGTGACGGCGTACACGTGTGGAACCCTTCAGGAAAACTGCTCGGCAAGATCTTCCTGGGCACGACATCCGCGAACTTCAATTTTGCGGGCAAAGGTCGTATGGTTATCTGTGCGGAAACCGAACTTTATTATGCCACGTTGGCGGCGGAGGGAGCAGTGGTGTCGAGTCAACTGCCGCCGATATGATGGGTTGAAGTTTCGCAGCACCCAAGAGAGAGATATGGGCCGAGATCTCACGATCGACCGAAAAGGAATGGGATTGGGATTCAGCCAGGGTCGATAAATACACTCCCGTATTGAAGTAAGGGCTTTGCTTGACGCTGGCAAAAGTGATACACACTGAAGAGATGGCCGGTGCTCCGAATGGAGTGAATTGTAAACCAACCCAGAAGAGAAGGAGCAGCCGCTACCCAAAAAAGGGAGTCTATTAAAAATGAAGCCTCGCAGCCTCCATCTTAACAACCTCTCACTTCGCGGTTGAGAAAGACAATGTGTTAGACCGTGGCTACGTTTTCTTTGAGCTGGTTTGTCTCGTCATCGTTCGAAGCATGTATAACGCTTGTTGGCATTTCCGACGCACCTTAGGTCATAGTGCCACTTCTGATAGCTTGTTAGGCGAGCAGCTAAAGCCAACGTAGACGGGACGATTCAAGGGGATCGATACGACCCCAACCCAAACACGAGTATCCCTGCCATTGGGATTAGATCAGCCATTTATGGTTCGATTGTGTCGCAGGCCAGTCGTCCGGATACGACCTCTTCCCCTCCAACGCTCTGTACTCCCTGTCCATGTTTCGCCTCACGGCCGGTGGTACACGATCACCATAGACGATCCCATTCAAATGGTCGACCTCGTGCTGTAACACGTGCCCGAGGAGTCCCGAGGCGTGGATCTTTAGAGCCTTGCCGCGCTGATCTAGTCCGTTGATCGTGATGGAGCGGCGGCGAGAGACGGAGGCCGAGACGCCAGGGTACGAGAGGCAGCCTTCCGTCATGGTTTGGGTCTGCTGCGCGTGTGGTTGACCGCCAGAGTCGGCTTGGAGCATCATACCCGCCGCAGCTGCATACTGGCGGTCGCCATCGATGACCCGCCTCGGAGACGAAGATTCGATGACAGGATTACACACAGCCCCCCAACTTCTTGCCCCCTTCGAGTCCGTCAAATCATACACGAACATCTTCAGGTCCACGCCGACCTGGTTCGCCCCCAGCCCGGCTCCATCGGCGGCGTACATGGTTGCGAACATATCTGCAATGAGGGCGTCAAGGTCTTTGGTATCGAAGCACGTCGCTGGGCGTAACTCGCGGTGCAGGGTGGGTGTACCCCAGCGCACGATGGGTAGGATCTTGCCACCTGCTTTGACATTGGGATGAGACATGTTCCGCTGCTCCCTCGCCTCATTCGACTCTGAGAAATTAGGTGACCCGTGGAACCTGGGTATCAGGCTGCCGTGGTGCCAGACATTTTCTCTTCTCTGCAAAGACATCGCCAACCAGGGCTGACCGGGTTCAAATAAGGGCGACCTGCGTGCTCCTACATACTCCAGAGCTTAGTGCATTGGCTTAGGAGGGACATAGCCCGAAGGTGTGGGTTTATGGGAGGACGGAGACCACAAGACAAGAGAAGAATAAGCGATCTTGCTTTCCTTGTATTTCAGGTACAACTAGGGAACTGCAAACTTGCCGCTTTCGTGTGATGCTGACCCGGGTAAGACACAAGGTATAGTTGATGTGAAAAGTCAAAGGTTCAGATTCTCCGTTCTACCCGTGGCAGCGCTCACTTATCCGTGTGCTGTTAGCACTAGTTTTACGGGGACAATCGCGGGGTTGATTTGGAATCGACTTTTGACTTCTCGGCCGTTTGTCCGAAGCCCTTTTGGACTTCGGGCATCCAATGTCTTATTAAAGTAGCGAGAACAGGGTGAAGGCGTTCCTCTGGTCGTGCAGTAATCCATCGTGACGCAAGAAGAAAAGGGCAATGGGCAAGATCGTAGTGGCATTCGATCTCTACGGCACGCTCCTGTCGACAGAGAGCATTGCTAAAGAATTGGCTTCACACTTTGGACAGGAAAAAGCCGCCTCCATAGCGGCTGTATGGAGGAAATATCAACTGGAATACACGTGGAGGTTGAACAGCATGAGTACGTTCAGAGCAATGTGGAGCCGAGATTCTCAATGCTGATCTCATCAAGAACAATATCAGGATTTTTCAGACGTGACCCGGGAATCTCTCCTGCACGCCCTAGCAGAGCACGGAGTGAGTCTCAGCAATGCTCAGAGCGACAAGCTCATGGACGCATACGACTCCCTATCGACCTTTCCAGATGTCAACCCGGCATTGAAGCGGTTGGAGAAGAACACAAACGTCGAATGTGTCGTCTTCTCGAATGGAACCAAAGCCATGGTCTCCAATTCCGTCAACAAATCTAACGATCTCAACTCTTCGGTATTCAAGGACCTTATAACAGTAGATGTTGTCAGAGCATTCAAGCCCGCACCGGAGGTGTACGAGTTCCTGGCGCAAAAAGTCAACAAGGTGGGCCACGAAGATAAGATGTGGCTGGTGTCAGGAAACCCGTTTGATGTTGTGGGTGCTCGCTCTATTGGTATGCAAGCCGCCTGGGTTGATCGATCAGGAAATGGATGGCAGGACCAACTTGGTCTTAGCCCTACGGTGGTGGTGAGAAGTCTCGAAGAGGTGGCAGACGTTGTCGAGCAGCACGCTGCGGGCTCCAAATAGTCCGAGTGCTCCATGAGCGGCTGCGATCAAGCTAAATGATCTTGATATGACTCGTCCGACCTAGATGTGGCGGCGACGGCTTCCCTAGAGCGATGTGCATTTTCCATTTTCGCTGCCCATAACCCACTCCCGACTGCGGAAGTAAGCAAAAAGAACATGCTGAGCACAGGGACAAGCTGCAATATCAGCGTCACCATACCGAACCATGTATATCTGAGCTGCCGGTTCTTGACGTATTCTTGTCTTTCTTTCTTCGAAAACCCTCGTAGCTTGAAATACCTCCAGTGATGAAAGGGTCCGGCTCGATACCCGGTCAGGATGAGGAAAATGGGGACGCCAACGACAGGAATGAGATTGACCGGGAGAAGAATGACGAATTCGGCGATTTGGCGGAAACTGAACGGCGCATAAATAGCAGACGATGTTGGTCTTCGAAGCATCTGGACCGAGTTTGGAGCAGTGGAGTCGAGCGTACGACCTTCGCTGACTAGGTCCGCCAGCCCTTGGTCAATTAAAACAGCATCAAAAGTATCCACCAGAGTCTCGTCGACAAAGAAAGCTTCGAAAAGAAGAGCAACGATGGCGGCGCCTTCACCCAGCACCAGAAACGTTGCATTTACCCACGCACCTGCGCCGTGAAAGATTGCAAGGAACGCAACTTGCGGAAGGTATGTCCAGAGGAACAGGTTGACGTAGATGAAGGCAGAGAGGAGCACGATGGGAATTAGGCGCGCCTTGAATAGAGGGTAGAAATAGGGATGCCCGAGGAAATAGAAGATGCCCTGGCGTGGAAGGAAAAGTCAGACGTTGCAACCTCGTTGCGCGAGACACTCACCTTCAGAGGATAGAGCCAAACAACGTCCCAAAGGGACCACACCATTCTTGACCGTCCCTCTGATGCCATTTTCGCTATAGAAGATTGTCCATGGAGGGCGCGGATGCACGGTGACAGGCACCGAAGGGAATTCGCAAAGTACGTCACGATCAGCATCAGAGGTTATCATGCCATGCAGCCAATTGGAATTCCGCATCTTCAGCCTTGTTTCCAAGCCCCAGCCTTGTCCTCGCATTGGGCTAGTCGGTCTTATTTCTTACGCAATTCCGCCTCGGAATTTTCTTCTCCCTCCACCAAAACTGAAGTTTCCTCTGGATTCACTCTGTCAACGATGATGACAGTGGTTGCTGGAGGGGAAATCAGAGGACAGAGGAATGAATCATTTTGACGGCTGCCATCTTACCCCGGGACCTTCTGTTGCTGACACAGCTTCGAGATTGTGAAGGTTTTGGAAATATTCATGGCTGCACATTGCCCATATTAATTTATCTCAGAGTCCGCTTGAAATGATAGTGGCGGCTGTATTGTACACCTCAGCCCGTCCTCTCTCTGTCGGGGCATGATTTAGAGTCGCTCTGGGCTGTAGAAAGCATAGAATAGGTCCTTGACACAGACACGCAGCCACCAAGAAATCTCTGCTTTGTGTGTCTTGTCAGTCAATGCCCACCACTGCCTACGGGGCACCAGGGGCTGGTGAGGCTCTTCCTAACCTAGTACTAGAGGTAGGCCTCGCCAGCCCCCTAGTCCCTAGGCCTACTGGGTATGGGGCTACTATCCTCGCCCACCAGCCTTGCCTATCCCGAGCTGTCTACCCTGTAATTGACCCCCGGACTCCAAACTTGGGGTCCCCAACAGCTGCTTTGTCTTTACCTCGTACTCGGTACCTGGCATAGTTAGTCTTACCACTATTTACTCGCACTCTGTATCTATGCTCTGTACTAGCATTTTCTCTCTCTCATCTCCCTACAGTACTTACTCTGCACCTCGCCAACCGTGGCTGGTGTGTCTCGGCAATATCCCATTCCAGACAGCTGACTGCCACCCCCGAATCTTGAACCTTGAACCTTATGCTCTTTTCCCTTCTACACGGTCAGTGACGGGCCGTCTCGAATCAAGTGAGATCACACCGAGGACAGCAGCCGCCAGTGGTACCCAGTAGAGGGAGCGGAAGGCGACGAGGGCCTGCCGTGGGTGTTGATCGTTGGCAGGTGGCCAATTCATCCTCGGTCCCTTTTCTCCACAACCATCGACTGCGCTTGTCTCGCTCCCTCCACCAGCCATCTGCTATCTGCAATCCCGCGGCAACCTGCTCCTGCTTCCGACCTCGCCGACCATCTTTAACTCCATATTACTATGTGCCGACATTCACCCGTGGATTCAGGATTGCTGCATACCCAGACAGGAAGATAGGAGGGATTATTCCCAATGGCCTCCCTCTCCCAGCAGGGCTCTTACTCGTCCTCTCAGCCGCAGGACGCAAACAATGCCTACAAATACGAAGATCCCACCGCATACCAGATTCCTTCCGGTTACCCAACAAACCAATTCGAGGTCCCTCTGCCCGTAACGCGTGCGGAACCAGAATCGCAAGCTAGAGAAACACCAAAGCCACAATCCTCAGCTTCGTCAGAGCCCAAAGTTCGCCTCAGGAAGGCCTGCGATAGTTGCAGTGTGAGAAAGGTCAAGGTATGTGGGCGCTAAACTCCCTTCTTCCTCCACCCTTTGGGAGTTCACGCGCTGATGAATCCCAACAGTGCGACGAGACCGGTCCTCCTTGCAAATCGTGCGCCGCCCTTGACATCCCCTGCACCTTTGATCGTCCTAGTCGTCGGCGCGGTCCCCCCAACCGACATGCCGAAGCCATCAAGAGACAGAAGCTCGAGGGCGGGAACTTCGACGGCTCGCGAAGCTCTCCAACCCATGATGCCGCCTACAGCCTTGCTGCCCTGGCGGCGCCGACTCCGTTGTCTGCCGAGTCAATATGCGATCTACCTGCCTTAAAAATCCTCCTAGACGATTATTTTACGTATATTCACCCGTTAATACCTCTTCCGCACGAACCCACATTTCGAAGATCGTTTGAGGCTAGAGAGGACAGGACAAATCACAACTTCCTAGCGCTCATTGCGGCCATGGTAGAATGCCTCGTGGCCAGTTTCCCCAGGCGACCCAGACAACTCTTTACCACGGAACCGGGAAAGTCGCAATTTCCCAATGCGGGAGCTCTCATCGATCGATGCCACCAAGTCTTCGTCGAGGCTCGCGGCCTTGGTTATATGGATCGTCCAATGAACCTGTACGACGGCATTGCGAGCTATCTGACTGGCTTGGCCGCCGGTTATGTCCTAGACATTCCACGCATGCGACTCTATCTCGGCGAGTGTACTATTATCATGCGGGAATTGCAATTCCATCGGCCGGAGATCCATCGGCCTGGTGCGCCTCCAGCAGTACCATATGGCCCTGCTGATGTGCCTCGACCCCCGATTGTCGACTACATCTACCAGGAATCGGGTCGCCGGCTTTTCTGGCTGCTTTTCGTGGGTGCCATGTCGGCCCGACAGCTTGACGAAGCCGAGGGTGATTTGTTGATGCCTCCCGTATCCCATGCAGAAATGCTCCCACCGCTGCCGGTCGAGGTAGATGATGAGTACATCACTGAAACGCAGATATTCCCTCAACCTCGAGGGGTTGTCTCGGAAATGGTCGGGTTTAACCTCAACGTCAAAGTTTTTAGGGCCTTTCACTTCTTGGCTGCCCTTGAAATGGCGTTTGGTGCAAACAACGTCTATGACTGGGATCGTCAACGGCAAATCATTCGCCGCGCTCTTCAGAATGTCAAGGATGCGACGCGAGATGCACCTAAAGAATTGCAGCTAAATCCGGCCAACGGATTTGGGGAGTGGCCACCTACGCAAGCCGATATATCGGCGTATTCCCACCTCTTCAATGATCGCGAAGGAAGTGAGGGCGATACACACGCGACGCCTGGTAGTGTCCGCGGGTCATTTTCGGTGCCATCCAAGAGAGCGATTCAATTTGAGATCCAAAAAGCCAATATCTATGCCACGCAACTGTCGTCCAGGTCTTATCTGGTTGAGAGATTCTGGAATCTTTATGAAATAGTCGACCGCGACAAATTGACCTTTCCCTCGGATAAGTCGGTGACAAGCTCGTCCCCAACGGCAGGGATTGTGACGACGGGTATGGAGCACAGCTATCGCCAAATTGTAGGTCGTACGCCCAGCGACAGCATGATGGATACTGGAGAACAAATGATGGCTGTTGAACGAGAAGACATTGTGAGAGACATGGCCCTCCTTCTCAAGAGCATTAACCAGGTCAACATGGAGCCTAATGGGATGAGTTTCGTAAGCTGATGTGTCCCCACCGAAAAGACTCCTCACTGACTGTAACTAGTGCAACAAGATCCGAACCGTCGCGTCGACTTTGCTGGAAACCAAACGCGCAAGAATGAGCGTTATGCCTACGCTTGACTCCGAAAGCGTAAACGCATATCTTCACGTGTTCCTCGACATCCTCTCCAAATTGGAACGGCTGGGGCCCGGTCGATTCCGAGGTGTTGCTGATGGCAACACAGGCGGCCTATTACGGACACCCGAGGAGATTGAAGATGAAGAGCTGATCCACTGGGCCAGTCTGAAGGAACATCAAGAGAGGTTTGTCCGGACAAGCGGGTTCTGGTGAGGGTTGTCCGAAGATTGACTTTGGCGCCTAATGTAATGACTGATGACACTCAAGGTGCCTGGCTCGTCGATGTGGCAGGGAACAATGGTAACGGGAGAAACTCAATCCCTGCTTTTCGCATGGACAGGCGAAAGTGCGCTTCAAACAAAGCTTGATACCCCCTAGTGCCCTGATGGATGGACGGCGATGGTTTGGGATGGTGTCTACTAGCGATACGGACAAACAGCCTTTGTCTGACGACTCGAACATTCCAGCCTCCTTAGTCGGCGGAAGGCCATCTCATGTACATCTTGACGACAAAGCTAGGCATAATTGGCACATGAATATGACAAATCATCTCTTATTGTCTTCTTCGTTCGCCCTGGTTGCGCCAGCCTAGGACGTGAGGATTCGGTAAACTTTCCGTAGGCAGATCTGGTTGCGAACTTGCTTAACCTTCATTTCAGCTTCCCGTCTCTAGAATCCCATCGACTTCTCGTCAGAACTCAATTCTAGTGACAGACAATGACGACGGGCAACTTTCATGTCTTTAGAGACTGCTTGTTCTCAAATGTCGTGGAGAAGCTCACTGAGGCAACGAAGAAAACTCCGAACCGGTCTTCACCGGGCAAGAAAGCCAGACAAAACGAGTCTGAGCCTGAGCCATCTGGGCCCGATCCTTCTGAGCTGGCCGACTTTTCTGACTACCTGGCCACCGACATCTTTTCCAGCTTGCCAGAGAAATTCCAGGCACTTTCCCATCATCAATATCGGAATGACATTGTGAACTCTAACAAATGGTCCCTTCCTCTAACGCTGACTGTTCTTGAAGAGCTTTCTGCTCATCTGCCAGGAGACATAAACGACAGCTTGACCGCATACGGACTAATCGAACCACCCAAATCTGATATGCAATCTTTTATGGCACCGGTGTTCTCTGGCTACATCTCTGCGGTGACAACACCGCCGCTAAAATGGACAGAGACTAGGACCACGGCTTGCGAGATCTGCGAAAGAGACTGGGTTCCAGTCACCTACCATCATTTAATACCAAAGCAAGTCCATGCCAAGGTGCTCAAGAGGAATTGGCATGAAGAACACCGGCTAAATAGCGTTGCATGGCTATGTCGAGCTTGTCACAGCTTTGTTCATCGGATGGCCTCGAATGAAGAGCTCGCCCGAGAATGGTACACTGTTGACTTGATATGTCAGAGGGAAGACGTCCAGAAGTGGTCTCAATGGGTCCGACGCGTTCGTTGGAATAGGACTTGAATTATGTCAACCTGAAGCCCAAAAAGAGAGACTGGTCAGCCCGAGAGGCCACTAGGTCATCAGCCCACATGGTATACACTAGTCTCTGATAATTCGTCGCTGAAGAGACTGCTGAATACATTCGAGATCGCGGCGTCACTGCAATAATCCGCGAGAGGCACTTCACCGCACTGCCGTCATATATAGAACGCTCCTCAGTATGGGTTGTCTCAATGGTCCAACGCTCCGCCTTTTCTTTTGCCGAGAAGGCCACCCGTCATTAAAACCAGCCCCACAGATCTGAACTTCTACCTGAAAGCTACTTACCTATACTCAGACCTTCCAGGATCCAGGTTGCCGAATCAACTCCTTGCTAACCCGGTGGTTCCTTTGTACCGCGCCCTGCGATTCTATTGTTCACGTCTTGAGACAGGTCTCTTGGAAGTGCCGCCGCTGTCTCTTCCCCAAGAAACCCTGTCAGAGCACAAGTCGATGTAGGTCTGCACATTTCGCTACATCTGCTGATGCTGCTCCTCATTCCTAGACACAAGCATCTCTTGTCTTCGTGCAGTGTCTCGGTCACGATAAGGCGGTTCTCCTCCTTCGCCTGGGCCCTGTTTCCTCAACTCGGGGTACATTCGGACTCACAAGCACAAATCTGAACTGCGTGGGAAATCACATGCTTGTTGGCATTCACTGTTGTCCCTGAATTCACTATTGTCAATATGGAACACAGTCGGAGTAACAGCTACTACTACCGTCAGGAACATCATTCTGCCGCACCCTGCGGATATGAGATTTATATCCTTGTTCCTCGTGCCATGTATTTGTGGCGGGGAGAACCTCCTTGTCCTCCAAAACTCTACGATTCTCTCGCACATTCTCCCCTTTCCCAGCAGCCGTTCGCAGATCATCCGCAAGATTTAGGAGTCGCAGAATTCTGGGAGTCTCAAACTGCCACCCGACAGCTGTTCCCCATTTTCGAGTCGACGATCGGATATATCACCCCAGTCCACGAATATCTCCCGAACATAGCCTCGTACGATGCTCAACTGATTCCTGTGCGCGAAGAGGTCGTTAGTGAAGCTCTCGAATCCTTGAGGCTGAATCCCAATATGAGCATCAGTGATTGCTACCGATTCGCTGTTCGCAGCTTTCTCGGTCGTTCTGTTGAAGACAACATCCTCGACCTTGCCACAAGAGTCGACCTTGAAGTCGAATTTGCGCTCAGGATCATTCGAGCTACTAAGCGGCCCCAAGAATTCACCACTGAGCAAATGGACAATTTGCAGGCACTTGGAAACTCATTCACTAAAATGGCCACCTCCTACCGCTCTGTTTGGCTTGAAGAGGCAATCAGGCTCAACCTTGAGCTCGATGCCCGGGCCGTTGTTGAAGATGCTGATGAGTACCTACGATACATCGGAGGAACAAAGTCGAAAGCCGAGCGGGTAACAGGCACACTGAAAGAGAATGGAGCTAAAGAGGGTGCCAGCATCAACCCACTACATTACGGCAATAACAGGAGCGGAGATAATGGACTGAAGGAAGCAGGTACAAGAGATATCAGCATGCCGGACGTCGTTGACACAGCTCTATCAGCTCCCGAGGACGGTGTCTCACCCACTCGTGACAACAATACCGCCGCCAGTGAAGACGACTCGACCCTCCATGTTCATAAGGACGTTGATGACATCACCACTTGGTCAAAAGTTGTCAACGGCCACTCTGTTCTGTTCGCTCAATATCAGCACGGCAAGCAACGACCCTGGAAATGCCTCCTTTGTGATAAATGCCTGGTCAATGAGAAGGGAAGTCTCACAAGCCATCTTCGCCATCGGCATGGCCTGACTGGTCTCAGACATATGCGTGTCAGGAATGAGAACTTTTCGAATTTCCAGGGTCACGATGACAACGACTGCTACATGTGGGGCGAATATGTCGACAATGATCCATTGCCGTGGAAGTGCCTGCTTTGCGTGAACCATCGGGGGGTGAAGGTGGGCAAGAGGACATTTCCACGACATTTTCAGAAAACGCACGGCATCAAAGTAATCCTGCCTGCCGTCACGCCCGCTAATATTGAACGCAACAGGGAGAAGAAGAAGCAGGCTCATGTCTCGACTAGAAGGTAACATGATGCAACGTCGACGCATGCCCATCTGTGGGCGGCTCTGTTGACGAGTCTAGTCTCGAAGATGACGCCGACGCCGACGCCGACAAGGTTCTGGACGACTCCGAGCACGAAGATGAGGACGCCAATTTCCAGGTCCATCAGATAACGCAATCGTTGTTGGATTTGTTGCAGGCAACGGACGCTTAATATCAGACACTGAAATATGTGTTGAAACGGCAACGAAAGGGAGGACGGTTGATTATGAGATATCAGTGTAAATGACAACCGTTGAGTGGGCGGCAGGAGAGAAATGCCAATACCGCTTTGTGGAATGCCATAGCCAGCAAGATGACAGCTAAAGAAGAACTTTGACATAGGTCCTAATACGAACGTCAGTGTCTATGGACAATAAAATATGATCGACATAAGGCGACAGATGAGCATGAGCACTTCCGGGAAAATACACGGATGAAACGACATCGACATTGAGATTCAAGGAGAAACTGGACAGACAGTGCTATAATAATATCTTGCTTGGTCCCATCTTGCAATTTCATCGAGATTTCAAGAGCGAACAAGTTCGTCCAAAGGTGAGGTTCTCGAGGCGTCTAAATCGCCGACAACATGGAACACACCGCTCGTCCCCTCAAAACCCGTAATTTGGCCGGTCAATGCCTTCTTGTCGCCGAAGTACTTGAACCTGTACATCCCCGTCTCAGTGCCCGGTTCAATTTCCCATTCCAAAGTCACCTCACTCGTCCCCAGCGGCGTCGATGTGCGTTTCCACCGATACACCAGAAACCAGTCCCTGTCCGAGCGGACTTGAACCCACTCCTTGAGACCCTCATCGAATTTCTCCACGGCAGCGAATGTACCTTCGAGACGGAAATTATTGCGCGGGTTTGCAGCCACGAATTTCGCGCTGACGACATCCCCAGAACGGAATAATTTCACGGGGTCGGGCGAAGAGAGCGTATCCCCGAACTTGCGCAGTATGCCGGCGTGGTCGACGACCACGGGCCGAATGAATGACAACGAGCGATTCACATTTATGGGCGGGTTAGGACCGGCAGGAAGGTGGTCTAGGCCGGAGGTTTCATCGTCAGAGCCCAGATACGGGAGGTATGTGATTGTGAGGTTGATGTATGCTTCCAACGTGTGGGGGCCGTAGAGTGTGGATGCTCCTTCGTAGCGTTGCACAGAGTATTCTTCTTCGGTAGCGATGTAGTGGGCGTAGGTGTTTGCGGGCCCGCCGAGGACAAGTCTCGGCGAAGAGACATTCAGGATTGAGGGAGCCGCAGACGCGAGGGCCTCTTTCCAGCGGCGGCCGGACATGGTAGTTGCTTCCCCCGGGGAAATTATCATGATCAACTCTCCAATCCGGAGAAGTTGAATGTCAACGATGTTCGGCGTCCAAGCATAGGGATCATCGGCTTCACCGACGTCAAGGAGGATGGGTTTTGGACGTTGGCATGCTATCTGCGCGTCTGTCGGTGGATGGATTGCGCCTCTTGCGAGCCTCCAAAGCGGATTTTTCAACGCGGGAGAGTCGTTGGTGTCGTTTGTGCCCTGGGCGAAGTCGAAGCGGCCGGGCCCATCGGTGGTGCCGCCTGCGAAGCCGAATCCCAATGCAGCAGAGCAGGTCTTGAGAGTCCGAGACTGGTTTAGGAATGAGGTGAAGCTGAACGAGGAGAGGTTGGCATAGGTATGGAAAAAGGATACGGTTGATGCCGGTATCCGTTCTAGGTTGTGGTCATCTAGGAGGGTTTTGGCTGCAGCCATTTGACGTTTTCCGATCTCAAAGCAGGACTTGGTTCCCTGATCATCTATCTGTGACATCGGACCACGTCCGTGGCAGGGTTGGGTTCGACCTCCGCATGTGCTATCCTTGAATGCACACGGGAGACCTGTGTCTTCGCAGAATGCACCTAGGGTATTGGGAGAAGTATCTCCGACATTTGCTTGAGAGAAGCCTGCGACGAAGGATGGGTTCCTGACTTTCATGTACTCTTCCAACAGGTATGCTGCAACGCCCTTGTTGTCGCCGGCGATGAGGGTGTTGTTTTGATAGAGAGATGTCCCATGGACTGGAAACCAGGACAGTGCTCCTAGGGTTTGACCATCAGACGCCCTCTCGAACTTCAGCAGTGTCATGTTTTTGTCGACGTCATCGGCGTATTTGTCTCGTTCCTTCTTCGGATTCTGGAGGTAAGCGTACGGACTTCTGTTTATGTTCGTACCTTCAACGGGGTGTTGCCCAAATCTGAGATAGCCCTGTGTAAGGCTTTTATGTGCCCGCTGGATGGCTAACACAGAGCCATTGACGATTGCCTCGTAGCTTTCCTTGTGGAAGCCCAGACTTGTGATTTGTGGCAGCAAGTAGTTCAACCAAGCCCCAGGCCCGCTGTGACTATGGGTCCCAGTAACTGCGACATTGTTCTTGTTGTACATTGCATATTCTGGGCCCAACTCCTTAAGCCTCTGCAAGATGCCATGACGGACAGCAGTGTCACCGGACTGGGTATCAAGGACAAGGTAGACGACCCGTGAGGAACCCCTGGAAAGGCTTCCTACGATGAACGCCCGACAATAGATGCGTTGGCGGACACCACTGCCCACTTGATCCGTGTCAGCGTAGCCCATCAAGTTGATCTCGGCAACCGGTCTGAATAAGTTGATGTTAGCATGTGCTCATTAGCACATTGATACATTTCCCTTACCCAGTAATATCTGCCTTTCCAACCCCCAGCAGGTAGTCGCCCTGCACAGCGGCATTGTCGCAGCCCTGGCTTTGCACGGCTTGTCCATCCACATTGGACGGGAGCAAATGCACACTTCGAGGCGGATTCTGCCAAACGAAACCGAGCCACAGAAGTCCCGTTGTGAGAACGAGAAAGAGTGCCCACAGGGCTGGGGCCAACGATCTCCGTGCCATTTTCGTGTTGCCCTGAATCGCGATGTCCTTTGGAGCTTACGACGGGGATTTGGTACGACAATCCCCGTCTCTTTTCGGGTCAGATAGGGAATTTCCGGAAGGGTGCATCGTTCTAACGAGATGCTTTCTCTGGCAACAGACGAGAATGCCAGAGTATAAAGTATAGAGATTGACCGCTGTTGATGCACAGAATCACTTTGGGTTAATTCTTGCAAGACTGCGAGGCTCCGCTGAAACGGGGCAACAAGTGTCGTCATCTTGACGAATCACCAAGGATCGGCGAGAGCCTTACGCATAAGCAAGGCCAGCGAATCAGAGGCGGCAATTTTACAAGCGCCAAAACCTGGCCTTGGCATCCTGGAATGGGTTTATCGCAGTCAAGTAACCGATTATGAACTGACGAGCCAATTCAACTTCCCCAGCAACCCACAATGGCTCTGATATGGGAGTCTCACGACTCACTGCCCTGTGAGTGATGTTGTCCTGGATGGAGAGATTGTTGACACGTGCTGACCGCTTTTCTCACCAGACATTGACCCCGACATCACCGACGCCGACCACCAGAGGGCCAAAGCTTCGATTACTCGACATCTCCCCAAGGACTATCTCACCACGCCTCACTCCTCCCTCACCCCTCTTCCTGCAGTCAAGTTCTCCGAAACATTCCGTCAAGAAATCAATCGGGTAGCCGCGGGTCACCCCCGCCAGCAGGGGATTGACGTGTCGCGCTATGAGGCCCCAGACGAGCCGTTGAGTGATAGTGATCAGGCCACAATGAAGGAGGCGTTGCAGAACGCGTACATCTTGAACACTTTCCTGTCAGATCGGCATGCAAACCTCCAGCTGCTGGATGAGTTTGGCAAAAACGCTTGGCTTGTCGGCAATTCTCAGACAGAACAAATCCTCCAAGTGCTCGAACGCGAGCTCGCCGGGCTTAAATCTGAGACCGAAAACATCAACAGAGCTCGGAAAGCTACCCAGGAACAGTCTAAGGGCGAGCTTTTGACCCTTCAGGAAAATTGGAAGCGAGGTATAGGCAGAATCCTCGAGATCCAGGTTGCAGCAGCCCAGCTACGGCAACAAATGGGCCTGGGTCAACTGCATCCTGCACCATCAGATCCTTGAACGCAACTGGGCAATATTTTGATAAGCAGGGATACATGCTGATGCACACTGCTGCATCAGTAACGCAGCGATCTGTCGGGATCAGATGCGGAGGATGCCCGGTCGCTCTGTTCGGCACAAATACGGGCGAGATCTCCGCATGTGCAGACCGCATTAACGTACCAAGCTCAGTTGACGCTTGCTTACCTGATATCCCAAGATCCCCAAAGACAGTCCACAAGAGTGTCTACCCGGGAGCCTTAAACGTGGACTGCGAGACAAAGGGAAAAATCCCGGGGCATAGAATTCTGGTTGTCTACTCTGTTGGGACGTGGCCTCAGCAATACGAGGTTAGTTGACACCGGAGACCAAACTGCCAGAACACCGAGCCGCGTCTAGGCGGGTCCTATATTGAAACCGCTATTTTTGAGACATGAGGGGAGCTGCAACCTGCTGGGTCAAAGCTCTGCGTTAGCTCGAAGGATGACTCCCTGCACCTCTCTCCAGAGAGAACAGCCGTGTCCCTGCCTGGTTCCTCGCCTTGCTGAGACGTGGAGCTGGGTATTCTTCCTGTGCACCGCTCCTACTCCTCGTCCTCCACCGGACCTGGGCCAAGCAGCCAATGCTCAAATCTCCAACATCTGAGTGCAACCTTCTCTATCTCCATAGGCCTGTAGTGGGTTTCTCCAATTTATATCTTTCCGGACACGGTTAGGCTGCCCTTCCCCCGCAAACGGGGATTAGGTAGCTGTTTTTCTTTTGGGCTTCCTCCATCAGCACAGCTTTCAGCATTGCCGCCCCATCGCTTGATTTGGGCGTGCCAGCTTATGCAGGATTTTCCCATCCCTTGTCAGCCACTTCCGTTCTCTATGCGGTGCCGCTTGCTAGTGGGCCTTCCCCGCGTTTCTTGCATTGGACGCCCCCTCTAAGCCACTCGGGTGGGGCGTTGAGCCGTTCAATCCGCTGGCGGTACTAACGGCAATTTGCACCGCTAAGTTCTTGGCAATTCTTTGTCCTTTCGACGTCAGCCTGTGTGCCGTCCATCTTGTTTTGATGCCTCTTGAGAAAGCGAAGTTCCCGTTACCTTTCCCGATGCAGGGGCTTTTGTTCTGGCCTTTCATGATGCGAGTCCAGCGAGAGACGAGTTACCAGGACTGATAGGGATCCTCGTTGGAGCTAACTGACGTCTGGAGCTGCTCGCTGATGCTAGCCAGTTTGGGTTGAGGGGGACGAGATATCCCTGGTCAGCCTGGACTTCACACAACCTGGGGCTGTTCGCCTCGCATGCATCTCGAGGTACACCTGTGTTGACCTAACTTGCTCGACATCCGGAGGCGCGAAGAGTCTGGTGTCTCGTCCTTGACGAATTCTTACTTCGCTTCGACGCAATACGGACTCCTCTCACTGCCCAGCTGCCGAGTCGATGATCCCCGTCATACTCAATCTTATTGAACAAACCCCGCATATTCAACGCAATCAGCTCGTCTCCAGGTTTGCTCCAGATGATCACCTTGCAAGGATGCTCGGACAAGACGACAACCATGGTTTCACCCAGTGGAGTCCCCGGGAGGCGTCCTCATGGAACCCCTCTCTCCCCTCCCTCCAACCTCCCGAGAGGCGGAGAGGAACAGATTGTCAGAAGTCTTATATTGAGACGTCTCGCTCCTTGTCTCACTCATTTTCTCCTCCTCCAGCCTGCTCCTGGTCGAGCAAAGCACTTTTATTCACGTCAGAAGATATCGGAGTGTTGTATCGTTCATTGGACCAACCGCCATCATGACTATCCCAGAAGAAGTTGATATTATTGTTTGCGGCGGTGGCAGTGCGGGATGTGTGCCAGCTGGACGTGAGCCGTGTCTACATGAGTCCATTTGAAAGACCGACGCTGACGCCTTGCTAGGTCTGGCCAACCTGGACCACGATCTCCAGGTCCTCTTGATCGAGGCCGGAGAGAGCAACCTCAACAACCCATGGGTCTACCGCCCGGGTATCTATCCAAGGAACATGAAGCTCGATTCGAAAACCGCCACGTTCTACTATTCTCGGCCCTCCGAGTGGCTCGATGGACGTCGTGCTGTCGTCCCCTGCGCCCACGTCCTCGGTGGAGGCAGCTCTATTAACTTCATGATGTATACGAGAGCAAGTGCCTCTGACTACGACGACTTCCAGACCAAGGGATGGACCACCAAGGAGCTCATTCCCCTGATGAAGAAGCATGAAACCTACCAACGGGCCTGCAATAACCGAGATCTCCACGGTTTCGAAGGACCAATCAAGGTCTCCTTTGGCAACTACACTTATCCCATCATGCAAGACTTCCTCCGAGCTGCTGAGTCTCAAGGCTTCCCCGTTACGGACGATCTCCAGGACCTTGTGACTGGTCATGGTGCTGAACACTGGCTCAAGTGGATCAACCGAGACACTGGCCGCCGTTCTGATGCTGCTCATGCATACATCCATGCCACTCGTGCCAAGTATCAGAACCTTCATCTCCAGTGCAACACGAAGGTGGACCGTGTGGTCATCGAGAACGGCAAAGCAGTCGGTGTCCTGACTGTGCCTACCAAACCTGTTGGTGGAAGGAACCCCGAACGCAAGTTCTGGAAAGCCCGCAAACTCATCATTGTCAGCTGTGGTACTCTGAGTTCACCTCTCGTCCTGCAAAGATCTGGCATTGGTGATCCAGAGAAGCTCCGAAAGGCCGGTGTCAAGTGCATTGTGGACCTTCCGGGCGTTGGCCTCAACTTCCAGGACCACTACTTGCACTTCGCCACTTACCGGGCCAAGCCTGACACCGAGTCGTTTGACGACTTTGTCCGTGGTGTTCCAGAAGTCCAGAAAGCCGTGTTCGAAGAATGGAACATCAAGGGGACTGGACCATTGGCAACCAATGGCATTGATGCCGGCGTCAAATCACGACCTACCGCAGAAGAACTCGAGGAGATGAAGAAGTGGCCCACACCAGAGTTCGTCACCGAGGGAGGTTGGGACAGCTACTTCAAGAACAAGCCCGACAAGCCAGTCATGCATTACAGTGTGATTGCTGGATGGTTCGGTGACCACCTCGACATGCCTGCTGGCAAATTCTTCACCATGTTCCATTTCTTGGAGTACCCCTTCTCTCGTGGCTTCGCCCACATCGTGTCTCCAGACCCGTATGAGGCACCAGACTTCGATGCCGGCTTCATGAATGACAAGCGTGATATGGCACCTATGGTTTGGGGCTATATCCAGTCCCGTGAGACAGCCCGTCGGATGCAAGCCTATGCCGGTGAAGTTACGGGAATGCATCCTCATTTCAAGCACGACTCGCCCGCCCGAGCTCTGGACATGGACCTCAACACCCGCAACCAATACGCAGGACCGAACCACATCACTGCCAACATTCAACATGGTAGCTGGACCATGCCCGTCGAGGAGGGCGATGTGCCCGAGCTCAGCTTTCTCAACTCGAACAAGCAGCACTACCGCGCACCTCTTAAATACAGCAAGGAAGATGGTATGTTCCCCGAACCCCAGGGTCGCAGAGCATGCAACGGTTTACTGACCTACCATACAGTTGCTCACATTGAGAAATGGGTTCAGCGACACTGCGAAACGACGTGGCACAGCTTGGGAACCTGCTCTATGGCTCCCCGAGAGGGCAACAGCATTGTCAAGCATGGTGTCTTGGATCCAAGACTAAATGTCCACGGCGTTAAGAACCTGAAGGTTGCCGATCTGTCGGTCTGCCCAGACAATGTTGGCTGCAACACCTTCTCGGTAAGTTGTCTCATCATGACCGTCGTCGAAGGCAAATGCTAACCAGACCTTGTAGACTGCCCTGCTCATTGGCGAGAAGTGTGCGGTGCTCGCTGCTGAGGATCTTGGCTACAGTGGTGCAGCTTTGGACATGAAGATCCCGCCTTACCACGCTCCTGGCGAGAGTGTTGGTCTTGCTCGCCTGTAGATTTGAATCAAGTGGAATAGCAGAATGAACAAAAAGCACTGGCAGGATTCACAGAGGAATGAATAGTCAATAATTTGCTTCTATGATTCGCCCGCAAATGACTTTCAAAGGTCTACGTCGCTCAGCGTTCCCTTATTCCCTCCTCTCTAGCTCGATATCGAATGATGTGTCGTGTTAAGTGTTACTAAGGGATAACCAACGAGTCACGCCGTGGTCAAATCCACAATCTGCAGCGTGAACAATGTACGGGAGTAAATTTCCAATCGGACCGATCTCGGATCTGTCTCGCTGTGTAGGTTCCTTCATTTCAAGGGTATGTCTGCCCGCAAACGCCTTCCAATCTCCCGCCGGAAATCTATAACCAGAAAAGATGGTATTCTGTTATGTTCACACGGAGCGAGGGGAGTACATAGTAGATGTTGCACATCAACTTCCCGGAAAAATCGGACGGAACGGGCAGACGGAACCGCATGGTTTGGGGGGATTTGGTCGCTAGTGGTGCCGGGGACGATCAATGGCAGAGCCAAAGTGGCAGGGATAGAGGATCGAGATTGAGCGCCGCCTCCAGTCCAGTCCACTGTCCACTGCCCACTGCTGGTGGTGGTGGTGGTGGTGGTGGTGGTGGTGGTGGTGGTGGTGGTGGTGCTGGGGTTGCAGGCGATCTGCTGGTACTCCGTACTTTGTGCGAGGCACTCGGTACTCGGTACACACTGGGTACGGTAGGCCAATTTCAGTGGTCGGCGGGTGCGCCTCCGATGTCATTCTGCAAGTCAAGCGTCACCAGCGTCAGTGGGCACTGGCACCGAACTGGGCAGCCATGTCCAAGCCATGTCTAAGCATTGTGAGACCTCACGAATCAAGATGATCTTCCTACCCGCTGGCTCCTTTTGGTCATCGCCCAAATTCTAACGCAACAGAGAACAAGTGCTCCGACGTGGAACCACAGCATGCGACTGCGTCCATCACCATTGGCCATCACACCACGCGTCTTGGGTCACACAGCTCTAAGCCTCTAAGACTCTGAGCTCATGCCTTGCCCTAGCTGCCCTAAGCACCTGCGCCTACTGAGCCAGGGACCACCACCTCTGACGTCGGGCGGGGGAAATAGACAATGGCCATGCCAGGATTGTGGTGTCTCGAGGTTTGAGTTGCAACCGAGAAAAGTTGGTTCCTGAAAACAATTACACTTTTGGATTCAAAATGGTCACAAATTGGATGGCAAAAGTGAATTGAATTCAGGTGTTTGTTTTCAGACATCCCATCCCCGCGGGTTCTATGCGAAAAGCACCCTTTCAGACCACATCCACACACGTTATACGGGTCGCCACCCTCCATCTCATGGCCTCATCAGCTTGTCTCAGTTGCTAAACGAGTCATCACGCCGTGCTCCCAAAAATGGCTGCCATCGATTCCCAGCTCTCCGATGGCGGCTGTTCCACAACATCCACCTTTACGACTACAAGAACACCTCTCTCGAGTCACCCTCGTCGTCGGAGTCCCTTGGAATCTGACAGGATTCGTGGCTCCCGAGACCTCCATTCGTGCAACGAGGAACCTACTCGTCGGAATTCTGCCTTTCTCGAAGTTGGCCTTGGCGGTGAAGACGCCATTGTCGACTCTAAATTAAGAAGGGACCCACGGCCAAAACTTCAAGTGCGCTTTCGAAGCGACGTCGATGTTGCCGAAACTGAAGCAATTGACTGGGCTGAATCCTCCCCAAGTGACAGAGCAACTCGTCCGCAAATGTCTCCATCCTTTCGAACAGTGCCCAGATTCCTTTTGTTAGCTCTGGTCCTCTTACTGGTCGTCCCAAGCTTGCACCATTCTCCCCTGTTGATCGCAGGGGCGAATCCTCTGGATCGCACAGCTGGATCGCCGGTGGTGGGATCGTCGCAGCGTGTCAAGAGGGAAGTGCTCCCGGGAAGTGCTAAGAGAGAGAATAGCCCGACAGACGTTTGCAAGAGGTGGTCAGGCCAGAGCGCCCTCGTCAACGGGACACTGTACTATTATGGAGGGAGAGCAACCACGAGTTCTGACCAGACCTCAAATGAATGGAGTGCGTCCCGTCTACATTAGTTTGCGCGTTGGCTGCTGACAATTGATGCAACAGACAATGCTTTCCTAACCCTCGACCTAACAAAACCCTGGCAGATTTCATCACCGTCACTGACAGGCCTGCCAGTGCCGAGTGGACCGCCCGCGGTGTCGCTTGGCTATTTGTGGAATTCCTACGATGCTCTGTATCTCTACGGTGGCGAGTTTTCAGACACGCCCGTTGCGTCTCCTGTTCCGTTCTCCACTTGGGCATATGACATCTCTTCATCGACATGGTCTGAGTTGTCAAATCCGCAAACAAGTTCAGGGCGGAATTCGCAGCCAGCAGGGCAACCAGTCCAGCGTGCTGCAGAAGGAGCTGGAATCTCGGTGCCGAATCTAGGCCGAGGCTTCTATTTCGGAGGGCATCTGGATTTCTTGACCACGCCCGGGTGGTCAGAATCAGTCGCGCGAGTCTATCTTCGAGGCATTCTCGAATACACCTATCCCGGCTACAGCAACGCTGCGGTGAATGGTGGACACACGGCAGGTTCATCGGGCATATATCTCAATATCACCCAAGGTGGTACTCAAGACTCAGCAGGCTTCCCAGAACGTGCAGATGGCCTTCTTGTTTACATTCCCGGATATGGAAAGTCAGGCATCATTCTGGGTCTCGCAGGCGGTACGAATGCGACATTCACTCAGATGAATGTGATTGATGTGTACGATATCGACTCCTCCACCTGGTACAAACAGGCCACGTCAGGACCAACGCCCGATATTCGAGTCAACCCGTGTGCTGTCGCGCTCTCCGCGGCCGATGGGAGCTCCGTTCAAGTCTACATGTACGGGGGTCAGAACCTGCTACCTTATGGCGAACAAAAGCAGTACGACGATATATGGATCTTGACAGTGCCGTCTTTCACATGGATTCAAGTCGACACCAGCAAACAAGCGAATCCTCCAGGCAGGGCTGGGCACATGTGCAATGTTTGGAATGCGCAAATGATAGTCGTCGGTGGATATGTTGGCCAGGATCTATCGTGCGACAGCCCTGGAATCTATGTCTTTAACACCAGCTCCCTTCAGTGGCAAAGCGAATATGTTGCCTTACAGACGGATGACAACCTCAACAGGCACAAGAGCCAGCAGGACGATCCTTCAGCGCTGCAAGGGTCATTTGGATACTCAGTCCCAGAAGAAGTGCAGTCTGTCATTGGGGGGAATGCTGTGGGAGCTGCTACTGTCTCTGCCCCAGCTCAGTCGGCCACTCAAGGTCCGTTGGCAACGGGAACACCGCGCATTTACACGGTCACTCAATCTGGCGGGTCTGTAGCCACCGAGACCGCGGCGCCTACCGGAACGAGTGGCACTAATGGCGGTGGTGGCCCTGGTAGCAGCACTGAAAACAAGGGGTCCTCGAGCGGAACCAACATTGGAGCCATCGTCGCTGGTGTCATTGCGGGAGTCCTTGCTGTTGTGGCGGCCTATCTCGCATTCTGCGTCTGGCTCTATCGCAAGCAGCTTAAGATCTACCAAAACCACGTGGCCATGGCACAAAGACAGGATCTGGCTGGTGATCCCAGATTCATTGGCGCCGGATTGGCGGGAGGTGCGAGGTACACGGACAAAAGTCAATCGAGCGACAGCCGCCACAGCGCAGACAACCGCAGTGGAAGTAGCGGAGGGCGCGCCAATCAGTTATCGAGCAACAATCCTTATCGAAACGTACCTGGGGGCGCTGGATCAGCAACAGCGGCGAGTAGTACGGAAGACCTCATGGCAGGTCAAGAGCCCAGTTTCTTGGGGGTGGTATTGAACCCCAGACGAAGTTTGAGGGTGGTGAACAAAGACTGAGGCTGTGGAATTGAAACTTGGTTTTATGATTCGATGATTAGTTGAAACGGCATTTCGAAGAGAAGCACACGATTTTAAGGGGCATCAGCACATGCATGGACACATAATAAATGCGGACTGGCCATGTACCTTCGCTTCTGTATATACCCACTGGGCAGTTGATGAATTTGATGAGAATCTTGGAGAATGAATCTCACTCGCATCTTGCGCAGACGTGAAGCTGATGCTCTCGCCACCGACTCCGGCACCAGTCTCAACTGCGACTCCCCTTTGCAAGTGCTTTCTCTAATCGGAGCATGGTGTTCGTGTCCGCGTGAGTGTTGACGACAAACCCCCTTGCAAGACCTGTGGGCGATAAACTCCTCCCACAGCTATGACGTATTGAAGGCTTCCTGTAGTAACCGCAATTCCTACGCCCTATGTGAGGTCGAGTTCGTTCTCCTTAAAACACTTCAATGCTTCGGGTACATCAGGCCGCAGCAACGTCCTATGCCACGCCCACACCGTAGCTTAGAGTTCATTCGCCTCGTAGATCGAAGGTGACTTCTACTTATAACGAAAGTTTCGGCTACCTTTTGGAAATGGCGGTGCTTCGTCCTTCATCCATGCTGTTGGCTGTATATAAACAGAGCGGCGGCTACCTTGTCGATACGTACCGAGTATTGAGCACGCTCTTCCCATGCCATTGCTTGCCCCAACGCCATGCTAATGACCATTCTTCTCCTAATCAAGTCCCTATTGTGCTCCTTTTCCAACCGTGTCCGCCATGTGGCGGGGGGAGTCGAATCTATCTTTCCCTCATCACCACCGTCTGAACGCCATGTCTAATGCCGGTCTATACTTGCGGTGCATGACTGTGCAACGGCGGTCCCCAACCCCCCTGGACCGTCTTTCAAAATCAACAGACTCGTCGCTCTCGGATCATCGCTCTCACGCTGGTTGGTATGTTTCAAGTCGGATCGATCGTTGTCATTTATCATCGTAAGCAGCTGCTCGTCCTTGCCAGGGGACGCGTCATTAAACCGTCTCCTTCCCAGGTCCCAGGCCTTGTATGCAATTTAATGTCTCCTGCCCGGCAACCTCCAGATTCTTCTCATCATCCAAACGACTCCGGACTCTGACCAGCTCATTCCTGGCCTCCTTTGTCTCCTCTTCATCGCCGCTCATCACCGCGATGCGTAGCCTCTCCTCGGCCTTTCTCCGCTTGCGTTCTTGGCGTTCTTCGTCTTCCCGCATTTGGCGGATCAATGTGGACTTCTCTCTTATACGGTTGCCGTACCGGTAGAAGAGGAAGGGGATCGGGATAATGATGACTTCGAGGATCCCGAGTAGTGTTCCTGCCCAGTTGGGACCAAGGGCGCGATACATTGCTGGCCCAGCTAGGGGCAACGTTCCACCCAAGAAGGATCTCATCACGGCGTTGCCTGCCATCGCGCTTGCCGCGTAGATTCCATAGCTGTACGCGAGGTAATTTCCCGCATAGATGAAAACGGCTCCGTTGCCGAATCCAAAGGGGATACCCGCAGCAATGGAGATGGCCCAGTGGATCTTCGTGGGGTAACATGTCCATGCGAACCACAATTCGCCGACGGGGACCAGCACGGCAGCGATGCACACGATGCTCATCATTGCCTCGGGTGGCACGTTTCCATCTTGGTCCCGCTTGTGCGAATTGATGAGTTTGCGGATGGGCGATGCGCTACAGACTGCCAACATCAGTTAGCCTGTAGCAGTGTTGAACAAAGGATACAATAATAAGAATAATTCCGGCATTAATGGAACTGCCATTCAGTGACGCAAAGCACTCACTAATTGCCATCGTACCAATCCCAATCCCAAGGAAAGAGAGGCCGCTGATGCCAGTGGACCAGCCGCGCAGTTCGGTGAAGACGATGGGGTAGGCAACGAAACATAGATAGAGGATGCCTGGGGAGGTGATTAGTCGGCGGTCGTCAAGTGTTACGGGGGCATGGCCACCAAGGAAAAAGAAAGGGGGAAACCACGAACCATAGACGATGGAGATGTAAAGATTCCAGAAAATGCAGATTTTCTCTTGAACGGCCATGATGAAAGGGCGTGACAGGTTGATCTTCATCAGCTCGACAAATCCGACTCGAATATCGTAACGGCTCCAGTACCTTTCATCGTCATGAACTCGTCGCAAGTTCTTCGCTCGCCGCTGCAGCAGGACCGGGGCATAGGTCTCTTTCAGAAGTATCAGTAAAACAAATGCGCAGCCCCCCCAGATCATGGCGATCCAATTAGTCCATCGCCAGCCTAGGTATTCAGTCACGAAGCCTCCGATGGTCGGACCAACCACAGGGCCGTTCATTGGCCCAATCGACCAGATAGAGAAGGCGGTCGCCCGATACTCATCCGAGACCAAATCCGCAATCGATCCAGGCGCATTGGCTATCATGGCACTTCCAAAAACAGCGCCGAAAAACCTGGTGATAATGACGGTCTGCAAGTCTGTAGCAACGGCTGTAGGGAGGACAAGAACTGTGAAAATGGCCATGCATATAGTATATACGGGTTTTCGACCATACGTCTCAGCAATTGGGGCGAGAAGTAGGGAACCTACCGCCAGCCCGAAGAGATAGGTCGTGACACCAAGGGTGGCAATAGGTTCCGACTTGACGCCAAATTCTTGCATCATGGCATCCATACCCGAGGTGTATGAGGTCGAGTACATGACCACTCCCAGTGTGCCAAACGATATCGTGAAGATGGCAAAGGATTTGTACCATATTGACCAATTTCTAGGATTTCCAGGATCATCGGGATCAAAGTCGACTTCAAACGACGGATCTAACGTGAGGTCGGTGCCGTGAGTGGTTATTCTTGTCGCCGTTCTTGTGGCAGATTGTCTTGAGGCTTGAGTAATAGTGAGTGTCAGGGCTCGTTCATCATTATCGGAGTCGGATCTGGAGACAGAGGACGTGGGAGACTGTTCAGTAGTCGGTGAATAGAATTCCTTGTGAATCGGAGTCTGTGGGGAAGCACAGTGACTGTTTGGGTATTGGGAGATGACGACTGGTGGGAGGGACTTTTCTGAATCTGACATTGTGGGGGACAGGGATCTGTTGCGTGGGATGGGCTTGAAATAGTAAAAAAAAGAGCAAGTCCCAGAAGCCGAAGCAGTTTTTGTCTACTTGGTAAAAGAACCATCAAAGGTCATCCAAAGCGAGAATATGGTGAAAAGGAGGAACACAGAAGGCGAAGAACGAACGAGCCGAGTTGGAAAATTCCGCGCCGTTTCTTGCGGTGTACTTACAACAGATGAAGAAAGGGCGTATACTGGCTGAACTCTCGGAATGAGATGCCGTGCAGACCAGTCATGGTAGAGCCCAGGCTTTTCCAAGCGGGGCGGCCAGGCATGGAAGATGGACGAGCGGCAACCGTACAAAGACGGAGAAGGGGGAAGAAAAAAAAGAGAGAGTCGATGTGTGACAAAAAGCGGTGGTAGAGCGCAACATGCCACTCACTGTCAACGACTTTGACCCATGCGTGCGCCGTGCCACCAGATGCCATGGCCCTCGCCCTCGCCCTCGCCCTTGCCTTTTGCCTGATAGTCAATCGATGGTGGGGTTGTCGCTGAAATCCCATGTTCGCGCCATGGTCCATGATTTTTAAGCAGAGACAAGCAAGACGAGGCCTTTGATGGCTCGCACCAATCAGCGGCTGTGTTGGCTCGCGGCTCCCTTGTATCATGCCGGTATCGTGCCTCGGGGAAAAAAGTGACGGAAGTGACGGTGTTGTGGTCATTTGCCGGATCTTGTTGACAAGGACAAGGGCGCAGTAGTGGCTTGGGAGTGAGATGACGAGGTCAGACACTCCATCTTCCTGTTCCTAACTAGACTATTAGACACGATGGTCGCACGTAGTGGCAAAGAAGAAGTTCTCCACCATTAGATCGAACGTGCCCTTCATTTTTGAAGAGCATGTTGATGACCTTGCGAGATGGTTGGGCAAAAGAGGTGAACCAGGTGTTGGGACTCACGGCGATGCCATCCGTGGACTCGGCAATTGCCCCCTGCAACTAGCCTGGTGGCCCTGCTCGAACAAATTTGCATAGCCGGTTCATCTTTGCCACAAAGGCGGACTAGCAGAATTTCCATCAACTCGGCAAAGGGAAGGTCCAACTCCAACTCGGTGAACGGATGAAAAAAGCTCTGCTGGACGCCTCATCCTATCGTCAAGTGATTGGGCCGTCGGCGGGACGTGGGTTATATTTCTGACTACCAGCTCGCCCATATTTGGAGAGTGGATGCCGTCACAATAGATGTTGACCCTTGTGCGCCTTTCCTGAAGAGCGTGCTCTCACACCAGTTGTGGCTGAATTACTGCGGAAGCCAAGCAAGATATTTGGTGTGTCGCAGTTCGAAGGAGGCCATGAGCAGATCCAGTCCTATGGGACCAGGAAGAGAGCACTAGCCTCCGGCCATTGTAAGAAGGGCGTACAGCAGGGACAAGGTTGCGAGACATCAGCATCCCCTTTTGAAGCAATACGCTGTACCGGGTAGAGGATTGCTGCTTCGTGCCACGGGACTGTGAAGCCTTGCGAGCTATATCATTCCAGAATTGAAGACGAATGAGTGCTGCGATCCGTGCTTTTGTCCTGCCCTGGGCAACGAGTTCGGGACTACGAAGAGCTCTTCCACAGTGACCTCGCCGCAGGATTTTATTCGTTCATTTTTATGGGCACTTGTATCGACTGGCACACCAGCATCCTGAACTCGGTCTCTGACAGGATTCCCTCCATCTTTGGCATCGAATCATCTCTAGCATTGCGATGTAACATGAGGACAGCGAACATTAGTTACCTTACTACCAAGCCTGTCTCATGCCTGACCATGTCATTAATTTTGCGTCTCAGCTTATCGATTATAGTCAGAGCCTTATTCTCCTCCACTGACCCTCATATTTCACCGTCCAGAAACGCATCGCATATGATCGAAGATTTCCCTTCCCGTCTGTTTCGATCAAGCCACGCGATGAAGCGTTCGGGAGAAGTGAAATCCATCATCGAAGCGTATCCGAGAGCTGCAAGATTGGCCTCCCAAAGGTCAATGTTGAAGAGAACCGGTGTAAATCTGCCTATTCTGCACTGTGCAAATGGTGATGGCTCAGCGAGCAGGGCAGTCCTGGGCATTTAAATCCAACTTCGACGGCAGAGGATCCGGCAACTCCGCCTTGGCTTGCGAACCTGATTTGGCAGACGTAATGTCGAAGGAAGTATAGACGAATCTCAAAAGGTTTCCTCACTTACTCGATAGTGACTTCACAATCAAATAATGCTTCTCTCAAGAATTGACTTCCGTGTCGCCCGGGGTCCGCTCATTGATCATGGCCGAGAATGAGGTGGGTTAGGATGGTGAACGGCCATACAGTCATCATAGCACCATGGCCCCTTTTACCGAGGCCATTTGAACTTGATGTCTCCAAATGCGTCCGAAGGAGGGTTGGTGACCAGAAATAAAAGGGAGGATTAACGTAAGCAGAGTCCCGAGATGTTCTCATCTCTTCCAAACACCCTTTTCATCCCTTTTCCAACGCCCGCCGATCGGGATATGAACCCTCGCTGGCCGCGGCTGATATCCACCATCACTCACAGCAGCAACCGAAAGAATCCTGACGGCCTGTTGGTCGAGCTCCGATGGTGGTCTTCCAATGTTCTTCTTATCCTTCTCCGTGGGCGTCGATTGTCCCGAGACTTGATTGTCTAGGACTTCGCCTTCGATGATATTCGTGTCCAGTGTGGGAACTTTCCGCTGCCGCCATTCGTACCGCATTTTCTCCCACTCATCCGGTTCGTCGGCCTCATCCCCACTGATAATACGCGTGAGTCCAGACAATTCTGTCTTATTTTGTATTGCATGCAGAGAGGGTGGTCCAGAGTGCGGACGTCTCATTTCCTGTTCTCCAGCACTAACATGCATGAGGTTTTGGGCACCCCCGAGTTGTTGAGCTGGGGCAGATTCTCTGCGCACGTTCTTGTATCTCGGGTCCAACGTCAATTTAGTCTTGACAGCGGCTGCGTGTCGGGAGGTGAGGATAATCTGATCCATATCTTTCTTTTCCTTCTTCTCTCTCCTGCTAAATAGCCTGCTGAATCCTCTGGAGGACGACTTGGTAGAGGAATGTAGGGGAATAGAGCTGGCGCGGCTTCGATCCATATTATTCATTGCACTAAACCATCCTGGCTCGGATTTGCGAGATGACGAAGAGGCGTTGCTGCTGTTCCGCGACAACGAAGGTGAAGTCATTCTGAGATGCTCAGTTGAATGTCTTCGGTCAGGGACGCCGCGATTCGGGCTCTCAAGGAAGGCAAAAGCGGATGCCATTTTGCGACTTGTCTAAGTTGCTGGGAGAGGGGAATGAGAGAGTGCGCAATGGCGGATATCCTATACGTCACACCAAAAGCAAGGAATGAAGATAACGGTCACACAAGGATCGAAGACAGAGGGAACTGTATGCACCTACGAGCGACTTGGTCTGGGTGACTACAGTAGTTCACATATCTGATATCAAAAAGATGTCAGGAGAGGAGGCGCATGGTTAGGTGGTTTGGGTGGTTAGCAATATCCAATTGGAAAGGTGAGAAGTGAGCATGTGGCGGTTGTAGGAGAAGCCGTCGACTCATCAATACTAGATTGGCTTTAGGCATGGATTAGGTTGCAGCAGGGAGAGAAAAATGTTGTTCGGCGGGAGGAGTTTGTTGGTGAGTACGAAGGACTCCGTACTATTGGAATTTCTACGCCCCGCTTGGCCCCGCGCTGCCGACGCCACCCTTGCACATTGCCAGGACCCGCTCGCCGGTGCGGCGGTACGTGCGGGGCCACCAGTCCAATAGAAGAATAACTGAGCTAAAGAGGAGCTCAACGACGACGTGGTCGCTATATTGAACACAGCTGGCGGCGGAGGTGGAAGGACAGAGTAACTCTGTTTCCAAATGGCCAAGTCAAACGGAATACTTATTGCCAATGAAGGCCACCTCCGCTCTAACACGGAAGGACTTGGAATCGCATGGTTCAGATACACTTTGGCCAGGACCATCAAACCGACCGTGACCGGACAAGCCGTGCCACCGTATAGCACGATGAAGACATAGGAGGACATAGCCTACCGATATACTGTCGATTCTGTGAGACAGGTTCTGCAAATACGTCAGGGTTTGCTGAAGGAGGGAGATCTTGAGTAACAGAGCGGGAAATGAGCTTTTTTGCCTGGCTGGGATGCTATGATGTATGTCTGGTTTCAATTGACGACTGGTACTAAGTACATACTCTTGACATGGCTACATCCCGTAACTGCCACGGCTTCATTGTCGCGAGGCACCGAGATGGTTGCTTCCGAGGGGTCACTGCATGTAAAGCCTTCTGTAAGGTGGTTAGCGATGACTGAAAATGGTGGTAGTGGTGCCTACGATATGCTCGCTTCATTCAGTTCCCAAATACTCCCAGAGTGCGATGGCTTTGCCATTGACGAAGATATCCACCTTGTTGAGAATTAGTTGCGACGCAAAAAAATAGTTTGAATGGAAGGAGGAGGTGTGCGGTGGAGATTCTTACTATCTGACTCAATGACCTACTCGCTGCTCAATATGTAGTACGTGAGGCCCAGTCGAAGGTTCCGTCAATGCTCAGCTGACACTCCTTCCCCCACTTTCTAGGATCATGTAACTGTCATGGTCGCTTTTCTAAATACAGACAGCTGTTGTTATGAGTGAATGTCTCCTTCAGCCCAGTAGCGAGAGACACCTGGTTTGATACATAGGAGCACGTCTTTAATGGACTATGCCACTGATTTCGCACAACCAATTTGTAGGTGCGCTTGAATTGAAGGTCGGCTAGGCTCCAGATCGGCGGCTCAGTGTTAGAATCCAGTCGGTTGCGAAATCGATTCTCAAGAGCATCAATCTACATCAACCTTGGTCTGCGCACTACGAATGGTGAGCACTGAGACTCGAATGGTGGATGCCGGAAGAAAGCATTTATTAATCTCGTATGAAAAGTAAGTGCCCATTTGTAACAGAGAACATGTCCAGGTTTGCGGCTTTTTCAAGGAACCAAACAATATGTTGTGTCCTGCTGAGAGTATTGTGGAGGTTCTCTAAACTGATAGAGCCATACTTCGTCAACTGAGTGTAATGTAGTCTCAACTTGAGGATTCCTCAATCGCGAAGCAGACTGCGGGCGGAAATGTACAAGGTTGGTATTGCACCAACGCCAACCCCAGCAGCATCAGAACATTTTGACCTTACTTGCTGCCACCAAACCAGCTGCTTATTCCACTCTTTGCCTTTGCGGCCTTTTCTTCCACGGTCTTATCGAACTTGTCGATGGTACTGTTGATCTGACTGCCTGTCTTTTGACTAACCTCTTTTGCTTTTGCTTCGGCTTCGGAGAGTTTGGCTTTGGCATCAGCGGACTACGAGCCGTCAGAATCTCAGTCGCAGGGTAAAGCGAGGTGCAGCTCACAGCTTGGTCAAACTTCTGGCTGGCTTGAGAAGCGACGGCTTCGCCTTTCTTCTCTGCCTCCTTTTCTTTGCCCGGAATCTCACTCTTTATCTGGGATGAGAGCTTGGAGGCATCGGCTGTCCATTGTTTAGTGACCTCCAGCATTGAGGCAATGAGCGGTCCTACCTTCGAAGTTCTTCTGAGCAACCTTGGGACTGCCACCCGCATTATAAAGATAGTATCCAACTCCGCCAGCTAGGGCTAGGCCGGCGATGGTGAGTCCGCGGCTCGATGACATGATGGGGGAATATCGGGTCTGCTGAAGTGATTCAGGAACGGAGGATGTCTGCAACGTGAACAGCTTGAATGGTGACTGAGTTGAGGAGTGACGATACTCAGAGAAACTGCGAGAATGCTAGGTACGAGATGGGCCTCGGAGCAATTGGTGAAGGGGACTCAGCGTTCAACACACCCCGTAATGGTAATGGGTGGTATGATTGCAGCTGCGCAGGAGGAGGTCGAAGCTGGCATTGCAACAACTCCGCCAGCAAGTGGTGCAGGCCGTGCAGGTGCATGCAGGTGGTCGGCGGCAGTGACATCATTGGCGGCATGGGAAAATGCCCTTCATCAGGCTTCCCCGCGTCATCTGAGGGACCAGCCCACCAGCCAGACCATCCCGGTCAGCCACACAAAATCCTGCTCGCCCGCGCCGACGACGTAAACAGTGCTGCAGCTGCAGCCACCAGGCTGCACGGGTGCTTGACGGCCTTCATTCTTACCCTCGCAGATCCCACGCACCAGAGTATACCTCTATACGTATAGTCTAGCACATCATTTCGTCTTTCCCTTTTACCATTACCTCCTCGTCGAGAAAAATCCCAGAAACCAACTTTGGTGCAGGTCCTCAAGTGGAAATTCTAGCTCTCTGTGGCCGCCTAGCCTTGAATTGAATTTGGAGTCGAAGGCCGTTGAGTTCGATTGCGGGCCCTACAGAAAGCTCCAGAGGCATGTCAGAAAATGTCTCCAAGATCCTGACTCGCATCACCACCTATGATGGGTCTGCAGCAGATTCCTATGATCATGAAATCTCTCTCACCGATACCACCCACTCCGCCAACGAGCCCCAATCCCATCACGAGCCTCGATCGAGCTCTCCAAGTTCGAGCACAAGGCAATTGGCAAAAAAGGGAACGAGAGAATGCTTGAAGGAACATCTCAGCCGACGAAAGTATGCCAAATATCAACAGGACCGCTACCACTCCAAGACTAGCAGCGTTGTCACAGCCGAGGAACCCTCGTCGCAATCTGCATCAACTCAACACGCGCAACAGGCCGAGACAGAGGCTGGAACACAAAAGGTGGACTTCGCGCATGCTGAATCTGTCGAAAGAGGACGAAGGAGCGCAGGAAAGAGGAGGCGAGAGTCTAGAAAGCTCAAAGAGGAAATCCACGAGATCGACATTCTCTATGAAAATCAGCGTGGGTGGTTCTTCTGTGGCATCCCTCTTTATTCGCATTCATCTCTCCTGCCGCCGGATCCTAGCCCATGGACGACCAAGGATCTAAAGGATTCAGCCGTCAACATCACCAATGCTCAGGTGCCTGACCCGACCTGGGAATGGGCATGGAACAACTGGTATGTCGATATGAGCCACGATGTGGACGAGCAAGGCTGGCAGTATTCTTTTGCTTTTGGACATACTTGGACCTGGCATGGTACGCATCCTTGGTTCCACTCATTTGTCCGACGGAGACGATGGCTACGGAAAAGAGTGAAGCGTGATGTGGAAGGCAGATTCGGGAGGCCTGGAAGCATGAGTGACGCCCACCATCTGACCGGCGATTACTTCATCATCCATTCAAAGCGAGATCGTAGTCCGATCAGTGCTGCTGACGGCGTCGGTAAAATCGCCCGACCATCAAGCTTCATCAGCTTTCCAAGCATCATTGATCAGGAGGAAGCACCGGAAGAGATCAAAGACATTGCAACCTTGCTGAAGGCACTCAAACTTGCACCGATCGACCGAGAGAAGATTGTGGTGGTCAAGAAATTCGTCCAGCAAGGCAAAGAGGACTTGGTCTACCTCAAAGACCATATCCCAGATATTATGTCGTTTCTCGTGTTCCAGAATTCCAGGAGGCAGCTTCTTTCATACCTTAAGAAGACGGCAAACGAAGCGCGCCAGCATCGACAGAGCCACGAGGAAGAGAATAAACCAGAAAGTGATGCTGAAAGTCGAAGGATCGACAATCTTCTCGCTGCGGTCGAGGCTGCTGATGCCCAAGTTGGAGCTCTTGAATATTGGAGCGACAGGAAGCATGTGTTCAAGACCGACGATGCCCAAAGTCTGGCCACACGACCAATAGCCACCATATTCGATCAACCAGCTCCGAAGCCCAAGACAGACGACGACCCCGTTGAAGAGATCAAGGGAATACCCGAAAAAGCTGACATCGAGGAGGGAAACACGCAGTCCATATTCAATTCCGAACGGCAATCGTCAATTGAACAGGAGGAGGGGCAGGGGCAGGGGCAGGAGCAGGAGCAGGAGCAAGAGCAGGACATAGATGACAAGGGTAAAGGCCGGGCATATGAGAGCGAGGACGATCAAGTGGAGCAAGACTCGACGCCACGATTGGGATCGGATGATGTTTATGTTCCAGACCAAGACTAGTGGTCTGGGAGATCGAGGTGTATTGTCCACTAGCGCAGGCGTTGACTCGGACTGCGGACAGCATGGAATATTAGTACCTAGCTATGTACCGAGTACTCGGTATGGAACAAGTAATAGTCGGTACCTCGTAATATGGAGTACTTCGTATTGGATGCGCCGAGGCTGCCAATTCCTGGTTCGATAACCGGTGGCTGGGGAGCTAATATAACCTTATTTGGTTAGGCTAATGCGGGTCGCGCCCTGACGCGACTTCTGCTCTCCCCATAAATGAGCGCAGGAACAGTTGAACTCCAGAATTCTCCTGGAAGTGCATTCAGACACGCAGAAAAAGGTCAGACCGTGGAACAATTGTTGTTTTTGTTGCTCTCCATCTCTACCCTCTGGCTCTCGCTCTCGCAGTTTCAATCTTGGTGTTCACTTCGTGGTCGCGCCTTCCCTCCCAAGCCCGCCATGGCTCATTCCGTACGTGGAAGTTCAACTCGAGTCAGCAAACGACAAGCCACCGTCGACATCCATGCAAAAGTCCTCAAAATCTCGAAAGCTTCCAAAAGCCCAAGAACTTCCGCAGGCTTGAAGTCGAAATTGGGAGAGGGGGTTCTGAAACCTGTGGTCTATACTAAAAAGAGCGTCAAGCATGTTCCACTTCCAAAGCGCAAACGTGATGCAGTCCAGGATGACAGCGAGAACGAACTGGATGGGGTCTATACCACCAGGATCATCTCGAAAAAGGTCTGGAAACTTGGGATGGCTTATGTATATGGTGCTAATATCGCTTCAGCCCAAGCTGCAGCTACCGACGCCTCTGTCCAGCCAGCGCCAAGAGCGAAAAGAGTCCATTGACATGGAGTTCTCCCCAACAATGACCTTCCGGCAACTTTCTCTGGACACCGATAATTCTGAGCCAGTTCCGCAGACGCTTCCACCAGTTTTGCAGGACTTTGTGTCCTTGCACGCAGCCTTCCTCAAGGCATTTGCCATCCACATTGTACATAACGGCCAATCCACGCCGGCCGATTTGGGTAGCCTGATGGGTTCTGTCACCCGGCTTTGGAAAAAACACACCGTCACCAAGGAAGATATTCAACGCATGTTGGCCATCTATGAATTGGACGTCTCAACGCATTTCAGCGGTCGCCTCCTCAACCACCAAGAAGGTCCATTTAAGCTCACGATGGTGGGTGCCGATTTCGTCCGCTACAATGTCGAGTACGTTGGTGCCGGCAGCAAGAGACCCGTCGACCCCCGCTGGGATGAATACGATCTCCAAAAGCTATATGAAGCGGAAATCGAGGCCTGTTGGATTTCTCAACGGAGCAACTCTTCCTGTTGGCTCCATGGCGCGATTCGAAACTTTCCTCGTCTGAACTTTGCCGTCGGCATCGAGACACAAGTACGAAAAGCCAAAGCTGAGAGCGCCCGAAGGGAGATCCTGGGTCTATCATCACAAGCACAAAATCAGGCAGGAGCCCAGTTCCCGATGCACATGAATGACAACTCTGAAAACAAAGAGACTAGCACGCCGCAAATTGTGAAGGATCGGACACTATCCCTCCTAGATCGCGTTAGGGCTAGAGCACTTGTCAATTCTTCCATGACACCCCGGACGGCGGAAGCTACTTTTCGGCGCTACGCTCTCGGCCGTATCGCAGAGGTCGTGGAGATCCTTCGAATGAAGCAACAGCGCAAACTAAGCACAAACTTCGTGTCGTGCGTCCATTCGAGCCCGGGCAAGGTTCGAGGCAAGGTGTCTTTTAGCATGAACCAGTTGATCAATGACATCAAAACCAGTCTGGCCGTTCCGATTGGGGACGCAGAACTCAGAATGTGCATCCATATACTTGAAGATGAGGTACCGGGAATATGGGTGTCCGTTTATACTATAGGAACGGTTGAAAGCGTTATTCTTAATGGACCAGGACTGAGTGGTGTTGAGATCAAGAAGATCCTCGACGAGAAGGAGGGCTCGAGCTGAGGAACAGCCCAACTGTACTGTACAGAAAAATGAAACTCTGGCGTCCAGTGGAGGATTCTAATTTTGCTGTTAGAAGGTTGTTTTGAGGCAATTTGAACTTGAGATATCGGCGGCGAGGAGCAATTGCTCTGAAGGATTTGTCCAAGATTGGAGGCGTAGATAAATCAATGGATCAACCCGAAGAGTCTACAACCAATTATCAAGGGATGGGAGGAGCTCTTGGTAACCCGTCGGCATAGAGCAGAGGGAGAGAGGGAGAGGGAGAGGGACGGCCGCAGTGCCTACAGCGCAGCCGAGCCATTCGCTGCATCATGAAAAATAAGAAAAATACTTTGATGCAAACAACAAAATGCTTGTCCAAGCCTTTCCGGCGTTCAAGTGAAGCCTTGTACCTCCTACAGCCTTGTGAGGTGCGCAACTCCGCAGTGAGACCTGATCTGGCCCAACTTCGAAGGGCTCTACCGATGATGAGCAGAGATGACGTGCCAGGGATCTCCCACTGACATTGCCGCAAGCATATGCCATTGTATACGTTGTCGAATCTCGCTGCCGTCTCCAAGCGAAATGCTGAAATTATGCACCGTTTTGACTGTTCAAGACGAGGCTTATTGATCCGGCGACCGGCCGAAGTCGGCAAATTGATCGAAGGTGTGTCATCGAAGGGCGCTGCTCTTGTGGAACTGCGAGATTAGTTATCTCGTTCGTCCAAGAAGGGTATTTGTTTCCTTCTGATATCCTGATTTCTCTTTATATAATTCGTTCTCGGGTCCTGAATGGAAGGAGGAGATGGATTTGATTTGGACTTGATTGGACTCTTTCGGATTTCAGCATTTTTGGGACTTGGACAGCACATTCTGCTATCGAGCGATCTTCGGGACAGCGTCGCGATATTTACTATTTAGCAGGCCACAGGGATACAGCCACGATGTCTGCTGGAGCACCGGCCGTGGTGCCCGTTAAGGACAACGAACCCATCGTCCTTTGCATGGAAGACATCAAAGCCATCGCAGACTCAAAGCTCCCAGAGGTAGCCAGAGGTAGGTCGTGACCGACTTCTTATCCCTCCTCTCACCAATACACCCATCCCAGCTCATCGTCCATCACCCGTCATCACCGTCACCGTCTAAATTCTGAGCAAATCAAAGACTTCTACAACTCGGGGTCCACGTACCAAACGACCATTGCCGAGAACAGATCCGCATTCTACAAGTACCGTCTCCGCTCGCGCGTCCTCGTCGACGTCTCCGAGTTGTCCACGCAAACAACATGTCTTGGCCGGACGATCAGATTTCCCTTGTGCATATCGCCGGCAGGTCTCCAGGCCATGGCTCACCCAGACGGAGAGGTCGCGACGGCTCGCGCATGTGCGAAAATCGGCGTCAATATGGCAATTTCGAGCTTCTCGAATTATCCGGTGGAAGAAGTCATCCGGGCCTCGAATGGAGGCGTGAATTATGCGATGCAGATGTACACGATGAAAGACCGTTCGTTGCAAGAGCGCATCATCAAGTCGGCCGAAGCTGCGGGTTGCAAGGCTATCTTCCTCACGGCAGACTCGCCCGTGCTGGGTGTGCGGTTCAATGAGTGGCGCAACGACTTCCGCACCCCGGAAGGGCTCGGGTTCCCCGTCCTGGAGTGGACAAGTGAGATGATCCGAAAGCAGACCCACGACAGCGGGTTCACGGCCTTCAACGACGACTCGCACAATTGGGCAAGGGAAATCCAGTGGCTGAGGGAGAAAACCAAGATGGAAATCTGGATTAAAGGCATCGTCACGGCAGAGGACACTGAGCTGGCGATCAAATATGGATGCGATGGCATCCTTGTGAGCAATCACGGCGGACGACAACTCGACGGTGTCCCCGCAACCATTGACGCGTTGGTGGAGTGCGTGGATGCCGCCCAAGGACGCATCCCGATCCACATGGACGGCGGCGTAAGGAAAGGAACAGACATTTTTATCGCGCTCGCGCTCGGGGCTGAAAATGTCTGGGTGGGCAGACCCGCGATTTGGGCACTCGCATACGATGGCCAGAGAGGCGTCGAGAAGATGCTGGAGATGCTGTACGAAGATTTCCGACGGTGTATGGCGCTATGCGGGTGCAACAGCGTCGCCGAGATCAAACGGAGCTGTCTGAGCAGGATCGGATTAGATGGGGTGTTGCGACGCATGGAGTAGGTTCAGAAAGGCAAGTGGCAGAGCCGCCTTGCAAACAGCAAAATGGGTTCGGATACTAGAAACAGAATCAAATACAAATACACGCACAAAGTACGACAGCGGTGTTCGATATTGCACAGCACCGCACAGAAATACACGAACGTGCTCCCTCTTCCTCGAGGCTCTGCCTCCCAGGGGGTTGAAACTTCAGCCTCGACTGCGGCGCGAGTCCGCCAACGGTCCTCCAGCAAGCCAGGATGACCCATGTTGCCCATGCCGCCATGAGACAGACCCGAAACATTCGACGCTTCACACCCCAGTAATTTCAACGGTTCCCGGCTTTCAGATGGGGAAAGTCCATTCAGTCCGTGCCCCGAAGCCAGATCCAAGAGAAGAAAAGAGGAATCTGCATGTCGAATGCTGAAATTTGGTCCTCAAGAGGCATCTTGTTCATTAGATATTAAATTAATAGACTAAATCTTTCGGTTGCGCGTTTCTTGGATTTCCAGCTTCTTCAACTGTCGCTGTCATCGACAGGGAGCTTCTCTCTTCAACCTAGTCCGGGTCATCCATCGCCCTTTCCCTTAGGTCCATCACATCTCGTAACCCAATGAATACTCCGTGCTCCACATAGGTCCCATCAAGATGCAGAACCACCCTGACTGTGATACGAAAGTCATGCATGTCCGTTTTGGGGCACATCTTGACACGTAGCATCGTGGGGGCCCTGGACCGCACGTTGAATGGCTGGGAGCAATGTCGAGTCGAGCAGTGCTTGTTGACACGGATTGCATGGTTGACCCTTGGATGGAAAAATGTCGTGGGGGCGTCGTCTTGTCACAATGGTTGGCTGAACTCCCACGTCCAGACTGCAGCCCTGAACCTGACATTGACCTCACGCTCAAGTGATTTTCCGACAACCTTGTCTCTGTCCAGCTCCGTATCCTCGGACCTCACCCAATCCCTCCGTCCGACAGGCCCTAGAAGCGAATGCAAAATCCGGTCCTTCCTCTTTCTTGCCTTTCCCATATCCTGTGTGGAACCAAGCGAGTGGCATATCGGTCGTAAGTCTCGACATCTTTTTGTACAAGGGGTATGCAAAGCGAGTGTAATGTATCAATCCAGCCGGTAAACGGTAGCCGCTGGATGACAGATAGAAATGCTGTCAGCCGTGTGGCCCAAATTATCAGGTATAACGCCGGTGCAAAATCAAGATATGCTGTACTCCAGCTGAAAGTCCAAGACCATGCACCCTGATGGCAGACCGATTCTGCGGTGCAAAGCCGTCCAGTCCGGCAAACCCAACCATGTCACAATCCAAAAAGAAAAGCTTTGTGCCAGTGATAATGCCATTCCATACTCAATCCCATGCCTAGGCCAGCCTCGTTAAACAGTGTACAAGACAGAAACGACGGGTTCGGCGTGGTCCTCGGATTGAAATTCTTGTCCGGGAGAAAGCACATTCGTAGTGGCGTCGTATTACAGTAGGGTTGTGTTCTATGTGCAGAAATCCAAAAATTGAGCGCTCATATGCAAAGTTCTTGATCCGTAAGCGTGCTTGAGTCGTAACAAAAACGCCGGGCCAAAGGTGCTGCGGAGTTCAAACGAAACGTCGGGATTTTCACGTCGAATGGTTTGTCCGCGTCATCTTTCGTAATTCGAGTATGCGTCTGTCCAAAGCTTGGGGCTCTCCTCCGTCGGGCTCAACGAGCCGGAAGAAATCGAAGACGAGGAGCCGATGGTCCATTCGTCGCTGTCAGGGCTGCTGCCGTCAACGCCTGCAATGCCATAGCTATAGTCGCTCTGGATCTCGCCAATCTCGACGTAATCGTAATCCCATCGGTATCTCTTATCAGGCTGCAGTCTCGGCAGGAACTTAGCCTTGGCGAAGTAAAAGATAACACCTGACATCAAGCTCCCAGCAACCAAATCCACGGCGTAATGGTGTGAAAGGTACATGGTCGACCACCACAGCCAAGCAGCATAGAACGCCCACAGCGGAGTGTATGAGGGAAAGATGTGGCTCATGAACAGCGCCTCCAGAGTGGCCGTCGCAGCGTGAAGTGATGGAAAGGCCCCAAAAACCATTGGAGAGGCGGTGAATCCCGATGTGTACAAATCGATGCCGAGAAAGGCGTCAATACGAGCTAGACCGGCTGGTGAACCCTGCATAGAATAATTGGCCGGGGCTAAACCATACATATTCTCGTACCATGGGGCGGAGCACGGGAAAAGAACCTGAATGATGACACCAGCCAGATTCAAGTAACCAAAGCTGAACCCAAAGACTGGAAGAGTCGTGGGTGGTCCGAAGACGAAAATGATGGCGGCAACCACGAAGGGGCCACCAAAGTGACCGAGGCCATACGGGAACCATGCTAAGAGATCCAGGACAGTATTCTTGTGAGCAGAGAGAATATTGCTAAGATTGGCACCATAAAGGATGTTTTCGAGCGCGGGGAGGACTTTGACCCAGATCGGGGGCCGCCATGCAGATGGGATGAATCTATGCGGGACAAGGACCAAATTAGCAACTTCCTCCACCGTGAACATCAAGTTTGGTTTGTACGCAGAACAAAGAGCGATTCCGTTGCGAGAACTTACCTGCAGGCGTAGAAGAAAATGAGGTATGCGGCTATAGGCGTGAAAGGCCGGAAGAATTGTCGAGTGATGGGGAATATGAACGAGGCGAGGAGGAGTGTGGCGACCGCCGTCTTGACCAATGGACCCGGATACTCAATGATGCTCAGCGAAAAAATGCCCACGACGGCCAGAAACAGCCATTGCCCGTCATATATCGACCATTTGTGATTTTGTAGTGACCGTAGAGTGTCGGCAGGAGAAAACGAGGTCTTGAGGGAGGCGAGAGAAGAGGCCGGCGAAGATCGATTGCGGAGCTTGGATCTCAGCTTTCGCCGCAGTCTGTGAGGGACAAGGAGTTGTAGTGATTTCCATGGTATCTGGATCTGGATCTGTTTCCTCTCGGCGTCCTTCCAGGACGGAAGGGATGCCTGCATTGCACCTGTGTTCAGCGGCTGGCCGACCACGTGCGCGGTACCAGGACCAAGGTGTGCGGCGTGGAAGGGCCTGGAGGCGACGGCGAGGGACAGAGATCAGGGAGACAGTGAGGACAGGAGGTGAGGAAGGTCGAGCAGAGGATCCGAGGAGTCCGGAAGAATGATGACCAGAAGGGGAAGATGCAAGAAGATATGGAAGTCAGTGAAAGAGGTATGCGGTATTAAGGGCTTAGGTGAGCACTGAGCAGATGGAGATGAAGTTGTGGATGTGTGCGGATCGACTGGATGCAAAAGCAAAAGCAAATGGGCAGCACACCAGGCGAGCACGGGGTTCGCGGTTCGCTGTTCCACAGAATGCCGTCGCCGACGTGCCTGTCTGTGCTCTGATCGCCTCTTAAGGTACTTAAGAGATGGGTGGTGGAATGAATACGATCAGGCCGGCCCAAAGAAAAGTCGATCTATGCCCAAGACGTGCTGGTTCGCGAGCCTAGAGTGGCTGTGGCCTTATCGCTCATCGGCTTTGTGAGAGGCTCTGGCGCGCTCTGGGCTGCTGCTTGGGCTACAAGTCTACCTAAGTGCTGGGCATGCCCGGCTCCACCGCGCCCGCCTAGAGTCTGCCCCCTTTCGCGATCAATGGGGGCGCCCGTGAGGAAAATTTCTCTTTTCGCTGCTGCCTCGCCCGACGTCACCACGACGGGCTGTCTGATGCAAACTTGCATGTGAGAGCAGCAATGACGACAAGACTCGATCGGTTCAGTCCGCTGGCATTTTCAGAGAAGTGACAGATGCTCTACAGACTACGGAGAACAGAGGTAAGTACATTCCCTACGTACAATGACGAGTTCCTCGCACACCTGCCATTTCCAATTTACTCGGTGCAGGGCAAGCACGCGAACCCGCGCACGAAGATGAGCATGGGAACAATTGTGCATTAAGCATTCAGCAATCGAGCATCGGAAACCCAAGATGCCCCGGGATAAGCGATGCGCACCCGCGTGATTGCTAGCAATCTCCCCACTGCACCAACCGCGCCCGCGATAAAATTCACTGCGCGTGTCTGGTCAATGTCAGGCCACCCCAAGTAAAAACCTTTCGCTCAGCACTCGTCAGACCATCGATCCTTTTCGCGAGCTTACCTTTCTCCTTCCCAGCCCCCTCTATCTCCCTCCAATTTCCCTTTTCCCTTTTGCGCGATCGAAAGGGAGCGCGTCTCCCAAACAACAATAGAGCTGCTCTTGGGTACTCCATCACACTGGTTTGATCGACATGGTCATCCCGCACAAGGCTTTCAATTTGGACCCTACCTTGACTCTACCTAGGTACCTACCAGTTGTGGCAATGCACAAGGAAAAAAATGCAGCTTCACAAAAGACTGGCCTTCCCGGCCAGAGCCGAGCCTGCAGTTGGAGCACGAGGGAGCGAAGGCTGAAAATAACGTCCAATCAAGGGGTGCTCTTGCGAGGTCATCTTGCATGAATCAAAGCTTTCCTTTGCTCTTTGATAGGCTTATTTGACGCCCGTCTTTTGTTGCCTTCGGCTGACGTGCAGAAATCTGAGGAATGCTGACACTACCACTGCCACCGAATAGGAAAGACCCTCAACTGCTGAATAGTCAACTTGCGCTTCGATTGGAGGACTCGGTGCCCAAAGGAAAGGTAGGGGCACGGACTATCGGCGCGCAGGCTGTTATCATCGCTGGATAGTGGTCAGTGGACATATTTGGACAATGCTCCAGAATCGGATAGCAGTCCAAGAATTATCAAGCACTACAAAGAATTCTGTTGCGACGAGTTGGTTACTGGGAAACAGACACCTCAAACTGAAGGCTTATTGCCCGTCTAAAGGCGTGGAAACAAGTGCTAATTTACAGTTCTAGTTCGTGGCCATCTGGGAAACCCGTGTTACGATCAATGCGCCGTGCTGTGGTTCTTCGTCTTCGTCTTCGTCTTCGTCGCCTTGTAATTTATTGTGTTCGTCTCCTTTTCTTAAATTACATCGTCTTCATACGTCTTTGACGCGATTCGTGTGATCGATTTCCTATTACCACCTCAAGCAACCGCGACTCGGGTGTGCGCATATCCCATGCCGACATGCGCTCGGGTCCCAGCGCGCTTGTTTAGAGGAAATAAATGGGCCACGCCGCCTTTCATCCATTGTTACGTTTCTCATTGAACGTTCTCGGTGCATGCTGTTAGAAGCCATGCATCCACGGCTCCCTCTTGAGGTATTCGGCCTTGGAACTCCTTTATGGCCTGCTTTGGGAGGAGCTGGTCCGCGACAGTGGAACCTGCGCAGACGTTGTGCGGGAGAGGTTGTTTTGACTCGAGCCATTTCGCGAGAGAGTAGGGACGGACTGCGCCGAGGCTGACGAGCGCGAAAACCTTTTCATGGAGACGTCAGCATTGCTTGTTGGAGTATTCTGTGCTTCTCTCTGGGCAAGACGTCGGAAGTGAACAGTAACGAAGAACAAGTCGCACATACGGGTTTCTCTTCTCTGGCCCAGGTGTCGCAGCTGGCGTCTTGTTTCCCTGTGCCCATCCCAGCAAGGGAGATTGATACGCTGGCCAATTGGAATTGTTCCATATCTTCGTTATTACACTGAAATGCGTCCCGAGTCAGTCCATTTGTCCTCGAATCCTGGGAGAGCACAATCCCAAACGCAAGTGCCCGTGCCTACCTCTGCGCCGCGTCCTCCTGTTGCTCCCGTGTCACTTCCTTCACGCCGACTTTCATCCCATCACGGCTGAATGAAACATTCTTCCTCTCGAGTTTCTGCCGGGTGTGGTGCCCGACATCGTGTGCAATCGTATAGGCCACAAATCCGACGGCCGCGAGAATGGCAATGAGGATGATCAGGATGAGGAGGGCTATGAGGTCTCCGGTTTTGGCCATTTGGATGCGATGGGGGAAACGCGTGACAGAGTGTGGAAGCAAATGTCCTCGTTGTCGCTAGCGATGCGCTGAGTGATATACAAGTAGGTGTTTCTGTGAGGCTCCTCCGAAGTTGGAGAATATATTCGTTATGGGATTTGCGCGAAAAGCTCGTCTGAAACGTGGTGGGAAGATGTTGGCTACTGTGCTACACAGAGACTTTGCACTACAATCCTTCGTGCGTCCTGGCCCCCTAGCTTTTATATCATCTCCTTTTGTCGATCACCTGAATTTGAATCCTACTTATGCACCTAATGGGGGCGAATTTGATCGTAACCGTCCTTGGCGGGGCGTGTGAGAGGCGGGCGCGCCACAGCTGAATTGTGGTTCTTGTGGCTTCGATTGGAGAGGCAAGACTCCAGGACGCGCTACGTAAGTACTTGTAAGTAAGAAGGGCAAGCCACGCGCACATGGCATGTGATAAAGTCCCACTTGGGTGGATACAGCCTCGTATACACATACCGTGCTTGCGGTACTCCAGCGCATCAGAAATTCAGAATACCCAGTGCTGGGTACGATTTAGCATTTTCGGATCGGTTTGGTAGGGGGCTTCTGAAAGGGGGATGGAGCAGACAAGACATACTAGGTACCTAGTAATACACTACTACGGCATTCGCAGGATTAATCTCACCCAAGCAGTCCTATAGCACTGCCAGGAACATTACGGCCCTATGTGGCATTCTACTGCATATACTGGGGGGCTATTTTACCTATTACCCTGGCATGGCCCCTTGGCCCCCTCGGCGCAGCCACCTCCCTCCCCCCGGCCCCCAAAAAGGCGACACAGTCGTTGTTTGGCAAAAGTACTCGTATCAATCCGAAACCCAGCGCCTTCGCTATGCAAACCAAAACGAAACCCTTCTCGTTTATTATATACTGTACAGATCCACCTCTATCATTAGGGCTCATTCCTCGTTATAGATCTTCACCTTTTCACTGATCTCCCAGATCCTGCTCTCATAATTCTCCTCAATCTGGTCGCCCTTTCCCCCCGCAACTCTTAGAATCAAATCATTCAAACTACTCCTTCCCAATATGTCGACGTGGTCACCTGTATTAGGGCCGCCGCGAGGACTGAATCGATCCGGCTCGTGGGGCATCTCAAAGGTTGTGATTTTGATGTTTGAAGGATTGTATCGTTTGATTTCCCGCCACCCCTTTGCGCACATGTATCCCGTGGAGAGGAGGTTGACTGTGCCGTCGCCTTCGCCGAAGACGACTCCGTGGTCAACACTACCAACTTGTTGGAGACGGCCATTGGGAGATGTAACGCTGGTATCAATTGAGATATTTATATACCCATTGAGTGGCTGGCCATTTTCCTTGTAGAAGTATGAGCGCTCGGTGGGTTTGCCAATGCCGTAAAAGCAATATATTTTCATATCAGGCGCGTGTGGGAGCCGCGACTCCAGCGGATTCATCCAGGTGAGAGGGTTGTTTTCATTCCGTTCGAGCTCGGCCTTTGTATGGGCGACGCCGTGAGAGTATGAGTGCTTGACTTGCTCGGCATACCATGGCTCCGCGATCTCCAGGAGGTAGTCAAAAGCTTGTGCCATTGTGAGGTTCTGGCGGGTAGCTTCTGTGACATTGCCTCGCGGCTTGAAGGAAATGAATGTTCCGTGCGTTTTGTTCTGGATTGGTGGCGTTAAATCGTCTGGGGCCCATGTCGCATTGCCCCATACTGCCTCACCGCCCTTGGGCAGCATCGACGAGATACCGGGCATGGCGCGGAATATTTCTGCGCGATCTTCCTTGGATAAGAACTTTTCTAGGCCGTAGACTGCAAATGCATTGAGTTGGGCGGTGTCTTTCATCTCGCCAGAGAGCAGGGCTGGAATATCCTTGGCTGTTCCAAGCATACAGCCCGAGATATTGATCCATGAGTCAATATGCTTGTTCACCCACTGAGGGCCTCCTTTGCCATGATCCTTATGTTCCACCCACTTCATAAAGTAGAAAAGAACTTGACTGCCCATAGAGTGGGAGACAAGGACAACCTTCCTTCCAGATGTCATTTGCGCAATCTCGATATAGTTCTTCAGTCGCGTGAAGTATTGATCTCTGTGCTCTAGGTTGGCATAGGATAGGCGCCAGTCATAAGAGGCCGTGAATGCATTGCTCGGATCATAGCCGATGGTGGCGAGATTTTCTAGAATTTTGTTCCAAATCCAATACCCGGTGATGAAGAAATCGGTGGCATCGAACCCCTGAGCTGCGCGGAGCTTGATGTCCGGAGGGTCAAGGCCTGTCTCTTTGTCAAGCATGATATGCCTCTTCCAGGCCGCTTGATCCATCACCAGAGCTCTCATCATTGACCACGATCCCCACAGCCGCTTGCGAAAGTACTGTCTGGACTTCTCACTCGTCGACCAAGATTCCAGCCCGGTCGATATCACTCCCGGCACCATAATGACTGGATGATGGGCTGTCACCCCTTGAGACAGTAAATGGAGACCGACTGAGAACGAGTCATAATTGACGACGTCTCGTTCTGCTCTCGAGAGATCCTTCACATCATTGACTATGCCTGCAGGGATCACGTCCAGCAGACTGTCTAGATTGACTTCCAGCAATCCTTCTAGTTTGATAACATCCTGTGACTGAGCAAACAGTAAGGCCAACAACAGGCCCAGCAGACCACCTAGACCAAATGTGATGCCGGACCTCCTCTTGCTGTGTCTCCTTGTTTTGAGCTTTTCCAGCTTCTTGCTGGAGACCAATTTTACCTCTTCGTTGGGATCTGGCGTACCATCGCGACTGGGCTCGGGGGAGGCTGAAGGTGAATCGCGAATGATGTTGGCGACGCGGTGACGAAGGGCAGACATCTTTGAAGTGCGGCTCCTCGAGCAAGCAGCAGGCTTGCAGGGAGCACGAGAAAGTTATTCTTCCAAGCTGCGGGTTGTTCGGGGCATGGACTAAGAATTGCTGAGTGTACTCCATACAGTTAAATGATACCGGCCTTGCGCTTTCACATGTTTCGTCATCGCTTCTTCTCTGGTCGGGATCTTTAGGCACAAATCTTCCCCAAACAATTTTCCTTTCTCAATCCATTCTCAACATGGCATTTTTGACGTCTCCCTTGGAACTACAATACCATGAGCGGCAATGCCGCTGCTGCCTCCGAGTCGCAAACCGGTAGTAAAGACAACTTGGTCTCAGCCAGTGCGCACTTCCAAACCACTCCTCCCGGCATCCGCTACTTGCAGTACTCGCTTGAAAAGGAGATCGAATACCTTCCCCAAATTCGCGAATTGATCTCCAAAGACCTCTCCGAACCTTACAGCATATATGTCTACCGATATTTTCTCTATCAATGGCCCGAACTCTGTTTCATGGCCGTTGACGCCTTGGATGACAACAAACTCGTCGGCGTGGTAATATGCAAACTGGAGCCGCATCGAGGAGGACCGCTGAGAGGATATATCGCCATGCTAGCCACGAAGGACAAGTTCCGGGGCAAGGGCATTGCCACCACGCTTGTCAGCAAAGCGATCGATTCGATGATTGAGAAGGATGCGGACGAAATTGCGTTAGAAACCGAGGAGACAAATACCGCGGCCATGAAGCTGTACGAGCGACTAGGGTTTCTAAGAAGCAAGAAGCTGCACAGGTACTACATGAACGGGAACAGCGCGTATCGATTGCTACTGTACCTGAAAGAGGGGGTGGGCAGCATTCCAACAGAGGACGACTACAATGGCTCTGGTCTGGATGTGCAAGACGAGATGAGATATCCGCATCGCTATCAAGAATCTCCACACGATGTATTCAGTCGTGGAATCGTTTGAATCATTTATAGACAAGAGCCTATCCACTCCTCCCACCTCCTCACTCCCTTGCCCGCTTCTTCGCCTCGGACTGCTCCCCCTAGCACATCGATTTTGATATCATACTCTTCTGCCATCAACTCGAAGCTGAACTTGCCTTCGCGGCCGCCTCCTAAGATGTCTTCTTCGGGATCAGCATCGCTGTTTTGACCTACGGTACCCAGTCCCTTGCTCCTCGACATGCGCACTCTTTCAATCTCAGCTTGTAGGCGCTCCTTGACTGCACCTGTCGGTAAAGCGGTGAATAGGTCCTGCTTGTTCGCTGCGATGAGGACAGGTATCTCGGTCTTGGTCTTGCCGCGAGGTTTTCGTCTCTGCAAGGATAGCAGTGTATCATGAAGATAAACAGCGGTGTCGCGAGAGGCGGACGAGTCGCTGGCGTCCAGCACACTGGAGTCCACCACGAATATGACCCCGCGGAGGGCGGGGTTCTGAATTTGTGACAACGCTTGATCCGACCTCAATTTCCCATGGCCAGGGGTATCGATCATTACGTATGGAGTTGGTTGCTTGTCTTTCAGGGCGACATCGTTATCGGAACGGTACTTATTGGAACCTAGGGGGATCGAGGGCGGAAGTAGTAAGCTGGCGGGGGAGGAGACCTGAGAAACGCGGGTGAGGACAGCCTCTGCCTGGGGGTCTTCGAGATTGAGGGATCGCCTTTGTAGCTGGAGATGCTCTTAGTGAACTGAAATGACAAAAGGCAGGTTGAGAAAATCTCACTAGAGAGACGAGGGAGGTCTTGCCTGCACCGCTAGGCCCAAGAAGAAGGAAAGTCGGAACGACTTTGGCACGGGCAGCATGGGTGTATAGGTACAGGTGGACAAGTAGTGGGAGGGTTATCGCGACCAAGAATGCGATGAAGATGGCAACGGGGTCGCCAGACAAGAGCCTGGTAGCCCAGCTATCGGGAGAGGACCAGCCCATAGTAAACAAGAGCCACGCATGAACCAAGGATTGTTCAAGATGGCGCAGTCGAGGGAGAGCGTCGAGACATGACGCACAAAAAGAGGCTGAGAACCGAGAATTACCACTGGCTGATCGGTGAGGAGGGCCAATGTCGTGCCTTGCATGTAGTCTTCTGCTATTATTCGCGGCCTGGGCTGGGGGGTTGGTGAGGCTACTACTAGGCTGAGCCTCGTGTCTCTAATTGCAAACTGCGCTTCCATTGTCGGTGAGGGCCTCCGCAACTGTATCGGAGTCCTTGGTCACCGAACACTCGTTTTCCACACACCTCCTCCTATTCCCTTTTGCTCTTCTCTTTGTTCTCCTGTCGTTTTCTATTATCCTCTCAGCAGCGTCCAAAATACAAAATATGATTCTACGGAGCATCTACCTCCTGGCCGCCGCCATCCTCCCGTTCGCCTGCGCTGATGTGCAAGTCATCGCTCCTCAACCGGGAGACACAATCACCGGACTCAATCTACAGATACAGTGGAAAGACTCAGGCAATTCACCACCTCTCTCCCAACTGGCTAATTACCAACTGTTCCTATGTGCGGGAGGAAACGTTGACTCCAGCTATGTGAGGGCAGGAACAAGGTTGAGGATATGGATACGAGGCTGACAGGGCATGCTTAGATCCCACTAGCAACACTTGTTCAAGAAGGTACCTACACGACCGGCAACTCGATCACTATCACTTTGCAACCGGGAACTGGTGCTGATGTGCCCAATGCCTATTTCTTGAAATTCGTGTCCGCTGCTACGGGAGGCACCGTCATCAACTTCTCCGACCGTTTCACCCTCAAAAGCATGACTGGCACGTTTCCAGCTGTGGTACAGCAAGGCTTAAGGACCGTCTCTGGTACCGCTGGTCCAGCCGACGTCAACAACATTCAAGCCCCTCAAGCGGGTGCTGGTCAAAACACCCCGACTGTCGGAGATGGTGCCTATGATACCCCATACACAATGCAGACGGGGACAATTCGCTATGCTCCCATGCCTCCATTGGCCCAAACGAAGATCACTGCAAAGAACGCTTCTCCTCTATGGCCTACCAGCGCATACACTGTGTACCAGACCATTGCGGGAACCCCAAATGCTATTACGACCAACACGTTACCCATTACATTCAGCGTTTCTAGTAGAGAGAATCCGGTAACATCTTCCCAAGTATGATCAAAGAGAATGCATGCTGACTCTTCCAGGCTGCTGCGGCTGGCCAACCCACTGACGCAGCGATGCAGAAATTCCTCAATCGGTGGAAGGACTGAATGTGACGAAAATAACATTAACATCATGGGAGCAGAATATATTTGCATTGGAGAGGAGGGGGGAGCACAAAAAATTGTGAATACTCAAAGCCATGCCATGGAGAATGGAGTTTGGTCGGATCTGGGTGTCCATTACGGAGTATATATTTATTGTGTGCCGTGTGTGGTTGGATGAGGATGGATTCTATGTCTGCCTCCAACGCCATGCTTAAAGATTCATGAATGCAAGTGGAGTATCACAGCCACTGTCACCGGTATATTTCATCGAACGGTCTCGTGTCCCGAAAACAGCTGTCCCACACCTCATTGACTACCTTGACCGCCTGCACATCGTCTTTGCAATTCGGTCGACCCATGACCGAGATGATGGCTCTTCTTCGAACGCAGTCTTGGTGGTGATTCGTGAAAGAAAGGATCTTATTTCGGAAGAACTCGTTAGCCCAGCGACATTCGCCGCTGAGGTTGCTGGCCCGTATCTGAGTGACCTCGTCAGTTTCAAATACTTTGCCAGTTCGACGAAAACCGACCTCGGAACATGCTGCATGCCTCAAATCATCCTCGAGTGTCAAATTCGTCTTGAACCGCAAATGGTCATAGGCGTGCACCATCTCGTGTGTCAGAACATCTTCCAAGACGGACCTTTCCTGCACATAATTTGCACATATCTTGATCCCGTATTTATGGTCAAAGCCACCTTGCATCGCCTCCTCCTCGCCTTTACACGTCCTGCAATGAATGTTGTGCGGTCCCAATTCACCGCCCAGTTTCTGGATATTCTCGTTCATGAATCGGATTATGGGAGAGTATTTTAATAGATAGTCCCGACTTTCTTCGCAACGTTTGCAATCGAAGGCGCTATATCGGTCATCCGCATCGGCCCAGTACTTTTGGGCGCCTCCAGCGGACATGCGACCAGTGACCATGCGGAAGAAGTTAATTGAACGATTCCACCAAGTACTGCTGGGGAGGAAGTCTGATCCATCTTGCTGAGGAGAGGGAGCAGAGGAGGAAGGAGTTGCGGAAGAGGAGTCTGCCATACGAGGTAGCTTATTCTATAGGACAAAAGAAGAGCAAAGAGCGCACCACGAAAACAGATCTATTAATACTCAATTGTCTGCGAGTCAAGCTGAAGCCGAAGCTGCAGACCAAAAACAAACTTGGATTTGTCCCCTCAAGCCGCCAAGCTCACATCTGACTCGCGGAGCGCATTGCATCCGCATCCACAGCAACCTGGCGGTTAAATTTTCGGCGACGAATTATGATTCTCTGACAGCCTTGTCTTGTTGTCTTGAAGGGCGTACGCCCCGAGTCTCTCTCTTTTCCTGCTTTTCCCTTCTTCTCAAAATGGTACGCTCCGATTTCGGCAATAGGGGTCTCAGCGTGGTGTTACAAATATCAATCGCGTCTTCGATATCGTAGGAAGCAGAAACAATGAGAGCTGGAAAGCATTTGACAATAGTCATCAAAATTGGTACAAAAGCTGTCCACCCGTCATGCCCTACTTATTTGGAGGAGTGACAGGATCCAAGTTGAAAAGGACGAGGCTTACGGTGGTGCTGGGAACAGGTACATCCTCCATCGTCGATGAGACCACGCACGAACCCATCATTTCAATCCTCTCATTAATCGTTGAGACGGCTGTCACGTTGAGAAGAGATGGCCATCGAGTCGTTATTGTCTCCTCTGGGGCTGTTGGCGTCGGCCTACAGAGGATGAATATGTCTAAGAGACCGAAGCATCTTGCTCAAATCCAAGTAAGTTCGCGAGCGCGTTCTCCTTAATCTACCTTGATCTCTCGAAATTCCCTACCATGACAAAGGCTAAGTTGATGTGGCAATCCCGAAAGGCCCTTGCTGCTATCGGTCAATCTCGCCTCATGTCAATATGGGACTCCTTCTTCGCACATAAGAACCAGCCCGTCGCCCAGATCCTGATCACACGCAATGATATCGCCGATCGCTCTCAATACCTCAATGCGCAGAACACCCTCGCCGAGACCCTCTCAATGGGGGTGATACCGATCGTCAATGAGAATGATACCTTGGCAGTGTCGGAGATCAAGTTTGGCGATAATGATACCTTATCTGCCATTACCGCCGCCATGGTCAATGCAGATTATTTGTTTTTGATGACGGACGTGGATTGCCTGTACGACAGGAACCCAAGGAAGTTCCCCGACGCGAAGCCCATTCCTGTGGTCGATGATATTGATGCTCTCCAAGCAGATGTCTCGTCAAAAGGGTCAGCCTTGGGAACAGGTGGGATGGCGACCAAGATCGTCGCTGCGCGACTGGCGACAGCAACAGGCACGAGCACCATCATCACGAAGTCTTCAAAGCCAGGGAATATTGCGGCGATTATCCGTCACCTTTACCCACCTATGGAGGTCGATAGTGAGACTGGTACTGTGCTCTCCGTACCAAGTATTCCGCCACCTTTGCATACATGCTTCCTACCGTCTCCGTCCCCAATCCGCAACCGCGCTTTTTGGATCCTTCACGGCCTAGCCCCCCACGGGACACTGTACATTGACCGAGGCGCCTCCATCGCGTTAGCGAATAAAGCTGGCCTATTACCCGTCGGGGTCGTTGATGTGGAAGGAACCTTCGCCCAACAGGAAGCCGTCCGCCTGGTTGTGATAGAAAAGACATCACTGGGTAGCTTGTCTCCCACGGGCAATTCTAACTCAATATCCATGCAGTTGGTATCGAGGGAAGAAGAGATCGGCAGAGCCGTGGTGAACTACTCTTCCTCCGAGATCGCAAGGATCAAACGGCTCAGGAGCTCCGAGATTAGGAATGTGCTAGGATACGCCGATAGCGAGTACGTTGCGTATCGAGAGAATGTAAGTTTGCATGCGAGTGCCAGTGGTGACAAAAGTAGGCCAGACACGCCAAGTGGGCCGAGGACACCGACAAAAGAGAGGACACCGGAGGCCAGCGTGGTGGATTTGAAGAGCTGGAAGATAGAATGAAACATGGAGCAAGATGGCCGGGCATTATTGGGCCTAAAAGTGTTTGGGTCCTCTTCGTGAGTGGGTCAAGCCTTGTGAACATGGAATTCCGGTGCTGGCATTGGCGCGGAGTCATCGAGATATGTCAATGCTCAGTCCGTCCTCATACTGGGGTCAGCAAAAAGGTGCAAAATTTCATACCGATCGTATCAGCCTAGGCCAAGTATCCTCGCTAAACGATTAAATACAAAATCAACCACGAGCGAACAACAATAAGAAGCAGAGGCAGCCTTGCAATTGCCTCGTCGCAATGGACAGTCCAACAGCTGAAATTTGTGACTGTCACTTGGGCCATAAGATACCGCGTGCAAGTTCCTTCGAACAAAAAAGTCCACAGGAGTGAGAGACATGATCCATAAAGCCAATGCAGAACGGCAAACCGAACAACAGACCTTAGCGAGAAAGCAGAAACGAACAGCCATCGTATCTGGGAAGTTATTCTAGACCACCTCAGGCCCATCTGGGTATACCTACGTGGTAAGCCCGCATTGTTTCCTACACGCTTCAAACCCTTCCTGACTCCCTGTCCCAATGGCAGGGATCTGCTGGCCTGTGGCCGTCCAGTTCCTCTTGGTCAGGTTGATGAACGGCATCACTTGCGTACCAATCTCTTTAGGCATCATGAAGAATGCCTGCGCAATGTTCAGTGTTCCCGGGTCGGCATCATTGAGGAATGAGTAGAGTTGAGTATTCCCGCAGCCTAGACGATCATCAGCAGAGGAGGCAGATCTTAAATATAGGAGTAGACGCACCCATATTATACATGGTATGCACACTTGCACGGGGAAAGATGGTCATCATCCCCGGCGTCAAGATTTGCTCCACAAGTCGAGCCCCGTTCTCTTGAACCATATACGTGTGAGTCGTTCCGCTCACCGCAACAACGAGGTTGTCGGCTCGATGTAAGTGCGGAGCAAGCATTGCACATGGCCCCAGATTCAGTTGCGCCACCGTCGCCCCGACGGTTGAGAGGACGGGCCAGGTTGCGGCATTTGCGTTGCAGACACTCCCTGGCTTCCAGGAATACATTGGGTTGGTGGAGAAATTGTAGAGAAGCTGGTGGTCCGAAAGTAGGTGGAGTCGGTCATTCATGGTCGCTGCCATCCTCAGATCCGCAACTAAGCTGGGGTCCAACGTTTGATCGGCGGCAAAGATTGGCCGTGGTGTAATGAAAAGAAAGACGACGGACACGAATCCGACGTACGCTGAGAGATGCATCATGGGGCGTTTCCTGCAGATACAAATGTAACCGATGTGGAATGTGGTTATAGTCGTCAAAATTGTCGCCAGAAGCGAGAGCGGGCCAGGGGACTAGTCAAAGCTTATGAACGATCTCGATATCCGTCGGAATGCTTTGCTCCAGTCTGGAATGGTCGAACAGAACCAGGAAATTGGGTCTGGGGATGACACGGGCATAGGTTGGATCGTTCTTATGTGCTTTTCCTCCCAAACTTATCGCCGGCCCAGACACTTGGATCTGTTTCCTTCCTCTTGCGATTCTGTGGATGTCAGTCTTAAGAACACTAAGCCATATCTTGCGCAAAAATGCAACATTCGAAGCATTTTCTAGCCTGGTGGTGGAGGTCCACAAGACCTTATTGGAGAATTCTCTTTCCTTGTCCTCTTTCAGCAAATCAACCGATTTGATACCGACTCGAGTACTCGCTTCCGTTCGCAACACATTCCCACTGGATCATGCCTTGAATCATGGATCGGATGTCACCACTGATTCGATATGTTTGGGATGACCATGTTTTGGTAGGATGCCAAACGTTCTGGGACGGCAGACATAGACAAAGGAATCTTGTGGAGAGAGATTCGGCAAAATGGGTGAAATTAGCGGGTAATTGCATGGATTGGTACTGTGATCATCTTCGAGCTCGAAGCAAATAGAAACGAGTTCCAAGGAAATGGAGGCTGTTATCCTGTTCCATGGATGTGAGATGGCTGGAAGGGAGCCGCATGTGCAGAGAGAGAAGTGAGGCCGACGAATAAGTGGCAAAAGATGGAACTCGTTCTCGGGTCATCGGCGGTCTGAATATTCGAGCGGTAGCGAATATCCAGAGCGGAGTGGAAATCGGCGGGAAAGAATCGATGATTTTAAATCATTTTCATCGACATTTGTAGGGGGCATGTCCTCGAAGTCGACTCGTAGCTCGGCATAGTACGATGAACTCCGTGACTCAAAACCGTACCATCAGACGCCATCGGGAGTATTGGTTTTCCTGTGTAGCAGGACCTGTTCGATACTATTGGAGACTGACGGAAGGGGGATGATTCCCTCTATTGTCGACCAACGCACTCACCTCGACGGGTCAAATCGTGAAGCTCTCAACCATTAAAAGTCGGTGAGGCTGTCAGCTACGGTTTTGGATATGTGGCAGGTGCTCAAATATCCCACCTGACCCACCGAACGTGAAGTATCCCAATTGCTCGACAACTTGCGGCAGTGTAGCTGCGACTTTGCACAACGCGAATATCGGTTGGATCTGGACCAGAGGACACCCCGATTGGCGCCACGAGGGTCTAGGGCATTGGTCGCACAAAGAGATCTTTGTGCACTCAGCCAAAAAGCTTCCAGAAGCATAGGTTCTGGGATGGGAGAAGAGGTAATTGTCATGCATGTTGAGAGGTGCATCCGAGACAAGGGACAAAACGGGTGACTGCGGAAAGAGGCGAGGTTGGACACTGCCATTGATTATATTGCTTCTGCTCCCCATTCGCGAACATGATGACCCATCCAAGGCCGGGACCTGCATATCAAGGACGTTATCCCGCGTGTCAAACCTGCACATGGCATGGACGCCGTTGACATCAAGTTGCGCTGCTGAGCCAATGACTGCGCCAATTCGGTTGGGAGCGCCCTGGAGACAAGGAGCCTACCTCTTTTCAATGCATAGCCCCGTACCTGTTGATCCTCCTTGAGAGGCAGCTTGGGATTATGACAATTTACAACAAGACGCGGGACATCGTCCTTTTGAGCATAACCGCCTTATCTATCATTGGTGGCGACCTGAAGAGGCTGGTAAGGGCGGCTGCGTGACAGGGGGAGGTCAGCAGGGGAGAGTTTAGGTTTTTCTCGGACAAGGATAGGCGGAACAAAACTTGAAGGACGACGGGCCTGATCAACCAGGGTGGGCGTGGCATTCCCCCGCAAGGAACGATAGGCTCTCGGTTGGATGCAGGAGATCGGTGATTAAAAGTGAGTGGCCTATGGAATTGAGAGGGACGGGATCGCGAATGTGTTTGGAGATTGAACAGCGCAGATGAGATTGATGCATTCATCGTGTTGTACCTAAGTAACAAGTGCCTAGTTGTCATTTCCAGAGACGCGCTAGACGTTGGTGGTGATGGAATTCGGAAAGTCATGCGCAGCTCGCACCGTCGTTGAACGAGGAGACGACGCAGTGGAGGCAGAAGTCGCAGCTCCTGGTGCTCCTAACCCGAAGAAGCCAACCCAACTCGCACCCGGTGGGCATCTGCCTCAGTTGACAATGGCAGGGGAGTCCTGTAGGTGGGTGGAGTCGCTGTGAAAATCAGGGGTAGGGAACCCAAGAGTGTCCTCGGGTGCGTTTGGCTTGCTTTTCGGCGCTGTAAGGTGAGCGGCTCGGTGACTCACTAAATGAGTTTGGCGCCTGCTACCACCGCCAGCTTGTGCCTTGTGCCTGCAGCCCGGTCCCCCTTTGGTGCCTGCGCCTGTCTCCTCGCCGCCGCCTCCCTTGTATGGAGAAGCTTTAGAGTTCAACTCGAGCACTGGCACTCGGCCAAATCGGGGGTCGTGGTAGCCGTCAGGGATGAATTCACACACCTGGCGATTGAGAGACACAACCACCTCTTCCTACGAGCTGCTCTACCTAGGTAGACACCAAAGAAGCCATCCCTCTGGTTTCATGCCTTGCCTCTGGTCTTGCTGACCCGGCTAACGTCTTTTGCACCCTGCTCAGCCTGCACTCTACCGGCCTGTCGTCGCATCCCTGACTTCCTTGTCATTGGCGAACCGCTCAATTGATGCACCTCTCACCTCGACAGCCTCCTCGATCGATGCTTGCGAACAGACGTCGACTCGAACCTCAGTCTCCCTGAGCCCCCCTTTGAAAGACTACTGTCGATTTGGACTCTTCGACCTCATCGCGTCTGTTTCCATTCTATATTTTCGAGACACTAAATCCTTCAAGAATCCCTCCATCACACCGCCCCCAACCTCGCTTGACTTCCCAGCAGTCCTCATCTCTCGCGACCTCCCTCCGTTTCCGTCGCTGATCCATTAGGAGCCAAAACGACCGGTGGAATTTTGGATGGGAGCATATCAGTAAAAGGCATAGGAGAATCTGGCGACTTGTTGATACAATGGCTGGGTGATTACCACCATGTTCTGGTCCTAAGCGGAATTCCCAATCGCCGGATTTGCGAGACAAGTTGATGGTCTATGAATCTGCAACCCTCCACACCCTTCCTGCTCCTCGGCCAGGTCCCTGAGATCAGTCTGGCCCTGACTTGAAAAGCGAATTCTGCCTCCAAGAGCGGGAAACAACGCGAACATACGTACTACTGCACACGAACTCTTCGAAAGCGTTGCATTCCAAACTAGGCCGACTTTGCACACTGGCCGATATCTCCTTGATTCGCCAGTCGCGTTTTCAACCGCAGACAAAGACACCGTCCGGCTGCAGGTACACTCTGCAGAAAAGCATTGCCAGCACGGCTGCTCTGGAATATCGATCCTGCACCCTGCAGTGTAGCCTGGGGGCTTCTCCAGCCGTTGCGCCTCGACCTAGGTCGCTGGCTGCTGCTTCCTATCCACCCCTCATCCATGTGCCAGCATCACCCCGGTACCTGAGCGAGTACGAGAATCTCCGGAGATTCCCAGCCTGCAAGAGCGATGGACACCTCTGCAGACCCGGTTGTCCACCACAGCAGACGTTCAAGGTCTAATTCGACATCATCTTCGCTTCCGACCGTCAGGAAACAAACTACTACCACTGCATTGAGGCAGCTAGATTCTCGAAATGCTCAACTGAGAACGAGGCCGAGGAGTCCAGAAAGCTCGATGCTTCCCACCAGTCGTTTTCGCTACGACAGAAGTCGTTCGAGAAGTCGCCCAGAGAATTCTCTGAGCCCGAATCTGAACATCAATCGCTGGTCGCATTCCACGTCTTCCAGTATATCGGGTATCGAGTCAGACACGATCCGTGCCCGCGCAAACACATCATCTCGGCGGATGAGTATAGGTCCCTCATTAGTGTCCTCATCCACGCCAGCGAAAACATCTATGCATACCCGGAGATCTTCCAGCCAGAGTCCTCAGGTGAGACAGGGCCTGGGCTCTGGATTTCTTCAAGTGGAACGGACTCATGCTTCGCAAGATGTCAACCCAGTTGGTGTCTCTCCACATCTCACCCCGACATCTATGTTTAACCCCAGCGCCGGGGAGTACTTCGGCGAGACCTGGCAGAGTCGCAAGACCGGAAAGAATGGGGAAGCAGTCGCCGTGTCTGTCCATTATATGAGAACGAGTGTGCACCCCAATATGAGATCCTCAGAGAATGTAACAACTCAATTTATGACACAAGTGTCTCGACCAAGCACGCGAGAGACGCGACCTACAACTGCCGGTCGGGATGGATCGATCGATACTTCATCTCCGTCAAATCCACCTACTCGTGGAAGAAGTCATCGAAGTCCGACTCAGAAGACAATGCTCTCCAAGGCTCTTGCAGTAGCGAACAATGCTGTGTTACTTGACAACGCCCAGAATATCGAGGGCGCTATTGAAGCATATGCTGAAGCTTGTGATCTGTTACAACAAGTTCTGATCCGGAGCTCGGTCCTCGACGATCGGAAAAGGTTGTCTGACATTCGAAATGCGTATTCGAAGCGAATAGCCGACCTTCACGATCTTGACGATTCCTTCTCCGAACTCATGGAGAAAGCCTTACCAGAAGATCCTCCTCTTGATGAAACTAACAACTCTTTCTTTACTAGTGACGGCGTTGAACTAGATACCACTGAGGTTTTGGAGTCTGTCCAGATACCTCCTCGACAAGAATCTTTACTACCAGAAATATACGGCGGAGAGTCATATCTCAAGGAGTCGGCGAACCGCAAGAGAATACAGATACCCAGTCTTGCAGTTCCTATGGATGCGCAGTATATGCCGCCACCTCTTTCGCCTAGAAGAGCGGCATCTCCAATCTCGGAACGGGATGCGAACACACCTCTTGCTGCTAGGGAAGCTAGTGGAATCCCAAAAGGTGCTCTCCATGCTCGAGAAGGTAGCACGGAGTCTACTTCCTGGTTGGACACTTTCGAAGATGGCGACTCGTCAACTTCTCGGTCGTCTCGATTGTCATCTTTGAATTTCGGAATCCATACCACTCACAACATTGTCGACGAGTTCGAAGCAGAGTTCGACGCAGCAGCTCTTGACGCTGCTGTAGACGCTGCCTATGATGATAACCTGACAGAGGAGCCCACTCCGAGGCCGGATAAGAGCGTACGAGATTTCAATGAGGATTTCGGCACTCCCGTACCCGCTTTGGAAATGGCCTCCAAAGATCATTCCATTCTGTCATCCGATGTTGAATTCACTCGAGAGTATGATGAGGGCGATTCATCGGAGGAAGAGGAACGATTGCTAGAAGAGATGACGAAGGGATTTGTCTTTGATGATTTTTCCTTTGATAATAAATCAAAATCGACCCTTCCTCGACAATCAGACTCGAGTACGTTCTCAGGCAGGACGTGGACAAGCTCACTTCCGTCAACAACTGCAACAAATAATACTACGTTGAGCACACTAGCAGAATCGCAAGAGACTCCAGCAGAAACGTCCCCGCGACCAGTTCCCCAGGCCAAAGACGCTCCTTTGACGTCCCCTCAAAAGGCAGCCCTTCCCCAGGCACCGCACCTAGCACTCCCGGCCCAACAATCCAGCATACCAGCCAGTACAGAGAAGCATAGTGGACTGAATATTCGCGAAAGGAGATTCTCGGGTCGAAGTGGGGAGCAACTGAAGATCGAGACTTTCGCACGACGAAACTCTTCGACCATTCCCGTCAAGCCTATTGCGGCGCCTCTGCCCGTCCCAGAACTAGACGTTCCCGAGGAACAGCCAAAGGTGCTGCAGACCGCCCCATCGGAATCCACAGTCCCCGCTCTACCGCCCATTACGCCCATGACGACGTTGCCGTCTAATGATTCTGTTCAAAGTGATTCTCCAGCCACTCCTGCCTTGACGCAAGGAGGGTCTCAGGGCAGCATCGAGGATTCCGTAGTCATGCCCCCGTCACCTGCGAAACTGGGAAAAATGGGCCCCCCCGCAGCCGTGAAGAAGAATCTGTCGTCTTCGAGCTTGAGATTGAGAAATCTGTCGGTAGCAACGACAGAAACAAGTACAGAGTCTCCTATCACACCGGTTAGCGCTGGTTTTGGAGAGATTAAAAAGGTTGTGCCGCCACTTCCATCAGCCGCGTTGCCGACACCATCAACAGCTGCTTTTGGCCCTCAACTCCTTCAGACTGGTGGGATGTACTTGTTCGATGATCTGACGGCTCCGGGTCCACCGAGGACTCCCAGGACCCCTGATGCTCCAAGCTTTCCCCCTCCTCAACTACTTGAGCCTTGCCCCGAATCTTTCCTTCTCCGTCCTTTCTGGTTGATGCGATGTTTGTATCAGACGCTTGCTCATCCTAGTGGCGGATACCTTACAACGAAACTATTCATACCCCGGGATGTATGGAGGGTGAGGAACGTCAAACTCAAAGCTCTTGATGATAAAGTGTCACAGTGTGATCTGTTAACGGCAGCATTGCTCAAACTTGCCAAAGTCGATACTTTTGACGCTGACTCGGTTCTTGACGAGTTGCAGTCATTCGAAGTGGTTCTGGACCAGGTCCGAAACACGTTGCAGAAGAAGATGGGCAGCGAGGTTGGCTTTTCGGGGTCATCCAGCCTTTTCAAGTCAGTTGGCGAAGATCAAGAGACCGGTAAATCGACCAGCACTGCCGCGAAATCTATCGCATCCAGCTGGCGCAAACTTCGGTCAAAATCAAGTGCCCCAGCTATGGGAAATCAGAGTGGGCAGAAAGACGGGTCTATGTCTGGTCCCAGTATGACCTCTTTACCAATGACTTCGTCTTCGTCTGTGCCTTCATCGCGGTCACATCTGAACCGCAAGATCGCACCGCCACCTACACCGACACAGTTGATCAACGTTCAACCGGTCATCGCGACTTACATGTCGAGCTTGGCACGCCTCTTTGATGCAGCGCAAGTGCTCGATGGAATCGCTCGACAGGTAGAAGACCCTGGACTGAAGTGCAGTAACAAAACCCAAGTTGGGTTGGAGTTGGGTGTCAAGAATGCTGCGGAGTTTTTTGCATTCTTCATCGTTCGGTTCGTGATGGCGGATTTGATGGTGATGGTCGACAAATTCCTGAAGAGAGGAAGTGAGTGGGTTCTAACTTGATGCGCACCAGTTTCTGATGTTGTGGGATGTCTGTCTGTAATGCTATCTATCACGATGTTGCAGATGATTGTATGTTGCCTTCCAGCGGCATTGGCGGCGTTTTATAGTCCTTGCCCATGTTTCGCCTGATGCTTTTTGGCCTTGAGAGGAGGTTTCTGTTTCTAAAGTATCTGGTGTGTTGTGTTTTATGATACCACCCATCGCCAGTGTTTCATGGCAGAGGTCATGTGGAATAGCCTCAGAGGCAAACAGAGGGGAAATCATCAGGACAGATAGAGATGGGTACGGATATCTAGTCATTGGGTCACGTAGACTGACGGACGAGGGACGATGTTGTCGACATACCTAGAGAGCTTAGTATTGTATAGAATATGTCTACCTGGCAAGCCGAATTGAAAAGTAACTGGCACACTCAAAGTCCTCTGCTGTCAGAACGGAGGTAGCCTACGTTGGTAATGCGCATTGCGTTTCTTTACCTACACCAGAAGCTACATTTGGTATAGGGATCCCTTCGTCGTTATCGAGCTGTCTCTGCCTACATTGGATGCGGGCCTGTATTTTGGGTCAGACTGGGTCACTTATTTTTCAATTCGGCTTGCAGGGATCTTGATTTCTCCTTGTGGACTGCCTGTGTGTTGTGTGAGGACTATTGACAGCCTCACGTTCACATTAAAATTACGGCTGAAAGCCGCATAACCACTGGTTGCGACCGACATCTTACTCGAGGTAGTAGATATTCCGGGGCTTTCGACCTGCGGGGATATTCACAGTGATCGGCGCTATTCGCTTAATATGCGAAAGGAATTGCTCACTCTGACAAGGGCCCCTTTTGTGAATGCAAATGCTTAAGAGGATGGGTGGGTCTCAGGTTAGACCTGTGCAGGATTTCACGGGATTTGAATGGTTACCAGGTTGCGTGCAGATCCTGCGATGATTGAAGCTGATTGTGATGTGCGAGAACTGTCGCAGCATCGTGGCTCGTGGCTCGTGGCTCGTGGCAGATCGCAGGTGGTAGATGGCGTGTGGCCGGTATTGTGTTACTTGGGAAGCAAAGTGATGCCACACCTGCGCAGCCTCACCAGCCTGTGCTCAGTAGTGGGCCCCGAGATGCTTCCCGCTAGCGCGCCACAATACTCGGCACTCCTCTCACTTCGTACCTCGTACTCCTATCGATCGACTTTTGTTACAGCCATCGTCCAACTTCCTCCACATCCAACCTCCTAGACCCCTCTTGGCCCTTGGGTTCCAGCCTCCTTCAGTCTCGACCCTCGGAGAAAATCTCACATGTCCGGGTTCCATCCATCCTCTCTGCCTCCTTCTCAGATTAGCCCGGTACGATCACGCTCAGGGACATCTGACGGAGGTCCACTCAATGGTGGTTGGCCGTCGTCTATCGACTTAGAAAGTGGCGTCTCTCACACAGCAGCAGACAAGCTCGACCGTTCCCGCCGGCACATCTATGACCAGCCCATGCCACAGCCGGACCTGGGGCGTTTGCAATATCAAGCCCACCAGATTCAGGAAGAATTCGGTCGCGAGGAGTGATTGACAAAAAGACAGGAAGTGCCTTTGAATGTCGAAGCATCAAGTTTGGGATAGACATTGCATCTGACGGATTGCACGCCAAACCCATCCCTGGAGCGACTGTTATTGGTTACCGGCCTTTCAATACCGCGTGATGGATTGCAGCAAGACCAGTTGCCCTCGAGGAACGCTAAGCCCAATACTTCTACACCTTCGTGTCCAGGTGTAACACAACATCTGGCAGCCAGACAGGGAGGACATCGCCTCGCCTCCAGGCTAGGGACTCTCCGCGGCCGACCTGAACTGCACCCCTGCAAAAAATGTGCCTAGTAAATGGCCGAGACAGTCTGGACGCTCTGCCCTTCTTCGGATACCAACACTTCTTGATTGGCCAAGAGTTTTGCACTAGGCCAATGATCGTCATGTTGCGGTACCATGCCTGAGGAGAGCTCGAGAAGCTTTCTACTAAGAGTTTTCCACGTCATTGTGGTTGGGTTCTGAATGTCTCGAGGTCCAGGAGTAGTTGGGACCCAGTCTCGTAAGAGTATGCCGAGGACCATCGACACGCTGAAGCCTCTCTCGGCAAGTCAACAGGTTTCGTGTGCAGTGGCGGCACAATCGTCTTTGCGAGAGAATCTCTCAGTCTCCAGGCCAATCCATCATCCCCGACGCAATTAATGGACTGCAAAAAGTGGAGATAGTTTAGGAAGTGGACCTTCAACGATGAACGCCCCCGCCCCAAATATTCCTGGCAACAGTATGCGGTCCGCCTGACACTGGTGCCTCTAAAATACGAATTCCTCGTCTAATTACTGCTTGACCGATCGCATCTGAGATCTGGACTTTCTTGTTGCAGTTACGATTGGGTTTTCCGTTGGGTTTTCCGTCGCCCCGAAATAGTCTCTCTAGTAAGACGCGGGGTAGTAAGTATAACAGCTGAAGATCACCCGAACAGCTGGTTCAGTCCATTCTTGTCAGTCAGACTGATATTTTGCACCGTCAATTTTCCCTGCCAGCTTTGGTCCACCAAAACCCAGGATATCAGAACATCAGGAACATGCTTGAAGTGTATTGTGATCCTTGCACGGTCAATAGCCGCAAAGTATTGGCTGGCCTCGACCTCCTGGGCACAAAATACAATTTCAACCATATCAACTACTTCACTGGTCAACACAAGAGTCCCGAATACCTGCAAATCAACCCACATGGCACAGTGCCGGCTGCGGTTGATGGGGATCTGAAGATCACCGAATCCAATGCCATTCTGCAGTACGCCGCTGACGAATGTGGTTCAATGTACCCGAAGGATGCTAAACAGCGATGTGCTGTGAACCGCTGGCTTCTCTGGGAAGCATCAGTTTGGTTTCCCAGCTGCTACGTCTATCTGGTTGAATATGTGGTGAAGCCGCTTCTGAAGGCCGAACCCGATCAATCAGTCGTTGATGCGGAAGCACCGAACTGGCACAAGCACGCTGCAATCTTGGATGCACAGCTGTCGAAGACCAAGTGGCTCACTGGTGACAATATCACCATTGCCGATATCGCCGTTGCTGCGCCTATGCACTTACATGCCGCTCAACGTCTCCCACTCGACCAGTATTCCAATCTTACACGTTGGATGACGGAGCAAATCGAGAAGCTGCCTCAGTGGCAGAATACTCAAGTTGCTGTCGACAAAGCCTTATTGCCAGGTAAGGCTGCTACCAGTGGCACGGCCGGAGCTGTCCGAGCTATTTTCAACTACACGAAGGACGTTGAGAAGCGGACCGAGCTTTACTTCTACGATTGTGAGGCTGCAAAGGATATCCATGAGCCTGGGGACGATCCACACGAGATGACAGTTACCGACGGGTGGTACAGAGCTGACTCCTTCTCCATCGATAAGGAAGGGTTTTCTCTTCGTCAATTCAAGACCGGATTTGACAAGTGGGAGGACGAGGAATCCGTTCGCGAGCAGTTCTACCCTGAGATTGTTGAATTCCTCAAGAACACCACAGGAGCCAAGCGCATTCTTGTGTTTGACCATACCATCCGCACGAAGCGGAATGAAGCAAAGAAGCTGACCCAAGAGACAAACACTTCTCAGCGGGCTCCCGTCATGCTGGTCCATTGCGACTACACTGCAGAGTCCGGTCCCGCCCGTGTTCGCCAACTGCTGAAAGATGAGGCTGAGGACCTCCTTTCTCGGCGCGTGGCGTTCTTCAATGTATGGAAGCCGCTTTACCATACTGTGGAGGAGCGACCGTTGGCCATGTGCGACGTCTCCTCGGCTCCCATGGTGGATTTCTTCAAGTTGTATCTTAAGTATCGTGATCGTGTTGGGGAGAACTATGTCATGCGATATTCGCCGAACCATAAGTGGTGGTATTTCCCGAAAATGATGCCGGAACAAGCTATTACCCTGAAAACATACGATTCACAAACGGATGGGCGCGCTCGGTTTGTTGGCCACAGCGCATTCGAAGATCCCAATTCTCCGCCTGATGCACCAATCCGTGAGAGCGTTGAGATTCGCACAATTGCATTTTTCTGACGGATCAACCACACTGGTGTGGTCCAGCAACTACGCAGCTGTAGAGGACCACTTCCATGAAGCTCGGTAGTTTAGCCTCAATCCAGGAATGTCTTCTTGCCTTATAATCGTTCGATCTCGCTCGTTTCGCTTTCCGCTTTCGTTTTCGTCTATGCCTATCCTTTGATCCCTCGGTATCATGTCCCTAGAGTCCTTGGCCAGTGGTGGGGTTAGTCCCACACAGACTACGACCTGGCGAGCTGGACTCAAAAATAAGTGGCACAGTCTGACAGAGTAGAGTGATGAACTATTGGATCGAAGGCACCCCTCGTTCACCACAAGCATATTGTTTACCTTCAGTAATAGCGGTACTCTGTCGTTATCCTCCAGTGGTAGTTATATTCTGTATGGCGGCCGCTTCGACATTATTGAGCAGTCTCGAAATGTATATTTCGCGTCAGACCGTGCCACTTTATCTTTAAATCCGGCTCGCGGGTTTGAGCGCGAATAAGTGAGCAAGGTTTCTGGCCCTGCTGGTACAAATCTGGTCAGTTCCCTCTCCACCTCTCCACATCATGGGGTAAAGGAGAATGAGGGTCATGGTGGCGGCGGTCGGTATAGCCTGGGACGTGACCAAAGGTCCACCTCTCCACATGATGGACCATCAGTAAGTACCGAGTATTTATGGTCTTGATCCTGCTGTCTTGGACCGTGTTTTGCATTGTGCATAGCATAATGTCGACGTCCTCGAGTTTAGGGGTGGTGCTGCCACAGTATCCTGCGACGTATTCGGGAATCCCAGAACGGCTGCTGCACAAAGCCATCCGAGAGAAATCGAGGATATGGAAAAATCAAACAAAAGAGGCCCAAGCTCCGAGGAAAAGAGGCTTGGCCATTCCAGCTGGCATTGGTCGTTCAGACTTTCTCCAGGCTTTGGAGGAGTTGGCTCAAACCCTCGGCAAGGAGCACGTTGTGTTGAATGATCAGCCTCTTGAAGATGGATGGTTAGTTATTACCCCCTTCCAAGCACCGGACCGCGTACATTCAGACAGCTGATCCCCTGCCTAGGTACTTGGAGCGTATGTTTAGCCTGTCCGCAAGAGTTTGCGAAGGTTGATATATGAACTAGAGCCCAACACGCACGATTCTTATATGATCATGGACGGAGAAGAGACGGTGTCGTCAGCTTGTGTTCATCCCGGCAGCGTTGACGACGTTCAACTTGTGGTGAAGTGGGCCAACAAACACCTTGTTCCCTTGTATCCAATCTCCATGGGACGAAACCGTACCTGCTGCCTCCCATCATGTCCTTCCCTGGAGTAGATCGCTAATGGACTCGACAGTGGGCTATGGAGGAGCCGCACCCCGTGTCCGTGGATCAGTCGTTGTTGATCTGGGCAGACGGATGAACGAAATTTTGGACATTAATCCGGATGACTGTACATGTCTGGTCGAGCCGGGGGTGTCTTTCTACGCACTGTACGAAGAGATCAAGAAGAGAGGATATACGATGTGGGTGGACACACCAGACCTTGGAGGTGGATCGATTATTGGGAATACTCTGGAGCACGGAGTCGGCTACACGCCATATGGAGATCACTGGTCGACTCATTCGGGCCTGGAAGTTGTTCTTCCAACCGGTGATCTGCTCAGAACTGGCATGGGAGCTCTTCCGGGCAACAATACCTGGCAGACGTTTCCTTACGGGTTTGGGCCAATATCAGAGTATGCCGGGTTTTCGACGGTCCTTTCAAATGCTGACAGGACTTTGCAGTGGGATCTTTTCTCAGTCAAACTTTGGAATTGTCACGAAAATGGGCGTGGCTCTGATGCCAGACCCCGGGGGCTGCGAGAGTTTTGTGAGTGATCTGAGTCCCTTGACTCTTGAGTCTTGCCCGTCCGTGGTCGACTGATTTCAAAAGATGTATACCTTCGAGCGCGAAGATGACCTCTTGCCATTGGTGCGTTGGACCTCTACACGTTGGTGATTGCTAAACTATAGACCAGATCGATATTGTTCGACCTTTGAGAATCGCAAACTTGCTCGAGAATGTGGCACAAATCAGACACAGCACCATTGAGCTGGCGGTTTCAGGGCTCCCGCGCTCACATTACTACCAAAGCACCGGGCCGATACCTGAAGAAGTGCTGCAGTCCCATCTTGAGGCAACGCCGCTTGGGCGATGTTCCTGGATATACTATGGGACTAGCTATGGGCCTGAAAATATCCGAAAATACAAACTGGACATTGTCCATCGAGAATTCACCAAAATCCCTGGCGCCAAAAGGATTGATCCTCAGACGTTGCCAAAGGACCACTATTTCTGGTCTCGAGCCAGAATTGCTGGGGGTGAACCGGACTTCGAAGAGCTTTCATATATGAATTGGGTGCCCAACGGAGGCCATCTAGGATTCAGCCCTGTTTCACCGACTCGAGGGCTGGACGCCCTAAAACTTTGGAAAATAGCTAAAAAGAGGCATGACGAGCACGCAATCGATCTCTTTATCGCATTCTGTGTGGGTCTGAGAGAACTCCACATGATAAACCTCGTCATCTATGACCGGGGGAGCGCCCAAAGGAGAGAGGCCGTCGAAAAATGCATGCGGTCGATGATCGACGATGCAGCGGAACAAGGCTACGGAGAGTATCGCACCCATCTCCTCTTCCAAGACCAGGTCGCCCGGACCTACAACTGGAACGATAATGCTCTTATGAAGTTCAATGAAAAACTGAAGGATGCTCTAGATCCGAATGGCATTCTTGCGCCAGGGAGATGTGGGATCTGGCCGGAACGTTATCGAGGCCGAGACTGGGAGATTGGCAAGGAAGGAAGAGAAACTTCTGAAGGACAAGGAGTTCGACCGGCCGGAGCGAGTGTGAAACTGTGAGGCCAGTTGAAAGACATATGAATCGCTTTCCCCATAAGTCGGGAGCATCCTGTTAGGATAATAACATCCCTTTGTCACCAAGTGGTGATAGACAAGACTCTGTTGCATTTTACTCATCTGATGATGGATCGCCTTCAATCTCGAGCTGGCTTCCAGCCGGGGTGCCCCAGCCAAAGTCCCATGATTGAATTGTCTAAAGATGTAGCAGCAAACATTGACAACTACAGAAGGTATTTGGAGGCAGTGGCTGGATTTATCAAGGGATAGGCTCTTCTTAACTTGGTCAAGCCAAGATCAGACACCATATTCATCGGCAAGCTCAATCCAAGCATCGACTATCTTGTCGACATCGCTTCTCTTGATGGGAATGCGGTGAGGCCCATCCCATTCAATAAGGGTCGTTGTTCCGGGCGCGCAGTAGTTTTCAACCAGCTTCCTGTGGAGATGGAGGCCTTCATCTTTGAGGCCGTGAACGTGCAGTGTCGGGATTCTCAGCTTCATATCCGGCCGCTCGAGAATGATTTCGAGGTCGGCGGCGTCAGCGAGACCGCCTGCTGACTGCATCCATGGCAATCCTTCAGCCTCTTCACTCAGACTGACCAGGGGAGCCCGTCCGGCGAGAATGATTGCAAACCTCCAGGGCCCGTTTTCCTCCTTGATCTGCTGCTTGTAAAGCAGGCTCGCTGCTAGTTTTGCGCCTTGACTGAAGCCCAGGGTCCCTACCCATTCTCCTGTTCCTGCGTCACTCTCCATGCAGCGATCAATAGCGTATTCCAACTCGTATTGACAGGCTGCTGCGTCGATCTCTGGGTGAGACTCAAGCCAGCGGAACCACCTTCGGAAAGGGCCCCAGTCCGAATACACCGGATGCACCCCGACCCCTTCGTCGCAGAAGAATGGAGCGTCGACGAAGACGAACCGATATCGGTTCTTTAGCTTTTCGTGACTGAGGAATGCGCGGAACTGTGCTTTGAATATCGCAGCGTTCACGCCACCGCCGTGAATGCAGAGAATGCGTGGTAGATGCAAAGAAGGATCCAGAGACGCCATGGCGCGATTGTCCGAAGGTTCAATTTGCTGAGATTACCTGTGAGATTCTCAAAATCATCTTATAAGCGCTTTCTGCAGGCCGGAGAATATTTATGCAACTTGGAAGAGCTGAGATTAAGGCGAGCACGACTGTTCGCTGAGGCATCTGAACTCGCAAGGCCCCGGTGATGAAATATTGACAGATAGTCGACAGTCTAAAAATAGCATTCACCGAGGCTATGCCGAGGATAGGAAGGAGCGAGAGAGGTCGAGAGAGTTTCAGCACTGACTCCCTTTCGCCAGCTCCGTACAGAATCCATAACATGGTATCGTCCCATAGACGGATCGAGTTCAATATCAGGGTGTTTTCGACCCCAAATCGAACAACTCTTTCTGAACATATCCAGTTGAACTCTTTCTGCCGTCCCCTAGCATTAGGGCATTAATTCTACGCTTTCTCGGTCCCCGAACCCATGCTTCAATTGACATGTACGGGGTACAGGTCGGTGGTTGCTGACGTGCAATCCGCTTCTGTTAGAGACCGGTCGGTGAACTTCAAGTCTCACAAGGGCTCTGAGGATGTCCAAGAATGGATGATGAGAAACAGAACTGCTGTTGAGTGCCAAGCACAAGGCACGTTGCAGTCGTGCTGAAGGAAGCGTACTGGTAAATATGCGCTGGTATTGCATTCTGGTGTAGTAAATTCTTTGTGGATAGCCATGCCTCCCTCGCTATGCATTGAAGCAGTCAAATCCTATTATCCACTTCTGACATGACTCTTTCGGTGTTGCTTTTCTGCAACCTCCCGTCCACACTCCGTCCGCGAGCCAATGAGACACGCGCTCGTGCTCTATCAAGCTCTACTGGAGACATCTGCCCAAACTGGACACTGCTCCTGAGTCTCTCGTGATCTCTCTCGAAAATGTCACCGCCGTTGAAGGATATACTAGATGCTAACAGAGAGTTATTACCCAGATCACCAACAGCAGCTAACTCGTCGTCCCACAAATTTGCTGCTGCCACATCAATGGAAGCCAGTCCCGGTCTGCTGTATAGATAAGGCTGCCGTATTTGCGGAGACGTGCTTAGTGACGCCGAACCCGGCACTGCCGGAGGCGCTGTTGCATGTGATGTATTCGAATCCCTAGATGTATCGCGTGACAAGGGCTGCGAGCTATAGCCTGTTGGGACAGGCTTCGCAGAAAGCCGACCATCACCTTCTTGAGCTGGAACATACTTGAGGTGTGGCTGCATGCCGGAAAGTTTTGGAGGCCGGGGAAGAGAAATCTCGTCCACTGAGCTTGAAGGGACAATCCTCGTTACCGCTTGATTGTTCAGCGCAGTTTGCATCAATCGCGGCGATGACGAGGGGTGCCTACTATGCCTTCTAGACATTTCGGGCGAATCATACGTCGGAAGAGATAGACTTGGGACAAACTCTGTGACCAGAGGTGACATTTTCTGGTTGGGAGATCTAATGGATAGTGGCACACGCCCTTCGTCTGATGTCGGCCTGGTGCATTGTAGACGCGTAGGTGATTTTATCCTTCCTCCTCTTGCGGGTGGTGGACTGGCTCGGTGAATGGCTGCCAGAGCTCCTGATGCTTCAGATCCTGTAGAGGTTGGCCTCGCGGCCCGGTCATCGCTGCCGCTTGTGAACGACGAGGCTCTTGAGTGGATCTGTGCCTGTTCGTGCGAAACCGTGGGCGGAACTGGCATAGGTTTCCACTCTCCAAGGTCCCTAGGCTTTTTCGACTGGGCAGGTCGCCCTTGAAATATTGCCTGCAGCACTGAAGATTGACGGGTAGTGCCGAAGCCGGCTTCCGTAGGCGTCATCTCATTCATGTCAGAATTGCTCGGGCGCCGGCTGCGGTTCGTGCTTGGGATCAGGACTTTAGAGCTGTCCATTCCAGATTGCGACCACCTGTCAGTCCAGCTCCCCTCAGACTCTTCATCATCCAAGTCTAGCCCGAGATGCATTTGGATTGGTGATTCGGTCTGGTCATCGGTATGTTCAGGCGTCCAGGTGGATGTCCTGGTCAAAGCACTGCTTTCGGTACCGGGACTGTCTGAAGATGTGCTGCTGGCTCGCTCAAATACGGAGAATTGGACTCGATGGTGAAGACTATCAATAGATTGTGATGGAGATTGGCTCTGGATTTCTGTCTTGATCGATCGGATCGTTTCGTGAAGATTGTGCCGTGTCTTGCGCAGGGTTGGCGAGGCATCAGAGGACGATTTGGGGAAATGTGACCATAGGCGGGCAGCCTGCGTCTCATAGTCGCGATAGTCGCGCACAAGCCCTCGTCCTTCGGTGCTTTTAATCTTGCCATCTGCGACTGTATAGGAGTGGCACAACATTTTTGAGGCGACGCAGAGCCACCACCAGTAATGTGCTGGTTGATCTGCATATCGAAGTTTCAGCTCATCCCGGAGCACGTTTTGCACAACGCTGTGGATGCGGAGAATGTCAATGCTGTAGGTCACCGACTGCGAAGATGACCCATCCAACTTGCTGTCCGCATGAGCCTCAACCATGCCTTCGAGACTGCTAGAGTCATCCTTGAGCAATCGTGGTTCGAGTCGCCCCATTTCAGCCGTGGTCCCGACTGTACCAACAGTACCATTAGTATTAACTCGCGTCCGCCGCGATTCTTCTGGTGCAAAAGACGCTTTTGATGGCGTGACGCAATATTCTTGCAACGTCCGCTCGACCAGCCCATACCGTATAAGAACTGCAACCGTATTGTCTAACTCTTTCTTCAGACTTCCTACCTGCTCAATAGAACGGATCTCAACACCAAATTCTTGCAAAGCAGGCTGTCCAAAGCGAATGAGAGCGACTGGTATCACGTGCGCGAAAAAGCTAAGCACTGTAACCAGATTTACGGCTTCGGGGTGCGAATGCTCTCTCAGCGCTGAGATGATGTCAAGATAGGGGTCCGCAAGCCGGTGGTCAGAAGTTCCAGGGCTGAACTTCTCGAGCGATGTCCCCCTCGCGATCAAGGCATGAGCGGCAGCATGGACAGCAAGAGGCAGGCATTCGTAGTGCTTCACTAACTGGATCGCTTTTTTGACCTGCGTTTCATTTGGTGATCTGATCCCAAGGTTCTTGTAGAGGAGCGCACATGCATCATGTTGTGACAACGGGAACACTTTAACGCCTGCCGGATTGAGTAATCTCTGCCGCTTTGCCAACGTTCGATCTACCGACGTGTAGATGATGTTGTTGCCTGACCGATCTGGAATGTAAGAAACAAAGGCTTCAATGTCGTCGTCATTATCAGTCGTCACTCCATCAAAGATGAGCAGCCAGCCTTCTCGGGCTTCAAACCATTTCCGCACCGTGTCGACAAATCTTGACGACTCATCCCACCCCGGGTCTCGTGGTTCGTCTTTTCCAAGAATCGCAACAGCTTGAGCAATATCCCAGAAACTCTTCGATCGTGATTCTTTCGTCTTGGAATCGACCCAGAAGCAGCCAGCTGGGTACTTACTTCGATGCCGCCACAGATATTCGCGTGCGATCTGACTCTTTCCACAACCCGGCGGACCCCATAGCAAAACGGCACATGTTCCTAAAGCTCGCCTTTTCTGATTTGCCAGTTTCTGAGCCAGCTGGTCCATTTCAAACTGAAAGCCAAGGAAAATTGAATTTGGGCGAAAGCCAACCGGAGCAACGAGGAGGGAAGTAGATGACGATGGTGCTAAAGATTGTTCAATCATTCGAATTGAGCTTATAGAGCCCTCTGTAAACCGCCATGAGTCAGCGTCAAAGACCTTCATTTAGGCCACTGACCAAAGTTGGCTGATCAACGAGGTGCAGTGACAAAATCTTCCTCGACTTCTTCAACCTCATACGGGGGTGAAGCTGACGCGGAGATCCGTTTGGGAGGAGGCGCACTCATTGGATTTGCCTGGCTCGTTTGCGCGATTCCGGTAGATGGTGTGACTGTGCCCGAAGCCCCTATGCTCGTTTGGAAAATGCTATCTGCAAAGGATCAGCATCGTTGTGGGCGCAACTTTGGGGTTCTACTCACCACCCAACAATTCACGTGCAGCGGCTTGCTTTTCAAATTCAGCAACTCGTTTCTCTTCCTCCCAACGGGATCGGACGAGGGACTGAGCCTTAGTGGCGTATCTGATACGATTTAAGCATTAATCATTTTGTTTTCCCCCTTGGCCTGTTTTACCTTTGGATAGCCTCGGCGACGACATCGTAACCAGGGCTTGATTCGTTCTCGAATTTGCACATATGGCTGTGGGAAAAGGGTTTAGCGATCAACTAAGGCCTGCAGACATTTGGCTGCCCCTCACCTATGGTCTTTCTCGATGCCCATTCTTTCAACTCCCTCAATGACGGGGGCAGCAGAATCCTCCTCAACGACGAATACTCTAGTCCCTTTCAAGTCGGTAGGCTTCGACTCATGGAAGAAGTAGATGTGGAACCGCCCTGTGATTTCGACGAAGAGTCTATTGATATTCTGCAGCGTTTCGTTGTTGGTCTGCAATGCATGCACCAGTTGCGGAGATGTGTCGAAGAATTTCTTAGGAAGTGCAACAGCACAGATCTTCTCTAGCAGAGAGCCCCATTTTGCGAGGTCAGAACCATTGTGCGGAGTTCCAAGAAAGAGAATGCCGTATGTGCTGATATAAATTGATCGCAGTCTTTCAGTGTGTTGGTGGTGTCGAATGCTCTGGCAGTATATCAAACATCTTTTGACCACCAGGCCTCCGAGGGAATGGCAGACGAAGATGATGGGTCTTTCGGTGGCTCTTCTCAACTGCTTCCTGTTAGTATGCGCCTAGTATTAAGCATCCTGGCGAAAATGGCTGTGCAACAGCGCTTGGATCCTGTCTCACACTTACCGACCGATTGGCCACCAATCGACTCGCGAGATGTTCTGCATGATTGTGTATCTTGTCTTTGGAGACGCCATCTGTGAAGGCGGTCACATTCGCATCATAGCCGTAGGTCAGAATTCGGGGTCTTTGCTCATCGAGGGCCGCAGGGAGGAGGTCGGCAGGCCAGAACACGTTCGGCTTTTTGGTGGACCAGGTCTCGTGGGGATGCCCGTTTAATCCGTGCACGAAGACGACGTCGACTAGAGGATCTGCCGCCGAGAAGACTTCTGTAAGGCCATATTGTACGATCTGTTTTTCAGCAGAAGAGCTCATCGTTTGAATTGCCACCAATGGTCAAACATCGAGGAAACGAGAGAAGGCAGGTCACGGAAGCAGGGGAACCAACAGAAAGAAATGCTGTCGGGGAACGACTCGCGAGCTCACCGGCGCATATGAAGAAGCATTTCAAACATGGCGGACTGGATCTAGGGAGTCATAGTCACGGTCGAATTGAAAGGGAGGGCGCAGGTGACTTGGTAGCCTGACGAGAGGAGAGTGGTGGATGCAACCTGCATATTTCCTAGACAAAGAAAATTGACGTGTCCCGACTTCCCCAAGAAAAGAAGGCCAGCAGATTTGGGCGGCTCGTCCCTGGAGTTTCGGTTGGCTTAGGGGTTTCAAATCCATCCGGGCTCGCCTGCTCATTGGGCATTTCGCCTTTTTCGGGGCCATTTTGTGGGGGAAAGTGCTGCAGTCTCAAGGGGACCGGAACAGCCTCAAACGAAGGAGGCGAAGCAGAAACAAAAGATCTTGCGTGAAGGCTCAGTAAATTTTGTGGTAGAGGGCCCGGGTGAGAATACCGTACTCGGTATGATTACGATCTCGTAACCCTGACTAATCTGGCCTCCACATGTGCGGTTGTCACAAGATCCACGGTACAAGGCTCATCCAGTGTTGGTGATGGCGAGAGTCATACGGACAGAGGAATATCAGAAGGTGTCTTAGGCAAGACAAGGCAACATCGTTTTGGCATTTGGCGTCTTATTTGCCTTTGAAGGCTGGCTTCCTCTTCTCCGCGAATGCTTTCAACGCTTCCATTCGATCCTCCGTCTTCAGAATGACCTCGTAGGCTTCGTTTTCGGCAGCCTCGCCTCGTTGCCACCCATTAACGGCACGCATCGCCTGGGTGAGGGCTATGGGACCTCCTTCACAAATGTCATTGGCAAGCTGTAGACTGACTGCTTGCACCTTTTGCCGAGCCTTCCCATCCTCGTTCATTTCTTCAGGAGTAATCTCCACTAACCGGTTGCACAGTCCCAGAAAATATGCTTCAGCTCCACCAACTCGCCGACCGGTGAGAATGAGGTCGCGTGCTCGGTTGACGCCAATCAGCGCAGGAAGTCTATAGGTTCCTCCTGCTCCTGGGATGATTGCCAGCCTTGTCTCGGGTTGGCCCACAACTGCAGAAGATCCAAAAACCCGTAACGTCGTGCAAAGAGCCAGTTCTAAACCGCCACCGAGAGCGACAGAAGATATGGCGGAGATGGTAGGGACAAGGAGATTAGACAGATCGGTGAAGGTGTTCCGCGCGCCGGTTAGGAACTCTCTGGTTCTTTCTACTGGTGAGTACTCGTTAGATGCAACTACGACGGGAGTAAGATGCGTACTCTTCTTGGGTCATCTCCTTTCTCTCCCTCAAGTCGGCCCCGGCACAGAACGCTTTGTCTGTATTGGACGCAATGACCAATGCTCTTGTCGGGCCTGCACCGCCCTCGGCCTTAACCTCATCGACATGGCGCTTCAAGCCGGCGACGAGACTGCGTGACAAGGCATTTCGAGCAGCGGGTCTGTCGAGGAGAAGAATGCGGATGTTACCAGAATGCGGAGCAGGTTGATGGTGGACTTTGATTGGAGAGGGTTCAGAGGCAGAGGCGAAGCTGCGGTATTTGAATTGGGGAGCCCGTAGAGCAGTGAGTACACGCCATGCTGGACGAGTTCGCATTATTGCGAGATTTATGCGTTGACATGGTAGTCAAGAACTGAAGAAGAAACCTCTGACCGTGAATATGTACCTATGTCATTTCGTACGGAGTGCAGGGGTAGTGGACCGAGGCTTTTTGGGGAAAGGGGGGGAGGGCTTGCCTATGGCTTGAAGCCCCTTGCTCTGTTTTGCTTGGCTGACGCCGTCCCAAGATCTCGAGCATGCCATGCGGTCACTTGACACCCAACAGGCATGATTCTGAAAAACTGTCAACAACATCTGAATATTCTCAAAGCAAAGATCGTCCGCATTCCCAAGCGTCCCAACTGCGCAAAGGTTTCCCACCCAGTCAGCGCGTCGACGACTTCACAATGGACCACATCATGCTGCATGACACTGTTCTGGCCCTCGAGGACTCAACTTGGCGAGCATTGACGAATTCGGGGGCCGCTCTCTTGCCGTTCCTCAGTCGAGATTGTATCATGCTCTTTCCATTGGGAATGAAAGTCTCGGCCAAAACGACCCCAAATCTTGAGGATGTGATGAGAAGCGATGCTTTTGTGCCGTGGAAGCAGTACAAGATGAGCGACGTGGAAGTTACGCCATTGGGACCGGAAGCAGCCCTGATCAGTTATCGAGTCAACGCGACGAGACGACATATTACGGACGATGACGATATGAGACAGGACGAATTCAAAGCATTGATCTCGAGCACTTGGCGCAAGGATCCAGAGGCAGGGAGATTTCTTATGTGTGTTCATCAACAAACACCTTATGAGGAGGATCTGGATTTTGAGGGATGAGGCGACTGTACGAGAAATGTACCGAGTATCCCCTGTACGAGGTATGGAGTAATGTAAACTACGGGAAGCTTGGGATGAAGATCGCTGAATTTGTTTCATTGGGTGGTTTGTTGGGTGTACCTACCGACTCGCCGCGTACCCAGCTGCCCTTGATCTTCTTGGTAGGAATGATTGATTGCTGCGTCTGGGCGTGAATTGCATGTGAATTTGCCCTACACAGTGACATCAGCCGCCGTGCACGACACACGAAATGGACGTTCCCCTCGGATCACAAGCCCGAGCGAGTCAGTGGCGTTTGCCTGCTGCAATGTGGGGAATCCGAATGGTCGCATTTGTGACGTCGATGTCGAGGTGAAGGCAGGATCAACACTCTCCTTCAAGCTTTCACCCATCAATCCGTGATTCAAAAATCTGACTTCATTTCCTTCCAGAATTACAGCTTTTGCAACATCCAACAATACTCACGTCCCCCCTACAAGACTTCAGAACCCATCATCTGGTTGTCAGCCTTATCCAATTCAGAATTCCTTCAACATGTCTTTCCTCTACCAAACAACTCCCGTCATTCGCACCGCAGTGCGATCGTCCGTGGTACGCTCCTCACTTCGCCTCTTCTCTACCACAAACATTCAGAATAAGTCCGCCACCGAAACGGTCAAGGACGGCCTCAAGACGGTCGACCGAGCAGTTTCAGATGTTGCAGTTGCCGGCATCGACAAAGGAGGTAGGCTCGCAATACTGTCACCTCAAAACTCGACCTAGCTGATAGATTTATAGTGGAACTGAAAGACAAAGCCGCCGAAGCCATTGGCGTCGAGACTAAGAAGGCCGAAGGCACTGCCTACCAAGTTGCTGGTGAAGCCAAAGGCAAAACTGCTGAACTCTCAGGCCAGGCAAAGGGCAAGGCAGAGGAAGTCAAGGGCAAGATGTCGTGAGAGACGCCGTGTGCATATCCTTCAAGGCGGGAACTAGAATCATGGCATTCGATTCATTCATGCTGCTTGGGATAAAGTTGGCGTTTCCGATGTAAAAATAATCATCGTCAATTAGAGCCTGACCTCGAGAGGAGTCGCCAAAAAGTTATGTACAGATTCCAGAAGCAACTCACAGCTCCTGCCCTTGCTTCTCCGAGTCTTTCAAATTTGGGATCGGCTGCAAGATCGGGTTAGCAAAATGCGTCCGATAGACCTCCTCCTCTTCTTGCTTCAACCCATATTTTGCCGGATCACGCTTCTCTAGAAAATGCTTGACACGGCCCGTTCCCTTAATATCATGTTCTTCGAAGTGATCTTTCCTTGATGTCAGGAATCGATTTGTTTCCTCGGTAAAGGCTTGTGCCCGCTCTTCTATTGACCCTGTGAATTGTCCGGCTCTTGTGGCCTGAAGGACTCCAGCAATCACCGCAAGGAGGATGACAATGGATGCAAACGCATTGGGATGGAGGTATGTGACTGGAGGGTCTTTGGGCTTGTCGTATCGGCGGTACCATCGTTCCCAATCTTCCCAAGTGGCATTTTGAAATATTGAGGAATCGTCATCTGGACCAAATCCATATCGTTTCCCTTCGGGGTTGGTATATCCGTGCGAGTGTCTGGTTGCTGTCCTTGTTGCTCCCCATCCTGCGCCAGATGCATCGTATGCCCTTCGCTTGACCGGATCGGAGAGAATCTCATGTGCCTGTACAACCAACCTGTATCTCTCCAGTCTCTCAATGTCGCTCAATTCCCCGCAGAGGGAGCTGTGGCTGTTTCTGTCCGGATGGTAGATCTTCACTAATTCGTAGAACTTGTGCTTGGTATAGACCGAGTGCTTATCTAGGCCGAATATCTCGTAGGGTGAAGGCGTGAAAGAGGAGTCCCGCCGACATGGCCAGTTCATATTGTCCCGAAACGCATGCTCTCGGTCTGACCTGACGTCTGAATAAGTTCTGGACCGAGAGGAAAAGCGTGGCTCTTGCTTCAATCGTTTCCGCGGAGAGCTGGGGCATGACGCGCAGAGACAGCATTGCCATGTATTGTACGCCGCCGGCAGCCTCACCTTTTTCAACAATATCGATGGCATTTTGAATAGCAAGCGGATGGATAGATAAGAGCTTGCAATGGGTCGTGATGTGGAGGGGACGAAGTCTTCCATGTCATCGGCGTCTAGGTCCCCGATCGTTTGGAAGGTTTGCCGACTCAAAGATATTTTTTTGCAAGATGCTGAAGATGCCAAGTTGGTATATATTGGCCCTTACTGAATCTACGAATAATGCCGCATTCGCGATCACCTCGTCGCAACGACTCGCGGGATGAACCTCGCAGTCGGTACCGAGACCATGACCGAAGGGGAAGAGATTATTACTCCGATGAGAGAAGGCGAAGATTACGGAGTCACGATCGACGTCGGAGAAGGTCAGCAAGCTTGGAGAGGCACAGTCTCAGACAACATGAAGAACGCAGATCGCGGTCACCCCGCTCACAGCGCTCACCGGAGCGACTTACACGTCTGAAAGGCTCTCTCCCATCCCAAGCCGACGCATTTAACTCCACCAAAGAGAGCCCATCGCCACCAGCCTTCGGAAAGCAGAAACCAAACTTCCGTCCATCTGGCCTTCTAGCCGCAGCCTCAAACACGGTCTCAACATCAACTGGCGCCGTGGTGCTTAAATACCATGAGCCGCCCGAAGCTCGAAAGCCTCCTTCCTCTCAACCTTGGAGGCTGTACATCTTCAAAGGCGAATCCATCGTCGACACGCTGGATTTGTATTCCCAATCTTGTTGGCTCTTTGGCAGAGAAGCGTCTGTTTGCGATTACGTTCTTGAACATCCCAGCTGCTCCAAACAACATGCCGTCATTCAATTTCGGTATGTCGAGAGAAGGAATGAGTTCGGAGACAAGATCGGAAAAGTGAAGCCGTACCTAATTGATCTGGAGAGCGCCAATGGCACAACTGTCAACGATGAAGCTGTGCCTGAGGGAAGATTTGTCGAGCTGCGGGACAAAGATATAATCAAGTTCGGTCATTCCACCAGAGAATATGTCATGCAGATGCCTCCTGGGTGAATTTGACCGACTCGTCAACTGAGCAAGAACGAGCATACCATGAGAATGCACAGTCCGATGAATCCTAGAGACCGAAACGCTTTCCCTCAAATATGGTATTAATGAAAGCTCTCGAATCACTCCGATGACTTTCATAGAGCAAATGCTGCCTCAACGACGGCCACCGATCTCGATGGATTGCAAATCAAGAAAATACGACCGGATGTGAACATTGCAACCTCCTATGACCGGGAAAGGGATTGTTCTAATTCTCCTTCACGGCACTCGACAGACGCGTTATGCGGAGGCACCGCGACTTTACCTCTTCCTTGCCCATTCTCATCAGCATCTTCTAGTCCTCTGTGTTGGCTTCGGAGTCTGGCTTCAACCGCTCAACCAATGAATACTTCTTGAATACCATCGGCCTGTGCTCAAAGCCTTTGAGCTAGCAAGGCAGACCTGCTATCTTGCTTCTCTTGCGGCGTAAGTCATCCTCAGCACAACTACTGAGAAAGCGCCATATGGGAAGAGCGAGAGTCTCACGGCCTGCGACTACAGTAGCCTTTCATCCGTATAAATGCGAAGAACTTCATCATCTCTGGCTCTTCACATACCAGCTTTTTCGCAATACAGCTCTGTCGTTGTGGCAAGGTCTTCGAAATGCTGCTCCTTCACCATATCGATGCTCAATTTAGAGGCTGCACTTCGTATCCTATCAGGAAAGTTTTTCGGACTCTACTGGCCCGTCATCGTCTCAAAAGCCGAATTAAGAGCCATGAGGTCAACGGAAAGAGTCATCTCGCAACAGCGCTTTTGGGTGACGAGATCATGTGGCCACCGACAGACCATTCTTTTCCTTCGTGGCACAAACTTTTGGGCCGCCGTGTCCAGGCCCGGAAAGTAAGCAAATTAACGGTCTCAGCAGACTCTCTATAAGTGAACAAGTCAGCACCGCTCATCTCTGCTTGTGAGCGTTTCGACGAGATCTCCACACGGTGTGCCTCTTCATCACCTGAATATGGACCAACATGGTTTGATGTGCCTTATCCTTTAGTCAATTCCGGCGGGCGTTAATCCGGTCCAGTAAAGCACTATCTTTTGTTCAATTTTGGATTTGGCAAATCAAGAACACGGAAATGCGTTGGCCTAAGCACGATTGCATCGCGATCGCAAAATCTTCTACAAACCACCCAGCTATCTCCTCGCGGCAGTAGCTGAGAGAAGGCTTGGGTCATGGTGAGGGTCTCTCTAACCAGCATCAGGGAATTTTGTTATAGGACGGACTGTCACCCAGCTTCGACCACGGCCTACAGGCTTTTCTGGCTATGTGGTGGCTGATTCTGTCCGAACGCCTGGCTCATCAGGCCTGGAAAATCTCTTGGTAGGCTTCAAAATCTCCCCGCCCCCGAGATTGAGGTCGCGGTGCCTATTATGTACTCGTCGTAGGGGTGTCTCTGTCTAGCAAATTACAAGGAAGGCCTCTTCGAAAATATTATGAAAGAGAATGAGCGCCCCGAGGAGGTTCCTTGCCTCTTGAGACGATAGTAATACATCGCCAACAGCATTTTCGATAGCCTACTGGCCATTGCCGCATAAAGCACTTCAACCGTGTCGGGAGAGGTGAGTTTTTCGACAGAATCTCGGAACTCTCCTGATCCACAGTCTTTTCTAACGAGGCCCATTTTATTTCTGCAGGATTTACCCGGTATTCTTCCAGGTATTACCGGTGCCATTACTCCTGAGCTTGCCCTGAGCCGCCAAATCCTGATAATTGTGGAATATTTGCTCTGTCCGCTGACCCAGCCGCAGCTGAAAATCATTTGGTAAATTCTAAAAATGCCTTCATCCCATCACCGAGGCTGCACCAAATGTTATTCCTCTGCACGACACGACCGCTTTTCATTTCCCCTCCTGAGACCCTTGGCCCTCGAATCCATCTTCAGCACTGCCGGCACAAGTCACATTGAGATGGAATGGCATGCAACGGGGAACGAAGATATGATAGGTGGCAAACGGGGATGGGATTCCAGGGAAGATAGAGAACTGCGAGGTACGAGGTACAACCTAAGTGAGGCCCCTAGCCGGTTGACACTGACGTCTTAGACCACTAGACCTCGGATGGAGGGGCAACAGCCTTGCGGCTAGCGGAGTATTGAAAGAATTCAAAAAGGGACGATGGTGCGCTCCCATAATATGAGGAAAAGGGAATGTACATCATTGTCCCGCGGCTCCCTTCAGCATACAACTTGCGATACAGGACTTGGTTGACCATGTTTTACTGTATCTATGGATATTGTCTGGCCCAACGAGCGATATTTCAAGTCATCGGGAGGCAGACCAGGGGATGGGCAGGCCGTCCCCGTCTAGCCGCCTGGTAAATGTGTCCTCCCAATGAGCATCGTGCCGCAGTATGCTCCCATGCCGGCCTACACCCGCCTCGCTGTTATGACTGCCTACATCTCTCGGAAAGCTGGCGCAAGTTTCTGGTTTGGTCCTGTTCAATAATAGAGGATGTCAGTTACTGTCTCTTCGATACAGAGCTTACGTTTGTGAGCTTGGTTGGCACCTCGTCGTCGCCTTTAGCTGCGAGATTCGTCCGGCAAATGTGGCGCTCTAGTGGAGCCAGTATCCGGCTGCATAATCAGAGCTTTTTGCCTTCTTGGTCTCTTTGAACGGCCGTCGTTGAATCGTAATCCATTTTTGGCTCAACATTAAATAATAACTTGCGTTGAGAGTAAACCATCTCACTAATCAAACATCTGGATCCATGTGTTGGGTACAGCACATGGGTTCTTGCTCAGTCGCCTCGCCTCTTGAGTTCAAGATATTGAGTTCTTGCTTCATAACCAATAAAAGTTCACAGAAGCAGCTTCTAATTGCAAGATATTGGCGTTCATGATGTCGCCGATATTCTCTAATATCAAAGATGCGGGGCTCATGCCTCGCTCTTCACCCCGGCTTCTAAGTCTCAAAGCGTTGTACTTCCCTACCTTTCCCAGCTCCATTCTTTGGTGGTAAAGAGGGAGAGTCCGGGAAACATGCTGAGGGGAGGAATCTGGGGAAAGCTTTGAGCTGGGTACTTCAATGGAACTCCGCTATTGGCTTGAATGTAAAAGGCAGCCCTTGGACTTCTTGTCGGTGTTGGTTCAACTATCTGGGTAAGAGATTCTTCAAAAATGAAGCTCGTTTCGCCTTGACTCGTTGGCATCAAAGGTCTATTCGTCGTTGCTGCAGAAACAGATTACAATGTCAAGTCCATTCAAGAGTTCGTCGCAACTCCTGGAGGAGCTACGTGCACGACCTTTGCAAAGGCTCTCCCGCAGAACAGCACATTTGGTGGCGGCACTGCGGACCTTGAGTTTCCGGTGAATGACACAGACCTGCCACCGCTTTGCGTGGTCACGGTTAATGTGAAATCCTCCAACACGTCTTCTTTCAATTTCGGCCCCTTTCTTCCCTAGCAGGGCAACAATACCCGATATGGACTCGCATCCATGTCAACTGATACTGGGCATGTTTCCGGATCCTTTGATGCGAGCTGGGCGCTCAATAACCCAGAAGCCCAGTTTGACTGGGGCTATCGGTCTAAGCACGGCTCGGTCGTCTTGTCAAAGCTGATCACCGGTGCTTATTACGGAACCACTATCAGTTATTCGTACTACTCCGGATGCTCCACTGGTGGTCTGCAGGGCTTCAGAGACATTGAGTTGTACCTGGGTGACTTTGACGGAATTTTGGCAGGAGCACCTGCATGGCGGACGACGCGTCTCCAACCAGACAATGTACAAGTGGCACTCCACAACCTTCCGGTCGACGCTCCTACTCACATCTCCTCCCAGTAATTAGAGCTGAAGTGCTTCGGCAATGCGACCCTCAAGACACCTTTACAGATGGAATCATATCTGACCCCGAAAGGGGCAACTTTGTCCCTGAAAGGCTGCTTTGCACACATACTTCAAACAAAGGCGCATGTCTGACTGGACCTCAATTGGAAACTTTGTACTATATCTACAATGATTGGCGGGAAACAAACCAAACGTTCGTCTTCCCTCACTTTGAAATGGGATCCGATGCTCAGTATGGTTTTCTCCTGAACAGTAAGTCATGCTGCTAGGGTTTCTTTTGTCCTGTGTAGCTTGGAAAGCCAAAGAATTCGTGTATTTCAAAGTACGGCCCAATGGCATCTCAAGTCATTGTTGATTCGCACACCTGTTTGTATTATAGAGCATGTCTCTAGGTTGCAGCAAATTGCTGACTTCGAGTACTAATTACAGCGGATCCCGGAAATCATACCGAGCCAGGGATTGCGTGGATACGGAAGTGCCTTTACAATGACACATGGGATTGGCATGAATTTACTTACCAGGTAATCCTGGACGCGGACCGTATCAACCCTGAGCAGGCGAATGTTGGCTTCAATTTCACTGGGTTCTACAAACGTGGTGGCAAGATTATTTAATATCATGGCCTTGCGGATGGTCTGATCTCTACCCCGAGCTCGGAAATTCTTTACAAGAATATCTAGAGAATTATGGGAGCTGCAGGTATTCCTCTTGATGACTGGTATCGCCTCTTTCTCATTCCTGGTATGCAAAACTGTCAGGGTACAGCTTTTGGTGCACCCTACTATATAGTCTCTGCACCCCAGCCATTTGAGCTAGGTCAAGATGTTTGGAGCGGCTCAGGGTTCAGCGACCCAAAGCACGGTGCTCTGTTGGCGCTCCTAGGGTGGAGAGAGAATGGCACGGCCCCTGAGTCCATCATCGGCACCAAATTTATCAACGAGACTGTCACAGCCGGTGTCCGAAGACAGAGATCTATATCCATGTACCCGATGCAGGCGAAATGTCGTGGCAAGGAAGATCCAGATCTAGCAGAGAATTGGCACTGTCAGCTCTTGTACTAGAGAATGACGGGTTGTTGAGTTGCGGCAACACTTGACCGAAACCATGAGGAAGATGGTTGTGTCATGCATAAGAATGTTGCTCACACCAATCATTGTAAATCTTCAATCCACTACCCCTTTCTCGACTTCTCTCATTGCTTGTTGCGCAGAGCTCTCATGGGGTTTGAAAGGGCTTCCAAGTATGGTTGCATGGCTAGCCCCAGTCGATTCAGAAGCTTTAAGGTACCATTACGGAGGGCTTGTCGGGTGAGGGTCAACATGTTGTCCTGGCGAAAACGGCCGAGGTGGACTACACATGCCTCTGGGGCCATAATGACCGTCATAAACTGCTCGAAATCTAGATAATTGAGAGAATCCAAGCTCTCTAGATTCTTATGGTCAGCAATCATCTCCATGGCCTGGTTCATGCGGACGGTGATTGAACCATCGACCAATCTCACTGTATGATGATCAACAATGAATGCTTTATTGAAGCTGGATGGTGAAACCGAACAGTTCCATCGATCCAACCTGCGGGCCTGCACCATCCTCTCCCTCGCCTCCGCTACCAAGCGTCTTTCCGTCAAGAGAAAAGAGAATGATCCAAAAGCTCGCAGAAAAAGATGAAGATGGCTGCGCCTTCAAGAAGAATGATTTAGCGACGTCGGCCTCTAACCCGTTCAGTCGAAACCAAGTGTACATAGCGGATATGACTATGGAGAAGAACACAGCTCAGGGGAGCCACCTAGTAGAGCACGACACACGGCAGCAGTGGGAAGGAAAGGACTAGCAGCAAATTCAACCATCCATCCCTGGTCCCTTCGAAATGCTTGCTGTTTACATCGAGAAGGCTGTGACTCCGCGACTGATGATTACCAAAATAGCGCTCCACCTCTGCGGTCTGGCAACTCCTCATGGGTAAAGGGAATCTCTTGGATCTCAGCTTCCTCTATCAGCAGATAACGACTCTGAATTGCTTCAGCAGGGCTGTCCCACGTCTCTCAACCCAATTGTGCTTACCACATGCTAAGGAAAGAGACAGGGTTAGAAAGACTGAAAGAAGAAGAGGGGGGGGCGGGGGTTAGAGATTTCTTTGCTTTTCGAGGTCCTACATAGAGGCTCGGAGGTCTTCTTGACAAAAAATCTCGGGGTTTGGGCAAGTAGAGAATTTTGTCTCTGAGCAGCTCCTGTCATGCAAAAGACTTAAAACCCACTTGGTATTGAATGTGCCAATCTATTAATCTAGTTTCGTAGTTTCCATAACAGTGCTGATTTCACGCTCCACTTTGCCGACGTCGATATACGCCTTTCCAGTACGAACCAATTCCACATCTGGTACATCGGAGTGCTTGTGTCCTTCGAAGACGGCATCGATTTCTTCGAGAGTTCGGCCTTTCGTTTCAACCCAGAAGACCACCTGGGCACTAAGTAAATGTCCAACAAAAGGGAATGAGAACTTACAATGAGCACCACAACAATTATATCCCACGAGCCGTTAATTATGTACATTTTCCACCCAATGTTGTTCAAGCCTATTGGCATGATAAATACAAGGAGGACACTAAGTGGGTTAGCAGTTTGACTGCAACAGATAGCAAGGGGTTATAGGCTTACGCGAGAGCATTCAGCATGAAGGATGAGAAAGCAAGCCCGTTCGCCCGAATTGCATAGTTCATAATTTCAGGCGGGTACAGGTAGAGCAATGGTGTCCATGCAATCGAGTAGAACCCTTGGAACAAGAACATGACCGCGACGTCTCCATAGACCAGGCTGTGGGATGCCCCATCAGGATTGTCGGCATACATTTTTGATAGCCCTCCAATAATGAACAGGCATATTATTAGCAGACACTGGGAAAGTATCGCAGTAGGCTTGCGGCCCCATCGAGCAGCTAGGTGTGTACCACCGAGGGCGCACGCAAGACACCATACGTTGAGCACGACATTCTGCTTGATTAGCTGCGCCCACGCTGCTAGGGAGGATAGACTTACCGCCTTCAGCTGGTCATTCGAATTTGTGATACCAGCGGTATCCAGCTCAGGACCAAGGTAGTATGAGGCAATGATGTTCCCCGCAATGCAAGAGAAAGGCCCCGGCGACATACCTATAAGAAGGCGTTTTCTTGAGATTGGATTTTTGATAGTTTCTTTGAACGTCATGAGGTTCTCCTTTTCCCAATTGAGAGTGTCGACAATCTCCTTGTATACTGCAAGCACAACGGGATCGCTGAGCTCCCCATTGGCATTCGTCTGAGCGACAGCTGTGCGCCCTTCTTCGTAAAAACCTTGGTGTATCAACCAACGCGGAGATTCGGGACTGCCAAATCAGTTTCTTGCTGTCGTCTCCGAAGACCGAATACCGATTGATTCACTTACATGAATGGCAATATGATAATGCACAAGAGTGAAAAGATACCCTGGAACAACGAAGGTGCTCTCCACGCCCATGTTGACTGCCATTGACCTGTTCCGAGAGTTATGCCAGCCGCGATCAAAGCGCCGACAATGTAAAAGAGTCAGCAGAACGGTCCTTCGAGAAATGGTCAGCCTTACTAGTAGAAATCGTTCAGCAACCCAACACCCCACGCGCGATACTTGCTTGGAAACGTCTCTGCCAGATAGACACTGCCGGCAATACCAGAAACAGCTGAGCCAAATCCCAGGACAATGCGGGCGACAACAAACATCGCTATATTCTGTGCAGCGGTTTGAAGCAAGATACCAACTAGAGTCAATACTGAGCCCCAGAATACGGCTGGGCGCCGACCATATCGATCTGCAATGATCCCAGAGACGAGAGGTCCAAAGAAACCGCCAATGAAGACGGAAGCAGTATTGAGACCGGTAGTTGCGGCATTGAGATTGAAATAATCCGTGTACGAAGGTAAGATATTTAGGCCGTTGAGCATGGACCCGTCATAGCCACCGGTCTGACTTCGGTCAGGACGAGCAAGGGCGACTAAGGCGGGTACTCACCGCCGACTGCACCATTGAACAAAATATCAACAGGATTGAAAGCGTCACTGTTGATTCAGGTACCCAGGCAGGGAGCCAGGTACCTGTGGGAGTCCTTTTCAGCATTTCGCCGTCGCTATTCAATGCTCGACCTCAACGGCAACCAGATGCAAGACAGAGCAAGAGATCGATGCTGTGCCAACAAACACAGCATGCTGCGGAACTCCAGTTGATAAAGCATGGAATACGGTGACCGGCGATCAGCCGTCCCCTCAACAGGGTGGTATCTCGTGCCGCTCTGGATGAAACCTAGGCTGATAACAATCTCCATGATAGCCGCCATTGAAGGATTAGAGGCGGAGAACAGCGATAGTGGCGAAGAGAGCCAACATTCTGGAGAGGCACAGAAGCTGACCGGTAGTTCTTGAGGTTGCAATTAAGAACCATGGGAGAAAGACTGAATATTACTATCGCGAGGAGATCTGCGGGTGATAAACCTGATTCGGCTCGGCCTATGTGCCAAGCTTATGACCCACATGAGCTTAGCCTGAGAAAGCTCCAGTCCCCGCAAGCCAAGGCGACAGCTTTAAAAGGAAGGAGCATAACATGTCTCTCTCTCTCTCTCTTACTCCTGCAGGTTGTGGTGACTGAGGCAGAAAGAACTGCTGAGATGGTTGAACGGCCGGCCATTGCAATTGCAGGTCTTGCGTGCGAGACTTCGATTTTCACACCCTCCAGAACGCTGGCGCCTGCTTTCCATGCCAAACGTGGCCACGAAATCATCGAGAAATATCCCTTCATTAGGAAAGATGCCTCCCTCGGGAAGACCGCAGACTGGCATGGAGCTCTGATTGGTCATGCGCTGCCAGGAGGGATTGTAACGCGTGCCTGTTTCGAAGAGCTGGCTGGCGAGATCATAGATCGGCTTCGAGCGATTGTGTCATCGACCACTATCCATGGTCTCTGGTACGACATCCATGGCGCCATGTGCGTTGAAGGCATTGATGACTCTGAGGCAGAGCTCCTCCACCGCATTCGACAGGTTATTGGCCATGACGTGGTGGTGTCAGCATCCATGGACTTACATGGCAACGTGAGTCGTGAACTTGTGCACCAGACTGATCTCATCACTTGTTACCGCACTGCACCGCATATCGATGTGCATGAGACGAAGGAGCGAGCTTGCAGAAACCTTGTCGAGCTGCTTACAAAGTCCCCAGTTGGAAAGAGAGCTGGTATTTGTCCTGTGCTGCCTATCAAAGTATGGATTCCCATTCCGGTTTTGCTTCCAGGCGAGCAGACTTCGACCCAAATTGAACCAGCAAAACACATTTTCGCTGCAGTTCCTGGTGCTGAGTCAAAGCGAGGTGTCATTGATGCCGCAATCTGGGTTGGGTATCCCTGGGCAGACGAGCCACGGAACCGTGCTGTTGTTGTGGTGACAGGATGGGATGAAGATACGGTCAAGAATGAAGCAGAAAGGCTTTCGCAGGTCTTTTGGGATGCGCATGAGGATTTTGACTTTGTCGGTCCCACAGGCTCATTTGATGAATGCGTCGACGCAGCAATGGAATCCAAGAAGCATCCGTTCTTTATCAGCGATTCAGGAGACAACCCAACTGCTGGTGGAAGCGGGGATATGACCTGGGGCTTGATACGCTTACTGGCTCGTTCTGAGTTCAAGCAATCTTTCGGCCCGACGGTAATCTATGCCAGTGTCCCCGGAGCCAAAGCAGTCCGCACCTGCGTCGATGCAGGGATAGGTGCAACTGTCACCGTAACTGCGGGCGCTGAGGTGGACAATATCCACTCAGGGCCACTCACCATGACAGGGCGAGTGCATGCCATCAAACGTGGAGACAGAGATGCCCGAATTGAAGTTGTCTTGCAAGTGGGCAGTGTCTTTACCATCCTAACAGCACTCCGTAAGCCATACCACCATGAGCAGGACTTTATCGACCTCGACCTCAAGCCTCGAGAAGCAGATATTGTCATCGTCAAAATTGGTTATCTGGAACCAGAATTGCACAACATGGCGGCTGATTGGAGACTTGCCCTTTCGCCTGGTGGCGTGGATCAAGATCTGAAACGGCTTGGACACACCCGCATTCACAGACCAATGTATCCTTTCGACGACTTCAACGAAACGCCTAGCCTTTCAGCAAGCATCATCCCAGCCTCATATGAACCGCTACTTGGACCAGAGCGATGAGATTTCCACAAATATCCAACCAAGTCGCGCGGACAAGGCTTGTTCGGTGCATCTCTCCATTGGGTGTGAATGATTTCGTCGCCGAGAGCGCAAGAATCGATCAGTGATACCGACTACGAAGAGGTTGTCTCAAAGAACACGCGATAGCTCTCAGCCTGCTAGCCCGCTGTGCCTCACTGAGTAAGCCCTGTGTTTCATGGCCGCCTGTCCTACTCAGCGGAGACATGTGAATATGCGACGTGCCCCGACGTTAAAAGGTTTAACCGCCAACTGACTATGTACCAGATTTATCGATCTGCGTATTTCTTTATCGAGTCCTCCTCTGGATTGAAGTTATGCAGGGATTAGACGAGGAAGCTCCCGATTTCTTCCGCAAACCTAGCCCGTCCTCGAAATTGGGCTTTTCCCGTGATGGGCGCGTCAATAGGAGAGAAGTGGCCGCCATCATCTATATAGAAACAAACCTGCAACCTATATCCGCACCGGTGGGAAGAGCTCTTCGCCGGTTTAGGCCTTCCTGCTAAATCCTTAATTGTCTAGCTATGAAGCTCCTTTATCCTACCTCCCTGAAGCTCGACGTAGAGAGGCTTGAAGGATTCGGCGTTACACTACACCCATATAACGTCCACAAACCTATCCCGGAAGCTCTCATCGACGCAGAAATCCTTGTTACCTGGGCCAACACTAATTTGCAAGATGCCGCCAAGCGAATGCACAACCTTCGCTGGATCCAGTCGCTTTTCGCTGGCCCGAACGACGAACTTGCAGCAGGTTTCCCAGCAAATGTTGTCATGACAGCTGGTACCAACCTGCACAATGAGACCGTTGCTGAGCATGCACTTGCGCTTTTGCTCAGCGCCGCTCGTCATCTCTACGAAATGCGTGACTGCCAAAACCAAGGGGAGTGGCCAGGACACCTTGGGGGATTCCTACCTGACCGGCCCAAGGGATCTTTTACGTCTCTAAAAGGCGCCAACATTCTCATATGGGGTATGGGCAACATTGGTCGCACACTTGCACCACACTTGACGGCTTTGGGCGCGAACATTCGGGGAGTTGGGCTTTATGAAGAGATCATTGACGGGATTCAAGTACAGACCAACGCGGCCTTGCCGAACTTGCTCCCGCAGACTGATGCCCTGATCATGATTCTACCAGGCTCTAAAGCGACTTGGCAGGCACTTAATGCTGAGCGACTCGCGATGCTTCCCAAACATGCTTGGGTGATCAACGTCGGAAGAGGGGTCTGTGTGGATGAAGATGCACTCGTGCATGCGCTCAAAAATGGAATTATCGGCGGTGCAGCTTTGGATGTCTTCCATAAAGAGCCACTGCCTGAAGCTTCACCTCTGTGGAAAGCACCAAATCTGATTATCTCACCTCATGCTGCTGGAGGTAGACCGCGTTACTCGGAAGCGCTCATCGCGGAAAATCTACGACGCTTTCTAGCAGGACAACCACTCAAGCATGATGTGAGGGCAGGAGGGATGTACTCCACATTGACCTCGGGAAAGAACTCGACGCTCAAGGCCTCGTTGTAGACGAAGGGCGTTTGAATCTCTTTTGTGGGAAGGATAAAGGAGCCGTGGAACGACGAATGGTGGATGATTGACAGGTTTCGTGACTCAGATGGACCGGAACAAGGCTGATTACATCCAGGCTGAGTAGAAAGACCATTTTTGGTCTCAAGCCTCTGCACAAAGAATTCCTTAACCCCAGGGATTCCCACCTTTCACAAATCAAAATTAGCTGTCTAGCTACTCCCTTCACTTGTAGTTGTTCCATGTCCTATATTTCATCCGGTGCTACCGAAAACTTCGTCCTGTGATCTATCTCCAAACTACCAAGAAGCGGGCTCCATCCTTGATATTCCGACCTCCTGCCGCTTTTCGTCAGCTTCACTCTCTCTCAGCTCTTCGCTGGCAGCGCTAGGCAGCCAGGGTCGGGATCCCAAGGTCATCGGACCGGCCACATGAATCAACTCCCCCTAAGTGGGCGGTCACATTGGAGAATTCTGCTTTTTCTGTGGCTAGATGCAGTGCCCTTTTCATTTGACGCAACTCAAAACTTTTTTGTTAATTGGGCTAGCCAGCAACCCAGTCAGACCGGGAAAAGAACCATTGCTACTAGATTCGCAACGTACAACACCGGTTTATGCTGTATCAACTGCCCATTTACTGTATAAGTTGTGAAAAGAAGGCGCGTTTCAAGGCACCCGCATGTGCTCAACCCAACTATGCTGAGTGATACAATGCATCAAGTAAGCACGAATTGCCTAGGACATGGTTCTTCAATGTTGTCAAAAGTACCCACTCGCTTTCTGGTTCATGTGAACATGGAGATATCTCCAACATGGCGAAAATTCCACGGACGCACGGCGATAGCTGTGTGGCCCTGCTTACCTGAAGCTGCCAAAAAAAAGAATAGTCGTCGGAGTGAAATCGCGGGGAAATGCCTTTATTTACATGGCTAGTAACGGAGTAGGGGGTCCTATATGGGACTAACATACTGTGCATGCACTAGTCAGCTGCAGATTGGATCAATCTCAACATCATCCTTCAGTGTACCCAGCATGACCAGCCTTTGCAGCGGTCAATACACCATAGATTCTCTTCATTTCGTTTTCTAGCTCCACGGCTCGCTTGACTCATCGTGTCGGTCTCCCCTGTCCCACATATCGCGATAATCGCGATAGGGGGCCCTGAAACTGAAGAGGAAAACATTCAACCAAAGGGTGATCGTTCCTCTTAATTGTTCCGGTTTCATCCGATGTCATTTCCAAGCGGTGACCTCTATTTTCGAAGAAAAAGGATTGATCGTAAGCTCTTTGTGCTGAATCTTCCTCATTTTGCGCGGCAGATCATTTACCCTAGATATACTCCTGAGAACTCCGAACGGGGAGGTTGCAAGATGACCCGATAACTCCACACTCACGTATCTCAGGGGCTTGTTTACGGAAATGGTCGACGCCCCTGATATGGAGAATTAAATTGGGAAACATATCAAGAATCAACCTCTTTCGCTCGTCATTTTTGCCCATAGCATTACCGCGAAAGCCTTGCGGTGTACAGTCCTCTACTTGAAATACCTTCTTACATCCAATTGGTTTTTCTATTTGCAGTTGTGGACGTGTGCAAGATGGATTCGCAGACTCGAACCAGTCCAGTTCTCCTTGCCCCGGGCCCGACTGAAGTTGACCCGGAAGTCCTCAGGGCTATGGCATCTTTTGCGGAATCACATTTCGCCCAGCCATTTTGCAACATCTTTGGCGACGTTTTGACGATGCTCCGCAAACTTTTCCAGAGTGCAGATCCAGATGCTCAGCCATTTGTCATTGGAGGTAGTGGTACCCTCGGCTGGGACTTTGTGGCAACCAATTTCATCGAACCTGGAGACCCAGTTCTCTGTCTCAGCACCGGATACTTCTCTGATGCCTTTGAGATGTGCCTTGCCACGTACGGAGCTCGCACCAAGAAAATGACAGTGCCTATCGGAGCTGCCCCAAATATTCAAGATGTCGAGAAGGAATTGAGAAAGGTCCGATACAAAGCCTTGGTCGTCACCCACGTTGATACGTCGACTGCGGTTTTAACACCGCTGAAGCCTCTTTCAGAGCTTCTCAAGCGCGTATCTCCTGGAACGCTTTTAATCGTTGATGGCGTTGCCAGTGTCGCCTGTGAAGAAATTCAATTTGACGCTTGGGGTATCGACATCGTTGCTACCGGGTCACAGAAGGCCATTGGCTGCCCCCCTGGCCTCAGTATCATCATGGTATCCGCGCGCGCTCTAGAGGCTGCTAAGTCGAGGAAAGCGCCAGCCAATAGCTGGTATGCCAGCTTGCCACGGTGGTTGCCGATCATGCAAAATTATGAGAAAAAGCAGTCGAGCTATTTTGCAACACCCCCCACTCAAATTGTTCACGCCCTTCATGCATCTCTGACATCAATTCTCTCACGCCCGCTCGAGGAAAGATTCGAGCAGCACAGACAAAAAAGCGCTCAGGTTAAAGCAGTGGTGAAGGAACTGGGCTTGACGCAATTGACTCTGGAGCCAGAGTACCAGGCCAACGGCCTGACTGCATTTTGGCTCCCTGACGGCTTGTCATCGAAGGAACTGTTGTCAAGAGTCACGGAGAAAGGCTTTACTATAGTAGGCGGCATGCATAAAGAGGTCGGGCATCAATACGTAAGAGTTGGTCACATGGGCCACAGCGTTGTAGGCGAACCAGAGAGACATATTGATCGTGGGTTGAAGGCTCTGAGAGAAGCGTTGACAGAATTCTATACCAGCAAGAGCGGTTACTTTGCCTCTCGGGACAATGGAGAAATGGCGGGTCCGGCAAGGGCTAGCCTCTAATGGATTGAAGGACATCGGGATCGTCCATGGGGGGATCTTGTTGCTTGTATGGGCAATAGTATCGAAAAGGGAAGCCAGATCAACTTGGGATCGCCTTCTACATCAATGGCTTCCGATGATTATTATGACTTCGATTATTACGTGAAAGGGGTATTAGTACTTTCGAGTCTACATGCGTCTCATGTAGCGATATCAAGGCTCAGTATTACTCTTAGTATGTGGAATTTCTTGGACGAAGTTGTATCTTGCGCTATTCAGAGAATATCTCGGCGAAAATAGCATGTGATGTTTGCTAATTATATCTATAAAATGCTGCCTGTTTACCCTCCAAGAGATCGTTCCAATGGCGAATTTGACTTATCCCAAGGATGGTCGAGGAAGGAAATGTAGCCCGCCAGCCAAGGGTTACCGGTATTCTAGAGGGGACCAGGCGATGGAAACACTCTGAAGAGGGTACATTCGAAAAATCCTGATAGTAAAGGTAACTTTAAGTCCGCTCAAGATAGTGGCTAGGCTACAGAGCAACTGTCAACTACTTTTTGACCATTATTTTTTCCTGCTTCGATGGTCGATACTTACATTATCGAAGGCTGTCTCCCAACCCACATCTGGACCTCGGCCTACTAAATCTGGATAAATGTCAACTCCCCTAACTCCCGAGGAAAATTAATTTGACCTTTCATAAGACCTGGGCCAGAAGGGTCGGTCTGTTCAGACCTTCAAGCATTATTTTACATTGCGAGATCTCTCTCGGTCCTGGATCCCTGGTGATCTGTGTCCTTTGTTATTCGTTGGCTGTAGAACAACTGTGTCTACTCTTTGACAGAACCCGGTTTCGGTCCTTAGCATGGGAGAAATTCCCAAGACCTGCCTAGCTGGCGTCGTTGTAAATGAAGGGCCAGATTTTCGTATTGACGTTGTCGAAGTCCCTGTCCCGGAGCCGGGGCCTTACGAAGTCCTGATTAAACTTAACACGACGGGTTTGTGCATGTCCGATGTTCATTACATGCTCAATGACCTGGGCGTGCCGTCGATGTCGCATTTTCAGACGAGATCTCCCGGGCATGAGGGTGCAGGGGTGATAGTCAAAGTCGGGTCGCAAGTAACGTCGCTCAATGTCGGCCAGCGGGCTGGGATGAAGCCGACCTGGGATGTGTGTCATTCATGTGAGAGTTGTCGGAATGGCCGGGAGAACTACTGCAAGGGTAGCATTTCCACGGGGCTGCAAAAGCCTGGTTCGTTGATCTATTTCATCATAGGTACGGGCTCAGCTGACGGGAATACTAAAGGCTCATATCAACAATATGTTGTCTCGCCAGAACGATACACTGTCCTCATTCCAGAAGGCGTGAGCGACTATGTTGCAGGACCAGTGATGTGCTCAGCGTCCACTATGCTGCATTCTCTGAAGACGGCAAATCTCTCACCGGGACAATGGGCCGTATTCATTGGAGGTGGAGGTGGCGTCGGTCTGCAGGGCGTTCAACTGGCATACGCAATGGGTCTCCGACCCATTGTGGTCGACACCGGAAAGAAACGGCGCGAGCTCAGCCGGAAATACGGTGCTGAGCATTTCGTGGATTTCAGGGAAAAGAAAGATCCAGTGGCCGATGTTCTCGCATTAACCGATGGCGGTGCCCATGGTGTTTTTGTGACTGCCATTCAAGCATATCACTCCGCCATGGGATACCTTGGTGATCGAGTGGGTGGAAAGTTGATGTGTATCGGTATTGGCCCGCCGAATCGACACACCATCACCCTCGATCCAACAGCTTCAAATTTTATGCTTCGCAATCAATCAGTGACAAGCACAATCGTTAGTTCGCTGGGTGAGATTGCACTCGCGCTCGACTTTGCTAGACGCGGTAAGTATGGTTCAGAGACGGACTCTACACCTTCTGAGCATTTTTTTAACAAAAAACATTACATACAGGAAAACTCCATCTCGATCCAGAGGTAGTGGGTGTGTCGCAGTGGAACGAGTCGGTCCAGAAACTTAAGAATGGGCAGGTTGCTGGGTAATTTGCCTTTCCTTCTGGCTTCGGTAAATTCGTTGGACATAAACTAACGGCAGATCATAGACGAATTGTGGTCGACTTTAACAAGCCTTGAGCTTCGAATCTGGCCGCGCGGTCTTTGGCCAAGTGGTATCAAGATGGGGTATTTGATCAACAAACCCGGGCTATCCTCAGAACTTCGCATGGACTTTAATCTCTTTGGTCTGTCTGTGTATTCCCCAAGAGCATTCTTTGCTGCCTTTTTCTATGTAGCTCCCGCTAGGAGCAGAAATGGCTCGCGTGGGTCAAGCTATCGGTTTCGGATCTTGCCAACGACTCAGCACTGAAACGAATGCCTGGCAACCAGCGTTCCAAAAGACCTTCATAGATGTCAAGAATATAGATCGGCACTTGACCTGTCTGAAAATTTCCCCTTCATGGTGCCAAGTAGGGGATGGGAGAACAGCGAAGAGCAGACCCTTCAATGCCACTCGACGATGGCGCCACAACCGTTGGCCTAGTTTCCTCTGCGGCGCTGATGTCGTACGATAGCCGGCGAGAGGAGAAACCATTGCAAGCCTCGCCTAAATCTGTCCCCGGTTACAAATTAAGCTGGTGAGGGATGGGTTCCTGGGTTATGTGATTGGCGCTTTCGCGACCTTTTGTCCCGCGCCACCGGTGCTTTCCATAACAGGAGCTTCCTCTTAAGTCGTAGCGCAGAGGATATGAGGCTTCTCATGTCTCTCAATAGTCAAAAGAAGCTCGTTGTTATTGCTGCAGCATGGAGTCTTACGGGAGCTCATGGGACTAATCTGTCCATCCGTTTTCTTCTCGAAAGAGAACGACTCAGTCTATGCGCCCTTTCCACTCTTTCTAGGGGATTGCTGTGTAGGAGCGCAGCTCTCTTGCATTGAGAGCTATCGGTATCCAGGTAAGGGGTTGGCGATAATGCCAGGAGTGGTATCAGGAGTCGTGCAATGAGGCGCAAACACCTGAGATCATGCTGATTTCTAGCGTCACAATTTGCGCCTCGTAGCTGCAGCTGCATTGCGTGAGAGGTGCTTGGATGCCATGACCTGCCTCGCTGCTTGCAGATTTCACCCTGCTTGAAGTTGTCGCTAGCTGCGTAGACGGGCTTCGACCAGGCCAACTATTATCGGCCGTCTGCGTTGACTCACCCGTTTCCCTTGCTATTGACTCTCGTTTCCTTTGGAGCTGGATAAAACGAATAATTTCTAAGTTGGGAATGTGGCGTTTCGATCTCCGCTATGAGGATGTTCCTGAGGTGGCCTAGTTGAAGGAGGGTGATATCCACCCAACGCTGGCATCGAGTAGCCTCAGGGGAACTGAGTAAATGCAACCTCAATTGAGGATCCGAGCTCTGAATATTTCCCCTAGGTGTTCGACTGCTAGTTCCGCCAATCAGCGGCATAAAATGCGGAGTTGAATGTTGTTTCCCGCTAAAACCAAAATATCCCTTTAGGATCCCGGACATGGCGTCAAGTAGCAGCAGCATCAGATTCGAATAGCCTTCTGTGTAGTGTCTATTGCTATTTGGTAGATGGATAGGCGTTTGCTCTAATCCTCACTTGTTGACACACTAGCATCCTGTAGCATCATCACGCCCAAATAGCTGGACAGTTTCATTCCCAATATTTTCGTCTCTTCCGTTATTCGGTGTTTAGTTCTAGGTAGCTGGATTTACCGATGACACTGGAAAAGCCTGTAGGATAATCTTGCCGATAAAGAAGTGGATGTTTCTAGTGTGTTTGGGGATTAGTCTTAGTTTGTAATTCAGTCGCTAGTGTTTAGCGGTGTAAGGCCTTTTGGCGCCTTAGCATCTAAGCGCCTACTTCTTAGCTGTCATCATTATCATTCTAGATAGTCACCTACAGTGAGGTACAAGTTTAAATACACTACGTGACACTAAGCTTTACTATTGTAAACTAGCTAAGCTTAACTAAGTTAAAGAATTTTATAAATCACATAACATATTGAACTGGGGCGAGGCTACTAGCTATGGGCGTTAACTCGTACGGCGGTGAGATAGCCTCTTCACAGTACGCACACTCAACTAAAGGAAGTTCTTCCGTTCATGACTTAATTAATTATTCTATGAATGATAGTCCCCGAAGACTATATAAGAAGAACCCTAGTTTAGTGTCGACGCCCCAGCCAATCATAAAGCTATCCACCACTTCAAACTTCTCCCATTACAATATAAGCTAAACTATATTTAGAAAATACGTAACATATTTACCTTAATACTTTATGTGCTAACCTTCCGCGTCCAGGATAACCTAAACGCGCGTTAGCATTGTAACATATAAATTATATAGAATCCTATCCTCTATTTCATACCAGGCTAATATCGTAATCTCAACTAGTAATTATAAAGTCTTAATAGTGTCCTCCATCCACTTAAGTTTAGGTTAAATTCGATAAATCTCTATCTTTATAATAGCTCATAGATTAAGATTAGATTAAGATTAGATGAATAACATCAGCAATTTTTCCCGCGACTCATAGCATTCTTATATGCCCAGGGAGCCCAGGGAGCCCACAGTCGCTCACAGCTCTTATATCTAGGCTATGAGCTCTTATAGACTATCTATTTTTAGTAACTTTTATAATATACTTATTATATAATATTATTAAATTTAAAAAGGTCTTTCCTATTTCGGAAATAAGGTTTACACTTGTTGGAAGGACTTAGAGAACTATCTAATGTATAGATAGTAAGGCTCATATAGATCGTAAA